ATGAACGAATTCCTATGCCCCACAAATAATCTAGAGATGCATTTTAAATAAAAGGACACATTCTACTCATGTAAAAACACGCTGATTCCCGGACTGTTTGCAGGCCGGATTTAGAAGGCGATTGGGCTGGATATGGCCCCCGGGCCTTAGTTTGCCTACCCATGATCTAGTCCAATCCCAGCCTCCTGTTCTCCTCACAGTGGCCGAAGAGATGCCTGTGGGAAAGCAGGATTCAAGCACAAGACCCCTCTCCCCTTCTGTGGTTTCCAGCAACTCATATCCAGAAGCATTGCTGCCTCTGGCTGTGGAGGCAGAGCATAGCCATCGAGGCTAGAAGCCATCAATAGCCCTCTCTGCCATGAATTTGTCAGAGACAAAGCCTAGCCAAGCAAAAGCCCTCAAGGAGAAATGCGCGAGGGGCACGGCAACAAAATATAAATGTGAGGGGCTCGTCCCAATACAAATGCTTAAAATAAATTAATCAAATGAGATGAATGGGAAAGGATTTTGTCCAGTCCCCCAGTCCCAGGCCTGGCCACTGGAAGTCCTGATATGATGCTGTAAAGGGCTTCCTTTTCCTCCGAGGAAATGAACAAGCTTGCCCTACGTCCTGCCCCGGGTGGGAGAGATGCCCTCATGTGGTGCCATTAGAGGACGGGAGTTTGGAAAACACATCCAGGGCTCCACTCAGCAGAAACATCAAGAGGGCCTCTGCATGGATCGTGGCTGGTTCACTGTATTTTGAGGTTAGTGAAGTAATATTTATTGAATTTATATACCACCGTATACCCGCAGGTCTCGGGGTAGTTCATAGAATAAAATACACTTTTCGCACCTAAGGATGGGGGGGGGTCCTTTGTAAGTCAACAGAATTACTGTGGTACCTCAGGTTACAGACGCTTCAGGTTACAGACGCTTCAGGTTACAGACTCCACTAACCCAGAAATAGTACCTTGGGTTAAGAACTTTGCTTCAGGATGAGAACAGAAATCGCACGGCAGCAGCGGGAGGCCCCATTAGCTAAAGTGGTACCTCAGGTTAAGAACAGTTTCAGGATAAGAACGGACCTCCAGAACAAATTAAGTTCGTAACCAGAGGTACCACTGTATCTAACTGTACCATCAGCTGAGAGAAAGGCATTGTTTGGGAGTAAACCCCAAGGAAAAACCCCAAGCTGCTGCCTTGAGGGACATATAAGGGAGAAGAAAAGGCTAAAGAGCAAACCCTACACAAATCCGGAACGCAGTTCCTGAGATGGTTGGATGGGCCTTGTATGCTTCCTTCCAGCAATTCCTGCAGCCAAGCTGGTGTCGAATGTATTGCGCAGCTTTCCTGTGGACCACATCACTGAGGCCGGGGTGGGGTGGGGGGTGATGTCATTTGGGCAGCCCAGGGCCTCCATACACACTGCCCAGGCTTACACCCTGGGGGTGGGGGGTCACTTTGGTGTTGCTAATGCAGCAAAAACAATGCAGGAGGTGGCAGTCATGAGTTATCAGTCTCTGCAGCTACAGTGGGCGCTGTGATTCCCCAGCAGTTTGACTTGAAACTCGGAGGCACACTCCATTGTTTTTCAAGAAAGACGGATGCCAGCAACCATCACCGTCGGCAGAGGCGGAGCTAGCCGGGGCGAGCTGTGGGGGCGGGGCGGCAAGCATCCCATGGGGGTGGCATGGTGAGCATGGGGGTGGTGCCGCCCACAATGACTGTCTCGGGGGGGGGACGAGTGTCCCACGGGGGTGGCGCAGCAAAGTCACCCCCCTCAGGGATGACACCCGGGGCAGACAACACACCCCGCAGTGTGTGCCCGTCGGCTTTCATACCTCCATGTAACTGGATTGCAGCCTAGGTGTGCAATCCACAAGCAATGACAAGCACATCAATAGCGCATGTGGAGCCGTGATTAGAGTGCTGCACTAGGAACGAAGAGACCACAGTTCAAATCCCAAGGTCACTCAGTAGGTGATCTTGGGCCAGTCACAGTGTCTCACCCTGACCTACTTCACAGGGTTGCTGTGAGGATAACACTGAGGAGGAGGAGAACCACCTTGAGCTCCTTGGACAAATGGTGGGCTATAAACGCCATAAATAACAAATAACATGAAATCTGCCACTGACTTCAACAGGATGGGAATGGCATCCTTAAGAGAAAACAAACCTACAGTAACTGATGTCCATTCTAAACTGGGTCTTGATTCTGCCATACCTTGAAATCACACAATCCTTACGGAACATCAAGCCTAATCACAGATCCGCTACTATCATTCAGCAGCCAGATTTGAGAGAAACTTCAGACGTTTCAAAAGCGTCAGAAAACGAGAAGGCTAATTAAGGACTCCAAAGGATTAACTGAAGGCATTTGGAAGGGTGGGAACCAGGCAAATCGAGTCTAGTACTCTGGAGGCGAGAAAGCTAAACCTCCCCTAATTCCTTGGGGTCTACCATACCCAGTGCCCCTGAATCCCTGCAAACTGACAGGCTTGTTATTGTAGCTAATATTAACAATTATCCTGCGGAAGAAAGATTTATTGTGCTACTTTTGTGCTCTGTGGCGCCAGAGTTATGTCCTAAACCAAGAAACAAGATAAAATTTCTCCCTACAGAGGTGCCTGAGAAAAGGTGGAGCCGTGACTCACACTGGAATCAGCTTACCGTGATAATGCCAGGTAAATACATATTCGGTAGAAAAAAACTTGTCCTTTGACAGTTGATGAAACACGCTTTGGAATACCTGGAGGCAAAAACGACTCTCACCTTCCCCCCTCCCTCCCTCCAAAATGCTTGTTCATCTGCATACTTTTTGTACTTGGGAACTAAAAAAGTTGTAAAGATGCTGGCGATATCCACAAGCATTGCAGGTGTATTGAAATGACTCCAGACCAGAAGACGCACTGCAGCAGGAGTAGCCAATGTTGTGCTCTTCGGATGTTTTGTACTACAACTCTCACCAGACCCATCCAGCATGGCCAATGGCCAAGGATGATGGAAGTGGTAGCCCACAACATTCGGAGGGCAACACATCAAGTACTCCTGCAATGCCAATTCCAGGCTGGGAAGCCTTGCTTACCTTGCTAGCTATCGTTTGTTTATTCCAACCATTTTTATCTTGCTCTTCAGCCAAAGAAGGCTCCCAATGCTGCTTGCCAACAAGACAGGGCACTGTTCTTCCATGTGACAGTCCTTCAGATATTTGAAGATGGCTACCATATCACCACTCGGTCTTCTCTTCTACAGGCTAAACAAATCCAGCTTCCTCAACTGTTCCTCATAAGGCTTGGTTCCCAGACCCTTGGCTGCCCGCCTTTGCACATGTTCCAGTTTTTCAATATCCTTCTTAAATTGTGGTGCCCAGAACTGGACACAGCAGTCCAGGTGTGGTCTGACCAAGGCAGGATAGAGTTGTACTACTGCTTCCCTTGATATGGACACTAGACTTCTGTTGATGAAGCTTAGAATAGCATTAGCTTCTTTTGCTACAGCATCACACTGTTGACTCATGGTTAAGCCTGTGGTCTATTAAGACCCCTAGATCCTTTTCATATGTACTGATGTCAAGTCGTATGTTCCCCACCCTCTATTATGGGGAGGGGGAGCAGCATGTACACCACTTTGAGCTTGGAAGAAAGGTGTGATAAAAATAAAACAACTCTTTCAATTCTAACTGCTCATTGCAAGGATTCTGCACCTAAGGAACAAGCCCTACTTTGCTCTTCCCACCTTCCCTCCTCATCTGTTTTCTGTTGTGTCTTTTAGATAGTAAGCCCAAGAACAGGGACTGCCTAATCCAGGGGTCAGCAAACTAAGGTCCATGGGCCGGATGTGGCCCGCCAGGCTCGTAAACCCTGCCACCTGCTTGGTCAGTCACCGCACGATGCGGACACCTCGCTGCATGGGGGCTGACTTCTGCGACACTGGCATAGCTTCTGGGTGGCTGGCAACATTGGCGAGGCTTCGGATTGGCTGCGGGAAGCTCCTGCAGCCAATCTGAAGTGTGGACACCTCTGGGCAGGCAGCGACGCTGGCATGACTTCGGATTGGCTGCAGGAAGTTCCTGCAGCCAATACGAAGCCTCACCACCTGCAGCTGAGGTAAACCTGGTGCGGCCATGGATGGAGAGGCTGGCGGGCTGATGGAGCAGCTGCTGCTGGTCAACTCTGGTGAGCGGGCGGTGCCGAGACGCGCTTCTGAGTGCGTGCAGAGTACGTTCTTCTTCCAGGTCCGGAGGCAGCTGCGGGACTGGCTTGCAGGGTATTTATATTTTTCAAAATATAGTCCGGCTCCCCACAAGGTCTGAGGGACAGTGGACTGGCCTCCTGATGAAAAAGTTTGCTGACCCCTGGCCTAATCATAGCTTTACAAAGGTGAAGGATATGATGAAATCACCTGTGATAAGATTTCTGATTTCATAGAGTTTTGATGGTTTCCTACTCCTATGGAAATGGGAATATATCTACTCCATCGAGGCAGAAGATCAACATGTGACAGGGTGGGAAAATGGGCACTCTTCTCTGGTTTCCCTTTTAATCTGAGCTGGAGAAGAATCCAGGGCCTGTTCTTTCAGGTGGGCTTTTTCTGCATTTGGCTTGGGAGAATGTTACTGGTATCCCATGGAACTCAGTAGGGGAGGAATTTCTGTTGGCTTAGGGGAAGCAACTGGCTTGTCACTCACATCTTCCCAGTCCCACAATGATTGTTCTATCACCTTTGGTCTTTGAAGCATCAGCCATCCTCCAACCCCAAACTCATGAGAGAATCAGTTGGGCCTCAGGTATACCTCCCATTCCACTGCTTGGGAAGAAGGGACTGGATGAGTGAGATGCAGTTATAATGTCTTCATTTGAAAGTAAAATGTGCTGTCTAGAAGCATAAAAAAAATCACTGTGGTCTGAAACCCAGATTAGGCAACCTCTCTTGTGCACTTGAGATGTTATTGTTAATCTTCACATTTCAAGGGCTCCTCTCTAAAAAAAGGAAAAAATTGTTATCATGCCAGGCTCTGATTACGGTAAAAACAAACTCAGGACTTTATTTTAGTCTATTGATGCAGACACTGTAAGCAATAGGTCTTATAATGCTGAAAAACATAAAGGTGAAGACTGCCAGGGTGTTCTCCACCTTAAGCTCTCCACACACGACTGTTTTCCTTCTGACGCTGTCTGTAAGTTGTTGAAGTAGAGATATTTCTTCGGAGTTTTAGAATTTGCAAAAAGCAAATTTAAATTACATTACAAATTAAAACATAAAGCCTGAGGATGTTATCTGTGAGGTTTGTGCACAAGCCTATACTTTTTACGCAGACGTCATTTGTAAAGTTCATTTATATCAAAGTTAATATTCAGACATTTGCAATTTTTCAAAGAAAGAAAGGTTAAACATGGCTTAAATGAAGTATTTGATAGAACAAAATGTTTTTTAAATGTTGCCAAGAGTGGAGGCATGCTATTTTATTGATACCAATATCTTTTAAAAAAGAAAGAGCACTAGAAATAGAAAAACAAGAGAAATAAGACAACAGAACTCTTTGAAAGGGAAATGTGCAAGAGCCCAACATTTATCGGATCTGCATGAGTTGATTGCATCCCATTAATTTAAAGTGTTCGCTCTCTGAAACATTTACTTTAAAACAATTCACTTATTTTTGCATGAATATTTTGAGAGAATGTCTGCGGATTTTTAAAATAGCACAGTTGATGTTCATTGCCATGATGATCTTAGATGACTTGGGGTGACATTAAACATTCCAAAGCTCCACTTTTTCATCCAGAAAAAAGGTGAAAGGGAAGAATACTACAGTATTTCCTGCAAAATCACGATGGAAAGCCATAAAAAATATGTGTCGCTATTGCAACGCAGATGCCGTAATGCCCATAAAGAATCTTCTCATATTGTTGGTAAAAATGCAAGCTTCTCACTCATATTTGTGGAGAAGGAACAGTCAGCAGACCAGTTGGCTTGATTTTGTTGATGCCTCCATCCAAAATGCAAACCCTTGGATATTTGACTTTCACCAGGTGAGCTGCAAACTGAAGCAGAAAGACCCAATGTCAGGAAGATGCCTATCATTTCTGAATGTGCACATACACATTAGCACAAAGGAGCAAGGTGGCTTGCTGGGATACCTGCATCATCCTATCAATCAAACCACAGTATTGCTTTACAAAATTATTTCAAGGTATTTTGATGGTTTGCCTGTTCTCTATATAAACAAACAAACAAACAAACAAACAAACAAACAGACCGTACTGTGCTGATAAAAGATTAAAAGTTGTTGCTTTCTTAAGGCAAGGGGTAACAGATCAGTGGCGAAACATGTGCTGAAAGACCCATGTTCCATCCTGGGCAAAAAAGAAAAGGAAGGCAGGAAGACAGATCGGATAACAGGTGATAGGAATCTGAGGCAAGGGGGAAGAGACAACACCAGGCTAGATATGTGCACCAAAAATGAAGAAGACTCTTGCCCAAATGACAATACAGTGGTGCCCCGCAAGACGAATGCCTCGCAAGACGGAAAACCCGCTAGACGAAAGGGTTTTCTGTTTTTGAGTTGCTTCGCAGGACGAATTTCCCTATGGGCTTGCTTCGCAAGACGAAAATGTCTTGCGAGTCTTGAGATTTTTTTTCCGCTCCCCCCCCCTTTATCTAAGCCGCTAAGCCTTTAATAGCCTTTTAGCAGCTAATCCGCTAAGCCGATAAGCCTTTAATAGCTGCTAAACTGCTAATAGCGCTAATCCGTTAAGCCGCTAATAGGGTTGCTTCGCAAGACGAAAAAACCGCTAGACGAAGACACTCGCGGAACGGATTAATTTCGTCTTGCGAGGCACCACTGTAGATGCCCAATAAAAAGGCACTGTAATATAAATCAGGCAATGGCAGTGGAGGCTAGTCCATCAGGGAAAATGGGGCACTGTCCCAGCAACCTCCGTCTGCCTTCCGTCAGCCCCCACCTGCCTTCTTACAACCAGTCCAGGTTGTGGCTGCCGCCTTCCTCCTTTGTCTCAGTTCTGCAGTCAGGACAATGGGGAGGAAACTAGAATTTGTTGGCTATGCCTGTGATTAGTTCTGGGATCTGCCAACTGTTGGGCTCCCTGCCTTCCACCCTACCAGCCACTGTGGAGTAACAGATTAACAACAGAGAAACAACTACAGGACATTCAGAAGACACCAGAAGGCAACTCTCTACAGCGAAGTTTTTAGTGTTTGATGTTTTATTGTGATTTTATATTGCTGGAAGCTGCCCAGAGTTGCTGGGGAATATAAATGATAAAATAATAATGATAATAATTGCTATACAAAGAGTAAGCGAAACAGTAAAAGAGGGGTTCACTGGGTTTAAAGAGAAACAACAACCATCCTTGTGTTTATGCTGCAAAATCAAACTGCTTTAAGTAGAGGTTGGATGGCCACTTGTCATGGATGCTATAGCCGAGATTCCTGCATTGCAGGGGGTTGGACTAGATAGCCCCTGGTGTCCCTTCCACCTCTACAGTTCTGAGATTCTAAGCATACTTTCTCTCTCCACACACACCCTCCATATTGCTGCCTGTCGTGTGCCTTCAGGACATGGCCTAAGAAACAAATGGTGAACCTGCTGCATCCTGAACTCCAGCTTCCATGAGTCCTAGCCAGAACGGCCAATGGGCAGGAACGATGGGAGCTATTGTCCAGAAGCAACTGCAGCATCACAGGTTTCCAGTCCCTGTGTTAAAACCTCTCCCGTTGGCTGCAGATGATCTTTTTGTATGCCACAGCTTCTCATGTTGGGCTTGAACCAGCTGCAGAGTTTGGTGAACAATCAAAGTACACCGTACACCTATGCAAACAGAGACACAGCTGATCACACAGATGTAGAGTACTGAGTGTAGCTGCTGCTAAACAAACCACTTTAGCAAAGAGCAAGGCCAAACAACCTTGGCGTCTGTGTCTCCATTCAGGTTGCTGCCAGATCGACAGAAGGGCGCTGTCTGTGGTCAGGAGAAGGGGAAAACCCAGCAAAACATTGGCTTTACTGTTACCCAGGGGACGACACGGCAACAATGTGGGTAGACCAGAAAATACAGCTCTTTGCTTCCTTTGCCAAGAACCCGAGTTGTGTTGCTTTGGCTACAACCAACCTTTATGGATTTTCCATTGGTGCACTTCAGCTCTCGGCTTTCTGTAGCCTGTGATTGCATGGCATGTCTTCTTAAATCTCTTCTCTGTCTTGCATTCATTCAGCCCACTCCGAATGAAAACCAATTGCCCTTACTGGAAAAACCCTCCATAGTCTCACCCTTGCAATTTCTTCACTCTTAAGTCCCAATGCACTCCTGCATGCAACCTTTCCCAGTTCCACCCTACGTCCGGTCATCTGACAGTTGACTATGCCCCTTATTCTTTTCTGCCTCCTATGCCTTTCAGAACACCTACAGGATATCGGCTCTCATTTGGTCTCAAAGCTAACATTTTCCTTGAAATGCCAAATCCATTCATCCACCTTATATTATCCCAAGGCCCAATTATAAGTAAGTCAAAGCAACTGAAATTAAAAAACCCATAATCTTCCCCTATTCTTTCTGGATTGAATTTTAGACTGTAAACTCCTTGAGGCAGCACCCTATCATGTTCAACTCTTGTAATGCACATTGACGGTGGCATAGCTGTTAAGGGGAATGTAAGTTATTGTGCAGAAAAACCAGCCATTGTGCACATTCACCAGGCCTCACGGAGAAGGTGCATATTAACCTTCCATGAAGAAGGAATTGTGCACATTTCCTTATCAATATATAGTAGAAGGTCTCCACTACGATTCCTGACCCTACCCTGCTATTAAGCTTTTTTCTTTATGCATTAACCCGTACACAAACAAAAAACTGGGCTGATGAAGTCAGTCTTTTCTACCTCATTGTCAATGGCTTGGAAGGACCCCTAGGTCACCCTACACTACAGTATTCCCATGCATACCTGGGAGATGCATTTGAGCACCAAAGGGAACCTGCTCCCAAGTGGTTGCAGCTGCATATGAAGGGGCCATGAATACAGAACTACAACCCTTGAGATCTATTCATAATTTCAAGTGAAAAGCCAACAGAACTCCAGTTATGTATTTTACGGCTGTGCCTTTGGCTTCCGCTTATTCAAAAGGCAACTGTGTGTCCTGAAGATTTGCTTCTCGCTCAGAGCTGATAAATCTTGCGCTGTCCTATTCGTCCGTAATCATGATGTAGTAAAACAAGGATTTCACTGAAACTTTGACAAATGACCTTTTAAACCTCCCAACGGGACAAAGGGCTATTACTACCCTCATGCTGGGAGACCCTTAGCAACCAGGCTGGAGAGGATCTGTGACAACTGCTGAAATATCAGCTGTAAGAGAGAGAGAGATCAGCAGAGTACTGCAGAAGAAATGTAGTGCCTTTTGCGAGCTGGGTGGTCCAAAGGATGAGGAATACTGCAGAGAAAAGAAATGGCAAAGAGCTTGAGTGGAAAGGGACAGAATGTAAAATGTGACATGGAACTAGGTGGTCTTGTAAATAGAATTCAGGAAGATATTTATTGATGGGATGAAGGACAGGATGTGCTTGCATGCATCATTTTCACCAGAGAGAGACATCCATGGATGCAATTTGAAAAGGCGACAAATCACAATAAATAACAATGAAAGCAGCCCTGCTCTCCACCCAATTCAAAAACAGTCGTATTGGATTATGTCTAGGCTCCATCTAGGTTACTATCCAACAGCACCAAATAAATGGCTGGGCCATGTTTCATACTCAGGTCTCACTTGCACCAAGAAAAACCTGCATTTGTCAGAGGCGATGCCACACATGCCAGTTGCTAGAAAGACACGACATCTTCTTCACCTGTGCTTTCTGCAAAGTAAAACACTGCTAGAGGAACATTGGCGGTTATTGCTAATTTCCTTTATACAGTTCCATCGGTGTGCATGGCAGTTTACAGAGTGCCAACCCGGCTAAGGAGTCGAAGAACGTGCACTTATTTCACTTACACGTACTTGGAACTTAGCTCTGGAAAACTAACTGCAGGACCAGGTGTAGCCAATGTGGTGCCCTCTTCATTTTGTTGGTCTCCAAATGCCACCACAAGCAGCCAGCAAAGCTGATGGGAGTTCAGAGTTCAAGAATATCCAATTACCCCTGCTATAATTATGGGTATAACTAGGGGATTAGTGCTAAATACTTCCCCTTCTACTAATGATGCTAAATGATGATCACCCCTGTTGTCTAGCACTTTAACTTTTGGCAACAAACATGGATGTAGCTGCAGAGGTTAAAATCACAGAATCACAGAATTGTAGAGTTGGAAGTGACCCCTGAGAGTTGTGCAACCCCTTGCAATGCAATGAGTTTACCTCCCTCTTGAGCCGCAGATATGGAGAGATGGGTAGTGTCTACCCCACATTTTGCCACTGGTAAAGACAAGAGTCAGCAGGTTGATCTCCTCCCTAGCCCCTTCCCTCTGTTTCTTAAAGTGCTGCAAGCTTCCAGAGGCAGGTTGGGAGACATCCAGGGTCTCAAATGGTGTCAGGTGAGGCAACATCCCCTTGGCAACGTAGCAGCTATTCAAGCCTTCTTGGTCTCCATCCAGTTCCTTGGTCCTTGTGCTAATGATAATGGCTGGCTGACCCCCCTCCCCAAACTGTCCTGCCCACTTGTTGTTCCCAGGAAGGCAGGGGCTGCCTTGACTGCTTTTCCCACCTCTTCTCTCATTGCTTGGGGAGGAATACCCAGGGCAGCCTGGATACCATCAAAGCCCCTTTAAGGCTAACCACTGATTGCTACTCATTTTTAAACTTTTTCTCCCGAATACATTTATCTGCTTTAGAATGTATAGCTCCAACTTCTTGTTATACTCATGCATCAGAAGCTAAAATCTTGTGTTTACAGTTCTACTGTCAACTATCACGTTCCTCAATAGAAGGTAGGGTCAAATTATGTTTATGTCCAGACTGCTGAGAGCAGTAAAACTTAACATCTTTCATGTATGTTGGTACGTTAGACACTTCATGCACTCAAAGTGTATACAATGGAGATTCCATTAAGGGAGGGGAAAACTGTTGAGCAGTAACTGGACTATGGCCAAATCCTGGCACTTCATTTCTCTTACAGACAAGTGTAAGGGGGAAAAATGGAAGATTTGTGAAGGCGGGTTGGCTAAAAAATGCAGTAGAAGCAAACAATGGTACTTTTCTACATCATGCATTGGATCTTGGGGTTTCTTGGGAGCATATTGTTAAATGATTTAATTCAATGATAATGTTTAAGTAACTATGGCCCAATATGTTCTTATACAAGAAATCCAGAATGAGGTAAAGCAATCATTCAATGCTTTATCAGCACACAACCCCATTTTAGGAATTCACAATATTTCACTGAGATCATGATTACCAGACACTTATAAAATGCAGGCCGCTTTAATTCAATTAGCTAACTTTAAACATTTAAAAATATATAATACCATAATACCCTAAAACCACCAAGACATCTAAAAATATAGAGCTGAGGTCAACTAATATTTACTCAGAGTAGACCCAGCAAAAATTAATGGCCATGTCTGATTTGGACCCACTGATTTCAGTGGGTCTACTTTGAGTAAAAATTATTTGACCACAGCCCACTATAGCAGCAGAATTAAAAACAATGGGTGGCATTCAACAAAATTTACTAAGTAGACCTAGTCACATGAATGGACCTAGTTTAGTCGTGTTCATGTGTCTGCTCTCGAGCATGACTAATGCTGGATACAATCCAGTATCAACAGACTCAAACAGCTCAAACGCACAAAGCAGTAGTAACATCACAAGTTAAAAACAACAGCAGTTAAACACCAATTACTAAATTATCTGGTAAAATCACTTTGGACCAGAAAGTCATTCAGAAGTCATCAGTGTTCAGAAGTCATCAGTGTGGGGACCATGTATACGTGGGTAGAAAATCTGATATGCATGGGGCCACCTAAACATATTAAGCTACTGGCTGTTCTGCATTGATTCCACACACCATGTTGCACACTCTTAGATCCCTATTAGTTTTGTAGGTGACTACTTATTTAACAAAGTCAAACAGTAAAGATCCTCTGGTGATCAATGACACTGGAAACATGTTTCTTAGATGTGGTTTGCAGCTGTACCAACCCTGAAATATGATGGTAATGAGGGAGATAAGTAGTGAGGAACAGAGTATGGTAAAAATGCACTTTTCACTCAAGATCAAGGAAGAATTCCTTGCATGCTCAACTGGTGAGGAATGTACACTTTCCACTCCATAATTTCAAGTATAAACTGACAGGTATAAGAGTCTAACGCACAAGGAGTTTAAAGTTCCCATTCATCTGCACAGATGGAAAAATATGATAAGAGATAAGGCTACCACAGGCCAGCATACGCCAAAAGAGAACATTTCTAGCTTAACTACTTTAAATTTGACCACACTTACCACAGATCAAACTGTTTACTTAAAAATGTACAAGTATTTATTAAACAGTTCTTCCAACTTTTCAAAGTGGAAAGATCTCGCCACCACCAAAGACTGCTTAGTTAGTAACTTGCTGTAACAATTTATGTTGTGTTTGCATAAAATCAACACAGTCAGCTCGGGTGGAAGGAAGCAGTTCACAGGGTCTTCTTACCTAAGCTGCAAAATAATCCTAACTTTATTTATACAGCCTGTCCCGCCTTCCCACCACCTTGAACTTTACAAGGGACAATATACTTGGTGAAGCATCCATTGATACAACTGCAAGAATACTACAGGTGTTTCTAAAAAGGAAGCAGAATCAACAAATGCGCTAAAGGAATCAAACAGCAAAACATTCAAAGCCATTTGGAAAACAACAAGGTTTCTATGTACTTCTCATTCAACACCGTTCTTGGTTCTGAGGGCAAAGGGGAGCAAAATGGAACGCCTCTGGGTCCAAACTAGACATCATATGGCAGATGTGTAACCTTTTCCTGATGCCTGTTTTAAAATGACACAAAGCTACAGTCTTATTCAGGCATCCTACTTCTGTGCTGAATCAATGTATGAAGGGGGAAAGCAAGGATGCAAATGCTGGCTCTGTCTCCTGTTGCCCTCCATGGGTTTGAGGTGTAGCGTGTGTGGGGGGGGACGGACTGCTCTACCTATGTTGGCTCCCCGCATGATGCAACAGGGTTTTAAATCTTCCGAGGTAGCCTACAAAAGCAGACCAGGCTCTCCACCAAAGATGTTATTCCTCCAACCTGTGGAGGGCAACAGTGATGGGAGGTGGAGTTAAGTTTGCTCATCGTTGCTCCCTCATTTCACCCCCCTTTGTGTGACTGTCAAAAATACGATGCCTTAAATACGATGCCTTAAATACGCAAAAATACGATGCCTTGAAATTGTTTGTGGCTGTCTGCAGTTGGGAGTGCAGGAAGGAGAGGGAGTTTAACCCTTTCCAGCTGCACTGCTGTGCACCCTCAAGTTCCAGGCATGAGAAACAATGTGGAGAAAAGCATGAAACCACGGTCCATTGGGAAAAGCTTCAACAGTCCCTGTTGTTCCTCCACTCTTGGCTCAGCCTCCCAGAGACGCCTTTCATGGGGAGGGGCTCCCCCAAACCTGTTGGAAAACTATTTCATGCATCCACTGTGCATAGATTCAGTAATTAGTAAGCACCGAAAATATTCTACAATGATCATTGTGATGTGAACCAAGATACTTTCTTTTGCTGTCAGCCAAAGGAACAGTTCCCACGTGGAAGGGTCACCAGGCACATTTGGAAACACGTCAGTTTCATAAGGGAAAGATACATTTGCCAAGAATGTGTCTGTTTCCTTGTGCTTTATAATAAGCCACCAAAACCTCGTGCAAAATCATGACTCCGACTTTGACTTTTTGTTTGGAGTTGGTTGCCCATCTCTCCCTAATGGCGAATATTTCTCTGTGCTAGCAAGAATTGTGATATTTTGGTATTTGGAGTGAGGTATTTAAAAATTGTTCCAGAAAATGAGATAGTAACATTTTGGTAACTTTTCAGGCCAAAAACAAATGGCTGTGATGATCAAAAGTTCATGTGCCATAACCACAGACAGCTATAAAAACACTGTAGGGTAAAAAGTTCATTTAGCTTCATAATCACCCCCTCCTGGCCTGAGCTCCCAAAGTTGTGTCCAAGAAAATGCTGTTCCCAGAGTAACAGAGACAAGAATGGCTAATTATTATTGTCAACAGATTAATAATGTTAAGCTTGAGCTTCTTTTTCACATTAAGAGGATTACTTCTGCACTGCAAAAGGACAACCCTGTCATTTCAGATCACAGAGAGTCGGCTTGCACGTCTAAGTGTATTAATAGAAATATGACAATTCTTCAGAATTAGTGCTCTTAGTAGATGCAATTAACTCACTATGCATTCAGTAATGTGATCAGTTTCAGAAAAGGTGTTGTTTACCATACTGGCCATTGCAATATTCTCCCCCACCCCCAAAGAAAAAGGAAGAAAGCAAGAAAGCAGAGATATTTCTGTTCACTCATCTTGGGCAAGTTGTTTTTCTGGTTTCCTTGTTTGTTGACCAGGCAAAGAGGCCACACTCACATTCTGTGAGCTACTTCAGTGATGCTGGAAACCATGTGAATTCCATTGCCCAAGTAAACAGGGTCCTTCAAATAGGGAGTTTGTGCCACACAAGAAAGAGATGGGGGAAACCTGCTCACAGACAAAATCTAGCTATCTGAAGACTGTCAATAAGCAAGTGCTTTGAGACATTCATAAAATCAGACCTGCTCTGATTTTAAGCGTATGTGTGCAGTTACCCTTAACACACAAATCAAGTAAAAACTGACATAATTGTAACACCAGTGTTGAAACACCCCAGGAACTAAATTAAACCCTTACTACCACCTCAAGACTCCGTCTGTTGTTGTTGTGAGTTACTGCTGCCAATCCATTATGCATTAACATATTCAAAACACTGCAATACCCCCCTCCAATTAAAATTTTTCAGGGCAGTTTACAACAGCTCATAAAACACAATGATTAAAAGCTACAATGAAACCAGTAGAACATTTAATAGCCAAAACCACAGAAGAAATACAAAAGCAACCATAGCAAAACCACACACAAATACATAAGTGAATAAATTTCAGCGACACTCTTCCATGTCTATCATGGAACTGGTTTCGTACATGAGATACAGATTAATATCCCAGTAATCTAAAAAGTTGTATGTCCAGAACAAGTCTTTATTTCTGTAGAATTCTGTCCAGAAAATTACACACTACCGTACCACTAACTAACTGTTATTGTTAAACCTTCTCATCCTTAACATTCATGCCATCATAGAAAACTTACCAGTGCTGCATTCTTTGCCACGTGTCCTACAACCACGACAACTCTCCCTTTAAAGCTCTGAAGAGTGGAAGTAGCAGGGCACTGGACGAGGTCTCCTTCAGCAGTGAATGCCGATCCAAATGGGATGTTGATGCTGCCAGATATATGCCCTCGATTAAAGCTGTGCAAGAAGTAGGTCCATTAAGGAAATCAAGGAGGAAGAGAGGAAAACCAAGCTCTGAATATCATCGTCCTTTATTCAATTTAGTACCCGACCTTCACCGTAAGGTCTCTGGGGTGGTTGTAGCAACTTAAAATCTATATTAAAAACCACAGGAATAAGGTGGGTCCTGAAAACACTTGTTTCAGGTGTGAAAGACCAGGATACAGAGGTGTCTTCAACACACAACCATAAACTGCATCATGGAAACGCCAGACACACCTCTTTGGGGAAGGAATTCCACAACTTGGGGGTCTGTCACAGAGAATGCCCTCTCCTGGGCCACCACTCCCTAGACAGTCACACAGATAGAGACTTTTGCTGCACCTCTGAATGGGTGCCTAAGTGCAAAAGGAGAGTGCTCTGCAAATGTTTACTGTTCACATGGGATGAGAGTTTAAAAAGCCCTGAGCAAGTAATAGAAAGTTCCCTTATACTGAGTCAGGCCATTAGTCCATTGAGCTTAGAATTGTCCATAGTCCATACCAATTTGCAACAGTTCTCCAGGGCTTTTGACTGACAGGGATCTTTCCCAGCCCTAGGTAGACATGCTAGGGATTGACATGCTAGGGATTGAGCACCATGTACTCACAAAGCCCATACACACCTAGATATGTTGCATTTGCAAGAACAAAAGTTGTTACCTGATGGGGAAGTAACAAACATTGAAGTTTGGGTGCTAAAAAGATGAGATTGTCCACAATCAATGCCATAGTAAGATAAAGAGATCCTTGGGATCTGGGACCATGATGGGGCCAGATGTGAAGCCTCTAGGACAGGCATAGGCAAACTCGGCCCTCCAGATGTTTTGGGACTACAACTCCCATCATCCCTAACTAACAGGACCAGTGGTCAGGGATGATGGGAATTATAGTCCCAAAACATCTGGAGGGCTGAGTTTGCCTATGCCTGCTCTAGGAGCTAGAATATGGTCCTGGGCCACAAGTTGGTTACCCCCATGTTAAGATATTTTTAAAGTTATTGGTTACCTTTTCATTCATTGTAAGTGCAAAAAAGTTAGCTTCTGCATTCATGCAAGTGATATGCATTCAACACACATTTTACAGAAAACATTTTCAAGTATGATTTGTGGTGGTCAAATAGTCATGGTTTTTCAACTCGCGCTCACGTTATGTCTTCAAGAGTACCGGGTGCCAAAGAAAGCTACTTTTTATTCTTGGATCTAGAATGAATTGCCTTGGAAAGGCTTAGAATTAATCTAAGATTAAGAGATTCCTTTAAAAATAATTCATTTGAACAGTTCCATCTGGATGACTGTAAAATTTATACTGCGGGAAGTATGAAGTTTGTAAGATCACCAATAAACTAAACCATCCCACTTAGTTAGCACAGTTCATTAATTTTCTAACTCAAAGGAATAAGTATTTCTTGCATTCCAAAATTTACAGACCCATAAATCTATGGAGTCAATGTATATATTTCAATATGACATGGTAATTGTAAGACATGACAAGGAGAAAAATGCCTTTAACCTTAAGAAGGTCAAATACAGTTACTTTTTTGATTAAAGTAGTTGCATTAGTCACTATGCACACTTCAAAATGTCTTTTGAATTCTTTCTAATCTTAGCTGGTTATCTTAACCACTCCATTGCTGAGATTATTACAAAAGCTAGAAATTTATGCAAAGGAGGTTATAGGACCATAAAGAAATTTTGCTGGGAACTTCATGAAATGAATGGACCACCACTCATGTTTTTGTAACGTGCTTAATGAAATGAATTGTAGACAATTTCTATAGAAATAAAAATATCACCTAGATGTGACCTTAACCCCCCCCCAAAAAAACCCCCAAGCATAGCCCAGATAACATCCTTTTACCAGGAAGCTTCACCTTATAAAACTGGAAAAAAGAAAAGCCTCTCAAACTTACAACAGCCACCAGATTGTATTTCAGTAACTCCTTAGCTCCCAAGTGCAGTGTTACATGGAAAACGTCGCTAAAAGAAATAGGACACCTGTTGCTAGACCCTGCAGAGTGCGTGTTTTCCATTAAATTATGTAAAGGAAAATGCACTAAGCTGCCATCTGCCTTCTCTTTTCCTGAAGTGCTTGGAGGGGTATGGCAAAGTCCTGGGAAACAGCTAGCAGGAATTACATGGGTATGCAGAAGGGTGTAACAACTAGGACAGCTACAGGCTGGCAACACAACTTAGCAACACTGACTGGCCATCAGGAAAATGTTCTATGCTCTCATACCATTCAAACAGTCTTTTCCAGTTATGGCTTGGATGTGAACTATAGTTAGGTTTAACAAGTTTCTCCATTTCGATGACACAACAAACTGTGTTTGATATGGAGCAGAAAGGAGTAGGACTGCCCTTTATGTTTCAGTAACGTGTAATTAAACATGCAATGCAGTTATCCACTCTAGACCTGTAGCTCATCCTATCTGAACAAATCTAGACATGCAATGTTTAGCCTCTTCTGGAAAATATTGCTTCCTGTTTATTTCTTGGACTAAAACTCAACTTTATTAATAAACATTTAATCACACCATCTGGAGGGCCTTAGTTTTAAAAAAGTTTATTTGCCTTGCCTTGAATTGAATAGGTGCATTAAATTACAATTAATAGTTACTACTAGCAAACCTGCTCACATTTCTGGTTTTTTCCTCAACATGCCAGCGAAAAGGGAAGGCAAAATTAAACAGCTTTGCTATGAATGCATTCGGCTTAAATATTAAACTCTTTCAGGAGAAAAACCTCAGAAGACTAAACAAGAAAGAGCTTTTGACACTGAAGCCTATGATTGACTGGAAATTTCTAGTGGTGTATGAAATTAATAAACATACAGAAGAAATAAATATACTTTCATGCTTCTTTGACCACTGAAGGTTGGGTTTTGGCATATTTTCAAGCTATAACTGTTCCATTTTGCTTATATAAAGTTGTGATGTAGAACAGTCTCTACCAAGCTGAGCTGAAAGGATAACTTTCAGGATATAATCAAGGGTAACTTATTTCTGTCTGATATGACTCATCCGGGGACTATTGGGAAGGCTATGCCAGTTCCCTGGCTTCTGCAAGATTTCAAGTGCTATCACCAATGCTATCTAATATTTATATGTCTTATAGCACTAATATTCATAGTGATCATCTGTAACTTCGGGTTGAGTTTCTTTAAATATGTTGATAACATATATATTTATTGTGACACTCAAGAGCTGTCACAGGTCCTGAACCAGTTTTCAGAGTCTGTGTTCAAGTGAACGAGGGAGACCAGAATAAATCGAATTGAGACAAGCTGGAGGTGATGTTGGTAGACAGCTGCTGCAGTTTAGAAGTGCTTAGCTTGGCTATGATTAATGCTTTTTGGGGGACACTTTCTGATCAAGTAAAACACATGGAGGCCTCACTGATGCAGCACTAGCTCTTGAGAAGCAGGTCAGAGTTGCTGCTAGGAGTGCATTTTTCCATCTTTACCTAATAAGGTTGCTTTCCCCCCCATTTCTGGACAAGTCAGATCATGCAATTTCCAGACTTGGTTACTGCACTCTCCCTGAATGGGACTCTCCTTGAATATAACCTGGAAACTTCCAGTGGGGCAGAATGCTGCTGCACACCTCCTGACAGATGCTGAGTGCATCTCCTGAGTGCACTTTCTACATCCTCAATAAGATGCGGAAGTAATTCTCCTTGAAGTCCATTATGCTTCTCTCTATCATGTATATTGATGCGGGTGGCGCTGTGGGTTAAACCACAGAGCCTAGGACTTGTCGATCAGAAGATCGGCGGTTCAAATCCCTGCGACGGGGTGAGCTCCCGTTGCTCGGTCCCTGCTCCTGCCAACCTAGCAGTTCGAAAGCACGTCAAAGTGCAAGTAGATAAATAGGTACCACTCCGGCGGGAAGGTAAACGGCGTTCCGTGAACTGCTCTGGTTCGCCAGAAGCGGCTTAGTCATGCTGGCCACATGACCTGGAAGCTGTACCAATAAAGCGAGATGAGCGCCGCAACCCCAGAGACGGCCATGACTGGACCTAATGGTCAGGGGTCCCTTTACCTTTACCATGTATATTATAGCCTAGTCCTCATTGAGATGGTCAACCTGCACTTAGGCTTTACAACTTCAGACTGTAGGCAGGAGACTCACGTGAGCAAATGCTCCACCAAGTAAAATAATATGAAAACGTAGGGTTTACAGGGTTTACAACATTAGAAGTCAGGGAGAAAGAAGCCAGGCCAAAAATCTTCTCCCTAACTCGCCAGACCAGTTAAAACTCCCTGCTGCAGCAATGTAGCGCTTTCGGTTGAAATTGGCAAAGCATATAGTAACGATCAATCTATGGCTTTTCCATTTAGAAGGATACTCCTCGCTGTTACGGATGTCAACGATAAGCAGCTTGGGCTTGCTAGATTTTGTTTTCTTTGTTGGAGTCTTGAAATGACCAGGTCCTGTCAGTTCACACAAGTCGATCAAATCTTCAGCCGAGATCCTCGGTGACACTTCTGATTTCAGATCATTCAACTTGATAGAATCCCTGGACTTTTAAATGGAGACAAGAAACGAGAAAATAAAGATGAAACAATGCTTTTTAGCAACACAATGCCTTCATGCAGCATTGTGCGCAATCTCCCATTTCCATTAAGAGTAAACATTGTTTCTCTGACAAACTCCAAGCTATTTTATGCTCTAACTCCCATGGGGCCACACATAATACAAGCTCTCCCCCAACGCACACATTTCATTCATTGCGGTGACAAGCATTTTTGGTATCTCTGAGATATTACTCAATGCAGCATCCACATATCATCCACCAGTTTTCAATGAACAACTGGATGGGTGCCTGGGATGTTTTGTGTAATCAAAGCACATATCCTTTCTACTTGAAATATGGCAACTTGATGCAAATCACACAGGGAAACTGCCATCCAGAGCCTCATTTACAGCTTCCTCCTTGACTCAGTAGAAAGGTTAGCCTCCTCTCTTCTGCTACTGAAGGAAAGAAATCTCAGCTGCAAAGCTTCACAGCAGACAGCAATCTTACGTACCCATATCTTACACAAGCTAAGAAAAAGAGCATATACGTGTGGCAACCAAGGAGATAGGAACAAAGCAAATAGCACCACAAGACAATTGCAGCATATATATGCGGCTACCCTCTTCAGTTTGATTGATACTGCATCCTTTGGGTACAACAATTAAACATAACATAGGGGGGAATAAGGGAAGACAGACAGCATCTATTTTAGAGCTTTACTTCCTTTATAATGATGACACCATCTATGTCTAATATATCTGCCCAATGGACTAACCCTAGAGGATTATTTCTCTACTAGACATGAAATTTAATACTCACTGTAGGGCTATTTTCATTCTTTTTTTAAGATGAAGAATACTATTTTCGTGATAAAATATACAGCTTCTTTACTGAACCATGACATAAAACAGTAACACTCCACAAACAGCACTATGCTGAGCTACATTTGCTGCCAAAAAGTCTGCATCCACTAGCCACATCTTTTTATACCTAAAATTACTCAAATACTTACGAAGAAATAAAACTCTGCTAGGGCTAAGCTTGCCAAAAGCATTATTTTGGCTCTTACTGTAAGCAAACAAATTCAGGACATTTGAACACCACAGTATTCTAGTCCATAAAGCATGGCTGTGTTCTGCACTGTAAACTGTGGGCTGCAACCCAGAGTATTACTGGGTTAGTCACACATTGAGTCCCCCAACCTGCATGGTGGCAACATCTCACCATTACTGTTGCATAGCTTCTTGGAGGCAAGTGTATTTGCTCTCTCCTTCCCTCTATGTCAGTGGTTAAATTCTATTCAAATATATACTCTCTCTCTCTCTCTGTGTGTGTGTGTCTCTGTGTGTGTGTGTTCGTGTGTTTATGTGTATGTGTATGTCCTAGACAACTGCTACCAGTCCAAGTACACAGTTCTGGGCTATATGGACACACAGTCTAGCCTAGTACAAAGTAGCAACTCCTTGATTTGTGAGTGCACAAACGGCAATATAAACACATTTTTCCAGGTTCCTTACTTGCAGACATGACCATGCAGCTGTTCCCTTGCACACTAAAACACACATGTGCCTAACTTATGTGTTGCAATTTAGGTGTACACTCAAATGCAATGGGTATGATACAGCCAGCCTTAAGTGCTCTGAAATCACATTCATTTTAATGAGTGAGAATTAAGTGTCTGCTTAACTCCCCCCCCCCAACGCCTGCTGAAATGAATGAGACATAAAACTCTGGCCGGATGACTCTACCCTATTTTCTGAAGTGGCCTCTCATCTGCTATAAAACTTCAGTAAAGAATACAGATGTGGACAAGGGGTAGAACTATGAACAGTGCTCTCTTTGGGACTGTTATCCCTATAACACTGAACCTCACAACTCAAAAACAACAAAACCTGCTTTCTCTCCCTCCCTCTCTATATAGTCAAATTTTGCAATAGTAAACTGATAAGCAGCAGTGGTGCCTCAGAAGCCCCAGTTCTCCCCCCCTCCCACGTCAGAAGAAATGAAGCCACTTCAAGCACTTTTGAAGTGAGGTACGGCATGTGCTAGGACAGAGAAAGACAAAAAGAGCGAAGAAAAAGAAAACAAGGGAGAGTCCCACTGCTGACCAAGTATTTGTTTTTTCTTTTGTATAACATACCATCAACATTTGCTCTGCTCCACGATAATGGTCTTTGGGAGTTTACTTTAGGAAGTGATCAGCACACCTCGGAGGAGAAATGCTGCTCATGGCATGAAAGGAATTGGAATTTCATAAAGGAGGCATCTAGTGTCAAGCTGTTCGGAGAGTGTTGGGGTGCAAAGGGAACTGTGGAAAACCATCAAAGGAGTTCTGCCGATAAGGCTATCACTTGGCTCCGAAAGCACAAACACCTTGCCCAGGCAACGTCTCTTGGCCTTGTTTGTCAATTCCGTGCATTTCTTATGCTTTGGAACTCCTTGAGAGGGCAAGCAACAATTAGTTGCAAGGTGCAGCCAATGGGATAGTTCAGGGTTTTTTCCCCTAGCCACAAAATATATGGTGTGTTTTATAAAATGTGAATATTGCATGTTTCAGGATCACAAACATACACACATCACTCCAAATGAGCAAGGCAAGCTTTCCAAAGACAGCATAGGACAGGGACTTGTCAATAATCTAAATTAATCTATCTAAAATCTATCTGCTTCAGTACCAAGCTATTGGAGGAGGGCTGAAAACACCACACCTGTTGGCATCCATCTGTCTTGAGAGACATCGGAGTGCACCTCCAGGGGTGAAGTCAAACGACTGCACTATCAGCACCATATTGACCTTCCAAGGATGTAAGTCTGGCCAATGTGCATGGAGGACTTGGGTTGCCCAGACAACAAGACCCCCCTCACAGCCTGGCTGATGCGGTCCAAAGGAAAGCAGAGCAATATGTTTGGCATCAGCTGGGCTGCGGGAGTTGCTGGAAAGCACCATCCAACAGTCTTGGGGACGCCACTCTGGATTTGTGTAGGGTTTACTCCCTTAGTTTTTTCTTCTTCCGAAGATATCATGCAAAGCAGTGGTTTCCCTTCTCCTAGATGGGCTACTTTCCGAGGTTGATGAGCCCCATCTGCCCCTAAGGTAAAGGTAAAGGTAAACGGACCCCTGACCAGTAGGTCCAGTCGTGGCCGACTCTGGGGTTGCGGCGCTCATCTCGCTTTATTGGCTGAAGGAGGCAGCGTACAGCATGACTAAGCTGGTCATGTGGTCAGCATGACTAAGCTGTTTCTGGCGAACCAGAGCAGCGTACGGAAACGCTGTTTACCTTCCCGCCGGAGCGGTACCTATTTATCTACTTGCAGTTTGATGTGCTTTTGAACTGCTAGGTTGGCAGGAGTAGGGACTGAGCAATGGGATCTCACCCCGTCGCGGGGATTTGAACCACCGACCTTCCGATCGGCAAGCCCTAGGCTCTGTGGTTTAACCCACAGTGCCACCCGCGTCCCTTTTATCTGCCCCTAAAGCACCACACTAATAACTGAGTAATTATGCTCTAGGTATTTCTCCCTCTGTAAAGTAAAAAAAAAAAAGCAAATTCAAAGAGACAAAAAATGTATTTCCTAAATTAAAGAGCAAACAAAATAAAATATTCCCAGGCTAGTTCCAAAGGTTTATCTGAGATCACCCCACTCCCCAGGCCACCTCCAAAGGCCATTTCCATTGCAAAGAAATGTTTCTGTATTTAAATTAAGACAAAGGTTACATTTTCATAATTGCTAAGAGAGAAGCTATCTGCTTGTTGAATCAGCAATCAGCACGTTGGATACAGTGAGTAAGCCATCAGAAAGCAGGGCCTTTTAAAATAGCACATTCCACAAATTCCACGGGAGAGGGAAATGGATTCTTTTTTGCTATTCTTCCTCCGTGAAGAGAAGGCTTACTCAGAAATTCTGTGACTAGACCTCAATAATCTCTGTTACAGGAATAAAAGCCCGTGCACAACAGAAACAGTATGATTACAGGAGCAGGGAGAAGCCCTGGCACAAGATGAAATACTTCCATTGGCACATTCTTCAGAGCAGTTCTAGGATCAAGATGGTACTGGAACATAAATAAAAGGTCACGTGGGCATCAAACCACAAAACAGCTCAGAAGTTCAAAAAGTTTGGGGAGTCAGGGAAGTTAGAAACCCAAATTAGTGTGCTCATGAAGAACAAAGATATACACTTCAAACTCCAAACAATAAATAGCTGACGTGGTTTAGTCAAGCAATGTCACAATGAGAAAACATCTATACATAGCTGTTAACTGTAAAATGAAGGAAGAGACATCAACAAGAAATGTTGACATCAACAACTGGATTTTTTGTTTGTTTTTAGGTTTATTTTATTGATTTTAAAAAGAAACATATCCTTTCTGCAGAATGGTCTCAGTGAATACCATTTTTTTAAAAAAATAGGAGAATAAGAGTATGTTTAGCCTTAATATTCTGTTCTATATACCCAAAAATCAATGTAAGTTGAAAGTATAAAAACTCACCAGATCACTCCTGGGAGCATCCTGATAGTCGGATGAGAAACAGGACATTAAACTTCTTGAACAGTTGCCCTCTCCGGCTTGCTTGGGATGCTGTGCGTATTGTCTGTATGTGGCACTCTTAGGGGTCCAGCAGAAAAGATTGATTGATTCACGGACACAACGTTCTATGTCGATTTCTGAAAAGAGGACCGCAAGGTGTAATGGCTGACATGGTGGAAAGTGAACCTTGGTGAGATCAAAAGAGTTCTGGAAAGCCAAGAACAAAGCTTTTTTGGTGGGAGCAAATCAAACCACATTCCCTGGTTCAGAAATAACGGGAAGCCAGGGATTGTGGTTCGTTTTGCTCCTGGCATGATCAAGGTAGAGCCAAGCGCACACATTTTGCTCTGGCGAATGCGGCCTAAAACCTAAACTACTTTTAAGAATCCCGCTACTTCTTAAATCACTGACATCTAGCCTAGAAATCATCTAAAGGCTACTCAGCAAAATTAAACGAGCCCCGTTAATGGACTTATTTCCTGTAGGTTTAATGACATGGAGAAAAGAATCTGTTGCCTAATTCTTAGTGGAAATTTAGCAGCTGTATTTTGTCAAAACGAAGCAAGTCATTAATCTCCCTTGATTTGATAAAACTGTCACACCTGACTGGAGAGGCATTTGAGGCTGTAGCAGCTTATATTCCACGCTACAACTCACAATCACATATTACATTTCCGTAAAGTGTTATTGTATGATAACTGATAAATAGCAAAGCCCTACAGCCTTCAGAAAGATTCCATAATCTCCAGCAGTCATTTTAAACTTTCAGTCTGTATTTCACAGGGACGGCAGAGCACACAGAGCACAAAGTTAAGAAGGAACACAGGTGACAAGAGGGGAATTTCGCAGCACAGCACTTGAGCGCTTTTCTGCAAAGACAGATCACTGGAAAAACAGAGCGCTAAACAAGGGATCATTGACACAGAAAATGTTTTATTAAAAGTGTGGCAAATAGTATATATAAATGTGACAGAGCGTTTCTTTGCATATCATTAAATCCATTCCAGAGACCTGCTTCTTTCTGGTGACCCTGCATGCGAAGAGGAAATTTAGAAAAGATAAATTGCTTGTCACTCTTAGAAAGAATGCATGTTAATAGCATTGGCCTGGCCTTTGAGTCCCAAGCATTTTATTTAATGTCCTACAAAACTTGCCCCAGGCACACAGACAACACTTTGGGAGGAGAAAGTAAGATATCAAGAGGTCTGCTTGCAGAAGCCTTTCCTTTTCACATAGTTTTCCTGTGAACACACATCTTATAGCTTGGTAGGGCTCTGCCTATTAGATACTGCATTGCTTTCCATCTGACACGAAAACATTTTCACTAACTGATGTTACTATTTACTTGAAAATCCTCCATGTTTTCTATTGGTTGAACATGGCACATGATCACACTGCAATGCTGCACTGGGTTGCACCGTAGCAATTTCCTTTTTTAAAAAGTAGTTAGGTAAAAGATTAAGTTCTGAATTCTTGCCAGGTCCAATCGTATGGTCTTTGGCTGCATTTGCACAATTGGTAAGCCAAATAGGCATGCATCTTTTGCCCCCATGACCCATCCTCACACTGCAGAGGAGGAGGATGGAGACAATTTGGCTTGGGCCTGGCAGGCCAACAGCAGTGCCCTGAGGTTTGCCACTCCTATTCTAAACCCCTTGGAGGTGTCCCCCCCCCTTACAATCAACTGGTATATACAAATTATATGAAATAAAATAAATAAATAAATAGCAAAGCCCTACAGCCTTCAGAAAGATTCCATAATCTCCAGCAGTCATTTTAAACTTTCAGTCTGTATTTCACAGGGACGGCAGAGCACACAGAGCACAAAGTTAAGAAGGAACACAGGTGACAAGAGGGGAATTTCGCAGCAAAGCACTTGAGCGCTTTTCTGCAAAGACAGATCACTGGAAAAACAGAGCGCTAAACAAGGGATCATTGACACAGAAAATGTTTTATTAAAAGTGTGGCAAATAGTATATATAAATGTGACAGAGCGTTTCTTTTGCATATCATTAAATCCATTCCAGAGACCTGCTTCTTTCTGGTGACCCTGCATGCGAAGAGGAAATTTAGAAAAGATAAATTGCTTGTCACTCTTAGAAAGAATGCATGTTAATAGCATTGGCCTGGCCTTTGAGTCCCAAGCATTTTATTTAATGTCCTACAAAACTTGCCCCAGGCACACAGACAACACTTTGGGAGGAGAAAGTAAGATATCAAGAGGTCTGCTTGCAGAAGCCTTTCCTTTTCACATAGTTTTCCTGTGAACACACATCTTATAGCTTGGTAGGGCTCTGCCTATTAGATACTGCATTGCTTTCCATCTGACACGAAAACATTTTCACTAACTGATGTTACTATTTACTTGAAAATCCTCCATGTTTTCTATTGGTTGAACATGGCACATGATCACACTGCAATGCTGCACTGGGTTGCACCGTAGCAATTTCCTTTTTTAAAAAGTAGTTAGGTAAAAGATTAAGTTCTGAATTCTTGCCAGGTCCAATCGTATGTCTTTGGCTGCATTTGCACAATTGGTAAGCCAAATAGGCATGCATCTTTTGCCCCCATGACCCATCCTCACACTGCAGAGGAGGAGGATGGAGACAATTTGGCTTGGGCCTGGCAGGCCAACAGCAGTGCCCTGAGGTTTGCCACTCCTATTCTAAACCCCTTGGAGGTGTCCCCCCCCCCTTACAATCAACTGGTATATACAAATTATATGAAATAAAATAAATAAATAAATAAATAAATAAAATGTACTATGTGCAAATGAAGCTGCAGATCTTTTGAAAATCTGATACAAATGGATCTTGTCTGGTTTTTCCATTTAAAAACAAACAAACTTTCATACCCCAAATCCTGCGTTATCTATATACACATGCATGTACATACACATAAACACACACATAGTTAACAAGTAGCTATTCATAAAGCCTGGAGGCTTTGTATGTATGGAGAAGCCAAATATGAAGATGCTGATAAATGTATCTGTATAGAAGCTCGTAAGAGATATTAAATGCCAGGTAATTAGTCTATATACAATATGACCAAGTATACAACAGCCAGGGAGCTGATAAGAAAGAGCGAATGAGAAATTGTTTGGGGTTTCTTCATCCTTAGAGCTAAAAACTAGGATTGATAGGCTTGAATATGTGAGCATCACATATATACAAGTGGAAAATGGGTATAATAAAAGGATTCAGAGCTTTAGGTAAAATGGCATCAATCTTGCAGGCCTCAACATTACAGAACAACTTCAGCAAGCAGGTGTGTGCTAACAAATCACTTTCTATCTGTACCAAAGCCAGCTCCACTACCCCATACTTGGCTGGAAGCTATTAAATATTGGCACGTAGGCATAGCTTCTGTTCTCAAATACCATTATTCACCTTTGATGAATTTTTAGAACTGTTTTATAAACACATCTGCCTCTTGCTCTCTTGACAAAGGCATCAAACACAGGTGATTCAAGAATACGTAGGGGTAAAAGAACAAAACAAAAAAACCCCTTTCATAAACAAGCGGCTCTTGTGTCTTTTTCTTGAAAGTGAAACAGCAACGAATACACCTTCCTGGGAGGGATGGCGAGAGGCAAGTCAAGCATGTGACACTTCTCCTCCAGCCTTCTCTGTCTGCAGGGACAGCTTCTGGAGAAGCTGTCAAACATGCTGCTTGCCATGTGAACAACGTATAAGGAAGTCAGCTCCTGCCTCCTCGTAAAGGGAGGCTTCGGATTCCAGAGCTGCTTTCAATGTGATGCACACTTGTAGATATTTTCTAAGGCAACTGTTGCTCTCTAGTTCCATTAGAACCTATGGTAAAAGGTAAAAGTACCCCTGACTCTGGGGTTGCACGCTCATCTCACTCTATAGGCTGAGGGAGCCGGCATTTGTCCACAGACAGCTTCCGGGTCATGTGGCCAGCATGACTAAGCCGCTTCTGGCAAACCAGAGCAGCGCATGGAGTGGTTTGCTAGTCTATCAAAAGGTAATGAGATTGCATCAAATGAGATTGTAACGTTCTGCTCTGGAGAAGGCCAAACACACCCTAGTTAATCAACTGTGTGGAAAAAAATGAAATCAAGACAAAATTGGTTGCTAAGATTTAAAAGGAAAACATAATACTGGAGTCCCAAGCTCAAGAGGAGAGCTGGGACATGAACTCGCTTGTGAGGCAGTTAGGGCCCTTCAGAAACGTAATGCAACTGTAGGAATGATGCCACAACTTCAAGGTCTGCAGGAAGTCTGGGGCTCATTGTACCTGTCAGAATGGAACTGGTTACTCACCACAGCAAATGAAACTGCAACACATATTACTGGAAGATCTATTAGGAAAGGTGTGTGGTTTCATACTATGGCATGCCCAGTTAATTTAATTCAAGAAAAAGACTGAGAGCCAGTGTGGTGTAGTGGTTAAGAGCGGTAGTCACGTAATCTGGGGAACCGGGTTCGCATCTCCGCTCCTCCACATGCAGCTGCTGGGTGACCTTGGGCCAGTCACACTTCTTTGAAGTCTCTCAGCCTCACTCACCTCACAGAGTGTTTGTTGTGGGGGAGGAAGGGAAAGGAGAATGTTAGCCGCTTTGAGACTCCTTAAGGGGAGTGAAAGGCGGGATATCAAATCCAAACTCTTCTTCTTCTTCTTCTTCTTCTTCTCCTCTCATATTACACTCCTACAACTTAGCTATCCAATTTTGCTTTTTCCATCTCAAAATATGTCCTACAATTAATTCAAACTCTGCTCAGTGAAATGCAAGGACCCATCTATATCAATATTTTCCATCACCCTTCTAAGATCTTACACTCAAAACCCAAAATTATCAACAGAAACTTCATGAACCGTAATGAAAGACATCCAACATAGAAACTTGCAATACCTGGCAAATCAGAAAACAGCAAAATGCATTCGTTGAATCCATTAGAGAGAAGTCGGTCCCTCAGCTGCTGCAGAATAGCCACTCCAATACAGAAAGGGAAAGAAGAATTCCCAAGTAGTAATGTATCCCACAGATGAAATATTTTGTGCAACGGAAAGACATCTGCAAGGTGGGAAAGACAGGAAAATTATGTTTAATTATCTTGAGAGACTAGAAACCTCGCATGGCCCATCAGTAAATCAAACCAAACTAGTTTGTTGATCATTATGTTTAGAAAAGGTTGTGTTGACCTGGAACTGTTGACAGGAGTAGTCAATGTGGTGGTGTTGCTGGACTACAGCTCCCATCATCCTTGACCATTAGCCATGCTGGCTGGGACTGATGGGAGTTGAAGGGCAGCTTCTTGAAGGCACCACCTTGGCTTTTGCTGCAGAACGAAAGTGGGGAACCTGTGGTCTTCCAGATGTTGCTGGACTACAATTCCTATTACCCCTGGTCATTGGCCATGCTGGCTGCATCTGGTGGGAGCTGAAGTTGAACAACAATGATGTAACTGATAACACAAACTCAGTACGCAAAGGGTTTATAAATAAGATTCAAGACAGGAAAAGGCCCTAAATAGCAGGTGACCTAATAGCATGCATGCAACCAAGTGGTGGAAGAGCCATTTGGAGAAACCCAAATAGTGTTATGTTATTAAGTCAATAGATTCATTGATAAATTGAGTAGGATAGTGAAAGAGGCCTATGATTTTCTGTCACAGATATACAGCCATTTTTCTAGATAAATTACCACAACTTGAAGGTTATTGCTTTAATTTTAGAACAAAGAATACCCAACCTTGTTTAGAAAGATTTATCTTCATCTGTAGATCACTCCCAAAGGTAATCAATAACTCATTTCAGTGTTATTAAATGCCTAATTAAGAGAATTATATATTCTGCTAAAAAAAACATTTCAAGGACTTTTCTCTTTTGTTGAAACACTCTGTATTTATTACTGAAGCAAAAGGAAAGAGATGCATGATCTGCATAGACATTGAATTCCCAGCTAACTGTTTCAATGGGACCCTTTTCTCCCATAAGTACATTTTCGATCTTCTTGTTATAATAAACATTTACTAGAGAAATTGTATGTACAAACTAATCAAGAAATGTGCACAGATAGCTATTGCTCAGCATGCTAAAATAGTTGGCAATATTGAGAAGGAGTTGGCAGAAGGACAACAGGTGGTTGTCCATGGGGAAGACATATTTACAGGCAGATTTGGTACTAATAAAACATAGTCACTTGCAAATGTCATAATTTTTAGGTGAACTTCATAGGCAGAACAAAATATTTCAATAAATAGGCCAGCAGTGCTCAGTATTTAACTGTGAAAAGTGAGGAGGGGTAAGGACGGACTTAACACATCCATGTTTACCAATCTGGTTGTTTCCAGAAAGAATCATAGAGTTGGAAGAGACCACAAGGGCCATCGAGTCCAACCCCCTGCCAAGCAGGAAACACCATCAGAGCACTCCTGACATATGGTTGTCAAGCCTCTGCTTAAAGACCTCCAAAGAAGGAGACTCCACCACACTCCTTGGCAGCAAATTCCACTGTCGAACAGCTCTTACTGTCAGGAAGTTCTTCCTAATGTTTAGGTGGAATCTTCTTTCTTGTAGTTTGGATCCATTGCTCCATGTCCGCTTCTCTGGAGCAGCAGAAAACAACCTTTCTCCCTCCTCTATGTGACATCCTTTTATATATTTGAACATGGCTATCATATCACCCCTTAACCTCCTCTTCTCCAGGCTAAACATGCCCAGCTCCCTTAGCCGTTCCTCATAAGGCATCGTTTCCAGGCCTTTGACCATTTTGGTTGCCCTCCTCTGGACACGTTCCAGTTTGTCAGTGTCCTTCTTGAACTGTGGTGCCCAGAACTGGACACAGTACTCCAGGTGAGGTCTGACCAGAGCAGAATACAGTGGCGCTATTACTTCCCTTGATCTAGATGCTATACTCCTATTGATGCAGCCCAGAATTGCATTGGCTTTTTTAGCTGCCGCGTCACACTGTTGGCTCATGTCAAGTTTGTGGTCAACCAAGACTCCTAGATCCTTTTCACATGTACTGCTCTCAAGCCAGGTGTCACCCATCTTGTATTTGTGCCTCTCGTTTTTTTTGCCCAAGTGCAATACTTTACATTTCTCCCTGTTAAAATTCATCGTTTGTTTTGGCCCAGTTCTCTAATCTGTCAAGGTTGTTTTGAAATGTGATCCTGTCCTCTGGGGTGTTAGCCACCCCTCCCAGTTTGGTGTCATCTGCAAATTTGATCAGGATGCCCTTGAGTCCATCATCCAAGTCGTTGATAAAGATGTTTTGGGCCACAACTCCATAACCCCTGACTAGGTCGGGTGGGAGTTTTAGTACAAAACATCTGGAGGCACCCCCAAAATTGAACAGAGGTGGGATAAATTTCTGGGGGGGGGGAATGTTTTGGGGGAGGGAGAGAGGTTTTGGTCTTGTTTATAGAGTGATGAGATGGCCAAGGGCATTTTTTCTGAGTGAGGAGGAGTATCTATTTTTACAAACTAAAGCCACCAAAATAGCTCATTGCAGAACATTTGAAGCAGGGGACTTCCTGATTTAGAGCAGCTTTTTAGCTACAACATGACTTCAGCTTTCTGTGACAGTGTTACAAATAAACCCTGAAGTTTTTGCACCCAGGAGAGCAACACATTTTAATGCAGGCACCCATTTTTAGACAAACTATTCCTCCTGTTATGCTTACTAAATATCAGTCAAACTTTATGTACAATACTATAATTGTATGTGAGGTATATAATTCTCCAAAGGACAGAAGCAGTTGAATGATTTCCCTTCACATTAACTCATCTGAATCAGTATCATAGTTAATCTTTGACTTTATCTGACAGCCATTATGTACTTGGATACTAGTTAATTTATAAAACAAATTTAAAACCTCATCAGATATACCCGTTACCAAAACTGAGCTTTTTAAACCACAGCACTGTCTTGTTGTGTCCCAACAAAAATGGATATAAAATGCTAGTAAAAAAGAATTTTTTGCAAAATGCTTAGAAGGCAATTCTTAGATATACTGCAAATTTTCTGTTAAGTATATGGATTATGCCACACACTTGTAGGTGCTTGTAGGAAAATCCCCTGTGAATTAAGGACATGTCTTACTGTATCACACAATTTCACAATAATATAGACATGGTTACTGCTGTAACAACTTTTAGGTCTACTTTTAAAATGTGTTGCTGTATGTGCAAACAAACCGTAACCCTACTGTGCTTCTAAGAAACCAGTAGGATTGAGGCATTTTATGCATTGTATTTTTACATATATCTTCTGGGTTGTTTGCGATTTTTAAATAATTGTTGCAATTGACCAGAGTGATTTTATTTTATTAGGTAAAAAGGTAAAGGTACCCCTGCCCATACGGGCCAGTCGTGTCCGACTCTAGGGTTGTGCGCCCATTTCACTTAAGAGGCCGGGGGCCAGCGCTGTCCGAAGACACTTCCGGGTCACGTGGCCAGTGTGACGAAGCTGCTCTGGCAAGCCAGCACCAGCACAGCGCACGGAAACACCGTTTACCTTCCCACTATAAAACGGTACCTATTTATCTACTTGCACTTGGGGGTGCTTTCGAACTGCTAGGTGGGCAGGAGCTGGGACCAAAAGACGGGAGCTCACCCCGCCGCGGGGATTCGAACCGCCGACCATGCGATCGGCAAGTCCTAGGCACTGAGGTTTTACCCACAGCGCCACCCGCTTTTTTATTTATTTTATTTTATTATCATTTGCTAAATTTGCTAATTTTTTTTTAAAGCTTCATATTGTAATACTATGTATGCCCCACTATTCACATAATGCTAAGCCAAACCATGGTTTAGTGTGAACAAGTGAATGGATGAGAAGATTGCAGCCACTGTGTTCTACCTCTGTTTCTGCTGCTGCCATGCTACTCTGGCTAAACCATAAGTGGCAAATGAAGAGGAAACCTGAGTTACAGCTCATGGTTTGCCTGGAGCCTGGGAGTTTCGACATAACACTAAGTCATACCATAGCTTAGCATTATGTGGGAACTGGGTCTATATATGTGAAATGGGTCCTTGAATTTTGTTAATTGATTTTGGATTGCGATGGTTATAGGATCACAATGCGATTTTTGTTGTGTATTTTGTCGTTTTTATAGGTTGCAAACTACCTTGAGTGCAGTAATTCAGGAAGATAGAGTACAAATTAAAAATGAAATGACACCACTGCTTTGAAAGGACAACGTGGAATTATCCCTGAAAGAGTACGGTCCTTCTGATGGGGATGTGTAAGAGTTGCTCAAAGCTAGAGCATGTCATAAAAGACAAGACAAAACAGCAGGAGGATATTTCTAAGTGAAAATGTGCCACAGTACATATATGAATTGAGTGAACTATGATCATTCAATACTATAATCGGACAATCAGAAATGAAAATGTTGTTGCTTTGGGGTGGTATCCAACACTCCCATTCTGCTTGAAAAACAGAGCATCTCCCTTCTCTCTCCTGCAGCCCCCTAAAAAATTGCTCCAGAGGCTTGAAGGAGATTTTGGGGGGCGCATGGAGTTAGGAGAGTAAGGGGGAGTTCCACTGCATGAGTGCATTACGGACTCCCAAATCTTCCGAAACATTGGCATGAAATCCTAGCCATCCTCTGTAGGTCCTATATCAGGCCTAGGGAACCGGTGCCCTTCCAGATGTTGCTGGATTTCAACTCCCTTCATTCCTGACCACTGATCATACTGGTGTGCGCGGGAGTTGGAATACAACATCTGGAAACTCACAGGTTCCCCAGATATTTAACCCAGATCAAAGTGAAAAAATGCAATATAAAGGGCATGCTTAGCACAGAAAAAAAATGACAAAGGGTCATACTCACGTGTAAACATTGTGAGAAACCAAGGGATAGCATACAGCTACAAAAACCACAGGAAGAGGGTGGGGAGAAAAGAATACATGTGTTAAAGCACAGCCTTGTAAATTTTCTATCACCTTAGTGTTCTGCAGCCTCTGACTGTAACAAGTGTGAGCAATTTAAAGTCAGGATTGCAGTTTAAAATCTGTATCGCAGTAGCATGTTACCAGCGCTGCAATTTGAACCCCTAGAACCTGCACTTCACTATTTCATGGCTCTGTATAATAACTGTAATCCAGGCGTCATGTAGGGGGATTTCAACAAGCGCTCCATCATTTTGTTTTCTCTCATTACAAAATTTGCACGTGGTTTTTCTATATATGAAATTTCCTCTTCGGAATCAAAATGGGAGCTTCCTCTCTCCCACCTCTCCTATGCTGAAGCTGAGAAGTCTTGATCTATAAAATAATCTGTTCACAGAAGGGAGGAAGTTTGGAAGTATGATAAAGAGGTGAGGGAAGCCATTTTTCCATGATTAAGAAAAATGGGTTACATAACCGTCCCTGGAAATAACTGCTGCTTTCTACTGAGTTATCGTTAATTCCAGATTCATATAATTGTTGTGCAGCTCAGTTTACCTATTACATTTTCTACAAAATGGGTGGGAGTGGTGTATGCCCTTTAGGTTTGTACTAGGCTGAGATTTCTCTCTGGAAAGTAACAAGCAACCATCTTATGGAGAGGCTAAGGTCATATGAAATTGCATGGCACTGAAGCAGATGTCCTTTCTGATTCTATCAGACTCTATCTGTCTCATGTGTGTGCATGTGTCTATGTGCGTGTGTAAAATGCTCTATTTGCACTCAAGCTGGCCTAGGTCACTGTTCTAAGCAATACAAAGGAAGCTTTTGTGCCCAGTAAGTCAAGGTGGCGAAACTGAGTACAGTATACAGAAGAGACAATCCACAGTTCATTTAATGGCCATTTGTCTCTTTGGTAGCAGACCCGCTGTGACAAAATACCAGTTCTCAAATATTTAGCTTCTATTAGACCGCACTGATTAACTGAAATTGTGTTAGTGGAAATTGTATAAATTCAAATGACTGAGGCCTAACACACTGACGTAGAGGGATGGTCTCAGAGATGTATCAGACCTTACTGACAACTAGTCAATACACTGAAAAAGTAGTAAATTAGTATTTCATTTCACTATCTGAGGGTGCAATGCACCCCCCCTATAATATTCTAGGAAAAGCAAAGGAAAAACAATAATTTATCAACATTCCTTTCACAAATGGCACTATAATCAGTTGTGTGTCTAGTTGTGCCTTAGGGAGACAAAAGGAGAAACATGAAAATAGAAAGAAAAATACACCAAAATATCTGATTCAATCCTTGCTTCCCAAATTTGCATTTAAGAACAGCTGCAACAATGAGCTTCTATTAGCTGAGATGCATTGTTCTTAGTACACAGTGCCCCCTACCAACCTCCCTCAAGTATAACCAAGCGGCAGAGACTGCTACAAATTCTTACTGCAATATTCCCCCAAAGTTTTATCTTTAAGATGGACTTACAAATACTGTATGTCAAACAGAGCATGCCAATAATAAAGTACAACTAACAGTCAATACAGTAGGTTCCCAGATCTTTCAAAGTTTAACCCTCACAACAAGCCTGTGAAGCAAATATTTTTATGGATTTCCCCTCCCCCCCAGCTCAAAATAATTTGTGAACAGGGAATTGAATTGATCTCTAACTGCTTGCAGGCTTCCCATGAGCCTATGGCCTGGCAAAAAAAGAGAGGTTAAAATTGGAGGGAAACACCACTGACATTTGAGATACACTTGAATCTTGTTCTAGGTCTATACTGTTTTAGTATTTTAACTTTTGAGCATTTTAAGGTATGGTTGTGAAATTTTCTTGACTTTATTATCTTTTTGTAAACCGCTTTGAGGTTTTTTGTTTTCCCATCAAATAGTGTATAAATCTTAGAATATAAGTAGGTCAGTCTACCTGACACCAAGTCAAATGTAATGTAACTCATCACTGCTAGATCAGTTGCCCCCCGTTGAATGTTCCATGTTACTGGTGGGAGAGAAGGCATGATTAACCAGCACACCCTCTTTCTCTTACTGCTGGGTTTTACATGGGTGGGTTACATATTCCACTCCTTTGCAGCAGACCTGAAAGCGGATCAAGACATGTGTTTCACTCAACCTTGCTCTCTTGCTGCTTCCATATAAAGTAAATGTGGTGTGGACGCCATTGTAATATGCAAAACCTCAATTCTGTGATGTATTTGTGTGTTTTGATGGTACTTACGGCACATCTGTAATTTTAAAAAATTGGCCCAAAAGCTTGATTAAAGGACAAAAAATTGACACTAGTGTCCTCTCAAATAACAATTAGCTGCACCATCATTACACAAACTTAGCAGCAATACTTTTTTGTTAAGCACTTGTAATTAGCTAGGTGCTAAGTTACTTGCAGGTGAATAAAATCAAAGCTTTTGGTAGCCACTTTCTTAAGTGGTTACCAAGTAGACACAGCCAGAACCTATCATTTATGGCAAATCAAAACTGTGACTGAATAATTTAAACATACAAGTTCATGTTTTGGTAGTAAGGATCCTTTAGGTTAAGAGATTATTGTTTTCATGTTAGAATTACACAGGAAATATGGACATTTTCATAACACAGTGTAAGATTTTATAAAATGTATACAATAGTTATTGTTCGGTGTTGTTGTTTTTAAGAAACCCTGCTCACTTTTCGCCACATAATACTTCAGGCAGACATTGTGACCAATAACAATACTTGCTGCTCAGTAGTGTTCAAGACTCTATTCAAGAGCTCTATAATATAAAAACAAATGGCAGAGTGGCAAGAAATAATCTCTTGCACAGCAGGAACCTGGAAGATTTATCAGTGTTCAATTTGATAGGATTAGTACTCAAGCATGAAAATCTGGTTCAGATCACTGCTGAAGTGCATATGCTTCAACCTAGATAGATCCTGATGAGTCGCCGGTATCAATTTTATTTTCCAAGTGACACACGCAGCTCCTATTAGGCTTATTGTAGGATAGCAAACCCATTTGTATGGAAAATACAGTTTTGCAGATAGCTTGTTTTCCATGTAATTATATACTCTCCCCATATACTCTTCTTCAGACTGTAAACCTCCTTGCATCAAGGACTGAGCGCGTACATGGGAAGGTGAACTCCCAGGAAATTCTGCTTGCAGACTTTGAACATAACTGCAATTCAAATGCTTCTACATAGACGTCAACACTACTCAGAGTAGAGCCACTTAAATCAATGAACGTGGCTAAGTCAGAGCCATTAATTACTCTGATTAAAATTTAGCTGAATTCCACCACACTATACTGATTTGACAGTGATAGCATGTTAAGTGGTATAACACCAACTAATTGCACCGGCTGCTCCTATCAGATTCTGAAGGCTTTTTGCATCAAATTTGTTTTGGGTTCTGATATGCGGAAACAAACCTTTGAGACTGACCCCACTTTCCCTTTCCCTACTGCTATTTATTAAAAACGCACAAGAAGCATTTCCACTTACATCTGGAATGAAGCCAATTTCGTTGAGATGGTTACTCAGCTCGGGGTCATGGAATGCAATCATCTGGGAGAAAACTGTCAGGTATTCTGGAAGAGCGATAGAAAAGGAAAGACATATTAGAAAACCTTTCACTCGGAATTTAGGCCTTAGGGATCAGAAACTAAGTCTGCTTGGAGGAATCCCCTATTACAAAGAGAACACAAGGAAACAAGCTCAAAATATTTACTATAAGTGGCCTGCAATCACATCAATATTATGTTTCATTATTTCTTCCCTTCCCTTAAAAGAAGGGGAAAAGGGGGGAACACAAACATTGAAGTAGATTTTGTACATATGTGCAGTTTGTATGTACATGATTTCCGTATGCATACATTTTACATCCTCTTTAATAGGACAACATTAAACACTTTGACATGCTGTTAGAAAGTTTACTTCAGATGTTAAAAATAATTTACTTTTAATCTGTGCTTGCCAGGTGTGTGATTATGATGGTATTTGTGACGGTAGCGAGCAGCAGTTTATGGCCATCTGTTTTATACCAATCATAATACATAAAGGATCATTGAACATATTTATGGTGCTTGATATTTTGATCTCCTGGTTTCTATGTACCACTTCCAATAAAATATTAGTGTATCTTCTCATAAGATCAGTGTTTTTTACAAACCAGGTTTTGCGTTTGTTGCTACAGTCAATTGATGCTCAGTCCATCAGTTGTAGGAGCCATACTGGACCAGATCGAAGGTCTATCTAGTCCAGCATCCTGTTCTCTCCATGGTCCACCAGATGCCAATGGGAAGACCATAAGCAGGATGTGACCACAATAGCACCCTGCTACTTATGGCTAATTAAATAATCCATGGCCTTTTAAACTGTAGGGGGTTACTGTTTTTGCTTGTTACCATTATGTATTTTTGTGTTTTTATACAGTAACCACCCTGTGATCCTCAGGTGAAAAGGAGTACTGTAAAGAAATTTAATAAATAAAATGAATTCTTACTTTTATTTTTGCCTCAGAGCTTTGGGGAGTACTTTTATTTTGGTATGAAAACCCACGTGATCCTTCAGTACTGCATTATCTCTAAGCCCCTGAAACGATCTTTAATTTATATACCTTTCTCCGAATGTATGTAGTGTTAACATATTTACGTTCCTAATGAATTCACCAACCACAGGTAAAGTATTTAAAGCGACTAATCGCATAAACTCGGCTATGTGCTGATGAAAACAAATGTACAATTAGTTTCCTAAAAGCACATTTCTTTTCAAACAAGGGATTCGTGCCTTCAGTGGTTCTAGATGGATATGCTATACCTGGTTAAATACCATCTTTATTTGAACAGCAAGGCTCATAAAATATAATTGCTTTGTGGGATTACATGGTTAATTAAGTGTCTATTGAAGGCACATGTCTTTCCATGAAAATCTATTGACTGGGATCAGCCAAACAGCACTAGCTTAGATGATACAAATTATTCCTTCAGTATATTTTAGCTGTAAACTTTCAACAGGTCTTGCATTCTCAAAATCTGAAAAAGCCTATACCAAGGCTGTGTGCGACACATCGACAAGAAAGTGTTGATACTATGCGTACCCCTCATCTTAAGGCTGACAGTTCCCATACTACAGACACCTTAAGAGTTAGGGGCTGTCAAAGACTTGCAACCAAAAGCGCATGGAGGCACTGATTTCTAAACTCATGCTTCAATGTTGGATCCATATACGCAGCAGTGACAATTTTGTGCAATAACAAGTCACACTTCTTTCAACTACTGTAATCACGTATGTTTAGCCACAAGAAGTACTGGTGATTCATACAATCAGCGTCCCCATGTGACGCTGGCTGGATTGTGAACCTATCAATAGCCCAAATTTACTTTGAAGGCCACTGTGTGGGGCTGATGCCTTTACGAACCACCCCTTGAATATTCAGGGGTTTAGGAACAGTCACTCACAGGTTTTCTAACAAAGCACCACTGTGGCCTCCTGAAACCTGTATCAATTTCTATATATTGTAAAAGACTCATAAAAGACCGCCATTTTTTATTTCAAGTGGTGCAAATACAGTGGTACCTCGGGTTACATATGCTTCAGGTTACATACACTTCAGGTTACAGACTCTGCTAACCCAGAAATATTACCTCGGGTTAAGTACTTTACTTCAGGATGAGAACAGAAATTGTGCTCCGGCGGCGCGGCAGCAGCAGGAGGCCCCATTAGCTAAAGTGGCGCTTCAGGTTAAGAACAGTTTCAGGTTAAGAATGGACCTCCGGAACAAATTAAGTACTTAACCCAAGGTACCACTGTACCATGAGTAGACTAAATGTCTGGGAGGAGGGACACTTCCAAATATAAAGTTTTCCATTTACAAAACTAGTTTCTTTCATCCTTTAAACATCTCTAAGCTTTTATGAAAGCGTATAGAGCAGGAAGTTCTTAAGTTGTTTACCCCGTACAATTAAATTACAGTTCTATTATCTAACCTTAAAGCATGCTATTTCCAAACTAAACAGGGTTTTTTTTTTATCTTCTGTTATTTCCGTTTCTGTTTTTTTTTAAAAAATACTAGTCCCATCAACTTTATTCCTTTGTAGAATACTTAAACACACACAGGTCTATTTTCCTTCCAGAAATGAGACATAGATTGTGTTTGCACTGAAGGTTTTTTCTTGTCACCCTGTGTAGTCGGTGACCACACCTCATCTTGTCTTGCTATTTGCATTACAGTTTCAACAGCTTCTAAGTGCCAAGAGCCATGAGGGTATTTCTCTTTTGTTCCAGACTGAGCTACAGATATATTTTTCAGGAATTTTCAAAAGGCACCATAAGCGTCTGACTTTAAAAGAAGTCATTTGGATCTGCTACATGTGCCATTTCTATATTTTCTCCAATTTATTTCATATGCAGGAAAGAAGCACAAGCTGCTGGGGAGGGAGAAAGCTCTACCTTTGAGGAAAAGTCAGCACCAGAGTACTGTATGTATTTTGCACACACTAGGAGTCAGGTTCAATCGCCAGTTAAAAGGGTCACAAGGTATCAATGTTAGAAAAGAACCTCTGCCTAAGGAAGAGTAATGAAGATACTACATGCACAATAGCAGTTAAAATAGTTATAAATGAAACTGGAAATAATAAAAAGTGCGTTAATTAAATCTGCGTTGATCTAACAAGCTGCTAAGCCTAAATTTTAACAAACTCTTGTATCTCATCCTCTTTTAAAGCCATCCAAGTTGCGTGACCATCACTGTTTCATGTAGGAGTGAGTTCCACAATTTAATTATGTGATGCATGAAGAATTATGTTCTTTTGTTTGTCCCGAGTCTTTGAACATTCAGCCTCAGTGGACATCCTTGAGCTCTAGTGGTATGAGAGAGGAAGTAAAGCTTTCCCCACGGTATAAGCTTTTAGTGGGTCTGTTCTGAAGAGAACGTGGTTGAATACCACCCAGAATCTGATGGAGATGATCAGAACCATACTAACAAATATCAGTCACATATTACCCAATATATCCTCTAAGTCAGGGCTGTCCAAGTTTTTTAGAGGGAGGCTCCAGCGATTGAGCAGGATTGAGCAGGGGCATCCCGCAATCGACCAGTAGATTGCGACCGACCTGTTGGACAGCCCTGCTCTAAGTCATACTTGGAGCAAAACCATTGAAATAAGTGGATTTAAGTTACTTCTTGATTGATTTCAATTGATCTAATTTAAGTATGGCTAACATCTAACAATCACCCTATACTGTTATAATATATTAACGAGAGAGGCGTTGAAGATGATGTACAGTGTGGAGACAGAGCGGACCCACTAAAATTAATGAACATGACTAAGTTAGGTCCATTAATTTCAATGGTCTACTCTCAGTTAAAATTTAGTTGAATACCTCCCTATACATGTAAAGCTATATAAGACCTATCAAGGCAGACTTCTAAAAAGGAGGTTCAACAGAAAACCTACCTTGAATCACATGAGAATTGTCTTTCAGAAAGAAGTTATACAGGTATTTTGGAATAAAGGCAGACATACAGGCATAGGCCAGGGCTTTAAAAAAGAAGAGGAGATCATTAGGAAAAGATAACATTATTACTGTTACAGTAAAATTACACTTTATTTCATAAGCTACATTGTGAATGCGAAAGGCTCCTGTAATTTTAAAAACATTTGCAAAAATTAACAACTACCCATGAAAAAAAGAGGGTTGGGTCTTGCGTAAAGCATGGAGAAGTCACTTTCCCACCCTCCCCTTTCCCCAGCAAACCCCTGAAAATTCTCTTCCAAAGGTAAGACCTCTGCTTGTGTACAGCACCTCCTCTGATTTTCAGAGACCCTCCCCACCTATACCACACTCCCATAACCCACCCCAGTCAGAAGTGAGAAGGCTTACAAAGGGGAGATGCCAGAAGTAGGTGGACAATCGGTTTCTGCTAGAACATTTCCCTGCATTTTTCCAAGCCAGGGCACCAGCAAGTGTATCAGGGACCTGACAAAGGGGCACCTATATTAACATATATAAAGGTAAAGGGACCCCTGACCATTAGGTCCAGTCGTGGCCGACTCTGGGGTTGCGGCGCTCATCTCGCTTTATTGGCCGAGGGAGCCGGCGTACAGCTTCCGGGTCATGTGGCCAGCATGACTAAGCCGCTTCTGGCGAACCAGAGCAGCGCACGGAAACACTGTTTACCTTCCCGCCAGAGCGGTACCTATTTATCTACTTGCACTTTGACGTGCTTTCGAACTGCTAGGTTGGCAGGAGCAGGGACCGAGCAATGGGGATTCGAACCGCCGACCTTCTGATCGGCAAGTCCTAGGCTCTGTGGTTTAACCCACAGCACCACCCGCATCCTTATTAACATACATATAAGACATATAATAGCCTTCTTCACGTACATAAAACACCCAACTATGTTCCGTAATGAATTTCGCATCAGATCAACACAGGATGTGGTGGAAGCGATTAGCAATGTTCCCGAGCCGTATGATCTCTGTACAATGCATCTACACAAACATTCTTTTGATGGTGAATGACTGGTTGACTGTATTTTTATGCTGCTTTCTATGTAATGAATACCAAAGCGGCTTAAAAAGAATAAGCAACAATGGCATAACAAAGCATCAGAAGTACAGCAGAAATCATGTGCATATTCTCATGTTAGCAACAGCAATCCAAGTGGAAAAGTTATGCTAGTATGCAATGAACCAGCTGGTTCTCATGTTGCTGAAATCCCTACATTACCGGTGAACCACGGAAGCCAGGTATGAGGGAGCAGTTGTGACAATATTATATGAGACATCCTGTCTATGTAGTTTCTGGAGTTCAGCGCATGCAGGAACTATTTACAGGATGAGGAGAGATGAGAGATGGGAAATAGCAGACATCTCGTCTGGAGAGAACAACAAACTAAGAGTGGAAAATGCTTACCTTCATTGTTGAAATTCAAGTATAAGAATGGCGCACAAAGGGAGTCAAGACCTACAAGGGACGAAAACAAATGAATGCACCAATGATGTTAATGTGATTTGCCAGATATTACGCAGTCCTCAGTTTTACTTCACTCACCCCAACACAGCCATATGCTCTGTATAGAGAATGTGTATATTTTTTCAAGTGTTTCTCGCATGAAGCAATATGCATTTGCCTCAAAAAGCATAATGTGTGAAGCGATCCTGAAGTAAAATTTATTTTACTTGTCTGTCCCCCCCGCCCGCCCCACTTCTGTAATGTCCACCAACTGCAGAAGAACTCCAGGTATATTACATTCTATAAATCATTACTTAAAGGTGTAATTGAGATGTTGATCATTACTCTGTTTAGCTACAATTTATTCACTATGTGGAAATAATCTAACTGATATTTTAAAGCACAGCATGAAAACAACAGAAGAGTCAACAATTCTTAATTCCATGAAAATTCACAAAACTTGGGTTTGTTTTTTTAAAGCCAACAGATTGAATTACTGCATTTCTTATATCTAAAGCTAAATATATATATATATATATATGTTGTTCTGGTTTATTCTACAGCATAGAAAGAAAACGTAAAATATGGCCCTGATTGCTTAAGTAAATTTAAGATTAAAAAAATTATAATTCCTCAGCATAGTAAGTCAGCTGAACTAACCTTGCCAATATACAAGACCGGGATGCGAAACTACCCATGCTTTCAGTACCCGTCTAAATTTTGCGTGACCCTCCGGCGATGACAGTAATTCATCATACTGATGGCAGCGAGGAATGTCAACTTCAATCTACGATATAGGCAAGCACAGAAAAGGAGGGTGAGAGAAGTACTATAACAAAGCTCCAAAGTAGAATGTATGCTCTGGGTTCGTAGAGTTCAAAGCAGGCATCTGTTTCCATCTGTTTTAGTCTCCCATACTGGATCTGAGAATATGTCCTCCCAAAACTGCTGTTCTTTGCATATCACTGAATGGGAGAATGGAAGAAGTCATGGGAAATAAGGAAAGTGTTGTGCAAAAGCCACCTAAGAGAGCACAAATAGGTCGATTATGCCACAAACCCATAGGGTATCTTGGTGTTGTTGAGGGTAACATTTTTCCACTGGCATCCCAAAACTCTTGTCAATAGGGGCCACCTCACATTCAGGCGCATACATGTTCTTGGGCAAATGCACACCAGCACAAACAGAGTCTCCCTCTTCAGCAAAACCATACAGATGAAGGATTCTGATAGATTTTATTGTTCTATTACTCTTTTGAAGTACAGTGGTACCTCGGGTTACATACGCTTCAGGTTACATACACTTCAGGTTACAGACTCCGCTAACCCAGAACTAGTACCTTGGGTTAAGAACTTTGCTTCAGGATGAGAACAGAAATCGTGATCCAGCAGTGCGGCGGCAGCAGGAGGCCCCATTAGCTACAGTAGTGCTTCAGGTTAAGAACAGTTTCAGGTTAAGAACGGACCTATGGAACGAATTAAGTACTTAACCCGAGGTACCACTGTACATTGTGAAGGGTTTTGTGTGCCACAAAGTTTATTTTATTATCTGTCCAATAATTAAGTTGTACTTGAATGTATTTTCATAATTTCACAGGTGATCATATGAAAAGAAGACTCTTACTTGTCTATCTGTAGGAATTGGAGTGTCCTTGTCAATAGCGTCATACTTTGCTTGAATGTCACCCTAAAATCCATAAGACATCAAAGCAGTAAGAACCTACATGCGCAACTGAACTCATCGCTAGAATTAATGCTCCATATGCGGCACTAACAGAAATGCCAGCAAAACTCATTCATGCAGGGTTCTGACAGGAGTTTTGGCAAGTGGTCCAAATTATTCTCTGGTTCAGATGGAGTGCTCTCCCTGCCCATCACCCAAACCCTTCTCTCGGAACAATGCACAATTCTTTAACTAAAATACAGTGGTACCTCGCAAGACGAATGCCTCGCAAGACAAAAAACTCGCTAGACGAAAGGGTTATTTGTTTTTTGAGCTGCTTCGCAAGACGATTTTCCCTATGGGCTTGCTTCGCAAGACGGAAACGTCTTGGAAGTTTGTTTCCTTTTTCTTAACACCGTTAATACAGTTGCGACTTGACTTCGAGGAGCAAGTCATAGAACGCGGTGTGGTAGCCTTTTTTGAGGTTTTTAAAGACTTTGGTGATTTTTGAAGCTTTTCCAAAACTTTCCCGACACCGTGCTTCGCAAGACGAAAAAAATCGCAAGACGACCAAACTCGCGGAACAAATTAATTTCGTCTTGCGAGGCACCACTGTACAGTAACAAACTACGATTTCATGGCCACAGGCTGTTTTCGGACACATGTGACCCTGTATGGATGTCAAAACTAGGACAAGCACACCATATGGCCATGCTCCCCTCCCCCCCACAATGCATATTGCCTGGAACTGGGCAAAGTATCTTTTGATCCAGAGCTTTACCCCACTCCAAACACAAAAAGACTGAATGCTGAGAAGTGGAGTGGGAGAAAGGCAAGACTATACTTGATTGGGACTGGTGGTGTTAGGGAGAGAATGAGGGGGCAGCGTTCTGCATTAAATGATTGCAACCATATTGTGAGCCGTTTTGGGCACATTTCTGTGAAAATGCGGTATAAAAACTGGAATAATAAATGCTCTGCCCCTCCCCAGAAACAGGATTCAAGAGTAAGGAAGGGCTATTTCCTCATCAAGCCGTATCTTGCATGTATGTTTATGCCCGCATATCCCACTGAATGGTTTTCCTTTCCCCCAACTAAGCCTGCTCTTGTATCTCTCTGTGTGTAGGAGTGGGGAGGTTGGGCAAAACATTATTCAGCTATCTCTCAGGGAAACTGCAGTCATTGCACAGTTATTATCAGCAGCCTCTGCAGTTTGCAATTAAGAATCTCTCTCTCTTTCTCTCTCTTTCTCGCTTTCATTCTTACCTCTACTCCAAGTAAGGCAGCCCACGTTAGACCTCTCATTAGTGGAGGAATGTCGACTCTGGCTTCTTTCCAAATTTGATTTTTTTTGTATGGATAGGCCTGGAGACAACATATCATTTTACAGGACTGGAAATACTTTCAAATTGCATCTTATATTTATATACTGTTTGAATCTATATCTTTTATAATAATATACACACAAACATGTACATCCATATACAGATTCTTAAGAAACACACCTGGTGTTGACGTCTAAAGAGAAATGACTGAGACATATCTCACTGCAGGAAGCATTGAGGGCAAAATGAAGATATAAACACAGTATATGAGGGAAATTGTATACAAATTTTGTTAGTACTACGCACCTTCAGCAGCCTGTCAAAAAGGACAATTCTGTTTAGCTGGTATTCTGTATCCCGCTCTCGGATTATAAGAGGAAGATTAGCAGCAGCAGATAATTCATTATTACTGTTTGAATGGGGTATATTTGACTGGCTGAAAAGATAATAGAGGATGTGGTTGTGATTTATTTTATTTCTTTTGCCCCAATACACTGAATTAACTATAGAAGAAATTGGGAAAAGCTGAAGCAATTAAGATCATCATCACACACACTCAAAAGTGAAATCAATTCTCTTACTCTCTTATTCTAAATGGAGACAATCTCATAATTTATAAGTGAGAATACTTTTTTTTGCAATGATCAACAAATAACATGCTAGATAGAAATATATTACTAGCTCTGAACATCATACCTGTCTACTCAGCAGTTTTATTTAAAGCTGGGGGCTAATCTAATGAAAGCAAAGGTTTCTGTTCCCACAACAGAACCAAAAATGGATCAATGACTTCTGCTGCTTCACAATCCTGACCAGCGGGAAACATTCCAAAAATCTCAATGATCCAACAGTAAACAAATTGTTTAGAGCACTGACCTCTACTTTAAACTAGTATTTTCCTTCTGATATGCCAGTCACACAGATCACCAAGAAATAGGCAGAGTGGACAGGAATACCATAGCCCAATGGATGCTACCCTTTTTTGACTCGAGGGACACGTTCATCATTGGTCAACCCCTTGGGGGCTGCATTCCAGACTCACACATATTCCCACATGAGATGTTAGCCACCCCTAGTCTAAGATCTCAAAGAAAATGGCTTATTCTATGTACTTACTCATCTTCAAGCAATGGATAAAACGCTTCTCCACTGACATCTTTCAGCCTCTGTGGAAGGTCACAAAAACACTCAAAATTACATTCTGCATTTAATGTAAGGAAACAATTTTTGGAAATTTCCATTCCACCTTTAGTTGCTGACATGGAACTGTTGCGTGTCACATGTCTGTTTACATTCCAGCACAGTTTGCTGGGAACTTCCGTGGTGTATTGCTTTTGCTTTTGACTCTCTCTCTGAGGAGACGGAAAGAGAGACGACATGTTTCTTTTGTCCTGATTTATGCTTAATAAATCTGTAGCTTGTTAGTATGTTTCCACAAGCCTCATGCCTCTTCTGTTTGAGCAGTATGCTCTGCTGATATAGTGTGCTCAGGCTTTGAAGTTTGAGTTGCTGATTTACGTCGCACCAGAGGTCGGGGGTTCGACATGGCTGGAAGGGCATGATCCAGCTGTGGGCTAGCCAGCTGGCATCTCGACCACCGAAAAATGCCGACAGCAACAATGACCATTTTGTCAAGTCAGTTATCTATTCCAGCCTTCCCTAACTTGGCGTTGTTCAGATGTTGAGACCTACAACTCCCAACAGCCCAAGCCAGCATGATCAGGGATGATGGATGAAAGCTCAAAAACATTTGGAGGGCACCAGATCTGAGAAGCCTAATCTACTCTGTGTTTATCTTGGACATGATTTCAAAATACTATCTTGCTTGTTTGAGCCTTCAGAAACAATTCTTGCTCATTTAGCCCTCAAAAAAGGGTCAAAAGAAACAAAATTAGCTATTTAAACAGGTGAAGGCATAGTACTAGCTATCCCTTAACCACAACTAAGGCTTGGGCCTGGGCTGTGAGATTGTGAAATCCCTCTAAAAGGATATTAGCCTTATCCTCTATGGATTTGCCTACCAAAGGCTGCAAGTTATTATATTCAAGTTATGATGAATATGTTACTTTCAGCTGGCATGCATCTGAATGCCGATTACTAGGAAACAACACACACACACACACACACACACACACACACACAAACAGAGAGAGAGAGAGGAAGAAGAATCCATTTCCTAAGTTCCTTAGGAAGCATGGATGGATGCCAACTGCAAATATAAGCCTGGTTAAGCCTGGTACTTTCAACATATTTAGCTTTGTTTACTATAAACACAAGGAAAATAAACATGCTAAATTAGATCACTTGCTCGGGCATCAGAAAATGTTCTGATGCAACCTGAAAAACGTACACTGAAATAAAATAAATCAAATTAATAAAACTACTAAGGTGATGGTGGTCTTTTGAAGCTGCCAGGGCTCTGCTGCCTATAGCCCCAAAGATCAGGTGTTAAATTAACTTTAGTCTGGGGTGCAGCGTGATTAAGTTTAATATCACCTTTTGGACTATGTTCTTATACAATTCATGCCCTAGTCAGAAACTGCAGCACAATCTTCTCTTGGGATTTGCAGTGCAGTTTAAAACTCTTTACATCATGCAGCACTGATCCTCTTTTGATTACAGTCTATTCCAGCAGCAGGGCTTGGAGAATTCCAATTGCTAAAGAAAATCGTTCAGCTAATACTGCAAAGTTTGGCTAGGAGATTAGTGAGAGTCAGACCAGATCTTCCCCAAAGAGAAAGTTCTCTGTATTTAGCATATATATCAATTTCTACTGGCATTTCAATGTGAGGAAAAGCTCAGCGAAATAACAAAAGTCTTTTATTTGTTCAGATTTTTATGTGTTGATGAAAAACACAGAATGTCTGTTAATACACTAAATGAATGTTTTCATGTTTCCTTTTGTTGTTCATAAAATGACTGCTTTTAATTTTTTTGTTCAAGTTACATATGGATTTATGTAAACACTTCTATCCCACCCTGTTTGTTTAAAAAAAAATGCATAAGGGAACTTAAAAATAAAAAGACCAAGAAGTAGAAGACGTTCACAATAAAACTGAACACCAGAAAGCTCAGCTCTACGAAGTCATGAGTTCAAAATCATCAGATTGATATCAAATGGCTGTTGGGAGCGAAATTCTTTCAAGAAATTGTGAAAAACCATCAAAATGGACCTCCCAGTCAGGGTCTGGAATACCCTATCATGCAGTTTATGCAGATGAATTATGAACATTGTCAAACAGACTAACAAAAAATAGCACACAGATTTAAATATCTTCATGAATCTCCTAATTCTCTCCATACCCCCTTGGCTAGTAATGATTCAGAACCCCGCAAATGTCAAACTTTTGCAGCAATGTTAAGAATACTCCATCTGATTCCTAAACATGGCAAACACATTTTATAAAAACTTAAGACCAAAATAAAGAAAAGTTCTAAGCCTGAGTTCAGGCTTAAACCGCTATGACAAGATGACTAAGTTACTGCATTCCAACAAAAGCAAATGAGTAAGTGAATTTGTAATTAAATAATGAAAATTGAATGGGAAAAAGCGAGGAGAAAAATGAGATGTGCTCATGTATTTTGAAAGCTCTGGGGGTAGCATCCACTAAGTCATAGTCAGAGAAGATGCACTGAAATCAACAGACATGACTAACTTAAGACCACTGGCTCAGTTTGAGACACCCCTTTTCCTGCAACCATTTACATTCTTGGTCAGGAAAATATATAAACTCAAATATTTCAGCACATGGATAGCTCAGCTGGTTAGAGCGTGGTGCTGATAATACCAAGGTTGCAGGCTGCCATGTGGGACAGCTGCATATTCCTGTAATGAAAGGGGGTTGGACTAGAAGATGATCCTCAGGTTCCCTTCCAATTCTACAGTTCTGTGATTCTATTATTCTTACGTTTCTGAGCTGGCAGAGGGAGAGAGTCACAGTTGTGTCATCGAAAAGGAAGCTTCTATCCCGCCCTTGTCCAAAGCTCTCCCCATCCTCAAACAGAAAACTAGGAAGAAAGGGAAAAAAGTCACAGATCAAAATGATTTGAGAAGATAGATTTTCATGAAGACATCTTTATATAGGTCCTATTTTATATCTAAAGGTATATATTTATATAGGCACTAGAGGGGCTGAATAATGGTGAATAAAATAGTGAATCAAACCCCAAAATTACTACATCTAGTTTACATGAACCCTCGCTGTTTGGGGGAAAGGAAAATTTATCCCAACCCCAATCCTTGTCTCGTTTTGAATGGGGATGCTTCTGTTTAATTTCCACTGGCATTTGATATAGATTGCATTTTGCTCGCCTTCAGATTTAGGGAAGTGATCTCCTCTATTCCAATCTAAAGCTGGTCAGCAGCAGATACAGCTTACACCTAAATGAAGTTTATTTGAGCTGAGCTGGGAATTTAAAGCAGAAGTTTAAACAGGAACAGAGCAAATTCTGCAAGCTAAAATAGGGATGAAAGTCACTGATGAGCAAGCCTTCATTTAAAAGAGCCTTTAAAAACAATGAAATTATGTGACCAACCCCAGGATTTGGAGACCAGCCATTGAATGGCAGGCAGGAATTGCCATTTCAGTTTCTCTCCCGCTCCCCCTTTTTAGGTTCCATATCATCTAGAGTCAACACTGATTTGGAGACATATTAAAGTACTGTATACATTGACTGGCAGCTGTCCAGGGATTCACAGAGATGTATTTCCTTGTCCTGCCTGTAGGGCCAGATTGAGACCTTTAGAGGCCTAAAATATATATGGTGCCTCCATAGATATCCAATTCAAAATATAAACTGTAAAATAACATTTTATTTTTTGAAACAAAACACAACCTACAACAAGATGGAAACAAATGTTTATTTTCGTGCACTTCCATTTTATTTATATTTGGAAAAGTTTCCTCCTACATTTTCTAATTGCAAAGCCTTTGATCAAAGCCTCAAAACTAATCTTACATAACACATCTACTTCTACACTTGGTAGAGATAAGGCATGCAGCCTGGCTTGTTGCAACAGCACAGCTTTTCTGTTGGGGTTTTGAATATATTTCAAATGGAACACTCAGCTGAGCAATTTGTGACCATTCATGTTAAAAATCTGACAATGGAAAATTTATGTGGTGCCTGCCCCCCTTCCCTTGATGCCCTAAGCACGTGCTTATTTTGCTTAATGGTTAATCCAGCCCTGTCCACCTGGAGATACTAGGAATTGAACGTTGGGATTTTGTGCAGGCAAAGTGTGTGCTCTGCTTTCAAGCTTTGGTTCTAAAGGACTGCATGGTGCTTGACAATGCAACTGTTTTTCAGACTCTGGACTTCTATTTTCCACTTTAAAGCCACTTTCACTTCACTGTATCGTTTAACTTTTTTACTTCATGCTTCCATTCCTAAAATCTGGGGGTTTTTTTGTTTCTTACATGGGAAGAGTGCAGATGGGTGGTTTCGAATGAATGATTTCCTTGTTGACAAGCTCTTTCTCCAAGTCTCCTCCAGCCAAGCACCAGAGATAATAAACTTCTTCTATCGACCTTTCTGCTAGGTAATCAGAGTTTTCCTCTATTAACAGAAGCCAACAAAGACAGCATTATAAACTTTCCAGCAACTCTTTCAGTCCTCCTTCCCCCAGCACTGAAAACTCTGTTGTTGTTGCTGCTAGAAACAGAGTAATAGGTCTGAGGAGCAATTCTTCAGACCATGTTATTAGAGATAAACGATCTTCCCTTTGGAAGTGCTAGATGGAAAATCCCTGGGAAAACAAAAGCAGCTGGACAAACTATGGAGTCGCTCGGGCAGGCAGTGACAGAATATCTCCATCTTTATTTGATAGCAGAAATGATATACACCAGGGAAACATTTATTAAATGCTTCATTACTTAAAAAAGGTTTCTCTCCTCTGGTTTAATGGGATGCAGTGACAGTAAATAACAGAACGCTTAATGTTCACTGAGTTCCTCCGAAAGTTGTGTGTGTTTCAATTTAACAACAATCTCGGACTAAAAGATAGCTGGGCAGAACAATCCTATTGGGGCAAACAGAGGGAGAATTTGGAGCAAGAGAACTGCCAGATCCAAAGTCCTGCTCAACCTGAATGGCTACAGCAGAAATGGGAGGGACACTGTTGGAGGGGAAAATAAGCACGCTAGCTCCACAGCTTGAATATTTCACCTTCAGTGTGTTTCCAAGCACAATTCAAAGTGTTGGTGCTAACCTTTAAAGCCCTAAACAGCCTCAGCCCATGATACCTGAAGGAGCATCTCCACCCCCATCATTCAGCCAGTGCTGAGGGCCTTCTGGTGGTTCCCTCACTGTGAGAAGTGAGGTTACAGGGAACCAGGCAGAGGGCCTTCTCAGTAGTGACGCCCGCCCTGTGGAACGCCCTCCCATCAGATGTCAAGGAAATAAACAACTATCGGACTTTTAGAAGACATCTGAAGGCAGCCCTGTTTAGGGAAGTTTTTAAAGTTTGATGTTTTATCATGTTTTAATATTCTGTTGGAAGCCTCCCAGAGTGGCTGGGGAGACCCAGCCAGATGGGTGTGGTATAAATATTATTATTATTATTATTACTCCACTGTTGCGGGGTATGTCTGAGGAGTGGAAGGATTTGGGATCACATGGACCAGAGAAGACAAAAGATCAGTGCAAAGAAGCTTGGAAAATCAAAAGGGAAAGCAGTTTTAAGCCAAAAACAAAAAAACCCTACCCAGATAGCCTTGCACACTTCTTCACTTTAAGACTACATAGTATTATGAACTAACGAAATTCTTTTTCTGGTTGTCATCTCCCTTCATGCACTAAAAGGCTTCTTCTGTCCATGTGAGGCTCCTGATTCAGTGAAAGTCCCTTACTGGCACGGGGAAGACAACCTTGGCCGATTTCTCTCCTTCCCATATTGTTCCTGAGGGTCCACCCCCAACCCTCCAGAACAGTGTGGGAAGTGCTTCTGGGGGATGTAAAGGGAAAATCAGCAAATGTTCCCTCCTCCCCTTCTGCTGACAGGGATGCTCCCATTGGAAGAAATGACATCTGGATCCAACTCATTTTCTTTAATTTATTGGAGAATCCTGCAATTGCAGACTGCTGGACAGAGAGCTTTGAACAGGGTGGCTTTGAACAAATTGCTAATTTGTGATCTGACTTGCCTCACAGGATTGTTGTAGAATTAAAGTGGGGGTCATCTAACGTATGTTGTTGAAGGAAACCCAAGATTTTGATACAATTTTCCAAATTCACCTACCACTTTGCAAGATATATTCTGCCACCAAACCAATGGTGCCTAAAGACGTACTGTACATGCTCACAATATTCCTCAACAACCAGAAAACATTCACACAGAAATACACATTATGTCGACAGCCTGCAGACTGAAAATTTGCCAATGATGACAAATTATATATTAGATCATGATTAATCCTAGACTTTAAATCTGTTACCTCATTTTTACCTTTAAACAGCTGGCTAATATCCTCAGGAAGAGTTAAGTTAGCACATCTTAAAGTGGGTGAGAAAAGGCTGGAAGGTTTGTGGAAGGCTGGGTATAAAGATGAGATTTCACTAAACACAGGGTCATTCAGTAACCTGTCAGGAGTAAGTCTAAGGAAAAAGAAAAAGGAAGGAGGGGGTGAATCAAATCTCTTTTGGAAATCAGCTGTTTTGAAAATACACTCTTGAAAATCCAAATGTAAATTGGATGTGGTACAATGTGCACTTTTTTGCTTTATTTAAGAACTCGTGCAACTTTCCTGCTGTGTTTCTTAATTATTATTATTATTTATTAAATTTGCATACCACCCTATCTGTAGGTTCTCAGGGCAGTTCACAACATTAAATTACAATATAAAAATCCATAATACAGAAAACAAATAATTAAAACCATTAACAATGCTAACGTATGCAAACTAATACTAATACACTTAACAATTGAAACAACAATTTAAAATATTGCCGCCCCTTCAAAAACACTGATCTTACCCATGGGTAGGCAAACTAAGGGCCAGGAGCTGGATTTGGCCCAGTCACCTTCTAAATCCAGCCCGCAGACAGTCCGGGAATCAGCGTGTTTTTACATAAGTAGAATGTGTCCTTTTATTTAAAATGCATCTCTGGGTTATTTATGGGGCATAGGAATTCGATCATATCTCCCCACAAAAAATATAGTCTGGCCCCCCACAAGGTCTGAGGGACAGTGGACCGGCCCCCTGCTGAAAAAGTTTGCTGACCCCTGATCTTACCACAAAGAGGCTGGCCCATGCCCTCATTCGACCCCTGAAGTGCTGCCCCCCCCAAGGGACAAACTGTTTGGTGTCTCCCTTTGGGTGGTGGTCCCGTCCCCAAGACAGGCTTTATAGAGCTGGCCCAGAAGCTGGGGCAGCAGATGTTACCAAATGCTGCCTGTCTTCATAGGGTCCTTGCCCCTAAGCTACTCTTAGCAGCTGCAAGTCCAGGCAGATGGAAGTCCCCAGGCAGCAGCTGCAGGCAGGTCCAGGCACCTCAGTGCATTCAGTGAGGCTTAATCCATGGATGCATTATTTCTTTTGTTTTTCTCCCAATTAGCAGTTTAATGTCTCCATTGTATTCTTTTCTTTTTTGTAGCTAGGCTATAAAAATAATTACCAACCACAATGTTTTGCAACTGTGTTACCTTCTAAAAATACAGCCAGCCCTCAAGCTACAATCAGTTGCTCGTTTGTGCATTTAACTACTTAGGTGAAGTTATGCCCCACAACAGCAATTTCCATGAACATGAATTTCTGTTTCAGCGCCTCCAATTTACTGGAGTCGCTCCTGAGATACTGAATATCTTTCCTCCTAGCATACAACATTGCTTATGCGATCACTCTTATGAGCTGTGAAATAGGGCTAATCGTAGCATGTGAAGTGGCCCGTGAATTAAGCTTATGTCTAAAACGCTTGGAAGAAAAACAATTAAGGATACCGTAAGTTGCTACAGTAAATTGTATTTTAAATTCTCCATAACTTTCATACCTCCTCATCCAGTTTACGCCAAACACACACAAGCTTCTGCCTGCTGTTTTTTACCTACTTGTAGAACTACACCTTTTAACGCCTGATGGGCACATGCCTTGGGTATGATTATCGACAAGAGCACTGAACATTTATTTAAGCAAAGAGGGGAAGGGACCGTGATCGAATCTAAACCCTGCATTCTTACCCTACCCCTGGAACAGATGCCTGGTGCTGTCACTGATAGTTTGCAGACCACACATTCTATCTCTAGAAACTCATCTACAGTGGTGCCTCAGGTTACATACACTTCAGGTTACATAAGCTTCAGGTTACAGACTCTGCTAACCCAGAAATAGTGCTTCAGGTTAAGAACTTTGCTTCAGGATGAGAACAGAAATCGTGCTCCGGCAGTTCGGCGGCAGCAGGAGGCCCCATTAGCTAAAGTGGTCTTCAGGTTAAGAACAGTTTCAGGTTAAGAACGGACCTCTGGAATGAAGTAAGTATTTAACCCGAGGTACCACTGTATAAGGTGTGAATGAAAAAACAAGAACAAGTATATTCATAAAGTTTGCAAACAACTGTTTTCACAGAGGTATGGCTTTTGGGAATCCATGATTGGCTGCAGATGACTTGGTGGCAAATATGGATTTGCAGAATTTGTGAAATAATTGATTCATAGATGTGGCTGTGCCAACATTAACCAGGCACTGTCATCTCTACACAAACATAAACAGGACTGGAGTCTTTGTTAATAGACACAAACTGCAAAATTAGCAAGAAGACGTAAAAATAGACCGGCATATATGGCTCTCATTTTTAGGTAAGTAGGAGCAGATGGCTGCAGTATGGCAGTTGCATTTCCCTTATTTTAAGCATCATTATTCACTGTACTTTAAAAGCGCACTCACCGCTTAGAAGGGTGGAATGTAAGGCACTTCTTCAGTAGCGTTAAAGTATTTTCAGGAAGTTCCTGGTTGAGAAACGTATAGATATTGTTGTTGAAGCAAGCGTATGCCCTTCAGTGCAGCATTTAAACAGGCATGCATTTCAGTTCAAAATGAAGCAATCAGGATCATTCTTTTCTTGAATTCTAAGAGCCAAGGGTTCAACCTATATCTTCTGGGTTGGATATAATTTGTGGATAAACCGATTTTCATCATATACTGATTTTGACAAGAGAGAAGGACTTTCATTTATCGGACACACATTAATGATGAACATACATTAGCTTTGCAGATATCAACCTGAGTATTTAGACTCAGCAATCACTTTGAAATCAGTAGTCCCACTATACTTTCTTTTTTTTGCTGAACTCTGACCAAATAGTAGATTTGTAGCAGCAGGGGCAGCCAACAAGGTCCCTTCCAGATGTTTTTGGACTCCAACTCCCATCATCCCTAAACACTGGCCATGCATGTTGGGGGCTGATGAGAGTTGAACTCTTAACAGCATCTAATTTGCTATCACTTCACTATAGTGTGCCAGTTCAACAAATAAAAACAACAACACTAAGAGTGGGATTTGTGTATGGTTCACATATGCCTGCTCAGGTTTATTGTAAAACTTGTATAATTATTATTTTGAAGTTGGATTATCTCAAGTAAATATCAAGCTCATCAAGTAAAATGAGCTTTCAATAACACACACACACACACACACACACTATTAAAACATGAAAGACTGTCAGAGCAAGACAAATGAATTTTAGAACAACAACAAAAAACATTTCAAGGGAAGAAATCCAATACTGTGACAAACAGTAAAGTTATAATTTAAGCAAGAGGGAGTGCTGGATATATTCGAACCTTAATGATGTCAAGACAACCATGTTCTTCAGCTAGGACTGTTATGATATCATCCACGCATCCTGTAAGTAAGAGGAGGAGGAACAAATGTTGGCAATGTAACACTGTTCAAAGATAAGCCATAAGTATATTTCACCTCCTTAGAGCAGGGGTGGGGAACTTGTGGCCCTTGCAGGACTCCAACTCCCATCAGATCCAGCCAGCATGGCTGATGGTCAAGGATGATGGAGCATGCAGTCCGGCAACATCTAGAGGGCCACTGATTGCCCATCACTGCTTTAGGGGCTAATCACCAAACCCTATACTCCTGAAACAGGAAAGCAGACTGCTGCAGACACAAAAACAGACACCTACCCACCAATAACACTATTTTCTTCTTATACATTTTTAACAATTAAGCTTCATTAACGTATAACTTGCCATGTATGTAAGAGAAGGGTCCGTGTGCCTAAGTCCTGTAATAAATTTACTCTATCAATAGAATAGAATAATAATTTATTATTTATACCCCGCCCATCTGGCTGGGCCTCCCCAGCCACCCTGGGCGGCTTCCATAGAAACCAAAAATACACTAAAATATCACACTTTAAAAACTTCCCTGAACAGGGCTGCCTTAAGATGTCTTCTGAATGTCAGGTAGTTGTTTATTGCTTTGACATCTGCTGGAAGGGCGTTCCACAGGGCGGGCACCACTACCAAGAAGGCCCTCTGCCTGGTTCCCTGCAGCTTTGCTTCTCGCCATGAGGGAACCGCCAGAAGGCCCTCGGCGCTGGACCTCAGCACTGTGAAGTTTTGTAATCAGTGTAAATATGCACTGATTAATATGAGAGAAGATTATGTAAGGGCACTACCGACAAACTCAGTTTTATTCTGTTAGAAGTGCCCCAGCTACAGCTTTCCAGACAACAGCTGGATTTTCTGAACCAGTTCAGCATTGGGGATTGGCATGGCCAGACATCTGCCATGGCCTAGACGTCGGAACAGCCCCAAGAAGCAGGGAAGAGGTGGGTCAAAGGTGGTCAGGCCCTATTCTGTTTCAAACCAATCACTGTGTGAAGGACTGGTCAACCTTGACAACTATTGTCCACTGTGCCTTGCATTCCCTGCACAAGACTAGAAGGGAAGTTGTCAACTACTTGGCACCCTGTAGTAAGGGCAGAAACAGAACCTGGCTGCAGTCACACAGGTATGGGCCACACTATTTTTTGTCTCTTGCTGGTTATTATCTGCAAAAGTTATCCTGCGGAGGCAAGCATTATGTTGGGACTTGTGCCTGTTTGGGGCAGCAATGATCCCTTCCTTGATCTTTGCAAATTGTGCAATACAGAAAGTCAAGATCACCATGATAAGCGGCAGCTCATACTTTTGCCGTACCGTTGAATTCTCTTCAACAGTAACTATCCCCTTCTCGATGGGTAGTGCTGTTCTGTTTAACTTTCCAATGCACTGAACGCATTTACATCCCCAAACTCAGTATCACGACCCCTGGGCTCATCTGAAATTTTATGAAGTCTTTGTGCCCCACAGCTGTTTTCACATTACTCACCAAGATTAAGTATAAGTTTTAGTCTTTCGGCTATATCCAAACTCTGGAAGAGCTTTCTGCCCTAAAGGCAACAGTAAGGTATGTGGTTAAAGCAGGGTCATTATGAAAAGCTCATGACAAAACACACAGCCATTATATGCTCTTGAAGTTTGCTTTAAAAGAAATATATGTGGTGATAATGTTTTTGTTCTACATAATCATGTTTGCTGACTTAGGCTGCAATCCTTCAACAGGACTTTTAAAGGAGGAAACAGGATTGGGGGTCACAGACATAAGTAACCTATGGGTGCCCATTAGAAACTGTTATGCTAACTTTTGAAGATCATCAATTAACATTTGATTATATTATTCAAATAAAAGATGTGGTAAAATAATCAATGATGCAGGGATATAATTATAGAATATAAATTATAGAATATAAATCATTATAATATAGGGTTTTTGTTGTTGTTGTATGGTTGTTCTTCAGTGACCACGTTAATTACTACAGTTGTTGCATTTTGAGTAGTGAAAAAGAAAATCAGCTCTGGCTTCATGAGAAGCACTGCCTTAAGGTAAAAAGGTGGTTACTTTTACAAAGGTCATAGGTCATTGTTTCTTTTATGTGAAGGAAACTGTCAACAAAATATGCAGACTTTTATCCTTGCAACAAATTATGCTCTAAATTTTATCAGGTGAATGAAAGCTGCATGCCACAATGCTTTTAAATTGTTAGACATTGCTTAAACCTAGAGAAGTCTAGATCAAATCACAGATCCAGCATAACCCTTATTTTTCCAATAAGGCTATGTCAAGAGCCTATTATTTTGCTATAAAGCCTCAACATTTGGCAGAACCAAATGGTGCAAACTGAAAAAGAAGTTTACAAAATCACGGTCCAAGAGTCTATATATTTATGCATATTTATGCATATTTTTCTAATGCCACATGCTGTTTCATTCCCTCTTTCAAATAAGCAGTAAAATAAATTAAGCCCCTCAGTAAAATATCAGGGGTTAGGAACCTGTAGCCCACCAGACACTGCTGGACTACAACTCCCATCATTCCTGGCCATTGACTATTATGGCTGAAACTGATGGCTGTTGGAGTCCAACTGCATCTGGAGGACCACATTAGCCCTCCCTGATATAACATCTCTATTTACAAGATTATTGAGATGAAGGTGAAAGAAATTTTTCCTATGAATAATATATTTCTGGTAAGATGACGTTTATACTGTTCTTGCTGTTTTGAATTTGTTTCAATATTTTGAATCCTCACATTTCTCTTAAAAACAAGGTGACTCAACAAAAAATAAACATATACGGAATATGTTTTGCACAGCAGCAACCTGATAACCCAAATACATAGAATAATGTCAGATACATACCACACAAAGCTCAAATAATATAACACCAAGGGACCACACGTCTGATTTAGGGCCCGAAGGGAGATGCTTTTCACTTTGCATATGATCACTGTTTTTGATAATTCCCTGTGCAATTACCTCCGGTGCCAGGTATGATGGATACCTACAAGTAATGGTACAATAATAAAAGCAAAAGCATATTTCAAAAGGCCTACAGGACAAATCCATTGAATTTTCATAATGGACACCTGTCTCTTTAAACTCTGTGTCATCTTTTATAGCTTAAAAAACCCTTGACACGGTAGAAATAAAAGGTGTCAGCCTAACCTACTTCACAGGATTGTTGTGAGGATAAAAGACAGGGGTGAAAAGAACCTTAAGCTCTTTGAGGGGAAAGTGGTATAGAAATTTAATGAATGAATAAATGAATAGCCTGCTTTCAAATCCTGGTTTAACAGCATTGCAATTATCTGCAGTGTAAATGCTGACTGCTCTCCTGCTACTTCACTGGAAACATCGGGGTAAATGTGTGAGGGTGATTTGAGTGTACAATCGCTTGTCAATTACATGAGCTCTAGATGAGCCCCTAGAATGCTGCTAAGATGAGATTCTCCTAATTCTAACCAGAATACTGTCTGGTAACCAAAGTCAAGTTTTACATTTCTCATGGCAACCAGGCTTAGAATAATAGAATCAAGCATTATTCTTTGTCAGGTGTGAGGAGATATTCTTGGGGGGGGGGGGAGGTTCACACACAACGTACGATTCCTAGAATGTCACAATGTAAAACTTACCCTATAGGAAAATCAACATCGGCACCATAAGCTGTCATGTAGTAAAGGCCGAATTTAGCCAGTTTAGCATGACCCTATTAAAAAGAGGAAGAAATGTACTGATTACCAACCTAATGAGGGTTTCTACCTTGCAGGAAGCTTTGTGTTTGAAAATGCATTGACATTCATGTTTGAATTCACAATTTCCATGGCCAAAAATCTGATGGTGAGAAACTACCAGATATGATTACTCTGTCTGCACGTAGCCCTAGGCCAAATCACGACTTAGCATGGAAGGGCAAAGAGGTTCCCAGACCAAAGATTACGGCTGCAAGCTCCTTTCCTACCTGGACCTAAGCCTGGGGGAACCTCTTTCAGCCCTAGGCCCGCATTGCCTTGTGGGCAACAAGGGAAGGGCAGTCAGTGCATGCCAAGAAGGGCCAGACACAAAAGTGGGTGAACAATACATATGACTCTTACCTTTGTTCAGGAGCCTACAATCACCATCACCCAAACTCTATTGGTCTAACAAATACAGGTTATACCTGTTAGCATTTCACTCCTCCGCTGCTGGATGTGTTACCATCACATGTCTGTGTTTACTTTCTAGGCTTGGAAAGCCTGAGAACGGAAGCTAGCCTTATCTCTTCTGCTCTGTTGTGTTTTTGTACTTTTTACTTTCTGTTCTCTCTTGGAGCTGAAGTAAGAGAATCCCATGATCACTTTGTCCTGTATATGTTGTTGTTTAGTCGTTTAGTCGTGTCCGACTCTCCGTGATCCCATGGACCAGAGCACGCCAGGCACTCCTGTCTTCCACTGCCTCCCGCAGTTTGGCCAAACTCATGCTGGTAGCTTCGAGAACACTGTCCAACCATCTTGCCCTCTTCTCCTTGTGCCCTCCATCTTTCCCAACATCAGGGTCTTTTCCAGGGAGTCTTCTCTTCTCATGAGGTGGCCAAAGTATTGGAGCCTCAGCTTCAGGATCTGTCCTTCCAGTGAGCACTCAGGGCTGATTTCCTTCACAATGGATCGGTTTGATCTTCTTGCAGTCCATGGGACTCTCAAGAGTCTCCTCCAGCACCATAATTAAAAAGCATCAATTTTGTATATACTGCTTCATAAAAGTATATAGTCCTGTATATACTGCTTAATAAAAGCTTAGAATGAGCACACCAATATCCACTTTGTTTCCGCTAAGCTCTGCTGAGTGTGTGTGTGCACATAGGCATCTGCTATGTGTTACTGGAGCGTACCGGGACTGATGAATTATGGGCATCCCGTAGCTGCGCAACTTCAGGATGACACCCGGAGAGGTTTGTCTCATCTCGGGGGCTGCATGGACCCCCTGGCATATTCCTACAATACCTAGTAGCCTACTAGGTATAGTCATGCAAAGATTGGGGACGGGGTTACATACACACACACTTCTCTCCATGCAGGCAAGTAGAAAGCATTTTCATGGTTTAAGGACACATTTGCCAAGGAAAACCACTTGAGGAGGATTTAGAGCATGGCTGGTGTGGGAGCATGCATTTGAAGAGTCCCAAAGGTCAAAAAGAGAAGTCTAGAGGACCATATTTGGTCCCTGGGGATAATATTCCCCATCCATGCTTAGCGTTGCATTCAAACCCGGGCTTATGGTGTGTCTTGGTCCAGATAAGTGGCCCTCAGCTCCTGTTCCCCACCGCTGGCTGAGCATTATATCCAAACCCACAGGCAAACCACAAAATCAAGTTAGGATGTAGCACTAAGACAGGCCATGGCTTAGCTCTGCATAGTGCAGAACCATAGTGCAGCTGCAATCTTTGGTCCAGGAACCAGCACGTTTCTTTGCTTTTGATAAGTTGTGGTGTGGCTCAGTGTTATGTGCAAAGTGGACCTAAGTGTGGTATTTCAGAACATTGCTCAGTCTTGCTTCAGCTTTCCCTCTACCCAAATTGCCAACATTTGTAGACAAAACTTTTATGTCCCATGCAGAAGATTTTCAATGAACACCATTGTAAGATGAAAACGTAAGAGCTGTCGTTCTCGACAAAGTTTCCCAGCTGTGTAGCTGAAGACATTTATTTCTGTTGAATGCTAGGATACGTGTGAAAGGCAGTCTCAAATTTGTGAAATCAAAATATTTTTCAGGAAGCCTGCATAATTATATTCCCATTTATTTATGTGTGTATTTATCCCAGAATTTATAAGCCAACTTCCAGAGATTAAATCTCGAGAAGACCCACAAAGTATTACAAACATAAAATTCATTCACTGGATAATTACAAACCATAAAACCACAAATCTTTAAAATGCTAAAATGTCTAAAAATATTCTATTAGCAGCAATAAAACAGTTTCAGCAAAACAACTAAGGTTTGCACGATGGTTTATGGCTTGGGTTTGTCTGGAAGAGCTAAACCATGCGTCTGGATTTAGACGATCTGCTAAGCAAAACTGAATTTCACCCTGGTTTGTTACTGTCACAATAAACAATGGTTCATGACATCCAAATGAAGTCACTGCATTCGTGTCTAGGAAAGGTGTTCCATTTTAGATAAAGGTAGACGTGTATCTTCCATTTACATGGGGGAAGAGTGCCATATAGACAAAACTGTGCAAAATATGAAAGTAAGAATTTACCTTGCATTTAAATGCAAAATGTTGCTTTTATAAGAGAGGTATCTTTCGAAAAGATTTCAAACGAAGTTCTTATTACATCAATGTTGACAAAGGATGCAGACCGACAGCAAAAACAAAATCTTCTAGCCTTACCTCTTGATCCATGAGGACGTTGTGAGGTGAAAGTGCACGGTGGACTATTCCATGCTTGTTCATGTACTGCAAGCCCTGCAGCACTTCATAGGCGATACATGAAATCCTAAAAGGGCTGCAGCGAAATAGTAAGAAAATAGCCTGTTTCAGTTATTTTGGCCTGAAGCAATATTTTCAGCTGATCTTAGCCACTCATAATTCTCCCCACATAATCAAAGGTTACTATCCAAATTAAGGAGACAGGATAGAGGTAGACGGGAAAGCATAATAAAAGCCTAGAGGCGAGTTCGCTGGGTTCACAGCTGGGTTCACAAGAGAATGGTGCTGTTTATAGGTTCAAACGAGTTTCGTATCCTTTAAGAAGATGTGTCATAGGAGGTCAACCATATGGAGGATTCTCACAGGCCTGGAAACTTCCTGCAGGCATCAGTATCAGAAGTGAAACTAGTTAGAGCTAAAGATTCACAAGGATTTTGTTTGGTCTGCATTTTTAAGTGAGTAGATCTGGGTCGTACTTCCCAGACTAATACACAGATCAGAACATATTCTTTAGTTCTTGCACTTCTCCATAGGTTGCGATACAACCCTCAGCTTAAAGAATATATCAATATGATGACAGAAATGTGTTTTTTTCAAATCAAATGCATACAAAATTTGCATAGTTTGTCATTTATCTATCTTTTGATAAATATTAGGTTAACTTGCTCTCCTGGTCTCCTTACCCAACTTAAAATTATCAGTTGGAGTGCCACTGGCAGTATAATACTATATGTTTCTTCTTAGAAGTAGAAGTTCAATGTAGCTTAAACTCAATAATTGTATATGGGACTGCAGCCTGAGTTATATTTAACAAAACACAGTTAAGTGTAGGTGTCGGGTCGTATGGTCCAGGGGTCTTAAATCCACTGGATTTTTTGTTCAATCTCCAGAGTGGAGAATCAGAAAAATGTGAATGTGAGAAGCTGTAATTCACTGAAACACTAGAGGGCCTCCTCTGATTATCTTTGCACTATAAAAGTCAGAGCACCCGAAAGCAGAAATTCAGGATTAAATGCTAAACCCTATACAGAGCCAACTCTATACTCCCACAGTTTAAATTGTAACAATTGCTTTAACTATTAAAGTAAAGCATGTAATAAACACATTACATGAGGATCTCCTTGTGCTATGGGGAAGGCAATATGACCATCTCTCTTAGGTTTGCAACGAAGTCCTCAGTGGACAGGTGAAAATTAATGCATGCTAAGACCTCTGCAAACTGAGGGATAGTTTTTATACTATTCCGCTCCCTGTGAATACTTAAGTTTAGAATTCTATCAGTAATTACTGTGAGGAAAATATGGGATGACATAAGCAGACAGGACGACTCTGAAGTTTCCTTTTTTAAAAATGTGTCTAACTGTTTTTGTTTGCACAAGACTCCAAAACATGAAACAACCCTAATTGAATGCAGAAATGTCTGCAGAGTCATACTACTTCTGGAACAAAATGCCCCATATACATCAATGGACGCTTTACTGGATGAGAGTACTTAAAAAATGTGGACTTTTTAATTATCCCCCTCAGAGTTCATAATTACGCCCGCTGGATGAACACACTAAAGAAAAAGACCCTCCTCTCCTTCCAGCCCCAAGACAATACTAATACAGACCGAAAATGTAAGAAGAATCTAAGTTGGTGATGTTGGATGCAGCTGGTGGTCAGAAGATAGATTAAAAAAAAAAAAAACCCTCCTGCAAATTTACATAATGAAGCAGCAGGGATATAATTTGCTTTCATCTTCTTTAACAGGGACCCTCAGCTGTTTGGAAAATGCTTTTTAGTCTGAAATGCTAAATGAATCCCTAATGCTTCTGACCATTCGAAAGTCATACCAAAGGATAGCCCACATTTTTTCTCTCAGCGCACGCAAATAGAAGCCCATTAAGAGTGGCAGGGGCTACAAGGGAGGATGAACAAACCTCTCCCTTTCTCATTTCCCCATTCTTAAATTCAATTCCCCAGATTTCCACATCGTTTTTGGGTGTGTTTTTTTAAAGTCCTGATGAAAATCCACCAATATTTTAATGTGGATTTCTAATACATTATACACACATGGTTTTGCCTAATACACACACTATTTTGCAAAGCAATTTTCCCTAAAAGAGTGCCTTTGGGTATGTTATTCTCACAAACATATGCACCTTTATTAACAATTTACACTAGCATATGCATTTTTTTGTACACATCACGAGGGCTGAGAACTGCATTGCAAAGTTCAGAGAAGCGGGAATTTCAAGGGATTGCTGCGTTTTGGTTTGCATACAATTTCAGAGCCTGCAGATTAGGTAAATGTGACCTAAATCAAATTTCTGCCCCATTCCTAACCAAGAGACAAGAAAGTGACCTTACACTTACCTCATAAGAATCTAACCTTGGGATTGAGTGCTCACTATTTTTAAGGTTCGGTGCAGACCATTTAGAGGTAATGGATGATTAAGCAGTATACTAATTCTGTTAGATAAACAAATAACAAAAAACAAATACTGCAGAGCAGATGCATACAAAAAGGGAGCGAAGGGGATAATGGCATGTGTGTGTGTGTGTGTGTGTGTGCGCGCGCGCGCGTGTACGCGCAAAGTAGGTTCCACAATAGGAGAAATGATAAGGCATGGAAATGAGAGTGATCTATGTACAAGGAAGAGTTGAGAAAAGTGCAGAGGAGGGTGGAAGGGAAAAGGGGAAATGTGAGTGCACAGGGGGTTGTGAAAAAGGAAGGGGTAAGAGGCTTGGAATTAGGTTCAAAGATGAAAGGGTCCGAAGGAGAAGGTGATGGATACTGAACTGTGGGCAAGTGAGCTCTCCATAAAAAAAAGGGTGGTTCTTAAAAAACACACACACACACAAAAACCCACCCTCTCCCTCCATGCAGTAAGTGTGTGGTAAACTTGTAACAGTCTGTTTTGCTTTTCCAGAATGTACAATTTTTTTTCAAGTTCTGACCAGTTTCCAAAAAATGGGTGTGTACGAGAGGGACAAGCATACACAGCCAGAAGTTCACATTCACTTTCCTCTTTCTCTTGAACCACTTGTTGGGTTTGGCTGTGGAAATGGCTGTAGAGACAAGCACAGCTTTCTCACTTGTGTGTTTATGTATTCTTCGAATTCTGTTTCCAGCTTTATGGCTAAACCAAGGCCAAACCCAAAGTGCAGCCAAACAGAATTTTAAGCTGGAGATTCGCAAGGGTGAAACCTTGTTAAATCGGGAATAAACTGTGTAATACAGAGCTGGCCAGCTATGTGTCCAATGCCCAGCACCTTGGAGGCTCCTGTTGGACCATGGCTTTCATTTCATTTCATTTTCTATTTATAGATGAATTAATTTTTGATGATAAACAAGGTGGCAAATTAAAAAGATAGGTGTATTATTTTCTCAGTTTGATTCTGCCAAGTTTTTCAGGTGTGACTCCTTTAGTGGTGGCACGGTAGTCTGTTCATTCACTGTTACTGAAACAGATCCACTTTAAACAAAGAATTCCATCTGCTTGGTGCGGGAAAAGAGGTTTTTCAAAATATAACCAGCTACTGGAACGAGTGGAATACCACATAATGCAAGTATCTTTGAGCCTTACACAACCCGCGCGTGGTTTGAAACAACCTTATGGACTGATAGAAGAAGAGAAGAAAACACACGGGGGATAACAAATAAACGCTTACCTTTTGCCCTTTGGAATATTTGCCTGAAGACTCTCGGACTTCCCTGCTGCCTCATGTGTGTTGGAGGATGTGGGGAGAGGAGGGATAGAAGTGACAGACGTGCTGGGAGTGACGATACAGCGTGTGGATTAGGGACTGCCACCGTGTGGGGAGCTAAAAAATTACATTCTAAAAGCAAAGAAGGCGGGAAAGTGCTCCCCTGGTGGCTGGCTGAAACATGGTGTGGACTGACTTTGTGTGATATATATATAAGATCTAAATTTTTGTATAATATATATTTAAGATGTCCGGGGAAAATGGGAAAAAGGGAATAGGGACCCCAGCAGAGAGATGCCCATCTAGGCAAGAAAATGGAAAAGAAAATAAGGAATATGAGAGCTTACTGGGGGAAATAAGAAAAGAGTTTAAGCAGAATGAGCAATATATAGAGAGAAAATTATTGGAGGTCCAGGAAGCCTTAGACAAAAAATTGGAAATGGTGGTGGGAGAGTAGACAGGGAAGGTAAAAGACTTGGAAATAAGAACTAAGGTGGTAGAGGATTCAAACAAACGCAACCAGAAAGATCTAAAGGAAGTAAAAAGACAGACAAAACAAATTAGAGGAGAAATTACAGAAATGAATAGGGCACAGAAGGAGATGTTGGATAATCTATCTACTCTAGAGATGCGTCAAAAAGAGCGAAATTTGAAATTCAGGGGTCTCCTGGAGACGCCAAATGAGAATATAAGAGATAAAATAATAAGAGAACTGGCTGGGTGGATGGAATTAAGAGAAGAAGATATTGGCCCAATGATAATGAATGTCTTTAGAATAAAGGTTAGATCAGTGAAAGCAAGGGCAAAAAAGCTTCCTGGAGACGTTCTAGTCATGTTTAACTCATTGGACATAAGAAATGAAATACTGAGACTGAATTACAACAAAAATCTATGCATAGACGGAGTGAAAATCTTGATTTTAGGGAGATCCCTGCCAGGTTTCTGAAACGAAGGGAATTTATAAACAAATGGTGAGTCTACTGAAAAGGAATGGAATTCAGCATAGATGGGAATTCCCAGAAGGAATCTCCTTTTACTTTAAAGATAAAAGATTCAAACTAACTAGCCCCCAAGAGTTAGAAAAATTCTCCAGAAGATATGACAAAGAGTTAGGGAGGACAGGGAAAATAAAACCAAGACAGAATCAGAAAGAGGAAGGAAAGGAAAGAAGAACAACGTCAGGAAGAAGAGGAGGAACAAGAAGAAGAGAGAGAGGAATCAGAAGAAGAAGACAACAACAAAGAACAGTAAATTTAGCGCAACTGAGTGGGAACTCTTAGATAAAAGAAATAATGAACCTGAAAGTATTTTCCTGGAATGTCAATGGGATGAACAATTTAAATAAGAGACGAAAAGTTAACCATGTTTTGATTAAACGAAACCTAGATATCATATGCCTGCAAGAAACACATGTAGCAAAAAAGCATAAAAGAATTTTAAGTAATAAAAAACTGGGCCAAGAGAGGTGTGGTAATATATGTAAAAGAGAAGCATGATCCAAAATTAATTTTTAAGGAGGATGAGGGAAGAATATTGATTGTACAAATTGGGTTTCAAGGGGGGAAATGGCTGATTGTGGGGATCTATGCACCAAATGATAAGAAAGCTGAATTTTATACAAAGTTGAATGAAATAATGTTAGAGTATTTAGATCAGAAATTGATACTACTGGGAGATTTTAATGGAGTGGTGGTACCGGACTTAGATAGATTAACAAAGAGGCGAAATACATATGAAGGTAAACTCCCGAAGGCCTTCTTTGATATGGCCAATATATTGGGAGTAATTGACATCTGGAGATTAAGGAATCCAACAGTAAGACAATTTTCATTCCACTCTGAAGCAAACCAAAGCTTCAGCAGAATAGATCAGATCTGGGTTTGTAAGATTCTAACACCAAGAGTAACTAGAATTGAAATCCTCCCAAGAACCCTGTCAGATCATAATCCGCTATATATGGAATTAAAAGGAAAGGACCCTTCTACACATAGATGGAGAATGAATGAGAGCTTATTTAATGACCAGAGTGTAGTGGAAACTGCAAAAGAGACAATAACAGACTATTTTAAATGGAATTTAAACAAAGAAACACCAATTGAAACAGTCTGGGACGCGAGCAAAGCGGTGATAAGGGGTTTCCTGATTCAAAAAAACAGCTTCCAGAAAAGAGGGAGAGAGAAGAAGAAAGAAGAGATCCTGTCCCAGCTCATGGAGAACGAAAAACAGCTAATAACAAAACCTAAAGATGAAATAATAAAACGAAATATAAAAATGTTGCAGTCTCAGTTCTCCATGGTGGTGGGACAGGACATCGAATGGAAAATAAAAACCATGAGACAAAAAATGTTTGAGTCGGCCAACAAAGTTGGGAGATTCTTGGTGTGGCAAATAAAAGCAAGACAAAAACAGAACACAATTTGTAAAATAAAAGATGGGGATAAAATGATTGAGGACCCGAAAGAAATTAGAAAAGTATTTCAGAGATTCTATAGAGATCTTTATAGGAAAGATAAAGAAGACAATAAGAGAATAGAAAAGTATATCCATGATCATAAACTACATCAAATCTCAGAAGAAGAAAAAAGAATGCTTAACCAGGAGATAACAGAACAAGAGGTCACGAAGGCAATAAAAAGAATGAAAATAGGGAAGGCCCCAGGACCGGACGGTATCTCAGCAAAGTATTATAAAACACTATCGCAATACCTGACACCTGTTCTAAGTGAAGTAATGAATAAAGTCTTAAGAGAAGGAAAGATGCCAAACACCTGGAAAGAAGCTTATATTACACTGATCCCGAAGAAAGAGGGGGATATATTAGATGTAAAAAATTTCAGACCAATTTCGTTATTGAATAACGACTATAAGCTATTTGCGGATATACTAGCGAATAGACTAAAAATGGTGTTAAATAAGGTGATACACAAGGACCAAACAGGCTTTCTGCCGGGGAGGCAACTAAGGGACAACGTAAGAAACCTGATAAATATAATTGAATACCTTGAAGTCAGAAATGAGAAACAGGCAGTACTATTGTTCATAGACGCGGAAAAAGCGTTTGATAATGTTTCTTGGCATTTCATGAAAGAAAACTTAAAAGTACTAGGAATTGGTGAAAATTTTTTGAGAGGTATTGACACGATTTATTCGGACCAAAAAGCAAAGTTAATAATTAATAACAACATATCAGATAACTTTGAGATAACTAAAGGTACTAGGCAGGGATGCCCTTTGTCTCCCTTGCTATTTATTACAGTCCTAGAGGTCTTGAATAAGAAGCTAAGAGAATCATCAGAAGTCAGAGGCATTAAGGTGGGACGAAAAGAATTTAAGTTAAGAGCCTTCGCAGATGATCTAGTCTTAACGTTGGAAGAACCAAGACAAAGTGTGAAAGAGGCAATAAAAAGAATGGAAGAGTTTGGGAAGGTATCAGGGTTTAAACTCAACAAAAACAAGACGAAAATGCTAGCAAAAAATCTGAAGAAAGAAGAGATGGAAGAATTACAAGTAGACTCAGGAATCGCGATAGCTAAAAAAATAAAATATTTAGGAATTTGGATGACAACAAAAAATATAAACCTGTACAAGGACAACTATGAGGTGGTATGGAAAGAAATTAAGAAAGATATGGATATATGGAGTAGACTAAAATTGTCATTATTAGGCAGAATCTCTGTGATAAAAATGAATATACTACCTAGACTGTTATTTTTATTTCAAGCAATACCAGTGGTAAAAGGGATAAGACAATTTAAGGATTGGCAAAAAAACTTAGCGAAGTTTGTCTGGCAGGGGAAAAGGCCAAGGATAAAAATGAAGATACTAGTAGATAAGAAAGAGAGAGGAGGTTTTGATTTACCAGACCTGACTTTATATTATGAAGCTTCGTGCTTGGTATGGTTAAAAGACTGGCTGACTTTAGAAAACACTGACCTATTAGATCTAGAGGGCCACGACAATAGATATGGTTGGCATTCGTACCTATGGTACAACAAAGTAAAGGTACATAAAGGTTTTCTAAACCATGTGATTAGGAAATCTTTATATGAAGTATGGGATCGGAATAAAAACCTCCTGGAAAGAAAGACACCGTGGTGGATATCACCAATTGAGGTGCTGACAACAAAAAAAGTAAACATGGAAGGGGAAAGAGTAACATATGAGGATATTACTAGGAAAACAGTCCAAGGGATAAAGCTCAAACCATATGACCAAATTGAAAAGATGTTAACAGGGTGGCTGCAATACCATCAGATCAGTGACTTATTAAAGGAAGACAAAAAGAGAAATGGGTTCGAAGATAAAAAATCGAAATTCCAAATCGAGTTAATAGACTGTAAAGATAAAATTTTATCAAGAATGTATAGTTTATTGCTAGAATGGTATACAAAAGACGAAGAAGTAAAGGAAACAATGATAAAATGGGCAATTGATATTGGGCATAACATTGAATTGGATGCGTGGAAAAGATTATGGAAGGAGGGTTTGAGATTCACAGGATGCATGGCTTTAAAGGAAAACTTGCTAAAAATGATGTATAGATGGCATTTGACGCCAGTAAAATTAGCTAAAATGTATAGGAAAAAAGAAAGAAAGTATTGGAAATGCAAAAAGGCAGATGGGGACTATTTCCATATGTGGTGGACCTGCGATAAGGTAAAAAATTTTGGGGAATCAATTTATAATGAACTCAAAAAAATATTTAGATATGCTTTCCCCAAAAGACTGGAAGCGTGTCTATTAGGCTTAATAGGAACAGAAATTAAAATAGAAGATCAAAATTTGTTCATGTATGCTACAGCTGCCGCGAGGACCCTTCTGGCCCAAAGATGGAAAGTACAAGATATACCAACTATACAGGAGTGGCAGGCGAAGTTGACAGAATATGCAGAACTTGCCAAACTGTCAGGGAGGATCCGGGACCAGGGAGATCAAAGATACCAAAATAACTGGAGTAAATTTATTGAATATTTAAAGAAGAATTGTAAAGAGGTCAAGACACTAGCAGGATTGACATAATACCTCCAATGTATAATAGTACTAATATGAGAATGATGTGTGTGATGGAAAGAGGATAAATATACCAGTTGTGGGGAGGGAGGGGGGTCGTGACTCGGCAGAGTCAAAGGGAATGTATGGTGCTATTACAATTTGTTGGAAAAGAATATGTAAGGAAAACAATAAAAATTCACTTGGGGGGGAAAAAGCAAGTATCTTTGAGTCTGCAGAAGATGTTCATAAAAATAAAGAAGTTGTATCTCTTATAGTGAAAGGAAGTCTGGAAAGGATGACCATTAGTGTATCCAGCACACCATTATCTCCTCTTCAGGTTGCAGAAATTATTAGAACAGAACACTTTGCACAGTTCAGCAGAGATGTTCTGCCTGACCTTAAGGCTTCAGCAGCTTCTGCCACTGATGAACACAATGATAATAAAACACGAGTTGTTCTACAGTGGTGCCCCGCAAGACGAATGCCTCGCAAGACGGAAAAACCGCTAGACGAAAGGGTTTTCCGTTTTGAAGTTGCTTCGCAGGACGAATTCCCCTATGGGCTTGCTTCGCAAGACGAAAATACCTTACGAGTCTTGAGATTTTTTTCGCTTTCCCCTTTATCTAATCTGCTAAGCCTTTAATAGCCTTTAATAGCCTTTTAGCAGCTAATCCCTAAGCCTTTAAGCCTTTAATAGCCGCTAAACCGCTAATAGCGCTAATAGCGCTAATCCGTCAATGGGCTTGCTTCGCAAGACGAAAAAACCGCTAGACGAAGACTCTCGCGGAACGGATTAATTTCGTCTTGCGAGGCACCACTGTATTAAGTGCACATTCTTTAGGGTTAGCCTAGCTGTTATGTACCCCATCCTGATTTGATTACATACCACAAGCAAACACTGCAGAGTTTTCCTGAATATTTTTATTAGCCATCATAAATAGAATGCTTTCTCAAGGAGACTGTGGTTAATATATATATTATGGAAGAAAACACTCCCAGAGTCTCACTTCATTTGCATGCAGCCGCAACTGACTACCAGACCTACTCATTTTCACAACTCGCACTAAAGCCAGATTTTAAGGCCTCACAATGTAGATTCGAAACGTGGGTGTCAATTTCGGAGCCAGGCATATACCTTTTTAAAAAAAAATTCAGGCCTTTCGCATTCATTTTCATCTTGCCTGATGAGTTTTTAAAAAAGTTTTTAAACCATTCATATAGAATTTGATGCCTTTTGTATATATTCTCCTGTTTTCAATTTGTTGCTGGCAATCAAAAATTGGGAGAATCTTCTTGGGCTCAGGTCCTGCTTGCAGGCTTCCCATAAGAAACTGATTAGCCACTAAGAGATCAGGATGCTGGGCTGAATGGGTCTTTGGTCAGATCCAGAAGAAACCTTTTTATGGTCTTTTTATGGCATTTGGAAACTGTGAAAGGAATTTGATGAGGATCATATAGTGTGGTACCTCAGGTTAAGAACTTAATTCGTTCTGGAGGTCCATTCTTAACCTGAAACTGTTCTTAACCTGAGGTGCCACTTTAGCTAATGGGGCTTCCCGCTGCTGCTGCTGCTGCTGCTGCTGCTGCTGCTGCGTGATTTCTGTTTTTATCCTGAAGCAAAGTTCTGAACCTGGGGTACTATTTCTGGGTTAGTGGAGTCTGTAACCTGAAACATCTGTAACCCAAGGTACCACTGTATATGAGTCTGAGCACTGGTCCATCTAGCTCATTACTGCTTACACTGAGAAAATTGTGTTTTTTTTCTCCCAAGCCCTTGCCAAAGATTGAACCTGGGACTTTTGCAGCAAAAAGAACCAAGAGCCTTGCAACAGCAAATTTTATTATGAAATAATCTTTGTTAGCCTTTCAAGATGCCACATGTTCATTTGTTATTTTGTTTAATAGCCCTTTAAAAAAACCAATTAATGGAAATGACAGGGGAGAAAGTGGGGTGAAAATTAAAAAACTAGGATAGATAAAATTAGGATTAAGCAAATTCACGGATGATAAATCCACCAACAATTATTATGATTCGTGGGTAAGAAAGGGGACTTTTGTGTGGCTGGAATGTAGCGTACTGCACAAAGGTAGCAGTTGCATCCATTGCTCCAAAATACATCCCCATCCCTGCCTCCATGGCTGGGTGGCAATGGCGCATGAAGAAGCTGCCGAGACAGACCACTGATCCATCTAGCTCAGTACTGTAGGCCTCGACTTGCAGTTGCTATCCAGGGTTTTAGTTGGGGGTTCTTCATAATAAGTCTTAACTAGAGTTGTCAAGGATTGACCCCAAGGCCTACTTCTGAGCTACAGTAATTTTAAATTTCTATTTAAATGTAATTAATACATACAGGCTCATGAAAGGAAAACTGAGGTTCACGAAGAGATTTTGGTCCAATTTTTACACACAAGCTTAATGATCGAACATGGTAATTATTCGTCCCATTGCTTAACATTAAGGTAAGTTTCTTGAATCAACTCTCGCACATGTGAAATTTCGCAAGACGTTTGGCTCACAACGCTTTGGATCCTGATCATGCTTTGTACAAAACCAACAACCACAGAAGTAATACAATCTTCCAATTAAAACCAACAATGATATTTATCAAGAACTGTTACCAAAAACCCACACCTTTTTCATGCAGGAGAGTAAAGACCTTTGGAGAATACAAATTGCCCTCTAGAGCCACTTTCAGATATTTAAAATATTTGAAGCAAGTCTTTGGGTTTCTTTGTGCTTTTTCAGCTGCAATTCTTTTAAAAAACCAAGTCATTCATATTATTAGCATTATCCTCTCGATGTATTCCCCCCCAAAGAGTTCCCGACAGGAAATTACTAATTAATTTCATCATTATTTTTCTTTCCTTAAAAATATAAATAATATTGCATAGTGACCTTGTGTACTGTTTTCCAGCTTAAGTTTGTGCAAATCACAAAATCTGTCTTACAGCCTCCTCCTTGATAGCAAGGCCAAAAGGAATACATTGACTTAATAAAATGTAAAGCCATGAAAAAATGCTGACATAGCAGGCCACCAGGATTATGCACTGGGTTTCAACACACCATTTCAACAGATGACAATAACGGAGTAGAAACTTATTAAAATACTTTAAGTCCTCCCCCCTCTTTTTAACAAGTCAAATTCAATTTGATATGCATAGTAAAATGAAAAGGTAAAAAGGAACATCTAGCATAGGACTTCAGCAGGAAAAAACAAACAAAACAAAAACCGATTTCAAAGATGAGATAATGGATTTTCTCACTATTATAAAGCCCAGTTCAAAAGCCAATTCCATAGGCAAAACTAACCTCCATCTTTCTCCTATCTGATCTTTCCTATCTGATCTTTCAATTGAGCAGTATCTCAATTATTCAGTTATTTTGAAGCCCTTCCCTTCCCGTTGTCCCCTAATATTGGTTGGGAGGTGGGGGAGAGAAAGAATTGCAGAGAATGACCATGAATGTTCTATCTGTAATTGTCATGGGTAGCACTGCAAGACAGAATGTCATCAGACAATCACAATCAGAAGTTAAGAGTTCTGGTCAAAGCACAGAAGCAACACATTATCTGTTACCAAAAAGAGATGAAAGAAATATGGCAAAGGGGGAGCTTCCAGTTCCTTTCCCAGACATATGCACACAAATGCACACGGACACACATATATCAAACTCTCAGCGGCAGAGTTGCTCTGATCAGCTCCCAAGCAAGCGAATGCTGATGGAGGAGGGAAAAAGTGATTTGTGCCCAATGTAGGTGCATTCCTTATTGTAAGCCTTCTAAGCATCTATTTATCATATCAGGTGGATCTGACACCCTGCCAGAACAGTGAATTGAAGTTAAATTCGCCAAACAGTCGTTTTACAAACATGGCTTGCATTTGACACTCTGTAAATCTGGCACCAAATGCTTTCAGCAGACACTGGATTCAGTCAAGAGCTCCAACTGGAAGCTCAAGCATGGATCTGACCCTAGCAGCATCGCTTGACATGTGGTACCAACAGTGCCGAATGCAAGCCACAGTTGCAAAGGGGGAAAAAAATATCAAAGCACCTGATATGAAGTCAGGTGAGTGACAGGTGGCCAAGGGGCAAATGGCCTTACAGATCAAATAGATTCTTTGGCCCATCTCTACTGGAAATATGGTGGCAGAAACTAGGAACAGGACTTTCTAAAAGGGGAGCGCTCCTGCCTGGTGAGATCTAACAGGCTCCTCTTCCTTTCACTGGCTGTAAACTTAAAAAAAGAATAATTATGATTAAGGAAGGTCTTTGCAATGTAATCTTTTTGGCTGTTCTTAAACTGATTTTTATGTTGTGGAAAACCTCTATTTCTTCCCTGCCCTTTCTTGGATTGGCATTAGTGCAAACATTTACATGCCAACCTGAGGCACTCTTAAACTGGTTCTCAAAGTATATTTAGGAACATTCTCAGGCTCACTTAAACTGGCAAGGAATGCTGAACTTTAGAAGGGGGGGGTGTATGTGAGGGAACAGATGATTTTCCAAACTCTAAACTGGGGGTCACTGGGCCTTCCAGATGTTGTTGGACTCAAATTCCTACCAATCCCAGCCAGCATGGCCCATGGTCAACAGAGTTATAGTTCAGCAGCATCTGGAAAGCACCACTTTGCCTACCCCTGCTCTAAATACTAGGCAAGTATTACTTTTGAACAAGGCCATTTATTTCAGAAACTTCCAAGACACAGGAAAAGTAGGGCAAGGCATTAACGCACCAAGTAAGCATTATTTGATAGATAGTCTGTTTGGGGACTAAAAGCTTTTGCAAACAAGCAAAGAAGACATCTGTATTCAAGCAAAAGAAGGAGCTGATCAGGGATGCTACAGAAGTGTATGTGAAGATCTGAGCAAAACCATCTGGATCAATGTTTGCAAATGAACATGCTGCAAATTATCCTAATTCTTCTTCACTATGAAGAAATTAATGATGTCCTTTATGATAAAGGGCAAAATGTCTGGACTCAGATACGGTGTGAAATCATGGTTTGTGATCTGTAACTGTAGTTTAAATTCCACACAGTGGCTTAAGCTTCCAAGTGTGCAGCAGGCCAGCTGGGGTCTAGATCTGTTTGCTTTTGTTTCCTTTTTTAAAAATTTGTCTTTATTGATTTAAAATATCATCTTACATATATGTTACAAATAGTTGCAGCAAAATTAAACACAAAAATATAAGAGAAAAAAGATAAAGAAAATAAAAATAAAAAAGGAGAGTTAACAATAAGAAATGAATATTGGTTATAACATCCTGTCTTTTCTAATGAAGTCTTCTGAAAGAAACCTCCAATCATTCTCGTTGTACTTTTTCTATTGTTTTAATTTTATTGCAGTTTTATGACTTTTCCTGTATATTTTTCTAGTATATTTATTCCATTTGTATATTATATACAAGTATCATTCAGTTCTGCTAGGGTAACATCATTTTTACAATAAAATCTTATATATTCTTTGAATAGTCTCCATTCTCTGCTTGCCTTTGTTTCCTATCTGCTCTGCATTCAACATCAACATCAAGCTCGCTTCCATTTTCATGGTGCAACAGTCTTCCAAGAGGTTTGTCAAGGCTCTGAAGAATCACCATCACATATTCCAACAGCAAACTCATTCTCTGACTGAGGATCCTTATATAACCAAAACGGCACCATCCACAAACAGAGGGTAGTATAAACAGGTGTGCGGGAACCCCAGTATTTGCAGAAATACTGAAAAAATACCCTCCCAAAATCAAAGAGGATTGAAAAGATAGGGAACTCAGAATACTGTTTTTTATTGGGGGCAAGGAGAGATGGAAATGAATATTCAGGAAGAATGAGCCTAACAATAACTCTCCCTACCTTTGATTCCCAATAACTGGCATTCAGAGGCTTACTGCATGCTTTGTAAACCAGCTTAAAACTGTGGTTTCAGATCCTAGTCACAAAACCTGTTAGCTGGCTCAGGTTTGGGCATGAAAATCCTGGTTCAGCAAAACAAAATGTGATTTTACATGACCTCCAGGCTGGCTCAGAGCAGGTGGTAACGTTTATTGTTACATTAACACCTTCTGCTATAGATTGAATTACTTTGCATACCAGCTTCAGCTCCCATTTTATATTTACTAAAAATTCAAACTAATTAAGAAAAGCAGTATTGGATAGTGCATAAAGAAGACATGACTAATGGATTTCTTTTGCTCCATGACTTCACACCAATAAATGCTATTTTGGAAATGGATTACTGGGAAAGGATTAAAATGGAAATAAACAAATACCCAACTATATACATGTTGTTATACTTGATTGTGACAAATAGTTGTGTGGTTTTTTAAAAAAAAAGTTTCTTGATTACCTACTTCCATACTTTTCCATTATTTTAATATTCCCTTGCTCTTCAGCTTATCTGCTCAGACTGGTTGCACTTTTCTACATCCGTAGCAGCAACACTTAAATCATGTTTATATTGTAAGAATGAAAACATAATAATTAGTTCCAGAAAGGTGTTGTAGAAAGGTATTTTGAGCTATGCCCCTTTCTCCTTAATCCTTCTTTTACTGAGAGACACACTTTCAAAAGAATTATCTTAGAAATAGCTACTGATCTGTGTCACCCCCAAAACCTGATTTTACTCAAAACGAGCCCACTTTCCACAGACTCCAATCTCCTAATCCAACCTAAAGATATTCATCTCATTAGTTAAAACAGAGCTGGAGAACCTGTCACTCTCAAGATGTTTCTGGAGTCCAGCTCCCATCAGAACCAGTCAGCGTAGCCAATGGTTAGGGTCAACCGCGGACCTGAAGACTCAACAGTGTTCCAAATGAAAGCACCACACACACAACCCTTGAAGCTGTATCAATGGCTGCTTCTGAATTAGAATCATATGAGTATTCAGTTGCTGGAAAGCATTCGCCTTCCTCTTACCCCTTTCCTCATCTTATTTTTGTTTTTTACAAGCTACATGTTTACCCTTTGGAGAACCTTTTTCACATAAAGCCTACCTCCCATTTGATTTTGGAACACAATACAAACGGTAATGCATTTATAGTAGAGATTGGAACAAAGACATCTAATACATGGAGTAGACAATAGTTTAATAAGAGCAAATAAAACCTACTCATCCGAGTCGGATCATGTTTTCCACCAAGCTAGTAAACAGCTGCAGACAGAGTCTGCTTCCGATCAAAGAGTCTATGTATAACATATTATACCTCTGTATCTCTCTGATGGTTCACTGGTAATTTTTCAAAACCATAACCTCTGAAACATATGACAACTATATTTTATTGAAGACATACTATGACCACTCCGCTCACTAATTCAGAACAATTCAAAATGCATAATGCAGGTGCCAAAAGCCATCTAAATGTCTACATACTCCATCTGTTGGCTTTTGTGACTGTAAAATTGCAAAAGGCTTCAAAAAGGAAAGTAGGGCATTTTAAAGTATAATGTGAAAAAATAATAATAACAGAGTGGTATGTGTGCTTATTTTCAGTGTTCAGAAGAAAACATTTCTCAACTAACAGCTTTAAAAGGTAGCTTGTAGGACACTGCACCTCTGACTAGAAAAACTGGAATTCAAAGGCAGGCAATTTACAAAGTTGTAAAACCACTAAGGCTACAATCTTCGACAAACTTACTAGAAAGCAAGCCTCATGGAGCCTAGTCAGGCTTCTGAGTAAACAGAAACAGGGTTGTGTTGCATGGCACTAGCTAGAACTTAACAAGGTTGTTGAATTTCAATTGAAACCAATATTCTAATTAGAATGAAGAATCCAGTTTGGTTATTTGCTTGTACTTTGAACAAATAAATGTTAAATGACAATCTTTTGCTATGCAGACAGACAGACATATATATGGCAGTTACTCTTATGAACAAGATTGCAGTTCTACTGGCAGGCTACAAACATAGCACATTCCTTTCCAAGATTGTATACTGCAATTTTATTGATATCGAGTTGTTGTTCCAATATTTAAATGCCAGAGTCAGATTTCCAGATGGGAAAAATTTGTGAAACCACAAAATTCTGCAAAATGCAATTACAGCTGAAGTCATTATTTTTTTTTATTATTGCATTGCATTCTTGAAATTTGTATACCGCCTTTCATTCAAAGATCACAAGGAGGTTTGCAACATAAAAATATGAAATGAAAACACAAAATATGTAACAAAAAACTAACAGACTAAGATAACAGACCAATGAACACATTTAAGAGGCCATAGTACTATCAGGAATCCTATCTGCTCAGATGTGCCCTAAGTTCATTTGAGTTGCAGACAGAAAAAAACCAGGCTGCCCATGATTTACTGTGAAATGCAATGCATGCTTACCCACCGTGCTCACTGGGGCTTACTCTCTTGTAAGCATGCATAGGATTACAGCCTTGGTCTAATTCTTTATTCTAAACCAAATGTTTTAGATCCTGACACCTACTGAGAAGTGGTTATATCAGTTTCCCAGTGTTCGTGGGGCTGAGTGTTTTGCTAACATTTCACCTTCTACAACTATACCTATACTGTTGCCCAGGTTATTTCAACAAGGTTGCCGAGAACGTATGGTAGAGGTAATAATATACTCTCAAGAGGCTTTGAAGATCATTACGTTTAACAAAAGGTTTCCATTATCCAAAATGTATCCATCTGGGGATACACAGAGATCATAACAGAAAAGTGTGCTGCAATGTTTCTGTGGAATGTTTAGCTTCCTGACTGAGTTACAAGAGAAGCCAAATGTAGCGTAACTATTTGAGATATCTAACTTTGGAGTTAGAAATTCTGATAAGCTCTTCTTAAGTAGTATCCTAATGGAACATCACCACCTTATGGAAAAGTGGGAGAAAAAGGAGGGCAAGTTCTTGTGGACTCAAAAACAGAACTGTGCAGAAACACCTATGCAAACGTTACCTCATATGTAATCGGTATAATGATGCATGACTTCATAAGATTAACTGCAAATAACTATCAGACAGCTGTATAGCCTGCTGTTTTGCAATATGCATGGAAAGATGGACTGTCCACCCATGGTATATCTTCAGTTTCAGCAACAGCCTAATAGAAGATTTCCTGCTGACTTGACATCAGCTTGTGGTACAGGTGCAAAGGACTTATTTCCTGGCAAGTGCAAGAAGAATTAATCTATAAACCATAAGGACAGCTTCTCCCATTCCATAACAGTTTGTGAAATTAATTGCAATAGCATGCATATCAACTTTGGGTAGAAAACCTGTTCTATCATGAGCTAATATAATCAAAACAAGTAGGGGGGAGGACCCCAAATAGTTCCCTACAAAGCTAATTGACGGAGATGGATTGAATAGCATAACTGGGAATTGCTCTTTCTTAAATTATTTCTGGCTATTGAAAGGTCTTATGACAGAAACAAAAAGATGTCAATTTTAATTAACTGAAAAACAATGGGAAATGTTTCAGTTGGTCTCAGTGAAAGTATCCCTGAGGTGAAACAGCTTCTCTTTTGAATAGTATGAACTCGAAATTTTTGCTGCATATGCTGGCTTGAGAAATACACACAAAAAAAGCCTTGAGGGAGGCACATTTCTTTTCTGATTTGGGCATTAATTTTTTTTTTAGAAATTATGCTTCCATAAAAAATTGCCACTGGCTGGGCATTTCTCTTAAGATAGGTGAGAAAAAGCTTTCAGTCTTTTGCCTTGCTGGGCAAAGGGGGAATTAAAGGACTGGACATTAAAATAATGCTTCAGGAAAAAATATGACGGCAAACTGCTAACATTAAACTCACTTTGGAGATACTTTAGATAGACAGTACAACATTTTTATATAGGTTGGGCGAAAACATTATTTTGGACTTAGTAGCATCCCTGAGAGCTGACATAACTCAGTGCCTAAAAGTGAAACCCTGTATATGAAACTAAGAAGCAAGTGCTATGAAGTTCAATCGAGTTTACTCCCAGGTAAGTGACAAAGCTACAAATCCCCAATTCAAATGTTGATTCTGCCACTATCTCTCAGCTTCAACACCCCCTCACTCAGCAAAAGGAGAAAACAATACTGACTTACATTACTAGAATTGCTAGAATTACAAAAAGCAATGAAAAGAGTTTGTGAAATGATTTGAAAGTTTAAAATACAGAGTATTTTTTTTATTTTACTGGGTTCTTATTTTATTCGGCAAGATTTAAATACCACTTAATTCACAAAAATCCCCTCAATTTATTATTGTGCTTTTGTTCCTTATTCCCTTCTAAATCACCTGGGAACATAAATTAATTCTGAAGGCACAGGATGTAAATTATGTAAAGGAATATCCTAGTTTTAATGTACCATTAGGAAATCTGGTATCTACGATCTTTAATGACAGGGGCTTAGAAGTCTTCAATCACAGCAAACTGTTAATTATTAAGTAATCTGCTATATATCTCTGATACCCACTAAACAGACATGCACCTTCTCATTGGGTATACGCTATACACCAACATCTGTCAACATGCAATGAAGATAAATTTAGAGCTCACTCCATCCACATGCCAAGCACAAATGGCAGGACTCAGATAGAAGCACTCTCAGTTTCTGCTCTATAGCCAAGGCGACAATTGGGGATTATTCTGCAGGAGCAGGCACTTAATGACCTGGTAGTAAAATAATTTCTGAGATACATTATTTCCAATACATTTCAAAATGTGTTCAGTTGCCCCTCAAGTCTTCAATCCAGCTAAATAAATCAGTAGGAAAGAATCTAAATTCAACAAAAGTGAAATGGAAATATTAACACTAAGCCAGGTAAGGCCAAGGCTGGAGAATTCAACCACAGCACAAGTTTGGTCTCATTCATGGGGTGAGTGCAAAGGGGACTCTGAGATCTAATTTGCACACTTTATTTGAAAATTATTATTTTTATTCTACGTAATAAGAAATTTTGGTAGATTTGATCATGGTTTTACTGCATATGTATCAACTGTTTTTTGTGTTGTTTTTCCTTCTTTGGATGATGCTATGGCCTTTGGCTAGTGCAATAAAAGTTTCTCTCCCTATCTCCCTATTTTCATATTTATCAAAACGCAGACACCACTGTAAGAGCCTGATCCTAGGGATGTAGCGTTCTCGGAGGAAATACTACTAAGCACTATTGCTATGCCAAAATCCGGCCCCATTCCCTAAAGATTCTAAAAATGTACACATGCACAATCTACCTGCACAATCTGTACCCTGAAGAGGGTGCAAATTACGCCAAGCAGCTCCATGCATGCAGACTTTATGTGCAAACAGTTTGTAGGTTGCATTTACAGCTTCAGATAACTGTGCACACTTTAAGCAAAAGGCACTTCCTGTATCCACACAATCATTTCTTTGTATGTGTCATATCAAAGGGATACTGTGCTATGCTACCAGCCTAAGGCCAGAAGCAGACAGGGTTGCCATGCAATATTCTGCGCTGAGCAGAGGTATGGCTGAGGCTTCCTGATCCCCTCACCTGGCTAGAATGTACTCCTTTGTCCGCTGGAAGAAAATAATGTTGTAATCTCTGTTCTGCATTTTACATTGCACAGCAATATCAAATGTCCTGAACCTGATGCTGCACTTTATCTCATATAGCAATACAGAAACTGCAGGGAAACATCAAGATATATACTTTCATTTTCGTTTCATATAGAAATGAAACTAACATTCATCATTTAAAAGCTTAAAACCCTGCACAACTAATGCACAAGCACTGTCATATACACACAATTCCTCAATACGTTTCAGGTTGGCTTTAAAACCCCCCAAAAAACTCATTATCTGAAACATAACTTAAAACGCAAGCAAAGCATATTGGAAGAAATGGCTGGCAGGTTCCAGTACTTTCATCGTAAAACTTTTGTGAAGAACTAAATATATGTTTCATCCTAAGCATGTGTTTATCTGGCTGCCAGAAGGATAAAGTACTGGAAGATGTCAGCTTTGAATCTGTTAGACCTGGAAAGGTAGTTAGCGTTTTAAAAGAAAAAGTGCATCTGGACCTTGTAACTTAAAGTAGATAAACCTTTCAGTTTGCATGTTTCCTTGCAATGTTTTTCTTGATACCATACCTCACTGGTTTCCTGTCTCGAAGCAAATCTTCCAGACTCTTTCCACAGTGTTCCGCAACAACCACTAGCCTCTCTGATGAAAAATATACAGAGAGAGACAGATTTAGTATCTCAGTGCACACAGGCACAAAAACACTTTCACTCTCGCATCCCACTGAAATTAAAGCCATATTATGGTAATGCTGCATCTCATAATACAAAGAGGATGTTTACTTATTTTAGGGGAATAGAAAATCATACTGAGTATACGTTACACAGAATATAACCAAATTAACACGTAGATGGCAATTATTTGCAGCCAACAACTGTCTAGAGTAATTTCAGTGTAGAGAACATATGAGCATATATATTTTTTTCTCATTTTACATCAACTACTAGTAAATAGAAATTTTCTGTGATAGGCTGTTTTTACTGATCAATAATTTTGTATTTGTTTTTGGTTGTATTCCACCAGTTTCTGATTTGCAGTTTTTATGGAGTGTGTGCTTTTAGCATGGTAAAGATTTTGTTATTATTGTTTTGGTTATAAACTCTGAATATTGTATACATTTTATATTTCTCCATGTTGCCTTGGGTCATTTTTGAAAAAGGTAACTAAGATTTTTTTTTTAGCAACTATTGCCATTTTTTGAAAGTTTCTTTCTCAGTTTTACGGTCAGTACTTCCAATTTTCTACTTTTTCTAAATGCATTTGTAAATGTATTAGAAACTTCTAGTATTATATCAGCTACTCTTTCAGTATCAAAATTACCAAATTTTTTTGTGTAAGTGAAGGAAGACAAGAAAGAAAAAAATAGATAAGTGGGTACCATTTGTTTTGGAATAGGGCTAGTAAAATAATAACAAAATATACAAATTGTTTCAGTTGCTACGAGTACATATGGGTTAACCTACTTGCTTGGTATTTTCTCCATTTCTTTTATTTATCACATTGAGGAGATAGACCACTGTTTTTGAAAAGGAACATTTCTCCATTACTGTGAAGGAGAGCAAATTTTAAGGCATAGCACTTGCTCCCTTTGTACATTTACAAACATTCATCACACCATTTCCCCCACATAAAGCTTAGTTTACAATTTACTTTTTTCAATGCAAGAAAGTGCCATACTTTTCCGTGTATAAGACTAGGTTTCTTTCTTTAAAAATTATGCTAAAAAGTGTGGGCCGTCTTATACATGGAGCCATCTCCCCCCATTTTCTAAAATTTGAGTTCCCCAAAACAGGGGGCATCTTATACACAGGGGCGTCCTATACATGGAAAAATATGGTATTTCAGTTGCAGGTCCCCAACAGGACATAATTTTAGAGGCCCATACTTATAAGAATCGTGCACCAGCCCTGGAAAGGTCCCTTGCCATTGTTCCTCTGACATCAGTGCACTGATGGTGGAGAGGTCAAAATGGGGGGGGGGTGGCATTTCAGTAGCATGTTGGGAGTTGATAGGGGGAGGCTTCAGATCTGTTGAATCCTTCCATCCCCACAATATGCCCTTAATATGGCATGTATGCCCTGGGGCTGGATCAAATGAGAGGAAATACATTATTTAAAGAATACCTCAAGACAGCCAATGGAAGGGGGCCAAGAGAAAACCCTACCCACCCACTCCACCTAGTGCCCTGCTGGACACCAGCTTTCGATTTGACAGCTCATCCACTGCAAGTACCGCCTCTCCCAACCCAGTAAGATTTCTCTTTTAAACAACTGAAATATATAAACCGTGTTATTTAGGAATGGACTGTAATGGTCAAAAAGGGATAGGTATTCAGAGATCAACTGAAGGAAAACAGTGCCTCATGCTGAAACCTCTCCTGCCCTCACCAACTCCATTCACACAGGAGCCTTACTATCATCCACGACTGAGGTGCGTGGATGAGCATGGGGAACAGTTACCCTGAACATGATGCTGTGGGAGCCACCAAAATCTTAGTAATTGTCAACACTGTTCCCGATAACAGCATTATTTAAGGCAGGATTTCCTAAACTGTGCTCCCTGAGCTTCATTTGGGTGGTCTGTGGATTTTGGTTGAGGATGGTATCTCCATCCCATTAAATATCCACATTGGTTTTTAAATGCATTTGTAGTGTTTCTTTTATATCTTGTATTGTATTTTATGGCATTACAATTTTAATTCCATGGAAATTCAAACAAATAAAAAGAGATCGTGACAGGCACATCCATTCTGCTGCACTAATTTTGTTATAAAATGCACCGCCAGCTAAGACTATTTTTGGATTTTCCTCTCTGAGCTGCGTCATAATACATTATTCTTGTATAGCTGTAAGAATATTGACATTCTATGTACAACCACCTCTCCTTTAAAACAGATTTACAATGTGAAGCTTCTCCTCTGCTTTGCCAGACATTCTGCTTAGCTATACAGCAAAAGCTACAGTTAAATAAAATTCACCATGTAAAAGAAAAGAAACTTCACTTAAAAGTAATAAAACTGATCCCAGGTGTAACAGTCACCCTCCACCCCTGCCAAGATACCAAGAAAGCACGATCATATTGAATAAGTTTGGAACAGTTTATAGAAGACAGGAAAACCCTGACTTCTGAACTAACTTTTATTCTTTGGCGATCACTCGTAGCCAAGTAAGATTGTCTTCCATAAACACGCTTTTAACGATGAGTCGTAAGTGACTGTGGAGGCCAAGTCTGGACCCACACGTCCTTCCACAATGGGGACATTGGTTCCCAGGCGGGAGTTGATCACGGTGTGGATTTGCCAAGTGTGCCTTCCTCTTAGCACAGTTCTCCCTTTCATCCTGCGTTCGAGTGTCTTCAAAGCTCATGACACCTTTGGTAAAGACTGTTCTCCAACTGGAGTGCTCACAGGCCAGTGTTTCCCAGTTGACGGTGTTTATACTACATTTTTTTAGATTTGCCTTGAGACAGACTTTAAACCTCTTTTGTTGACCACCAGCATTACGCTTTCCATTTTTAAGTTTGGAATAGAGTAGTTGCTTTGGAAGATGATAATCAGGCATCTGCACAACATGACCAGTCCAACGAAGTTGTGTTGAAGAATCATTGCTTCAACACTGGTGATCTTTGCTTCATCCATTACACTGATATTAGTTTGCCTGTCTTCCTAAGCAATGTGTAAGATTTTTCGGAAAATACAACGCCCTTTAAAGGACAGGTCACATGTAATATCCAGCATGAGAATGGGAAAATCAAAAATGTAAATGGAACAAATAAAGTCAAGTGAAAAACTGAACAGCCGATTATAAGCAGCACATAGAGCAGCATGCCAGGCAAGTTGTGAGGAAGGCTTTGTATCTTTCAAGGAGTCCTATGTGTGCATACAGAGACAAGCTGCACACATAGCATTGCAGTTCTCCTCACAGGAGGAATATGTAAGATTAAAAAGATGCACTTAAGAGATGGCATTTCGCAAAGGAAATAGCCTGCTAAAATGGGCATAGTTCAACCCGAAATCTCCTTTTTTCAGTCATGCTAAAGTCCCTTCCAACTCTACGATTCTATGATTGACTTGAAACATTCCGTGGCCTACGAGAGATACACCGAGGTGCCTGCTCTTGATGGCTTACACTCCCTCTGAAGGAGTGGGTACATAGCTTGGGAGGACTTCTGGACCCTTTGATGTTGCTTGACGCTCAGGTGGCCTCGGTGGTGTGGAGTGCCTTCCATCAGTTTCGGCTACGGACCTAGCTGTGTCCCTATTGGGATAAGGATAACCCAACTTTTGTCATCTATGCTCCGGTAACCTCTTAGTAAGATTACTGAAACACATTATGTGTAGGGCTGCCTCTGAGGACAGTTTGAAAACTTTAGCTGGTGCAGAATTTGGCAGTCACGCCACTCACTAGGGTAAGATGGTTTGAGCATATTACACCAATCCTGGCCTGATTGTACTGGCTGCCAATTAAGTTTCCAGGCCCAGTTTGAAGTGCTGGTTTTGACCTAAAAAGGTAAAGGACCCCTGACAGCTAAGTCCAGTCGCAGACGACTCTGGGGTTGCGGCGCTCATCTCGCTCCAAGGGAGCCGGCGTTTGTCCGCAGACAGTTTTTCCGGGTTATGTGGCCAGCTTAACTAAGCCGCTTCTGGCAAAGCCAGAGCAGCACACGGAAACGCCGTTTACCTTCCCGCTGGAGCGGTACCTATTTATCTACTTGCACTTTTTGGCATGCTTTCAAACTGCTATGTTGGCAGGAGCTGGGACAGAGCAACAGGAGCTCACCCCGTTGCGGGGATTCGAACAGCCAACCTTCTGATCAGCAAGCCCAAGAGGCTCAGTGGTTTAGACCACAGCACCACCTGTGCCCCAACTTTTGACCCAGAAGGCCTTAAATGGACCACAATACCTCAAGGACTACCTCTTCCCATATGAACTGACCCAGATCCTGTGATCATAACCTGAGGCCCTTCTTCATGTGCCTCCTCCACATGAGGTCCTCAGGGTGGCAACATGAGAATGACTCCCCATTTGTGGAATGCTCTCTCCAGAGAGGCTTGCCTGGTGCCTTCATTACATATCTTTATGTACCATGTGAAAATATTTCTCTATAACGAGGCCTTTGGCTGATAAGCATCCTATGGCCTTTTAAAATGTGTTTTTGGTAGGAGATTATGGGCTTATTTTTATTTTTAAAATGTATTTTTGTGTTCTTATTTTGTATTTCTATGTTGTGAACCACCCTGTGATCTTTGGATGAAGGGCAGTATACAAACAGAAATAACAGAATAAGTAAATTACAGCTTATATTTCATCTTCAACATGATATATGGCACACTGATAAGTTCCAAAATGCGAGGACTGGGAGAGAACTGTCGAGGCCGCCTTCTGTGGAGCACATTTCTTTTAAACTCTGAACTTCAAAAGAGAGATTTGAAGAATTAAATAAAAAGAAAGACAGATTGATGAATTACAGGAACCTATGGAACAAATGGACTGAAAGAAACCTGCAGTTTTCAAGAACACCCCCCCCCCCAAAAGCATGTGAAGGAACAGAGGGTGGAGGGGGGAATGGAGTAAAGAGAGATAAGCAGAGTGTGAAAAAGAAAAGGAAATACCTAAAAATTATCAATGTGATCTGAACTACAGGATAACAAAGGCCTGCAGCCCAGCAGCATACATCTGTGTCTGTTATGTGCAACAACAGAGACAAGCCTGAAAAATGCTGCTGCAGAGTCAGTCTGGGGAAAAGCAAACTGCCGTCTTAGGGGGAAAAAATGCTGATGGCTGCTTTGAAGTCTAATGCTCTGAAACACATGCACAGAATAATTACTGTAACACTCCTACATGCACACCCCAAAGTTATGGGGCAGGGAGGGGGGAGAAAGCACACTCACCATGCTTTCCACGGGAAATGTCCACATACTGGCAGAGCCTAGGATGCGTAATTGTCTTAAGAATCTGAAAGCGTCCCAGGATCTTTATGGAGTTTGGCGTCAAGGGCAGGCCGTTGCTCCCACAAACATCATTTGGAAGAGCAGAAGCAAAGAAGGTAAAGGCTCCCAATTCCGCATCCTTTAAGGGAAACATCTTAGGAGTTCCGTGAGATACCCCTCCTTGTACGTAGCGTTCCCTTGAAAGAAAGAAAGAAAAGGGAACACAAACAATAAAACCAGGCTGCAAGGCTCCAAACCAGTAAACAGGCTGCCTATAGAGAAAAAAAAACCAGTTAAAAGCCTACAGGTTTAATTTTAAGGCTAGTCAAGCAAACGGATGCCATTGATATTACTGCTGGTTATAACAGAGCAATGAAAGCTGTTTTTAGCATTTGAAAATGTATAAAGCAATAAACTGCAAGTCAACAGAATATTTAGAGGATTATAGCCTGACCTGAACTCTGCAAAGGAATCATGCTATTTATTCAAGTCCAGTAAGTAAGGATACAATCTAGAAAGCCTGGGCATCCATCCATATTTGAGCAGCAGAAGCCAGTCACTATTTTGCAGGAAGGAGTCAAGTACATAGTAGAAATTAAGTCCACACAATTAAAGCAGATTATAACACCCTGTTGCCCTGGACCACCAAATCCACTAAAAAAAATAGCAACTATCAATGGACTTTTTGTGTTAAAAATATGATGGGGAAATGCACTGAAAAGTTTGGGAAGTTTTTAAAGCAACCTGCAGACAAACCAGGATGAATGTTTAATGTCCTATAACATCCCCACGAACCATTCTGAATGAACACTCATGCAAATCAGAATGAATGCTCCATAAGCAGGTCATCTGTAGGAGCCCTGAACTGCAAACACTTTTTGGCATTATATAGAGTTGCTGTTGTGGGGAAACAGAACTCCCACCTACTGCTGGCTAAATGACACAGGGAACATGATCAGTTGTGCACCATGGAAATAAAATATAGCTCAAGCTGAGTGTGCAAGCATCAGAGCAGTGTCAGTCCCCAAATTAGGAGCAACATGCTTGAGGCCCCAACACATGCCTTTTGCTGGAGGGGCCCACAGATTGAGGACTGCTTCTGTTGGCCAAATTCTGACTGCTCTTTTCTGCCCTCCTGGCCCACACAATGCACTTTCCCCTGCATCAAAGCCCACACTGGCCTTTATCAGTCCTCGTCCCCATGCATGTGGGTGTGATATTTCAAGGTGGCTTTCCCATGCCTAAAGGCAGTGTAAAAAGCCACCTGGAGCAAATATGAAACCAGAAAAGGCAGCTGGCAATTTACAATGCTTCAAGAGTGTAAGCAGGCACAGTATCTGTCACAGGTCCACTTGCTACCCAGCTTACTCTGTTCTGCTGGCATCTTTTTGTTCCAGAATCTGATGCTTAGAAACCAACAGTGCAATCATAGGCATACTTATTCAAAAAGTATATTTCACTGAATTCAAAAGGGCTTAATTCCACTTAAATCAGCAAAGGATTTCAGTCAAAAAGTTCCATTTTCAGAATCCCCTAGTAATGAGCGTCTTTAGCAACCTATGGACCAAATTTGAACTTTTAAACTAGTCACTTAGCCGTTTGGGGGTATACTTCATGTACCTCATTTTGCAGCAGGGCTGTACAAATGTGGCAGCCCAACTGCTGACCATAGCAATCAACATAGATTGTATTAATCCAGTTCAGGGTTAACCCTGCAGGTAAACAATTTTTTTGCAGGGATCCATTTAAGGTGCTACCTGTGACCTCTGAAGCTCTAAAGTGGGGGTGGGGTACCTATGGCCCTCCAGTTCTTGGTGGACTGCAACTCCCATCTTCAATGACCATTAACCAAGCTGGCTAGGGCTCAGAGTCCAATGACATCTGGAGGATCTGCTCTAAATCACCTGGGGGAAAGGTAGTGAGATGTGAAGGCCCAGGAGGATCAGAGGGGGCTTGGTTTCCCTCCACCCCACAGTTTTTCAATTGGAAACATTGGAACAAAAAGCCATTTACTGAATATTGTATTTTGGAATGGCTGGGGTACTTTTAAAAAGTACATATAGTTTGAAGACTTTTACGCAAGACAATCTACAGCTGTAGAGAATAATTCCTGTGCATAATGTAGACCAACCTTCCTCAATTTGAGGTCCTCCAGATGATGTTGGAATGCAAATCCCAATAGCCACAGCCAATGGTCAGGGATAGTGAGACTTGCAGTCCAGAATAACCTGGTTGGTGAAGGTGGTTGCAGCCATAACCCTCACTCTAAGATGCATTTTCACATTGAGAGGGTGCTACCATCTTCATAAGGGCAGAATACAAAACTTGTTTATTATTATTAATAATAATGTTGACCTCTGATCTAGCATGGATCTTTCTGACCCAGCCCATACCCTGTGGTTTACATTTTCACTCTCCAAACGACTGTAATAAAGACACTCTACTTTAAAAAAACAACAACTAGCAGTAGAATCCTATGCAAAGCTACTCATGAGTCCCACTGGATTCAGTGGAACATATTCCCAGGTAAACACATATAGGACTGCTATTTTAATATGTTTATATATTGGGAAACTAGCTCCAGATGACCAGATTCTTACTTCACCCAACACCACTGGGTGACATGAGGGATGTGGGACGGATTCCCAACCCACCCACAAGGGTTTGGACTAGATGACCCTCGAGGTGCCTTCCAACTCTACAGTTCCGTGAAACATTTGCTAAATATATTGAGCGGTCATCATTCCAGGCCCAACTCAGGGCAGATCCATTGAAGTCAGTGGGCATGGCCAACTTAAAGGGACCCCTGACGATTAGGTCCAGTCTGGGGTTGCGGCGCTTCTCTCGCTTTATTGGCAGAGGAAGCCGGCGTACAGCTTCCGGGTCATGTGGCCAGCATGACTAAGTCGCTTCTGGAGAACTAGAGCAGCGCTCGGAAATGCCGTTTACCTTCCCGCCGGAGCGGTACCTATTTATCTACATGCACTTTGATGTGCTTTTGAACTGCTAGGTTGGCAGGAGCAGGGACCGAGCAACGGGAGCTCACCCCGTCGCGGGGATTCAAACCGCTGACCTTCTGATGAGCAAGTCCTAGGCTCTGTGGTTTAACCCACAGTGCCACCCGCGTCCCATGGCCAACTTAGGTCTACTCAAATACATCCCGATACAATATTTGCATCTGACTGGCTTTGTACTGCACCTGTACCCCCACGGTTACCATGTAAATGTCAAGTTAAGGTTACAGAGGGAATAAGGCGGCAGGCTGAATGGTAGCAGCAGCGGCACAGGTTTAGGGAAAACTAATGGAGTGGGAATTGGGCTTTGTGACTATAGCCTAAGTAAGTAAACACCCCCACTCCTTTCACCCAGCCCAACATCTGGAGAACATCAACTTACCTATCTCTGAGGGCAAGTGAAAAACCACAAAATGATAACTTCCTCTCAAAGTAAGCCACGCAGGAGCCTTAAGGAGGATTAAGCTACACTGAAACCTACTGGAAAAGCAACCCTTTCAGGATTCTTGGGGAGCATTAAAAGCAGACAGCATCCCCCCCCCCAGCCCATTTTCGAAAGTACCTTCTGATACATGAAATAACAACACGGTCCTAGAACCAGGCCAGTGTCAGATTTACGTATAAGCTAAACAAGCTATAGCTTAGGGCCCCACTCTCTTGGGGGGGCCCCAAAAAAAATTAAAGGAAAAATATTAATGTTAATATACTGTTTTTCAGTTCAACAATTACTTTGATAAAATACACATTCTGTTATGTGCAAATGGCTTTAGATACCTATTAGGTCCATAAATTACCATATATTCAACACACAAAACAGCGACAATTTGTTGTTGACAAAGGACAGCTGGACATATAAAGGGCCCCATCACCTTCAGTAGCTTAGGGCCTCATCAAACTTAAATCCGGCCCTGAACCAGGCCTTACAGGAAACGCAAAGCACATAACAGGGAACAAGCCGCCGGCCTGCCCTACAATGACACCCAGCGCCCGCCGCCCGGATTCTCCTTACCCGGGCTGTTAAATCCACCTCCCCCCGCCCGTCAAGTTTCTAGCCCTCATGAGAACCACCTGTAATACGCACAGACAAGCGCGCGCGCATACACAAACCCTTCGCCGGTACTCCTTCCTCCGGCGGCTCCGCCCACCTCGCTTCCCTCCGCGCCCGATTGGCCAGAGAATGCGTTGACGCAAACGCGCACGCCGTTTTTTTTTTTTGTGTGTTTTTTTTTTGCTCCCCGACCTCTCCCCCTCCCGCGGGGCGTGCGACGTGCTCGCGCATGCGTAGAACGCGCACGTTTCCGCTGCCCGTGAATCCTGAGCGGGTAAGTTTTGGGGGCACTTAAACTGGGGAGCGGCGAGAGGCTGAGTGGGGTCGCTTCTCTTTCTCATGCCCTTCGTGGTTATAAGGGGTGGGGGGTGGGTTACCTTTCGCTGGCCTACCTTTCGCTGAAGGGGTGGGGGAGCTCTTAGGGTAAGGCCTGTAAATGGCATAAAGCTTCATAGGAGCCTCTCGTTGCTGGAGGGGGGGGAGGGGGTTGGAGATAAGGGAATTGGAAAAACTGCTGCCCTAATGGCAATATTCTGTAGAGGGGTCGGTCTCTTGCAGCAGGAAAGAACCACCAAAAAAGGAAAATAAGAGATGGTCTCCTACCATCTCAAAAGACGAATGCGTTTTTATTCTGGCATAAGCATTCGTGGACTAAAATATAAGTGATTTCTCTCTCTCTCTCTCTCTCTCTCTCTCTCACACACACACACACGCACACAAAACAACAACTGGGATTTCGTATAGGCAAGTGGTCGTAGAGTCAGTGTGGCAAATGAAATGTAAGTAATAGTGACAGTGCCTATTTGTAGAGGCCACACTAATGGAGGTGGGGGAAAGAGACCCTATGGACAGTCATAATCCTCTTATTGTCTTGTCATATTTTTTTCCTTACTTGCACAGGAGGAGCCGGGTAAAAGAGTGCTCAGAGGGATTTTGGAAGAAAAAGTGAAGGGAGGGCAAAGAGTAGCAATTGGGGGAGGGGAGAGAAGTATCCTGTGGACACAGTGAGGATGTAAGGACTGGAAGGTCGTGAACCTGGGTGGCTGCGTGGGCACTCGTTGGTCTTGTTTGGGTGAAAGCTTGTTCCAAAGCTGATGCCGCTGTCGTTCTTTTAAACTAGTTTGTCTTATCTAGAGTTTTGGGACTATTTGGTCCCATTTTTCTCAGTAGGGAGGTACAAGTACATACTGTCAGCTTATGCTTGGTCCAAAGTTCAGTCCCTGGCATCAACAGTTAAAAGAAACCAGCACCAGTTGATGTAGAGAACTGCCCATCAGAGGGCACAGTACTTGGCTAGATAAACCCGATACAAGGTAGCTTTTTACATTCCTGTCAAGTGCTAACACATCATGTATGTAACTCTAGTGTACAAATGAATTTATCCATCTTTTAAGATGTCACAAAAGATTGCTGCAACACACTAACAAAGCTATCCCTCTGGAAGCATATACAGTAATAGGTTTGCAGTCTGTGTTTAGCTTCTGAAATGCTGGAGCTAAGAAAACATTCCTCCTATTTCCTTTGCATGCCAACTTCATCTTCATTCTTGGCTCCTGAAAGTTAGTTGTGGTTATTACTTGACAGGATGGGAAAGAGTGCTTGGTACATGTTCACAGGTACTTTATCTTCGCAAGACTGAACCTTGGAAATGGATGCAGATTCTAGATTTAAGTTCCACCAACCTTGGTTCCAATTATTAGGTTTATCAGATGTTTACTAGATTGCCCTGAAGCAATTATTGCTAAGCATAGTGCTGAAAGGTGCAGCGTGAGAATGTAAAGAACAATTTCTAAGAATGGCTCTTGGTGAGATATGATAGTGAAGGGTGTGGGGACGAATGTAGAGAGAAACTATCAGTGCTGGATGGGTTGTGGCCAGGTTAAATCTCTGAATTATGGGAAGGACAAAATTAGCCTGCAGCTAGTCTCCCAAACTATGGGTGTATCTGCTTCATAAGAAGTGAGTTGGTGGTTACTCATCTCAGCTAACTCTGTCACTCCTCATTTCTCCTCAGTGTGTGTTTCTGTTGGTAACTCTCCATCATATTCTTATATTCCCCCTCTCTTTCTGAAATATATTGTAACTCCTCCTGCCATGTGCCTCTTAAATTATCATGGTGGCTTAACACAGTGCAAAAATTACTAATCCCTATGGTGAGCTGTATAATACCTAATGGTGATTAATATTGTTTGTGCAATGTCCTGAGAGCACAGTGCTTTCTTAAATTTACACGACTTTCCTCCAGAGATATTTGTATGCTTAATACTGCCTCTCCTGATATCAGGTGCTTACAGATTTGGCAGGGAAGAGGAAGCAGATTTGCGGTCCTGTCTTCTGCTGAATTTTGCAGCGTGGATCTCTGCGCTGACTGTGCTTGTTAAATGTGAGTTGTGCTAACACCTATTTATGTAACATTGAATTAAGGGGAAGCAAAATGTAGGCATTGGCAGTGAGTGGATCATGTTAAAGAGCAAAAGTGGGGTTCTGAGTCTTGTGTTCTGCCCCCATAGCGCTTCATTTTTAAAACTGTTTTTCCTTAGACTAGGAACGAGAAGAGGACATTTTTATTCTGTAGTTGAGGATTGAGGGATTGTTTGTGTGAGAGAACTGGTAGGTACAGTTCTTCCTATAAGCTTGTCCTGAGGCCTCAAGTAGCTTCCATTCCTTTATTCTTTTATGCTTCTGCTCTGTGCACATTGGCAAAAAGCATTTTGAAATGGCAGCTGGCAAATCACTCTTCCAGTTGCTTAGAATCCCCTCAGTAGCCCAGTTGTCTAGGCTCTCCCTAATCTTGCTTGCTATGAGAGTTGAACAACCTGCTGCAGTGAAGAGGGTGGTGGGGACTCTTAATTCTGTCATTGGTTAGGCAAGGTTTGCCATCTGGCCTTTCTGTCAATGGCCTTATCCTCCACAAATTTGATATTTTAAAGCTGGTCAAGTTGGCATCCGCCACTGCATATAGTGGGAGCAAATTGCACTATGCACTTTGTGAGCAAGTACTTGCTTTCTTCTGTCTTGAGTCTCCAACCCTCTAGCTTCAATGTGTGTGTACATTTCTTACTCAGTTTCCCCTCTTGACTTTTTTCTGAGCCGCCAAAGTTGTAAACTTTCTTCAAAGTGGAGGAAATCCACCAGAAATGGTTTTCTTCGATATCACCTCCTGCAGTTTGAGTCTCTTCTTGCCCATTCAGTCTCCCTTTTTCCTTCTCTCACTTCACTTTTCCATCACTTCTTCCTAAGTAAAACTTTGCTTATTTCCTGCATTGTGATGCTACTGAAATCCCACATGTTTTGTGGCTTATACCTCTGAATTTTAAAAAATCTTATTGTTACTCAGCATTCAGTGCCTGTTGGGGTGTTCTGTTTGCTTCTAGGCTGAAGTCCTGTTCTCTCCTACGTAGTAGTAAATCCCAGTGAACTCAGTTGGATTTACCTCTGAATAGACGTTATAGGATTTCACTGTGTTGTTTGAGACTACCTCTCACTTTATAAAAGCCAGACTCACTCATTATATATGTTGACTAATTTTCTGTAATGCACTGTTCTGAGATTAGGCAAGCTACTGTAAAAGTGAGTGCCTTTCTACATTTGGGAATACTGCAACCTATGTGTCAGGCATGAAGGACAAACATACTAAAAATGGAAGCATCTGAATTGGTTTTCAAGGCATGATTCTTCTATACATTTGTAGAGGTGAGGAGGAAAGTTTTGAGACTCCTGTTACAATAACCAGGAATCAAAGAATATTGTTTAAGAAGCAGTCCTGTTTAGGTTTTGAGCGTTATACATATCCAGGCAATGCTAAAAGTGGATATCTTTTTGTCTTGCACAATAATTGAAACAAGTGTGCAGCTGGAGCTTTCTCTGCTGCAGATTTTCTCACTTCCAAGGAGACAAGCTGGCATTGACTTTCAAATATGTAGCTGGTGTTGAATCCACCTAACTCATTTAGCTGCAGTGATTGCCCAATAAACAACAAGAGTGTATAGTCAGAGTGCCTTGATCTTTGAGGAGTATGTAAAAACCTGCAAATGACAGCACTAAGTTAAATAAGTTAAATGATACAAATAAGTTAAATAAGTTAAATGCTGCAAGATACCAGGCATTTTGTTACATCTTTGAGTGGTGTTGCCAAACAATTCTGTAAATATAATGTAGTTGACTTCTTCAAATACAGACCATATTTCCAACCATTTATTTAGCTGTGACCTTTTATTAAAATGTCTAATGTGGTATCCTTTATTTTTAATAGCATTTATTACAATAATACAGAACAGTGAGCATGCTGATCTAAAGAATTGGAGGACCTTCTGTATGGATAAATTTATTCCATAAGTATGTTCACTTAGTACCCCCCCCCCTTTTTACTGTTCTTTAGGCAGCAGGTAAAGTCCATCCCAATGCCAAGCCTTTTATTTTTACATATTATCTGATCACCCCTTTTAAAATTGTATAGGTTGCTGTTTAATAGTTTTTGTACTAGCTCACCGTTGCTTTATTTTATGTCTTTTGTGTTTTATTTTTTATATGTGGTTTTGTTAACTGCCTTGAGGCTTATGCAAAAGGTGGAATATAAATGTCTTAAATAAACTGAACATCTGTTTCCATATTTCATCGTGGCCTCCCAAGAGATAGTTAAGAGATTTTTTTTTCTTTTAGTATTGGAGTTATTTTCAACTCTGGCAGCTTCTATGCTGCTTCACACATAATGTATTTACTCTGTGTTTGCATATATAGCACAGGTTACAATTATAATGGAAACACTCCTTAAAACATAGCACAATGATTAGCTCGAAAATATATCAGATGAATATCAACAATGGATGTTTCCGTATAATTCGGTTAAAATTCCTTGCATGGAAAAGATAAAATGTATAAGCATTAAGATCTCAATTGAAAACTTCTGTTTTGTTTTGTTCCCTGCTTGCATATGTTTAAGTGGAAATATATCCATGCAATGAAACTTGGATCTTCAAAATGCATTTTGTGCTGTTGTTCAATGTATCACTTCAAAAATATTTAACTCATTAAATATATCATTTAGAGTTAATGTACTTCACAGCTTGGTTGTCTGTTCGTTTACTGAGATAGCTCAGTCAGTAGAGCATGAGACTCTTAATCTCAGGATCATAGGTTCGAGTTCCACATTGGGTTCCTGCATTGCAGGGGGGTTGGACTAGATGACCCTTGTGGTACATTCCAAGTTTAAAATTCTATGATCGATGAAATTAATTTTATTGTCTTCAGTGGGGCTTGTTCCCTAGTCACCTACCTGGAAGTATATCTCATTCCAGCAGAAAGCCCATCAGTTAAAAAATAGCCAAAAACAGAATTTATAATAAAATGCAGTTCACTATGACAACATAACACTTCTTTCCAAACCAGCAATAAAACATGTATAGGATTGCACTCTTTGGCCCATAGCAGAAGCTTTTGTATGAAGGTCTGGTAACTGTGCTTTAAAATGAGTGCAGGGACTAGGCATTTTGGAACCTGGGGGAGGAGAATGTAACTGTAATTGTGGGTAGTAACATAAATGAAAGGAATAATTGTATGTTTGTGCCATAGTAATATGGCCTGTGGTGCAAGTTTATTTATACAACTACTTAATCACCTTTCCAGCCAAATGGGCATTCAAACCAACATGTAAAAAGTTTTTTTAAAAAACCATTAATGAATTTAAAAGCCCATAAAAATATCAGTCAATAGCTGAAACAGCTGCTCAAAACAAGACTAATAACAGATCAACCATAAATCTATCCAACATAAATGCTTGGGTGGGGGAAGTATCTTAAGCTGCTGATGGTGGATGCAAAAGGAAGCCCTCTGAAGTTCTCTAGGGAGAATATTCCATAGGATGTCAGCCAGTTAAAATGGACTCCGGATTGGAACTACTTCCAAAAAGCGGGCTACTGCATTTTAAACTGGTTAAGCTTACTAACTTTCTAAGGAGAGCCCAACGTCGAGCATGTTTTTGTAATCTAAGTAAGACCTTGCCATTGGATGAATAACAGTGGTGAGAACTTGGCTAGAGGACAAGTTATAGCTGCCTCTTTGACCATCTAAATCTGGTAAGATGTGTTTCTAACCAGAGCTGTGGCTTTAGGAGTCAAGCATCAAAGTCGTGTGTTGGAGCACACCCAAGATGCACACTTTCTCCAGCTCGCTAATCATAATTTATTTTGTCTTGCCAGGTTTCAGTTTTGTTAGCACTTATCCAGTTCATCATGGTATTGTAACTAGCAATAACTTCCCAACAATGAAGATAACTTTGGCTTCTGTGAAAGGAGATGGCTATCCATAGACCTTCTTTCTTCCCAACCCTTTCTCCTTAACATGAAAGTTGTGCCATCTCGCCTTCTGTTTCCACACTGGTCCCATTCTGATGAGATTTCCTCATCCAATGATGCTTTCTTCAGTCACACATTAAGCCTTGCCTTTCCAAAAGCATTCCAATGCTCTGCGCTTTCCTTGAGATTTTATTTGTGCAAATGTTTAAGTGGAACTTAGCAACTGCTTGGATAGAATGCTTTCTTAAAATTCAAGTCACACATGAAAACAATTTAAACTGCAAATTGGCTCTCCTTGGCAAGCAGGTCCCTTCTCCCTCCAGGTGCTGAATGCAGATGATCTCAAAGCAGGCTTGGCCTAAGGAATGAGAGAGGGTGACCGCCCATGGCCCTCCAGTGAGCTTTGGCTGAGTAGGAGTGTAAATTGGCTCTTATGCATACAGCCAATCCTCTGGTCAGTGGTTGATAATTTGCTAGTTGCAGCTCTGGTCTGGAATTTAAAAGGCCAGAAGCAGGTAATGGATCAGAAAACTGTGGCTGTACCAGAGCCATGTGGAGGCTATTAAACATGTCTATTGTGTAAGTGTTGTTTCTGGGTGGAACACCAGACAGCGTTTCATGTATATCCAACAGTACTGTATATGGGACTTCAAACTATCCCTTGTGTAGCAGGAAGATTGCCTTTAGCTATAGAAGGAGGTTCAAGCCATTCAGGCATAAGGTGTTCGAAAAATAAATTATTAGTGGCTTGGGTCCTAAGTTTTTATTTGTGATCAGGAGAAGCTTCTGTTCATGGAGGAAGAATTCCTTCATGGGAGGAACCCTTCCTTGTTAAAAACCCCTTCTGTCAACAAACACCTAAGATCCCAGTCTAAATAGACCAAGTACCTATTTTTCAGTATGTACTAAAGTTAATTGAAAATTTGCTGATTAATTCTCCAAACTTCACTGCTTACTACTTTTTTTTGCGAAGGTATTGGGTTCATTTGGATTGAAGTGAACTACGGTACATCCATGCTGATAACAGCCTGCATTTTTAGCTGAAATTGTTTTGGCTGTAATCCTAGGCATCCATTGCAGGCCGGGAATTCTTAGTTTCACTAGGTAGTGTCCAATGAAGTAGATCCGTTTAGCACATATATTTCTGTATGCGCAACGGAACTTCCTCGCCTGCCCCCCATCTTCCCCAGATTTGCTCCACAGGGTTGCAGGAAGCTCCAGAACAGATCTAGTGGGGTGCAATCAGTGGAACCGGAAGTTACGTTCCACAGCCAGAAGTCCTTGCACTAACCAGATTACTTCATTGGATACCATACTTTGTACTTAGGGAGACTTGATTCTGAGTAAATATGCAGATGATCAAGGAATGTGATTTCTATCTTGTCAGTGCAGCTGTCATTTGGGAGTCTAAATTCAAGTGACTATTCCATTCCACCCAAGTTAGACTAAGAACAGTTGTATGAAGATGAGGAAAGAGGTGGAAGTGTTGGTTGAAGCTTTATTTCGGTCGAGACTGCTTTGGGATCATCTTTGTTCAACACCTGGAAGGAGAAAAGACCTGCTTGCCAAGCAGAGCCAATTTGCAATTTAAATTGTTCTCCTGTGTGACTTCAATTTTAAGAAAGCTAACTCCCTTGCCCATTCAGGGCTGTAGAATTAACTATATGATTATGTGTCGGTGAACCAATATAATAAGATTTTTTAAAAAGAAAAATATTGCATTTTCCCATTTTTTTCAAAGGTAATGCTTCTGTACAAATTCATATTCAGGCTTTTGTTGTATTTTTTTATTTTTTTTTACTTCCACGGTTAGGCATAATACTTTTATTTTTCTATTTTTGTAAAGCATGAAAGCTTCCACAGAGAACTTGTAAGGGTGAGTAACATGGGTGCATGGTAGCTTAGAACCAGTATTAAAAACTCAGCTATACAAGCTAGGCGCCAGATGGCTTCTTAAACCAGGGTTACAGTCACCAAAATGGAATGCCTAATTGCCATTTTGGGGCCAGACGTCTGGAAAGTCATATTTTGAATACAGACGTACCTTGGTTCTCAAACGCCTTGTGACTCGAACGTTTTGGCTCCCGAACGCCGCAAACCCGGAAGTGTTTGTGAACTTTTTTTGGAAGCCAAGCATCTGACACGGCTTCCGATTGAATGCAGGAAGCTCCTGCAGCCAATCAGAAGCCGCACCTTGGTTTTTGAACATTTTCGGAAGGTGAACGGACTTCCAGAATGGATCCCATTCGAGAACCAAGGTACGACTGTATGACTTTTTGGTTTCTGAAATTCATTCTGATTGCATAGATAAAATAGAACAGATAGAATTCTACAGAATGTGTTACTAGTGTGTGAAAACAGTCAAGATCCAAGGATCCCCAGGCTTGTGGCCAGTAGCCAGGTACAAAATGCAGCTGCAAATTTCGAACCCTGCTTAGAACTCAAATCAATATATAACATGGTGTGGGTATGTTTGTGATAAGATTAGCTAGCTGGCAAATGCACCATTGTAGCCTGTGAGAAAGAGAAGTTATTGTACATACCTTTGTTATAGCATCCTGATTTTAGTATCCAGAGAGCAGAAGTGGAATCGTTAGCTCAGTCTTGAATGGGTGGCCAGAAAGATTTCCTAAAGCAGCAAGTGTGATTGTTCCCACATAACTCAACATACTTTATAGACTGTATTTAGAAGGGAGGGGACTTTGTGGTCTGAATGGGTTTGTATTCCTATTAGGAATGATATTAAAAATGTACTTGGGATGGCCTAATTATTCCAATTACCATACAGTAAAATGTTCTGCCAAAATGACAAAGAGATATGGGACTCTGAGAGTTAGAAACTAGGGCCACCGTCCTAAACAGCTACAGCACAGACAAAAGAGAAGAGTGTATCCAGAGATATTTTTTTTAAAAAAAAATCTGTAGCTGAACAGGCATTCTGGTTTTAAATAGAAAAGCAACTTGCCTGTTTGGCAGCGGTAAAATCTGTCTCCGTACCGCTGTTGACATAACCGCTTCTGCAATGACTATCTTTAGAATTGTAGATGTTGAGCAGTTTTGCTTGGGGTTCTTGTATGGCTGTATTCTGCTCAGTGTAGAAATTGTGTAGGATATCAGTGCACTGCCTGAACTAGACAACAGAGATTGAAATCCTAGCAGTTCAAAATAGATACACTAGTCATAGGGAGACTTCTCTGTTGTAACAGAACCTGTTAAAAAAATTCCCTGGTGATCTATTTTCAGCTGTTATCGGTATTATCTTACATATAGTGCTACTGAGGAAGTGCTTAACCTTGTACTCTTAGTTTCATTGCTTTCTTTGAGTAACATCACTGTACTGCACATGCTTGAAAAGGTAAAGGTAAAGGTACGCCTGCCCGTACGGGCCAGTCTTGACAGACTCTGGGGTTGTGCGCTCATCTCACTCTAGAGGCCGGGAGCCAGCGCTGTCCGCAGACACTTCCGGGTCACGTGGCCAGCGTGACGAAGCTGCTCCGGCGAACTGGCACCAGAGCAGCACACGGAACGCCGTTTACCTTCCCGCTATAAAGCGGTCCCTATTTATCTACTTGCACCCAGGGATGCTTTCGAACTGCTAGGTTGGCTGGCGCTGGGACCGAGCAACGGGAGCGCACCCCGCCAACCATGCGATCGGCAAGTCCTAGGCGCTGAGGTTTAACCCACAGTGCCACCCGCGTCCCACTGTACATGCTTACTCAGAAGTAAATTTCTTGTGAGTTTTATGGGGCTTACTCCCAGTAAGTGCAGCTTAATATAAGAAAGTTTAAGTGGAAGTATACTCTCTTACAGATCACCCATTTATTTATTTATTTAAGAAATCTGTTGCACAGGTACGCTGAAATTGGTAGGTTTAAGCAGCAGTAAAAAGTTTATGAAGTGATTCAACTGAAATCTGCTAAGTGCTACTAAAGAGCTCTCAACTAAGCTTTCGCAATGTGAATTGAGTAGGATCGTGATTTGACTTGTTCAAGAGTCCTGCAGCTGAACTTAACCTACTGAAGTTCTCATGTTCTACCAAAACAGCTGTGCTAGGTTTTTTAAAAAAAACAGTTTGCAGCAAAGTTTATATTTCTGTATGTTTGTTTAAATGCTGACATTTGTTTCCCTTGCTTAATCCAAACAGGGGGAAAATGCTTGATCTGCCTTGTGTCAGTGTGGCTGAAATACAAAATCTAAGGACCTTTGCTTGCACTCTCTCTCTCTTTTTTAAGCATTTGTGATTTATGGAATAATTAAGTCATCGGCTGTAGGATATCACACACTGTGGCCTGGATTGCATGTAGCTCTAAGCCAAACTCAATGTGAAATCGTGAGTGTGCTGGTTCCAGAGTAGAGATCATGGCCACTACATTCCTCCCTTGTTTGTCCTACTGTTGCCCTGCCAAGCTAACCTTGGTTTGGCTGAACCTGCCGTGTGAACCTGAGCTTGTGGGTTGTGCACTCCAGATAAACCGCAAGCTATAAAACAGTGCCCACAGTTTATGGCTTGTGATTTGTCTGGAGAGGACAAACTGCAAACTTGGGTTTGGATGACACCCTATGTGAAACTGTGGTTATGCTCAGCACCTGTCGTCTCTTGTCTAGGAACCCTCACGCATTCTCACTAAGCGATGGTTTGGCTTAGTGATACATGTGAACTGGGCCATTCCTGCTTGATAATTAAACCATGGTTAATTACGTTCGTGCCATTCCACAGTCCTGTACTAGTGTCACTCTGGCATAAAATGGCAATCTATACTGTTACACTGCTAGGCTCTCTCACTGTTGTTTCTGAACACAAATTAAACAAGTTGTGAAATATTTGTAAAGCACGGATAGGTTACTTTTCAATCACTGCAGCTTTGAAGCAGTAATTGTCTTATAGTTGAACCCATAAGTTATTATTTGAATAGAAAATAGAAAATCTGTTATCTCTTGAATGACCAGAGAGCTTCCAGAGTGAAAATGGGGAAAAGCCAGAGGTGTTAGCTTCAAAAATTCTGCCTTGTAGCCATAAAACTCATTAATCCCGCAATTACTGTGGCCAAATTCAAGTGGTCTTTCCAGACTTTCAGTATGATAACTGTGAAACTAGTACATTTCTACATGCATATCAACTGCAGAATATTTTCTAAACCTAAGCAGTAGTCCAAATATATGACTGAAATACCATCCTAATATCTTGTTGAAGTGGTGTGTTTATAAATAGCTGACCAGGGCCAGTTGCTGCTGAACAGTGTGACTGGGTGCTTTTGGATCTGGTTTATGCTTTCAGTTTCAGCACTGGACCAAATATTAATATTCAGGTAATTACAGAAACTAGCAGAATAATAAGGGTTGTTCCCTCTTTTTTAACCATTCCAGTTATATGGGCTTAAGAAGATAGATTTCTTTTCTTTCTACTTGATTTGACAGTGCATGGCATAGTGAACTGCGGGTGTAAAAGAATGACACTGGGTAAAGTGATCATGTTTTCTATCAGACAACTGTTCTGTTTCTTTGACACATGATTAAGTGCAGTCATTTGGGGGATTCCTTTATTGTTACTGTCCTCATTATTTTGGTCTATAAAGCCCAGGATTGCATTTAATACTGATTTTATGTAACTTGCATGCTTTCTTAAATTGTCAGGGTATATTTTTGGATCCTTAAAACACAGTTTGCTAGTAAGAAGCCTCTATCTCTTTGTTTAAATGGTGTCTGAAGTGTTAAGACTTGTATATTGAAAGCAGATGCTTCAGAAATGAATTTAAAGAATAATACTAGGCTAGATAGAACCAAATGCACAACTTGTGAATATCACAATGTCTTCTTTGTTGTGAGAACTCTTGGTTCATAATTATTTTATCAGCTAGAATTGTTCTCAGATTAGCGAAAAGAACCCAGTGTTTTTCTCAGCATTAAGGAAATAACCAGATACCAATCATGTCACTGAAGCAAGTTATTCCCCTCCAATCTTCATCAGAAATTAGTTTGATTTATAGCTGTGGTTTTTTCCATGACATTCCTGTAATTACAATGTATTAGAATAATTAGAATAATCCCTGTAATAATCCTCCAATTTTATCTTCTACAAATTATAAGAAGTTGAGAAGTCTTTATCCCAATGAAAACTGGATATTTTATTGCTTTAATAATTATGTTGTATGGTAGCATGTTTTGTATATAGTTACTTGGTTAGCCCATAAGTATTATGAATAGTATTCTTAGACAATGTATTTTTCAGAAACTAGTTTTTTTTATATATAAAGTACAATTGAAGTGATCTGATGAATGGGGCAATAGCAAAGGACACAATTTAGAATTTGATGTTTCAGACAAGGCAGCTATGCTGTAGATCCATGTTTCAGCAGTCATACATTTTCTTCTGTCTACAGCATTCTAGATTTCGTAGAGTACTTGGGGAAAAGTACTCTACCGTTCTCATTTCTAGTGGGAACAGAGGGAAGAATAGAAAACAACATTTGGCTGTGTTTGTCTAGTAACATAGGACATACATTTAATCCTGCATTAATTTAAAAATCTCCCTGGAATCAGGACTGGAATCTAAAACCTACTTGAGGCCTTTTTTCTTTGAACATCAGTCCTTAAGCTTTAATTGCTAGGTTCTTTTGGTACGAAAAGAAAGAAAGGGGAATCTTTAAAAACCAGGAATTGCACGATGCAGAAGGTGAATTGCTTTTCTGTGCAGATTACAGAAGATGTTTCTTTGTCTTTTTGCTCTGGATCTTCATGCTCACAGAAATAAACTACAGCTTACTGCCTTGAAGTTTATACTTGCACTGTGAATTTTCCTCTTATATATGCCGGTTTCAGTCAGTTTTGATTATACAAAATTCTTTTTTTTTTTAAAGCAATTTATTGGATTTTACAATAGGAATAAATGTAACAAACAATATAACATTCGTCTTAACGTAATTTCACATTTTCTTTGGACTTCCTCACATCTCCCGCTCCCACCTTCATCATTATAACATTTTGTCAGCAATTTATCATCTTATTTAAATTCTTATGTCTCTTCGATATTTCATAATCTTATAGTTCTCATAAAGAGTTAAACTTTCACAATTTTTCTTATTTTCTTAAAAACTTCTAAGTTAAGTGGTGCTCAGTTATTTAGACAAGCATCTTATTCAGCATTCAATCAAATCACAATGTTTTTGCAGGTAGTTCTTAAATTTCTTCCAATCCTCCTCGATTCTCTCTTCTCCCAGGTCACGGATTCTGCCAGTCATTTCAGCCAGTTGCATATAGTCTATCAGTTGCATCTGCCATTCTTCCAGTGTGGGTAGATCTTGAGTTTTCCAATGTTTTGCGAGTAGTATCCTTGCTGCTGTTGTTGCATACATAAAAAATGTTTGGTCCTTCTTTGCCACCCCTTGGCTGACAATACCCAAAAGGAAAGCCTCTGGTTTCTTAGTGAAGGTATATTTAAATACCTTTTTCAGTTCATTATAAATCATTTCCCAGAATGCCTTCACTTTAGGGCAGGTCCACCAGAGGTGAAAGAACGTTCCTTCACACTCTTTACATTTCCAACACTTGTTATCAGACAGGTGGTAAATTTTTGCAAGTTTGACTGGGGTCATATACCATCTATAAATCATTTTCATTACATTTTCTTTCAAAGCATTGCATGCAGTGAATTTCAGTCCGTTACTCCATAGCCTTTCCCAGTCCTCAAACATAATATTATACCCAATATCCTGTGCCCACCTTATCATAGCCGATTTAACCATTTCATCTTGTGTATTCCATTCCAACAGCAAGTTATACATCCTTGAAAGTATCTTAGTCTTTGGTTCTAACAATTCTGTTTCTAATTTCGATTTCTCCACCTGGAACCCTAGTTTCTTATCATTTTTAAAAACTTCCTTAATCTGAGCGTAATGTAACCAATCTCGCACTTTGTCTTTCATTTTCTCCAAACTCTGCAATTTCCAATTGTCTCCATCTTTTCTAGTATTTCCCAATATTTTGGCCATTTGGCCTCCATATTGGGTCTTTTCCGGGCCTTGGCTTCCAAAGGTGAAAGCCACCTTGGTGTTTTATTTTCCAGCAAGTCTTTATATTTTGTCCAGACATTAAACAGTGATTTTCTAACAATATGGTTCTTAAAGGCCTTATTTGCTTTAACTTTGTCATACCATAAATATGCATGCCATCCAAAAACATTGTTAAACCCTTCCAAATCTAACACATCAGTGTCTTCAAGAAGTAGCCAATCTTTTAGCCAGCAGAACGCTGCGGCTTCGTAATACAACTTTAAGTCCGGCAGGGCAAAGCCCCTCTTTGTTTTGCATCAGTTAGTATCTTAAACTTAATTCTGGGCTTTTGCCCTGCCAGACAAACTTCGAAATGTCTCTCTGCCACTTCTGAAAGCACTCCATTTTGTCCAAAACCTGAAGTGTTTGAAATAAAAACAACATTCTTGGCAATACATTCATCTTAATCGCAGCAATTCGGCCTAACAAAGAAAGTTTCAATTTTGACCAACTGTCTAAGTCTCTCTTAATTTCTGTCCAACATTTTTCATAATTATCCTTAAATAGACTTAGATTTTTGCTGTTATGTTTACCCCTAGGTATTTTACTTTTTAACCACATTAAGTTCCGTCTCATTCTGAAACCGTTCTGACTCTGTCTCAGTCAAATTTTTTCCCAAAACCTTGGTTTTCTGTTTATTTAATTTAAATCCCGCCACCCGACCAAAGTCATTAATCAATTGTAGTACTCTTTTCGTACTAGGCTCTGGCTTCTGCAAGGTCAAAACCAGGTCATCTGCAAAAGCTTTTAGTTTATATTGTTTCTGGCCAACCTGAATTCCTTCCACCAACTGGTCCCCTCTAATCATGTTCAATAGCACTTCCAGAACCGAAATAAATAACAAAGGGGAGATAGGGCAGCCTTGTCGTGTCCCTTTTTCAATTTTGAACTCTTCTGTAACCACATTATTAACTATCAGTTTAGCTTTCTGTTCTGAATATATCGCCTCAATCCCATTCTCAAAACCCCGTCCCACTCCCATCTCTTTTAAATTTCCCATCATAAATTTCCAAGAAATATTATCAAAGGCCTTCTCCGCATCTATAAAAATTAAAACTGCTTTTGTATTTATGTCAGTTTGGAGAAGTTCCAAAATGTCAATAATGTTCCTTGTGTTAGCAAACAGATGTCTACCTGGGAGAAAACCGGCCTGGTCCTTATGAATTACTTCATTTAAAACTTTTTAAATCTACTTGCCAAAATATCTGCAAATATTTTGTAATCCACATTTAAAAGGGAGATGGGACGGTAGTTCTTCAGTTGTGTCTTTTCAGCTTCTGACTTTGGTATCAATGTGATAAAGGCTTCCTTCCACGAATCCGGTGCCCTCTTCCCTCCATAATTTCATTGCTAACCTCCATCAAGGGTTGTATCAAATAGTCTTTTAGTGTCTTATAATACTTGGAGGTCAGCCCGTCTGGCCCTGGAGATTTGCCAAGTTGCATGTTCTGAATAGCTTGTTCAATCTCCTGTCGTGTTATTTTAGAGTTCAGGGTTGTCCTATTTTCTTGTGACAGTTTAGATAATCCATTTTTGCCAAAAATTGTTTAATCTCGACTTCGTCTTGCGGCCCTTGAGTATATAGTTTTTTAAAATATCTCTGGAAACACTTTCTAATGTCCACTGGATTCTGAATGTTTTTCCATCAACCTCTAAGTTTGTAACCGTATTTAATCTTTGTCTTCTCTTCAACTGCCAAGATAGCAGTTTTCCACATTTATTCGCCGACTCAAACGTTTTTTGTTTCATTAATTTAATCTTCCATTCAATTTCCTGATTTATCAATTTAGAGTATTGTGTTTGATACAGTTTAATTTCTCTCAGAGTTGGCTGTGACTTTGGATTTACTCTTAATTTCTTCTCTAATTCTTTTATTTTATCCAAGATCTTATCTTTTTTCTCATTTTGTGTTTTTCCTTACTACATTCTGTTGTATCAAGAATCCCCTCATGACAGCTTTGCTTGCGTCCCAGACAATTCTTTTTCCACCGAATTATTCATGTTTATCTCGAAATAGTCTTTCAAAACTTTTGGGCCTTCTTGGTAGTTTCCTGATCTCTAAACAAATTGTCATTCATCTTCCATCTAAAGGATCCAGTTGGTAGTAGTGTCATATCCATCTTTACTGCGTTGTGGTCAGAACAGGTCTTTGGGCAGATTTCCACTTTTCTAACCCTAGGTGCCAGGCCCCTAGAAATCCATATTTGGTCGATTCTTGTCCAGGTCAGTTGGGCTTCAGAAAAGAATGTTCCTTCTCTACCTAGTGGGTTCTTTGTTCTGATTATACAAAATTCTTCCTTTATATCACTTCCTGGAGATCTATAACGGATACATGTTGCTGCTGTTTTAGGCTTGCTGTTTTAGGTTTGTTCAGAAGTAGAGATTATTATTAACTATTGTGATGAGATGATGAGCTGCTTGTGCATAAAATCGTATCCCCTCAGAGTTTGTTCAAGTCCACAAACCTCTGTCTGTGACGGAGCCCCTCAGACATGACTCCTCTAGTCACTAGCAGATTCCGACAGTGGTTGCTTTCGTAATCGCTTCCAACATAAAAGCTCCTTAACGGAAACACGTCTTCTGGACTCTCTGCGTGACAGTTTCCGGCGAGGAGTGGGTGTTCTTACAGGAGGTCCTGAAACCTCCCCACTGTTTTCGCTGGAAGTGTCTCTGAGCCATCCCTCCAGCTCAGCTCCTCTCCCCCTGCTGGTTCCCTCTTCAGCTGCTGCGTCTCTCCCAACCTGTGTGAGCCCTTTCACCTCCCTGCTGGTTCCCTCTTCAGCTGCTGCGTCTCTCCCAACCTGTGTGAGCCCTTTCACCTCCCTTCCGTCCGATGGCAGTTCCCTGACATCCACCTCCCCTCCAGGGCCCCCTTCACCCCCTCTCGCCCCCTCCTCTACGGGCGGTGAGGAGGCAAAACCCGGAATGAACTTCCTTCATCTTCCGATGTCTCGAACACTTCTCTCAACCTGTTGCGGTTCCTGGTCTCGAAGTACACCTCCTCCTCAGAGTCCATCTCCCCTTCCCCTTCCGAGTCCGGGAATCCTTCCAACTCCTCCCCTTTATCAGTGGTCCCAAAGTATTCCCTCCGGAACCTCTCCACAGGCTGAGGTTTCCTTGGGAACCTTTGATGGAACGTTTCTATCAATACCTCGTCATTGATATCTTCGGCCATTACCCAAGTGTTTTCTGACTCCGGTTCTCCTTCCCACGCTACCAAATACTCCACCTGATCCCCCTTCCACCTGGCGTCGAGGATTTCTGCCACATGGCTGCTGCATTCTCTTTCTTCTATGACCGGTCCCCGGTGGCCAGCCCTTCTCGTCCCCCTTCGTACGGTGACAGTAACGACCTGTGAAATACTGGGTGCAGTTTCATGTGGTTGGGTAACCGGAGCCTGAAAGCCACTGGGTTGACCTGTTGAATGACCTCAAAGGGACCCAACCTCCTGGGTCTTAATTTCTTACAACCTCCTTTGAACGGCAACCCCTGGGTTGACAGCCACACCCTATCTCCCACCCTTATGGTTTCACCTTCCCTTCGGTTCTTGTCTGCCTGCCTCTTGTATTCTTCCTTCGCCCTTTCTAAGTTGAGTTGGAGCTGACGATGGATTGCTTCCATTTCTTCCACAAAATGCTCGGCTGCCGGGACGCTCCATCTCTCCCCATCTNCCCTGGGAAAGCCCTGGGATGACACCCATAATTAGCCAAGAAGGGGCTCATCCCTGTGGACACATTCTCGGCATTGTTGTAGGCAAATTCCGCCAGCGCCAACTTTTCTACCCAGTCATTCTCTCTGTCATTGACATAACACCTCAGGTATTGCTGGAGGACACCGTTTGCTCTTTCCGCCTGCCCGTTGGTTTCAGGGTGCCGGGCAGTCGAAAAATTGACCTCCACCTGCAGTAAGCTCATGAGCTTCCTCCAGAACCTGGAAGTAAATTGTTTTCCTCGGTCTGAGACCACCCTCAATGGCACCCCGTGCAACCTAAAAATGTGTTCTACAAATAACTTCGCTGTCTCTTCCGCCGTGACTGCATGCGAGCAAGCTACAAAGTGGCACATCTTTGTTAGTAGGTCTACCACCACCATGATGGCTGTTTTCCCTTTGGACTTCGGCAGATCAGTCATAAAATCTATCGACACTGCCTCCCCAGGTCGGTCTGGGGTTGGTAAGGGTTCTAATAGCGCCGCCGGCGCCCGCCTTTCCCTTTGGCTCTCTGGCATTGCTCGCACCCTCTTACATACTCCACGTACATCTTCCCTCACCTTAGGCCACCAAAATTCCCTGGTGACCAACCACATGGTTTTGTGTTGTCCAAAATGCCCCGCCGTAGGGCTGTCGTGCAACTGCTTGAGTACCCTCCCCCTTAACTCTCCTTCAGGGATATACAGTGCCCCTTTGTAATACAAAGCTCCATTTCTTTCCTCGAAACCCCTTGGTTCCTCTCCCTCACTCCTAAGACCTCTGAGCTTATTCTGGGCGTATTCATCATTCTCTGTTTCCTCTACCAGTTCTCTTTGTCCCACCAATGCCGCCCCACACACCCAGCGGTCCTCTGGAATGACATGTCTCTCTTCGGGTGCCCCAGCCCCTACCAAATATTCAGGTTTGCGTGAGAGAGCGTCCGGCGTCATGTTCTCTGGGCCTGGCACGTAATTAATCTCAAAGTTAAATTTGGAGAACTCCTGGGCCCATCTCACTTGCCGTTGGTTGAGCACTCGTGCCGTCCTCCAATACTCTAAGTTCTTGTGGTCAGTGCACACTTGCACCTTATGTTGTGCGCCAATTAGCAGGTGCCTCCATCTCCGGAACGCCTCATGAATGGCTAGTAGTTCTCGGTCATACACCGTGTAGTTCCTCTCGGATTTGTTCAGCTTTCGCGAAAAAAAAGGCACACGGTCTCCACTCTGACCCCTTCTTCCCTGGCTGCAGAAGCACCGCCCCAATCGCTCTGTCTGATGCGTCAGTTTCCACTCTCATTGGTTTTTGTAAATCCACATGCAGGAGTTGTTGTTCCGAGGCGAAGGCCCTTTTTAGTTCCTCAAATGCTCGCTCCGCCTCCTCAGTCCACACGAACTTCTTCTTACTGCTGAGACAGTCCGTAATGGGCGCCGTCAGGTGGGCAAAGTTTCGGATGAACTTACGATAGAAGTTCCCAAATCCTAGGAACCTCTGCACATCCTTCTTTGTTTTGGGTGTTTTCCATTCCAGCACCGCCTGGACCTTGCCGGGATCCATGGCCAATCCCTTGTCAGACAGGCGATACCCCAGGAATTCCACCTCCTTGGTATGAAACTGACACTTCTCCAGTTTCACCCACAGCTGGTTGGCTTGCAGCCTGCTCCAACACTTCTCTGACGTCTCTCACATGCTGCTCCTCATTCTCAGAATACACCAACACGTCGTCTAAAAGGCCACACAATTCTTGTAAAGCAAAGGCCCCAGGACGTGGTTCATAAACGATTGAAATGTTGCGGAGCCTGCTTGTAGGCCGAAGGGCATAACCAAATATTCAAATGCCCCTAAAGGGGTGAACATAGTGGTTTTCCATTCATCCCCCTTCCTTATTCGTACCAGGTTGTACGCCCCCCTTAGGTCCAGCTTTGTGAAAATCTTTCCCTTCCGCACCCTTGTCAAAATGTCGTCAATCCTGGGCATAGGGAAGGCTACTGGTTCTGACACTGCATTTAAGGCCCTGAAGTCACACACCAGCCTCGGCTTGTTCGTGTTTTTCTTATCCACAAAAACACTGGGCTGCCCCCACCGCCCTGGACTCTCTGATGAACCCTCTCTTCAGGTTCTTGTCAATGAACTCTCTTAACTCCTGCATCTCTCTGTCTGACATGGCGTACAGCTTGCCTACAGGGAGCTGTGCTCCAGGGAGTAAGTTGATTTGACAGTCAAAGGGTCTATGCGGGGGTAGTTGGTCAGCTTCCCTTTCGCTGAAGACGTCACGGAGATCTGCATATTGTCGTGGTACCTTCACGTTCTCTGTTACTTCAGTCCCTGCTAGGGTGGCTTGGACCCCTGCCAAACCCTTTCCCTCTTTGCAGTGTTCTAAGCAATGTGCTGAACCAAAAGAAACCACTCTCTGATGCCAGCCCACCAGCGGATCATGTAACGCTAGCCAGCTCATCCCCAATATAATGGGAGCTCCTCCCAAGGTGGCCACATTAAAAGCTATCAGTTCGGTGTGCCTTGCTACCTTCATTATCATTGGGACGGTCTGCAAGCTGACTTCTCCTCCCAACAGCTCCCTGCCATCGATCGTGGTCACCTGCAGGGGCTGCTTAAAGGATCGTCTGTATCTGGTGTTCAGCTGCAAACTCTTTGCTCATGAAATTGCAGGAGCTGCCTGAGTCCAACAGCGCCTTTATCTTTAGAGGGTGTCCGTTTGGCAGCTCTAGCGTCACTTCTATCACTAGGGCGGGTTTAGGAGGTTCTGGCGTGGGCACTCTCACTGCTCTTTGGCCTGGCTGCTGTGCCCCGACAGTGGCAGCCAGGCGTTGGCTTTTACTTGCTCCGGTATATCTTCCTCTCTTCCATCCACAGCTCCTACCATCCCTTGCCATTCTTTCCTCTGGGGGCAGACTCTGGCAAAGTGACCTGGCTGTTGGCAGAGATAGCATTTCCGGGCGCCTTTTCCCTCCTTTTTTTCCCCCCTCACTGGGCTTTGAAACTGCGCGCGCGCGCGCTGTTCCGATTTCCATCGGCTCTGCCGGTGGGAAAGTTGGCTCTGGAATGTCTGGAATGCGGAACTCCTTCCAACGTTCCCCTTTCCCTTCCCGCCTCTCCAATGCTCTCGCCTCCTGGCGCGCTCCTATGGCCAGCGCTGATTTGGTCAGCTGGTCCATAGACTCCACCCTGGGCGCCCGGGAAAGTTCGTCTTTCACAGCCGAAGAAAGCCCTTCTTCAAAGAGCATTTGAATGGGTTCCGCCGATAAGTCCCACCCCAATCTGTGAACAAGCATGGTGAACTCAGTCCAGTACTCACGGACAGATCGGCTCCCCTGTTTGCAAGCCATTAACTGTCTGCGCACCACTCCCTTTTCAATATCGCTGGAAAACATCAGATCCATGGCGCGAAAGAACTTCATTGTGTCCTTTAGGACGTCACTATTCGCTGCCATCAGGGGTCTAACCCAGTCTCTCGCCCCCTTTTCAAGATGCTCAATCACGAAAGCCACTCGTGATTCCTCGTCAGGGAATTCATCAAACTGCAGATTGAGGGCATATTGCATTTCTGTCCGAAAGCCATGATAGTTTTTGGGCTCCCCCCCAAACTTCTGCACCAATCCTGGTACCTTTCTGGCGAGCTGGGTGGCTTCCCCTTTTTGTCTGCATCCTGAGCCCTCCTCTCCTCAAGCCTCGCCGTCTGCATCGCTAGCTGGACCTCCAACACCCGGTACCTTTCTTCCAGGCTTGGACCCACTCCAGCTCCTGCTTCTCCGGTTCCGGCTGGGTTGCTCATGATGCCTTCTCCTGCACAAGCTGCTTTCAAAGACTGTCGGAATGCTGTGATGAGATGATGAGCTGCTTGTGCGTAAAATCGTATCCCCTCAGAGTTTGTTCAAGTCCACAAACCTCTGTCTGTGACGGAGCCCCTCAGACATGACTCCTCTAGTCACTAGCAGATTCCGACAGTGGTTGCCTTCGTAATCGCTTCCAACATAAAAGCTCCTTAACGGAAACACGTCTTCTGGACTCTCTGCGTGACAGTTTCCGGCGAGGAGTGGGTGTTCTTACAGGAGGTCCTGAAACCTCCCCACTGTTTTCGCTGGAAGTGTCTCTGAGCCATCCCTCCAGCTCAGCTCCTCTCCCCTGCTGGTTCCCTCTTCAGCTGCTGCGTCTCTCCCAACCTGTGTGAGCCCTTTCACCTCCCTGCTGGTTCCCTCTTCAGCTGCTGCGTCTCTCCCAACCTGTGTGAGCCCTTTCACCTCCCTTCCGTCCGATGGCAGTTCCCTGACAACTATGTGCTCTTTTTTTAAAAAAAGGTATAATATCATTGTATAATATATTTTCAGAAAAAAATAATATCAATAACTATGCTGGGTAAAGTAGCAAGAGCAAATGTCTGCTTGTGTAATGGGATTTTTACAACTTCCTTCCCCCTCTATCTCCTGCTCCCAAATATGTTCCAGGGGGGTTGGAGGACCTTCCAGAGCAAATATTGGAGGTGTGTCAGGGCGGAGGCAAGAGGGGCTAGGGCTGGAGTGGGGAAAAAGAAAGTTCCATTGCAGAAATTGATTTCCATGCACACATGGGTGAACATCACCGGATATTGCCCTTTAACTTCCATAGCCCTTCCAGTGTTGACAGTTGGCAAAGTTATTTATTTTTTTATTGATAAGTTGGCAGTGCCACACAAAACCTATGGGCCTCCAGATGTGGTTGGACACCCAACTCCCATCAGCTCCAGCCAGCATGGCCCAATGGTCAGGGATGATGGGAGTTGGAGTCCAGCAACCTCAGGAGGAGCACAGGTTTCCCACCCCTGCCCTACACCTTAGTGCTCTTTTGGAAATCAATAGTGGTTAAAACGACCTAACTTTAGCAGACTCAGCCTTGCATTATATAAAAAGTAGAATTCAGAAACATGTTTGTTACAGATGGTAGACCATAATCACTTTTCTTCCAGAATACTGGAAAATAGTGTCACACAGCAAAATCAGCTTGACAATTCCTTTTAATCTGAGTGTTTTAAGTTAAACAGGGCAAACCCAATAGGCTGTATTGTTAGATGTTCTACGGCGCTGGCAGTGGCTGGTTCTTAGTCAATTCAAAACAGAGCTACAGATAATTGCATTAATAAAATGTTCACATCATCCTGTTTCCTTTTATTTAGGTTTTTTGTCCGTTCCTTGATGAAAATGGCAGCCAACAACGCAGTTTTGAACAGGCTGGAGCAGAAGGGCGCAGAAGCGGATCAAGTTATCGAATACCTTAAGCAGCAAGTGGCTCTTTTAAAGGAAAAAGCCAGTAAGGCATCAGTCTTTGACCTTATCATTTAAATGTGCTTTGTCATAAAACTTGCATGCAAAATCTGTGAGCAGAGTTGAGAATTTTTTACTGTGAATCTAGCCCAGTATGTAAACCCCAGAATTTAGGTTATACCTTCCCTGCAGCAAGCAATAAACGTGCTAAGTTTCCTATCGTTTTAAAAAGCAAAGGAATTACCAGGTGTCAAAACAGCATTGATACTTGGCAGGCCCCCAACCTTAATTATTGTCATGGCTGTAAAATGAACAATTCCTGAATTAACTTTTATACTTGATGGCACAAGGTCTTCTCTTCTCAGGGAAGGTACATATGGAAAATGGTATGCCGGGCCATGTAGGGCTTTATGGACAATAATAAACACATTGAATTATATAGAGAAAATAATTGTCAGCCACTGCAAATTTCCAAGCTGTTTTCAAGAACATCCTCTATAGAGCGCATTCAGTAGTCTAAACTGGGAGGCCAGTACCTTTGTGATTTAACAAGGAATAGGAGCCAGTGCATAAAATTCAGTTAATAAAACATTTCTAGCAACTATTATCTTCTGGACATCCAGGTAGAGTGCCAGGACTAAAAGCATGCCAACATTTTAAAGCTGATGCCAGCACGTTGTAGCAACCCTGAAAACTTAAAATGGAGGATTTTTACAGAGCATTGTGCATTGTGGTATGCTGGAATTGATATTCTCCTGTTTCTTCCAAACAAACATAAGATAGGTGTCCCAATATTGAACTCATTTAAATAGTAGGTGCTGCAGAAATGTAGGAGATGGTGTGCACATTTGTAGCTCCCAACCACAAAATGGATTTGAAGTATAGCATGTATATTTTAATGCCTTCCAAAAGATGTGTGTATCTTGAGAATACTCACTGGATATTTTCATACACGGTTCCTTCAATTTAATAATACGGTAAAGACACATGGTTCAAATCTGCTTGTTTCCAAAAGTGTTTGGGTACTTTTTATTTATTCTGCTGGTTCCCATAGATTTTAATTTAAAAGTTTTAGAGTTGTGGTGCTAGTTTGAATTTTTGTATATTAGTGTGTAAACTGTCTTGAGAGCTCAGTTCAGGCCTATTAAATCAGATCTGTGTCCCTCTGGATTTTGTTGGACTATAATTCCTCTCATTCTTCACTATGTTGGCTTGCGCTGATGGGAGTTGGAATCCAACAGCATCTTGAGGGTCGTTGGTCCCCCATCCCTGTATTAGATGAATAAAAATGTAATTCCTATTCATGGGGAGAGGAGAGTTAAAATCCACAGGGTGCAGAAATATTAAGCCCTCTTTAAAGAGCAAGATAGCAAACTCTTTCTCATGTGTGTGATACCATAAAAGGGCCAAGTCCAGTCCTTCTCAAGGTGCAGAGAATTCTGCTATAACTAGAGCTGACTGTACTGAATGGTGGCATCCTCCTCTTAAAGAAAAAATATTGCGTGAGAGCTGTGTAAATGTAAGCCACCTGACTCTGAAGAATTTACAGTTTGCTTCTCTAGCATTGTTAAAAGCCCACCATATAAAACCGTCTTATAGAAATCAGATGATTGATCTGTCTCTACGCTTGACTGAAAGAATCTCCCTAAGGTCTTGGTTATAGGCTATCCTACCCCTAAACCCATAGTCCTTTAGCGAGAGATTCTGGAGATGGACATACAACTTTATACATGTAGATCATGTGATTGATAACTAAGCTTTTAGCACATGCTGTGATAGTGCTAATTAATAACCTTGTGCAGCTTATTGTGACTTTAATAACCCTTCAACAATTCGTCTGCATGGATTCTTAATTGTTTGCTTTCAGCATTGATTTGCCCAAGAGTTGGTTATGATACCTATGAAATTCTTTGACTAGGTCAAGATTAAAAAACCACAAAGCCCCAATCTGTGTTATATAATGATCTAGAGCCCCAGTTGAAGCTCTTTAAGCATATTTTTTACCTTTTGTTATGCTTATGTGCTTGTGTACATAGTTATATATTCCAGTGGTTTAAAGCAGGCTTTACTGACCTCTAGCACTCTATAAAGATTTTTGGACTTCAACTCCCATCAGGCCCAGACATACTGCATGTTGCTTGGGGCTGATGGGATTTGGAATCCAAAACATCTGAGGGGCACTAGAAGCTGACAAAGGCTGCGTTAACATTTGTGGACTATAGCACAAAGCGAAAAATAAGTGTCTGCCACCTTTTTGATTGTATTATCTCCAGGTCCAGGGTTTTTAGCATATTGTTCAATGTGTCTGAACCAAAGCCTCACATTAAAAAATTAAAATTCCAAAGGAGTCATTTTGGCCTAGGATCAACAGACAAATGTTCTGTTTATAAATATAGGAGATCAAACCTTTCAACAGTTTCTGCATTGCCCTCAGGTAGTGCCTCTAGAGTTCATTTCACTATAGTTTACAGAGAAATGCTCTGTCATCTTCCTTCCACCCCTGCTTTCCTGATGTAGTTATAAGGAAGACTTTTAAACTAAAGAATAAACAGTTTGGCTATGCATTCCATTGTAATAGGCATACAATACAGTTCCAAATTGTATTCCCACAAGAACCTTAGAGCAACAGCTCATTTCTCAGAGCAGGTGCCAAGGAAAAGGGGAGCTGGGGGGGGGAGGTGCCCAATGTGATTAAAAAGTCCAATTCTAGCTATGCTGTGGAATTAATTGAAAAAATACCTAAGACTCAGCAGTAGTAACAGATATTAGTGTGTCATTTTGACATTTGTGTGGGATGGTAAAATATCTTTAATAACTGAGAAAACTGAGGTGTTAAGTAGCTATATATGGGCATTCTGTGGAAAAGCAAGGGATAGAACTCACATCTCCTGCTCTCATTTCCAGAACCTTAATGGAAAAAACATCTTTCCTTTTAGTTGCTATGTTGAGACTTTCTCTGTTGTCACGACTTTCCCCCCTCGTTTGCTTTTTTTTAAAAAAGCTGATAGTTTCCGATTTCCCCCCTACAACAGAATCAATCTGGAATTTGAGCACTGCAAGAAACTCCTAATGTGCTCTGTAGTCCCGTATTTTTTTTGTCTTAATTTGATTATTGCCCTAGGTTTTTTTTTAATAGGAAAGGATTTTTTTTTTAAAGAATATTTATTCCAATTTTAAGATTACATAGAAAGAAAAAAGCAAAAAAAAAGAAAAACAAATCACATACACCCTACAAAAAAACACCACACAATACAGAAAAAAATACAAAGGACAAAAAATCACAATACAAAAGTAACAAATATCAAATTAAACCATTAAGATCATTTTCCCATTTACTTATTTCCAAGACTTCCTCTCACTTCTCTGCTTTGTATTCTAATTTAAATCGTATCTCCAGCAAACCCTTCTAACCTTCTTTTCATTTACTTAATTTAACATTCAAAAATATTTAATTCTCCTCTATTTTTTATTTTACACTACATATTTCCTTATTCCATTATACTCTGTCTGCCAATACGGTCTAATGTTCTTCTCCAACCTTTTCTAGCATTCTTTTATATTACAGTATTTCTGAAGATATGTTTTAAATTTTTTCCAATCTTCTTCCATCGACCCTTCTTCTTGGTCTCGTATTCTGCCGGTCATCTTAGAGGGGGGGAGCATAAAGAAGAGCACTAATGCATGAATTGTGATTCTTCTGTTTTTTGAAGTTTTAAGAATAAGTGGGTCTTAAGTCAACTTTAAACCCTTAAACCCTGAATTTCAGAGTTGTGAAATTAAGCTTTCCCTTTATGACAGTATTGTGTATGTGATTCCTAATGGAGAATTTGTCTCCTGTAGTCTTGCAGGCATCCCTGAGGGAAGAGAAGAAGCTTCGTGTAGAAAACGCTAAACTGAAGAAAGAAATTGATGTGCTGAAACAAGAATTGATCCAGGCTGAAATTCGGAATGGAGGTGACTGAAATGGGGTTGGGGGTTGGGAGAGCAATGTCGTCTTAAGCAAGTGTGGCTTCTTCATTCAGTCTGCAGAACACTCATTTCCCATACCAAGCGGAGAAATATTTGGGAGGCACTGAAGGGACAAAGTGTATTTTGGGGTGTAGAGGAATATTTACCCTAATTCTTAGATTTATGAAGAAAAATATTGGTGGTAAGCTACTTGTCTGGGTAGTATTCACTACCTGTCTGACACCACCTATACATTTTCTTCTACTGCATCATAGCAAACCATAGTAACATTTGCATGCTACACTTTCTAAAATGTTACTCTACATGCCTTTAGGATCTGGAATGTTGTGAGAGGTGAAGTTGAGCCAGCAGACAAACTGGAGCATCAAGAATCAATCTTGGGTGCTCCTTTTATCAAATTTGCAAATTCTAAGCTGTTTTGGTTGAAAACTGGTGGTGGAGGGGGGAAAGGGATAAACGGGAATTTTATTTGTGCGTGCATGCAAAATACATACAACCCTTATAAGTGACATTTTCTTCTTAATTCTAAAGAATGGGGGGAGCTGTCCCAGGGGGCAGGAGACGAAGAGGAAATCCTGTTGCACAAGCAGAAATCCGATTGCATGATATTGGAAGCCATTATCCACATTTTGCTTCCTTCAAAATTGTGCATACAAAAATATTTTCTGTGAGCCTCTGAGTACATAGAAATCGCCTAAGTTTGTAACTTACAAACTTAATTTTATGCTTGCCATAGTGTACTATGAACTTTGTGTACTAGGGACTTTGGCTACATGCAGCCAAATGAGATGATATCATCCAAAGGATAGGTGGTGTTATCACTTAAAGAGTGTGTGTGGTGCACTCTGCAAGTAAAAACCTTGTCTCATTGGAATGGATGGGTGGAGAAGAGAAATGTTTTAGCCCTGTCCAATCCTTGTTGTGTTAGGGGAACACTCAACTGTAAACCAGGTCAAAAGCATACGTTAGTAACATTATACTAATTTTATGTACCATGTTAGTAATATTATATTATGTTAGTAATCTTATACTAATTTTATGTACTATGTTAGTAATATTATATCATGTTAGTAATCTTATACTAATTTTATGATGTGTTTGTCCTCTAGCTTGGTATGAAGCTATTGTCCAAATCAATAACTTTAACCTATTGATTTTTATATTTCAGTGTATTGTTTCTAACCTATTTTAATCTGCTGACTAAAATGCCACATTTAGCTAAGGCTACAATCTAACTTGGAAGCAAGTCTCAGTTCAATCAGAATTTATTCTAATTAACGTGATTGGCACAGTTAATTCTTGCTGCTATCAACAGTGTGATTGCCTATTAATTCTCATGATGCTTACCCATAAAAGCCAGAAGGATTAAATTTAATATGTGTAAGTGAACCCAGACATTTGGAGATGACAGAATCCCAATATTGAAATTTATCCCTGCATTTTATTACTACTAATATTTCACAAAACCTTTGAAACCTACAGGACTCTCGTTTTTGATTAATGGATTGAATTTTAGCATTTTATACATTTTATTAAATAAATGTATAATATTCCTGCATTAAATATATCTTGGAAATGTTTTGAATCTTTCTTTGTGTTTAATGTAGTGAAACAAGTCTCTCTGCCGTCCAGTGAAACACCTTCTGCAACAGCATCCTTTTCAGAAGAAGTCTCTCAGCCTGCCGCTGCTGCAGCGGCCCCATCTGGTCCTAAAGACCAAATTAAAGGAACAAATGAAGAAAAGAAGAAAAAGGACAAGACGGAAAAGAAAGGTGATTTTACATATGCTACTTGGAAATGTTTGAAGTTCAGTTTCATTAATAAACATCAGAAAGGAATGTTATCAAGGCAGAAGTTTTTCAGGAAAATTATTCCGGACTAGGTTAGGCAAGGTGGTAAGTGAATGTAGCTTATGTGAAATAAAAGCTCGGAAGTAACTAATGATTTCCATTTAAAAATGCTCCTAAATTTCCAAAGTAATTTAGTTTAATACCATATCCTTAGAAATGAAAAGAGAATTATTAGAATTGGAGGAAACAAGTGGGGACACGAAACAAACCTGTATCCCCACTTCTTGTTCAGTGCTCCAGCCATCTTGGAATAGGGGCCATATAGTCCGGGGTGGATAATAATAATAATAATAATAATAATAATAATAATTTATTTATACCCTGCCCATCTGGCTGGGTTTGCCCAGCCACTCTGGGCGGCTCCCAAGAGAATTAAAAGCACAATAAAACATCAAACATTAAAAGGCTCCCTAAACAGGGCTGCCTTCAGGTGTCTTCTAAAAGTCAGATAGTTGTTTATTTCCTTCACATCTGGTGGGAGGGCGTTCCACAGGGTGGGCGCCACTACCGAGAAGGCTCTCTGCCTGGTTCCCTGCAACCTCACTCCTTCAGGGAGGGAACCGCCAGAAGGCCCTTGGACAATGGGGGTGGAGATGCTCCTTCAGGTATGCTGGGCTGAGGCCATTTAAGGCTTTAAAAGTCAGTACCAACACTTTGAATTATGCTCAGAAACATACTGGGAACCAGTGTAGGTCTTTCAGGGTGGGTGTTATATGTTCTCAGCGGCCACTCGGAGGGGGGGGGGCAGGGGGAATCAAGAGGAGGATGTCCTGAACCTAAGTGATTTATTGCCATGTAGGTGCAGTTGATCAAGAAGAGTTCCTGGTCAATGGGAATGGGGGGAAAATATCTTTCCCAGCTTCCTTCTTCCTTGATCCTAATACTGTTCACTAAGTATAAGCCCAAGCAGGCAAGATTACTTTCATTGCCACCTCTTTCCCCTTTTTCACAACTGATACCCTTAACAATCTAGGGAGCGGTCCGTGGTTTAACTGTCCTCAACATTCCACAGTCCTTGAAGAACAAGGACTACTGAGAACAAGTCCTCAGCAGGCCAATTGTGAAGGTTCTAGCCTACTTGCAGTAGATTGAAATTAATGGACCCAAGTTGGTTAGGTCCATTATGAATCTTTGTTTTTTAAAGCTATATTTACAAGTTAATATATTTCTGTGATTCTAGGGATCCCGTCAGGTATGCAGAAACTGTAAACTTATTTTTGGGTAGGTGCATTTTGCTTCTAAGCAAGACATTAAAGGAAATGGTACCATAATTCTATCTAGTTATCCATGTTTAAGGAAGCCTGTTGTCACACAGTTGTAATATTTTGGGTCTCTGTTTTGAAATCAAAGAATGTTAAAATGTACCGTGGGATTTCTTTTCAGACAGGGAAAAAGAAAACTTGCTTGATATGCATTCCAGGGGATGTGTGTGCCTGTGTAATTAAATGGCTTCCGATTTTGTTTTAGCAGAAAAGAAGGAGAAAAAGCAGCAGTCAGCTGCGAATGATGACTCAAAGCCTTTAGATGTTTCCCGACTTGATTTTCGAATTGGTTGCATCACAGCAGCAAAGAAACACCCAGATGCTGATACTCTGTATGTTGAGGAAGTTGACGTGGGAGAAACAAACCCTAGAACTGTCGTCAGTGGTCTAGTGAAACATGTTCCTTTAGAAGAGGTACATAAAGAATTCCTTTGATACTTCTTTTTCTTTGCTAAATAAAGTTTATTTTAAATATTTAAAATTGGTTTTTTATAATAATTCAGCATTTAGTTTTGGCACTTAAAGTTATGCAGCAGATGGATACTGAAATAATCTCAAGTTCACGAACTTATTACTTAAGAAACAAATTAAATAGAGGGGAGCCAAAACAAATCTAGCTTCTGCCAGCGTCAGAATCTGACTCCAGCAACAACCCAATGAACCTTGGTGGTCCTCTTCCTGTATGCAGCACACCTGGAGTAGCCAGTAATAACTTCTCAGTCTGCATCTTCCTGGCCAAGGGTGGGGGGCCTGTGCCCCAGCAAATGTTGCTAGACTACAGTTCCCATCGTTCCTGATCATTGTGGCTATGGCTAATGGGAGTTTGAACCCAACATCTGCAGGACCACAGGCTCTCCCCCTCGGTTCTAGGCATATTTCAATGTGCTCTTCTGCTCTTTTTGCCATATATAAGATGCTGCAGCAAGCGGGTCAAGGTACGATGTCTCTTCATCTTTAACCAAGTAGTAATGTCACTTGAGCTATTGCAGCCTGTCTGTCAAGCAGAGGATGCACTAAGAATGCCTTTCATTCATGTGTAAGGCATAGCGATATTTCCCAGAAGCATATGCAGTTTTCTTTTCTTGGGATTTAAGAAGCCCCTAGCAGGGAGGAAATATGAAACAGTATTCTAGGCTGGATCTCTACGCTGGAACTAGACACTTCAAAGAAGTGATTCACTTAAATGCATTGTCAGCTTCATACAGGGAAATCCCGTTGGTGAAACTCAACAGCGCCATCTGGGGTCATAGTGTTATAACCCCTATAAAGCGCTTTATCTTTGTGAATGTAGCTGAGTCCCTAATTCTGCTATTTGATAGCAAAACACACCTAATGTTCTGGGTAATTTTGAGTAAATGTGTAATTTGAAATTATTTCTTGTAATACTGGTGGAGGAGGCAAAAAAAAATATTTTGGATGTAAACTTCTCTTCTTAACTTACTGCTGGAAAATGCTCAACTTTCATATATGTCCTTTGTCCATTTTGAAGGATGGAGACATACCTTGAAGGAAATCAGGAGCGCCCATGTACACTGTCACTTGAATGATAGAATCATAGAATTTTAGAGTTGGAAGGGTCATCTAGTCCAACCCCCTGCAATGCAGGAATCTCAAATAAGGCATTGGTGACAGATGGCCATCCAACTTTTGATTAGAAACCTCCAAGGAAAGAGAGTCCACCACCTCAAAAGGGAGTCCATTCCACTGTCGAACAGGTCTTACCGTCAGAAAGTTCTTCCTGATGTTTAGTTGGTATCTCCTTTCTTGCAACTTGAATCCTTTGTTTCAAGTCTTACCCTCCAGACTATTTAGGTAGGATCTGTGTAGTTACTTAGTAAAGGGACCCCTGACCATTAGGTCCAGTCGCAGACGACTCTGGGGTTGCGGCACTCATCTCACTTTATTGGCCAAGGGAGCTGGCCAGCATGACTAAGCTGCTTCTGGCGAACCAGAGCAGCGCACAGAAATGCCATTTACCTTCCCACCAGAGCGGTACCTATTTATCTACTTGCACTTTGACGTGCTTTCAAACTGCTAGGTTGGCAGGAGCAGGGACCAAGCAACAGGAGCTCACCTCGCCGCGGGGATTCGAACTGCCGACCTTCTGATCGGCAAGTCCTAGGCTCTGTGGTTTAACCCACAGTGCCACCCGCATCTGTGCAGCTACTTAAGGCATGCCTAAAGATTGAGGAGTGCAATTCTTCTTCTTTGCCCTTTTTTGGCATTGTCCTCCTTTTCAGCCTCCCCCCCAAAGTTCAGGAATGTTTGAAAAACTCACCTAAGTTTCAGAAGAGGTTTGCCATGAGCAAGGGTTGTAGCTCAGTAAACATGGGCGCAGAATTCCCCTAGACCCATGGATAGCTGTGTTTGCATAGAGCACTCATTAGGATCTACTGCTCACTTTTTCTCTTTCCTAGGAAATATAAAAAGGACATTCCATCCCCATAGTCAGCTCTGTGTGTGTTTTGGTAGTTATATTATACCAGCAATTGCAATAAAAATATGAGAGACTGTTTGTTGTTGGCTTCATCTGTGTCCCAATATGTTTTGAAGCATCTAGGGCATTGTGTTTTGCCTCTTACATAAAATACAGTGGACTCTCCGCAATCCAGACAGCTTGAAGGACACCCACACTATACGGAACTGCAGTAAGGAAAACATCCTTTCTGGCTGAACATATTGAAATAAGCCAGATCCTGAATTTTAAGCAATATTTATCCAATATAATATTCAGGAAAGGAGAAGGAATTCTCTTCCTTGTTCTGACAGTTCCTGGCGTTCCAAACATCCCTTTAGTACCTCAGTTTAAGACAGCTGGGACTGCCTTAAATTTATCCAACAGTTAATTGTAATCAATGAAATCCCAATGATTTTAAGGCAGACTGTTGCATATTTTTATACATAAGGTGGTTAGAAATGGGCTGCAGCTTCCAACCTAAACTTATTAATGTCTAATAACCATTTTTAGTCTCTTTCTCCTCAAGTTGGCAAATGTATTAATTAAAATCTGCTGCTTAAATTACAATTTGTATGGAAACACGAACATCGGTTTGTATGCCTGGTAGGTTTTTGAATATCATCAGTAACTTTATTGTCAAAGATCTTTTTTGATTTCTGTCTATTAAAAGAACAACAATCTGTTTTCTTGACCAAGTTGTTAGCTGCAGTGTTTGCTAATGAGGCCTCATTGTTCTGCTTATTCATTGTAGTCTTCCCTAGTGGGCGGGGGGGACCCAGAAGCATTTGTAGTTTTAAATAAATAAATTGCAGTGCACATTATGGACAACTGTTTTGATAAAATATGCTTCCAAAATGTCCTCCTGTCTTTGGATTAATTACATCCTGAATGGTAAACCACCTGGGCATGCTTTCTCTGATTAGTTTAGAAGGATGTTTTTACAAAAATTCCTTAAGTAACTGTTAAAAGTTGGAACCCAGGACCACAAAGAATGGAAAGTCAGTAAAAAATTGTTTCAGCCATTATACCCAAGCACCAGGACACAATGTTGTCTTTATTGCACCCTCTTGTGTGTCTGTATTAGAAGACAGTTATCCTTAATTGTTTCCTGGCTTTTACTACTGAATTAGTCTTGAAAGAATGTTAATTGTTGCTAACATATTTGTATCTGCATACTTGGTGTTTTTGCGTGTTTTCCTGTGTGCAGTTGCATGCATTAATTCCGCCCCCCCCCCCTTGCTTCCTCATTGTGAAATAAATGCAGAGAAGCCTAGCTAAATTTCATTTTTGTTTTGACTTACATCCCATGTACAGATGCAAAACCGGATGGCAATATTTCTCTGTAACCTGAAGCCAGTGAAAATGAGAGGAGTTTTGTCCCAAGCCATGTTGATGTGTGCTAGCACGCCAGAGAAGGTGGAGATTCTAATCCCTCCTAGTGGGGTTGTTCCTGGAGACAGAATTACATTTGAAGGTTTTCCTGGTAAGCAAAAGCATCTTGGAGATGGGGATATCAGAAGAAATTACAGAGGAAATATATATATCAACATGTACAGAAATGAAATTATCCAGTACTTTTATCATTAACTCTAATGAATGAAATAATTCTTCCCTGTGACTGTAGCCCAGTGCATGCACAATTTGCTGAAAATAAGTTCGCTTTTTCTCTGCACCCACCTATACCCCACATGAAGGAACTTTGAAATGCATTTGTGAATTGTGTGAGAGGTTGTTGGTACTTGCAAAGAGGAGGAGGAGGGTGTCACTATCAACTTGCAGAGACTGGTAGAAGAACTTGTTAAGCAGTGTCTGACAAATGGATGGGTTTGCACAAAATAAACTTTATTTTTTAAAAAAGGGATAAAGCTGTCCTGTATTTGAAGGAACTAGACACTGCCAGGCTGGGGAATACTTGAGAATTGCCCAGGAAGTTAGTGCTTTAATGAAGTACAAAATTTTCATATTGAAAAAGCGTGAAAGAGCAGCACCAATTAGGAGGTATAAATGATGGTGTAGAGAGTGTACCAGTGGTATATTTTTACTGAGAGATTGTAGGGAAAGAACTGGTGCATAGGAAAGAAAATGAAATGCTTCCAATAAAATGGTCTTGGTTCAGATAAACCGTTAAGAATAGAGAGTTGTATCCAACTCTTTTATTATTATTTTTTAGAAGACATCTGAGGGCAGTCCTGTTTAGTGAAGTTTTTAATGTTTGATGTTTTATCGTGTTTTTTATATTCTGTTGGGAGCCTCCCAGAGTGGCTGGGGAAAACCAGCCAGATGGACGGGGTATAAATAAATATTTTATTTTATTTTATTTTATTATTTTATTTTTAATATGAGTGAACTTTCTCTTCCTCCTGTGTTCCTCCTGTGCCACTTAACCCCCTGTCTGCTCTGGAGAATCCCACAACTATACAGACCAGATTTTTATTTTTATTTGGAGGGGGACGCAGAGGGAAAAGGAGAGGAAAGGGAAATGCTGTTGCTAGGGCATAAATTTGTCCCTCTTGTGCAAGAGCATGGTTTAGTGCAACCCAGGGCTAACTTTTCTTGGATTTCTAGTGACTTTACAACATGAGTTGATGGTTCATTGGTTGCAGATTTGTAACTGATGAGTTTTGAGCCCATGCCTAAATGGTAATCCTGTGCCTGCCTGATGCTCTTTGGAAGTGAATTCTGCAGGACAGCTGCCACCATACTAAAAAGGCTCTTCCCTTAGTAGACATAAGACAAACTTCCAGAGCTTACAACATTACCAAAAGTGTCATTCCTGAGGATCTAAGAGGCTGGGCAAGGGTATATAATAAGGAGTTCTTGGAGGTAACTTGGTGCCAAGTTATTTAGAGTTTATATGCCAAAAGCAAGACATAGGTGTCATGCAGTGTCGGTACAGCATTCTGCACCAGTTGCAACTTCTGGACCCAACCTTAAGAGAAGCAACACATAGATTGCATTGCCATAATCTTAACCTAGAAGCTACTTTATTTTCTAGCAAAGGCAACATATATATTTTTTGTCATCGAGATTTGGAGAAAAGAGAGAACAACACAGCCCGTATATTATCCAAGAGCAATCAAATTGGCTGTTTCCCATTGATCTGGCAATATAATATGAGAGGCTTAATACCACAAACATAAAATCAAAGAAGGCATTGCCCAACGAACTCTGCAGTCAATAACAAACCAGCTTTTCAGTTGAAGCCGAAATTGTGTTGCCGTTTGAGCCAAAAAACACATCTTGTCAAACATTCTGTATCCCTGCAATGAACTGCCATATGCCTCCCAGCGGAATTGGCTTAATGGATATGTGTGTCCACTGTTTGTCCACATTAGAGGATGATTAGATTAGATTTGCACTGCTTCTAAATGTAGAGATTCCATGTGTGGCTCTGCTCTGACATTTATTGAACTGATGAGAGCATATGCCTTTAGATGTTGTCAAATGGCTTAAAATGCAGGTTCATGGTTGCAATAAATATTTTTTTATTAGCAAGGGCTATAGTGGCTTCTAGGACAGTTAACAACCGCACTAAAAGTACTGTTTATGCATAATTGCAAAGTGTGCACACTGCCCATTTAGCTATCAGAATTGAAAAGAGTGATAGATTATACCAAATTACATCACCGCTTTTAAAATAAAAATGTCTGGGGGAAGAAAAACTGCAGTTAATGGTTCTTTCCCCTAGGGCCTATTATCCCTAAATGTCAACCAAACAAATGTTTTCATTCCCAGAGGTTAAATTCTAAAATTCTACAGACACAGTTTTTTGTTTGCTTGCATGAAATTAGATTTATGTGTGGAAATCACATGATTATAACCCACCATATTATAGTTTCTTGGGCGTTCCTCCTTTCAAGTTTGTGTGTGTGTGTGTGTGTGTGTGTGAGAGAGAGAGAGAGAGATAGAGAGAATTTACTAAACATGTAAACAGTATTTGATTGATGAATTGTTCTTTTACAAGTCCTTTTAAAGTTTCCAATATGATGTTAATTTTTTAAAGGAGAAAAGTGTCATCAGTCATAGTTTATTTTCTAGCTAGTTCTGATAAATGAAGAGTTGTTGTCTGTCATTTCTAAACAAAACAGGGGCATGATCCATAAATATATGCCTTTTTAAAGTGTCAGTGAAAACATTTTTCTACTTTGACTTGCATATCAAACTATAGCATAAACCAGGCCCTCCAGATGTTTTGGACTACAAGTCCCATCATCCCTGACCACTGGTCCTGTTGGCTAGGGATCATGGGAGTTGTAGGCCAAAACATCTGGAGGGCCGCAGGTTGGGGAAGCCTGGCATAAACCATAGTAGTACTTCTGAAAGACCATCATTTCATGTATTCTTGTGAGTTGACTGTCTTCTTAATCCTAACATCATTTCCTTCTCTCACACTTGCCTAAATGCTTGTAAATGATTCTGTTAAAAGCTTACTGCTCATCTATTTCCGTTTAGAACTTTGTATTAGGAAAGCAAAGGAATGTTCAATTGCCATCCCCCCCCCAAAAAAAGCAAAACAAAAAACATGCCCCTACAAGTGTTCTAAATCATTGTTAAATGTGAGTTTTATTTTAATGTGCTTTTGTCCTTATTAAAAATAACCCCATTACACTTTGAGAAAAGCACTTGAAGCTCCAGTTGTTGTTTCCTTTTGGGGATGCTTAGGGTCCAGTTGTAATTGGATATGGCTTTATTGTGGGTTGTAGTTTTATTTTTAACTGGATTTTATTGTTGTATCTTATTGATTTATAGTCTGCTTTTGACAAAGTACTTCACCAAAGACCTCTGTGTAAACTTTGCAGTCATATAAGAAGAGCAGAGGTCCTCTTTTGGATCAGGAATTGTTCAAGTTGCAGGAAGCAGGGAGTAAGAATAAATTAACAGTTCTCCGAATGGAGAAATATAGAAAGTGGAGGCCCCCCCCAAGGAATGGTATTGGGACCTGCGCTTTTTAGCTTGTTCATAAAAGATCTAGAACTGGGGGTGAGCCAATGATGAGACAGTAGCCCCCCACCTATGCAAGGGTTTGGTTCCAGGGGCCTGTTTGCTGTCAGAGACCTTTCACTGCCTTCCCCAAGCCCAGTAAGCAAGGAAAAAGCTCGCTGGAAGCATGGGTGGGGAAATGATAAATAAATGGAGAGCTGAGAGTGGTGGTTCTCCCTGTTGTTGTTGTTTAGTCATTTAGTCATGTCCGACTCTTCGTGACCCCATGGACCAGAGCACGCCAGGCACTCCTGTCTTCCACTGCCTCCCACAGTTTGGTCAAACTCATGCTGGTAGCTTCGAGAACACTGTCCAACCATCTCATCCTCTGTCGTCCCCTTCTCCTTGTGCCCTCAATCTTTCCCAACATCAGGGTCTTTTCCAGGGAGTCGTCTCTTCTCATGAGGTGGCCAAAGTATTGAAGCCTCAGCTTCAGGATCTGTCCTTTCAGTGAGCACTCAGGGCTGATATCCTTCAGAATGGATAGGTTTGATCTTCTTGCAGTCCATGGGACTCTCAAGAGTCTCCTCCAGCACCATAATTCAAAAGCATCAATTCTTCGGCGATCAGCCTTCTTTATGGTCCAGCTCTCACTTCCATACGTCACTACTGGGTCAGTTCTCCCTGACTCTCCATTTATTCCCCCCCCAACCAATATAAGGTGATCGCATAAGTAAAGCGAGCGCAAGTTGCATGCTTACTGTACTAAATTGTTCAGGGTCATTAAAACGAAGAGATTCTGAAGAGCTCCAGAAGGAGCTCTCCAAACCGAGTGGATGGGCAATAAAATGGCAAATTAAGCAAAGTGAAGCAAGTGTCAAGTGATGCACATTGAGGCAGAAACATCTTAGTTTTACATATATTCTCATGGGCTGTGAACAAACCCAGGAACCTTGAGGTCACAGTAGACAGCTGGATGGAGATATTGACCCAGCATGCGGCAGCTTTGAAAAAGGTGAATTCCCTGCTTCAGTTCATTAAGAGAAGAATTGAATATGCCTCTGGATACCAGTTGCTGGAAATTGCAGGCAGGCAGAGTGCTCAGGTCCTTCTTTGTGGGCTACCCAACCAAGATAACAGGATGCTGGACTAGATGGGTCATTGGCCCAATTCAGCAGTCCCATCTTACTTTTTCAAGGAAAGGAGAATTGGAATACCCCCCCCCATATAAATTGATTATGAAAGAGTCTCGTCTTTTCCCACCCCAATCTGTATTACATACATGATTCAAAGGTTGCACTGAGGAACTAGCCAGTGTTGCGTGAGAGAAGACTTTGTGAACTTTACCACTGCTTCCTTTCTGATAGGAAACCAGAGATAACTCAGGAGTTTTAATAGTTCCAAGTGAAGGATTTATAACCCATTTTACGTAAGTTCGGTCTTCTGAGGCTATATATCTTAGCTGCAGAATAAAACAGTGCTCCCTAAAGCACCAAAGGGAAAGAACTGCTCACAAATCTGGTAGCTGCGAAATAAAGGCAGTATATTCTCCGAGAATATGCTGTACCAAATAGTGCAAGAGTCTCATTCTGACACCACAGCACATTTTTATTTTGTATTAATTCTCCTGATACTGTGGTATAGGGTAAATAAATATATGAATGGGGGGAGGGTCTCTATAGGAAGATGACTAATTTGCAAAAAAATGAAAAATAAAAAAGGCAAAGGTGGTGGTGGAGAAAAGATGAATGATGTAGAACTGTTAGAGCTGCCTCACTTTTTTAACTGAACCAACCAGCTTAAAGAGAGTGTCCCAACTTTATTGCTTCCTTTATTTGTAGATTTATATTGTGCTTTTTGATTGAAGCCCACAGAGCAACTCACATCATGAATATAATGCAAGTCATACATTAAAAGCCAGATACTTAAAATAAAACAAGACCAACCCAGCTGGAGCAGGTGCCTGATGTGGTCTTTGCCTGCTTCCATCTCTCTCTCTCTCCTCTTCTTTCGCACCTAGCAGTTGGTCTTAGCTGTCTTGAAGAGGGAAAGGGGGCATCAACTGCAAAAGCAACTTTGAGGAAGTGCAGGGCAAGGAAGTACAAGGAAGTGCAGTTTATATTTTTGAACAGCACATTGGATCGCTTTCTCTTTTTAACCGTTGGTGTATACCATGGCTCCTTGCTGGCGATTGGAACATACTTTTATTTACATAATAACCCACGACATCTGGAAAGTTTGAGTAAGGACACAGCGCATGCTGTAAAATTCCTTCTGAAACCACAACCTGCTGGTTTAGCCATTAGTGGCTCGCGCTGCTGAAGCTTAAACGTGATCCAGGGCCTGTGAAGCCCTGTTGTTAATTCCCAGTGAATTTGGGTCCAGCCACTTGCTTTTACCAGAGGAGCAGAAATACTCAAGTGTAGCGCTCTGCTGTGCCTCATGGCAGCCTAGAAGTAGTTCTTCCAGGAAATTTGCCCTGACATACTTGCGCATATCATTTACTTGCATTCATGCAAAGACAGGAGCTGTGCGCAGCAATCTCTGGATTCAGTTTGGGAGCTCGTTGTCTTCTTTTTTTTTTTAATTATTTGGTTTTTCAAATTGACATTTTACAGAGATATATCAAACATAAATAATAATAAAAAGGTTCCAAGAAATCTCCTGGACTTCCATCCTCCTCTTTGTGGGTCCTATTATTAATCATTTCCTCCTGCGTCATTTATGATAATCCAAATCTTTTATATCTCCATTGTGTCCAGAATTCACCCTTAAACTACAAGTGATATTCTAATCCCACTAACGAGTTTAACTGTTTACAATGGTCTTTTAAGATAAGTTATAAATTTTCCCCATTTCTTATTAAATTTTGGTCTTCCTGATTTCTGATTCTTCTGGTCATTTTCGGCATAGTCCGTCAACTTCATCTGCCATTCTTCTCTGGTAGGAACTTTATCTTCTTTCCATCTCTGGGCCAATAACATCCGTGCAGCTGTGGTCGCATACATAAATAGTCTTTCCTGCTCCCTTGGGATTTCGGCACCTAGGATCTCATTGTCCTTCAAGGTCATTTGCCGCAAGTAATCAATGTGTGGATGCCTCTTGGAGGCAGTAATGAGTCATATGAGTCGTCACTGCTTTCACAGGTTTCGAATTCTGATCACATAGGGCCTCTCTGGAAAAGCACATTCAAAGATACTTTCCCGTCTTCCTTTAACATGAACAGGATAGTTTACTCAACAGAGCAAATTTTAAAATTCTAGTTAAATACGAGCTTACTGTAGCTTTATTTAATACTCAGTTTAGACTGGGGATGGGGAATGTGTCTATAGAGATTGCTGGACTGCAACTCCCATCATCCTTGACCATGTTTGCTGGATCTGATGGGAGTCGGGAGTCCCGACGACATCTGAAAAGGGGCCACAGCTTCCCCATCTCTGGTTTGGACTTTTTCACTTGGAAGCATGTACACATTAATGGCTTGAAACCCAGTGAACTCATCCACCTTGTTGCATTTCAAGTTGCTGCACATACCAGAGATCGGGCAGGGATGTCTTCAACCTACACCCATTGTCTGATTCATTTGCACGCACAACGGCTGCCTGAAATGTACACATCTCAACTTAACTGCAGCTTCCGTTTTCAAATCGGGTGGAAACTTCTTTGATGGAAAGCCCATCAAACGGAAGTATTTCTTGAGAAGCTACAGGATACCTGTGGATTGTGGCGAACACTGTGTACTTTGCTCTAAACACTAGCAGTGGGAGCCCATTGGACCCAGAATGAGTATTAATGTGTACACTACCTTAGTGTACTGTAACAATTCTGAAGAGAAGCTTTTCTGGGTCTCGAGTTCCTCACTTACTGGAGGAAAATATCTCTTTACTAACCTTTGGGCCTTTCACTCAAGCATCCCATGCCTGTTCTGTTCCAACTTTTGGTATGTTTTCAGTGCTTTGACGAGCCAGAGCAGCAGAGCAGTATAATGCCTGTCAGTTAACTTTTCTGCAAATTTAAAGAAAGCTAACTGCTCTCCCCAAAGAGTAGGAATCACGAGTTTTCTCCCATCTTATTTTTAGCTGTCCTTCACAGTGGTTGTTTCTCTTGCAAGAAGGGGATGCAGAGGGGAGGTTTACTGTGGAACGCACAACACAGTGCTCTGGTAATGTTTAAAAGTGGTGCCTGTGCTAATCTAATACAAGCCCACCACAGATCCCAGGGGAGCTTGCCTGGGTATTCCAAAGCAAGTTTTAATAAGATCCAGAAGGTGTTTGTGTAATAAAAGCCAGATTTTAATTTATTCTTGAAAACTAAATTTGCTTTTATAATGTTTGCATTTGAAAAGAATTGACTTCACCTTGGGGGTGATATAATTTTTGCTTTGCATAGAATCCCCCCCCCCCCAAGTATCTAGCTTACTCCAAAAGTTGGGATGGGGGTGGGCAATGATTTGTTTGTTTGTTTGTTTACTATGGGGCAGATCATCTTAACTATCCTCTAGGGCAGGTTCGGCTAACCTGTGGTCCTCCCAATGTTGTTTGACAACCCCCATAATCACTGACCATTGGGCATACTAGCTGGGGCTAATGGGTATCAGAACTAGCAGCATCTGGAGGACTACAGGCTAGCCTCCCTCTTCTGGGTGCTTTATTGTTTCTCTAAAAGGTGAACTGTTTCTCTATAAATTACTCGCTGACTATGGCTGATGCACTGAAGCTTCCCTTCGTCACAAGCCGATCTGTTTAACAGAGTTGTAGCGGGTTAATCATAATTAACTCTATGGCTGTTGCTGAGGTGGAAAGCTGATCCCCAGCCATCTGGTAGTATAATTGGGTTGCACCAAACTCCAGCATGCTCCATGAGGAAATGCTGTGGCCATTTCTGCGCTCAGATTCTCCGACATATAAACCTGATGTACTATTAATACATTTGTGGCCAAAATTAAGCAAAGGTGGCTTATGGGGCAGTTACACTGAGCATCTAGTATGCTCTGGATGAAATAAGTTAGTGGTTGTTGTTTTCTGTTCCCTTTCAATAGTTAATGCAGAGTTTGAATGGAAGCAAAGAGTTTCTGTCCCTACCACACCCCTTATTGCCACAAAGGAGTAGAGTTGACAGGCATACAGCTGTCGCTAAACGATAAGGCATTTGGATATTTCCAAGCACCCAGAAATATCAGAAATTGATAGTTGCCTCTGGTCTGACCCCATTTCCAATCCCCTTAATTGTAAGTCAATCTTTAGTATGAGATTATAAAATAAAAGCAGATTGGAGGGCGGATTACCATATTTTTCTGTCTATAAGATGCCCCCATGTATAAGATGCCACCTATTTTGGGGGACTCAGATTTAAGAAAATGGGAGAGACACTATCAGTGTATAAGACACCCCTTAATTTTTGACATTATTTTTTAGGGGGGAAACCTAGTCTTATACATGGAAAAATACGGTAATTTAAGAAATGTCATGGAGAGGGATCCAGATAAGTAAGCACCTAGCTCTGTGCTCCCCAGGGAGCTTTGGACATGTGTTTATTGAGTAGCAGCCGTCTCATGACACATGGCAAAATCCATATTTGAAAATGAGAAAGGGGGCTTTAAAAGGTTTGTGGGAAGCAAAGAAGGAAAAGGCAGAAATCCCCCTTGGCTTGCCCCAAGCCCATACACATGTCTAAAGTAGCTCTTCTAATTTACAGGTGAAGGAGAGGATGTAAAGTAAGTGGACTGCTAGGTTAAGGCATCTTTTGGGCAGGATATACACTGTTGTTGTTTTATTATTTTCTGCTCAGAGGGGCCAATGTGGTGAGGGGTGGTGAGGATGTGCCAGTGCATGAGACGAAAATCTATTACTACGGACAATGTTCCAGTTCCTATTTGAGAACTGGTAAGTCACCAGTAAATTGTGCAAGTTGCTTTCCCTGCCTTTTAAATAATCTTGGGTGCTTTCTGCCTTGTGGACTTGAGTTTTGAAAGGCTTCATCAAAAGGAATGGGCAGCCAAAATACAAAGTCCATTCAGCCCACACTAGGATGTTAAATGAGGCTCCTAGTTGGCAGAAAGGCTGATAATGAAAATGATTGTTATTGAGGCTCACCATTGTTACAGTTTGTTGTATTTACTAGAAGGAATTGTACAAAAGAGGATAAGATATCCCAGGCCATTCTGGCTGGACAATTTGAATCCTTGTTTTATCAGTATTAAATTATGAAGTGAAACCTGCTTGATCTTACAAGCAGGAATAAATAATACATTTTGCACATTTTCTTTCCATTGTTGGTATGCATACATCATTCAGTGGTGTTTGGGCATGGGTGGCTGTGACTTTTTATGATTTCCCACGTCCCCTGCAGCCCCCAGCGTATAATCTTCCACACTGTCCTGGAAGGCCCCCTAAATTCATCTAAACTGTGTGGAAACAGTACTGAGGACTGGAGGAAAAAGTGGGTTGTCAAAAGTCACCTCTTTATGCCATCAGATCCTATGAGCAGAGCCTTCCCCAAAGTTGCTCACCCTATCCGTTCTTTCTGTAGCTCTGTTTTTCTTGCCCGTGCAGCTGGTTTCTATGATGTGTTTTGGTTTGCTTTCTTTATTCTACTTGTGAATTCCATTGAAGTTTTTTATTATTATTTTTATTTAAGAATAGGCTAGTGTTATTTGACGTTGGTCCTAATATTGTATACCTGATTTTGCAATACAGCAGCTCCATGAGCTTTCTGAAACCAAGAATTCTTTCAGCAAGCACGTGTACCTAGCGAATGTATTAATGTGGACACTAATTGCTGTATGAATCTTGCACTAGGGGAATAAGGAGTAAAGCATTACTGCTGCTCAGAATGGCCTCTCATGTTTGTGATGGGAAGCAGAACACCTAGCTCACTTAAATAGTTTTGATGATCTTACTCTTGGGTTTTGTATTATTCCACTATTGTGACTCCCTTAACCATTCGCAGCAGTTTCAAAAAGTAGTAGGAAAAGAGCATTAGACTTACTTTCCCTAGCTCCAGCTTTCCACAGAATTGGTAATCCTTGTGCTTCCTTGTTTTGAACATGTTTGCGTGATTAAAAATAATAATTATTAGTGGAGTTAAAATATTTTGTTTGTCTTTGCATTCCAGTTCCTCTCAGAGAGCTGCTTCATATCTAATCTACTTGTGGATAGCTATTGGAACAAATGTTAAGCATTGCTATTAATAACCAGAGGCTGCTTCTAACCAGAATTTGAAGTTATGGCTTTATAACTGGTTTCATATTCGGGTTAGAAGCAAACCACGGTGCGTGTTGAGTGTGGGAAATAGTAATGATGCCGGCTAACCATGGTACATAGCTAACCATGGTGCAGGGTGAAAGGAATTGGCATGTGGGAGGGAAGATGGATGAAGGAGGGGAATTTGCAATTTCATGGCACACTTTCCTTAACCTTCGGTTTAAAATAAAGGTTCTTATGACTGTGGCAGCCAAGAGTTCTTCCTTTTAGCCCGCTAGATCTGCTACAGTTAAACCCTTTACTTGGTGGGTAAACTATTTTATACGGATCAGAAAAAGAACTCCCCCCAATGTACTTAATACGTTGATTTCTAGCAGCTCATGCCATTTCCAATACATTTTGAAAGGAAACAGTCTTTAAAATGATTTAATGTTTCCTGCTTTCATGTCTGTCTGTTTTATAGGTGACCCTGAACGAGAACTTAACCCTAAGAAGAAAATATGGGAGCAGATCCAGCCTGACCTTCATACTGATGGCCAATGTGTTGCTACATACAAAGGAGTGCCATTTGAAGTGAGGGGGAAAGGAGTCTGCAGAGCTGCTACCATGGCCAACAGTGGAATCAAATAAACATTTATCGGTTCTGCAAGCGCTTTAGGTCATTTTTAATGGAAAGGAATGCAAACACAATTAAAAACAAATAATTGCCTCACCCGAAACTATGCTCATTCATTTTTGTACACCTGTTGCCAAATAATGAGTTTCCATGGCTAACAACTTCATATTTCTCTTTCATCGCTTCCTGCTTTCTGGAATCTGAATATAGGCATTCATTAGGTGGAGCGTAACTCTTGCTTTCAGGGCAAATGGCTTTTAAAAGGGCAAGAGGAGGTTCAATTTTTGTGAAGTGGGGAATAGATTAAGTCAGAGGAACCAGGATAATGATTATTTGGTGGAGGAAGGGTCGGAAACGTCTAAACAACAACAGTTAGTAGATATATGGTGTGTGTGTGTGTGTTTGGATGGATGTGCAAGTTGACTTTGCCTGCTAAGGATGGTGACTGTGCCAAAGTATAATTACTTTATATTAAATCATATTGGAAAAACTACAGCTGTAGTTACTGATCACTTAATAACCGAAATCACCAGTTGAGCTAAATTTGGCATACAAATTTTACCTACAAGTTCCTGCCTAAATTGAATTTGAGAAGTAGGCTAAGATGAAGACTAGATATGACTCAATTAGATATGACCTGATACCAGGAAATCTAAAAGCTGGTTTTTTAAAAAATAATATAAAAAATGCTGTAATGAAATTTTATGTCACACATTGCATTTTTTTTTTTTTAAAAAAAACATTTCTAGCCTTTCATCACAAGCAGTTCCAGGGCATGGTTCAGTAAGCAATTTAACGCTAAAACAAACTAATAATAAAACTGACTTGTATATAACATACCATGGTGCTGTAAAATTATATCTGGCATTCTTTCACAGGGTATTGAAGATAACAGTTCTGTTTCTTCCAAAATGGTATAAATGCATTTATGAACAAGAGATGGAATGGAGCACAGATGTGGAAATTATGGAACTTTGCATTGCAATTTAACTAAAAGAGCAAGGCTGGTTAATATAAATTAATTACAAATGGGCTGGGAGAAGGTTGGGGGTGTCTGTGATGGGAGGGAGAGCCTGGTCCATATACCTGATAGTTTGAACTAAACAATGGTTTAGAGTGCACTAGAGGTTTGCTCCCTTCCTGCAACACATCACAAGTTTGGGTTTGCATAGAAGCCAGACTCTGGGTGCCAGCAGAATCAGGAGCAGACCATTGTTTGTTTTAAACTCCGACTTTAATGTGTGCAAACCAAGCTAATGATTTACCCCTTGTTAATTGTTTTGTGAGTCAGAGAAGTACAGCATTCATAGGAAGTGTTCAGCCAATGAGAGAGGTGAAAATGAGAGGTTAAGAAAATTCTTGGGTTGAGTGCAGGAGACTGATTTGATCCTGGACATATGGTGTGGAAACAAGCCCTGTTTTTTTCCATAGGCTTAAGTAGTCTAGTATTAAAGTTACTGGGCAAAATCTAGAGAGATTAAGTGTCCCAAAGTTCCTTTGGATGAACAGGATTTAAGTATTTAACAGTATGCTTGCTTAGGCATAGCTACCTTTCCCTACATCTTACCTTCTTTCTCAGCAGTGTTACTGAGTTCAACCATTTCTTTGGATTCAGTGGCATTTCACTGAGGTTGTGTACCATTACTAATTACTTTATAACACAATTTATGTGAATGCTGACGGGTTAGCAAACGATGACCAGATTGTCTGGCAGGCCTCTTCTCCCTGGCTTTACTTGAGGAGGAGCCGGAGCCAACTGAGTTGGGAGAAGCTGATACACAGTTGAAAAGAGGCCTCTAGTTGATGTGCTAGCTACTTCGTTGTAAACTATCCTTAATCTGTAAATCAAGACATTGGTCTACTTAGACATCACATTAAAACATCGTTTAAAACAGTCATTTAATCTGATCGATCAGCGCGCTAGTGCACGCTGCTCAAAAGTTCCCATGGTGGTCCTCTCCTGTTCCTGTCACCACCACAAACAAAACGGCTATTCATGCCATTTCATCCAGATTTGGGCCAAATTGTGAGCAGTAGCTATGAGTGGAATTCAACTGTTACTCAGAGTAGACCCGCTGAAATTAAGCGACAAATTAGTCCTGTTCAATAATTTCAGCGGGTCTACTCTGAGTAGGTATAGTGTTGAATTCCACCCTATGGTTCTGGGCATATTAAAAGGTAAAGGGACACCTGACCGTTAGGTCCAGTCATGGCCGACTCTGGGGTTGCGGCGCTCATCTTGCTTTATTGGCTGAGGGAGCCGGTGTACAGCTTCCGGGTCATGTGGCCATCATGACTAAGCCGCTTCTGGCAAATCAGAGCAGCGCACGGAAACGCCGTTTACCTTCCCGCTGGAGCGGTACCTATTTATCTACTTGGACTTTGACGTGCTTTCGAACTGCTAGGTTAGCAGGAGCTGGGACCAAGCAACGGGAGCTCACCCCGTCACGGGGATTCAAGCTGCCAACCTTCTGATCGGCAAGTCCTAGGCTCTGTGGTTTAACCCACAGCGCCACCCACGTCCCTTCTGGGCATATTACTCATGGTTTTGGGGGGATGAAACAAAACAATATGTCAAGAGCTACTCTGGTTTGTTTTGACTGATATAGCAGGAGCAGGTAAGGAGCAGCATGGGAGTTTCTGAGTAGTTATACAAGCAGAAGCATCATTTTATTTGTATGCTTCTTTTCCATCGTTAAAACCCATGCTCAAGCTGGTTTACAGCTCGGCAAGATTTATATAATTACAAACCTAATAAAACGCATCAAAAAGCACACAAACTGAAACAATTTCCACATAAATCAAAATAAGATCTAAAAATAAAGATACAAAAAGTTATATTCATTATTATTTATTAAATCTGTATACCGCCCTATACCCTCAGGTCTCAGGGCAGTTCATGAGATGCCTAATGAGCTTTAAAGTTAAAAGACAAGACACAAAAGCAAGCTGAAAGTAAATCAGCTGCTTAAGTTTATCTCATTTGTTTAAATACAAGGGTCTGGTAACTGTTTTGCTTCAGAAACTCCATAATTTTCCTTAAAACCTCTAGGTGTTCCTGTTTCAAAGGCTGTTCGTGATTGCCTACAAAAATGTACTTATGCTCCACTGACTGCAGGAGTTTATGAAGTGTGTCTGTGGCAGAACGCAAATACTGTTCTGTAGTGAATCTGCCCTTTTCAATCTGGTCAGAATGAGTAAGACAGATGGCAGTATAACTTTTCCAGTTAGGACCCAAGAGTTCCTAAAAGAGAGAGAGAGAAAAAGTTCCTTAATACATTTATTTCATACATTATTTCATGAAAGAGCAATGCATTGGCTTGGCTCTGCAATGAGGCTTTTCTTTCCTATAGTGGGGAAGTCCTTATGAGCAATCTTCCTTTGGAAGTTGACTTTAATTCATTCGGTCTATATAAAATATGAATTTATAGTGGGTTCCCAGTTGCCTGAATGGCTTAAATGTTGAGAAGGGTAGGCTTGAGCTCCTTGGAATAAATGAATAAATATGATGCATAGACTTTGGGGGAATCACTTCTTTCAATGGCATCCATGTTGTCCTTTTACAACAGGACCTGCTGAGGAGTGGCAGTCAATTTGCCATCTTGTGGCTGAATTGGAGGTTGCAATTCAGGAACAATTGCCAGAATGATCCCAGCTCAAGGACTGTGTACCGTGTTAGAATCGTCAGCTCCTAGAGCTCACCAAACCCATAAAAGCAAAAAGGATGATAATTTGTTCTACTTGTGAGGCTAGATATACAAAGTTAAACCTGGATTCTTGGCACTGCCCATATGTTATGTTCTGGGATCAAAACACATCATTTTAATTAGGGATTGCAAAGCTGAAAATAATACAGTTGAGAACCAAGCAGTCACCGTAAAAAGGAAGATGATGCCCAAAGGTTTTAAAACTTTCAGAGCCTGAATTAATGAAACTCCTTGATGCCATAATAATAATAATAATAATATCCGGCCCTAATAATAATAATAATATCCCGCCAGGCTCAGAGTAACCAGGCTAACAACAAGTAAAAATAGCACAGTGTACATAAAATCACAGTCAATTAATTAAAATACATTCTAAAATCAATTCAGAATCAAATTAATGGTAACAATTGGGCTAGAGTTCTATGAGGATTACAGAAGGGGAGAGGGGGTCAGACTGTGCCTTGGCCAAAGGCCTGGCGGAACAGCTCTGTCTTACAGGCCCTGCGGAAAGATGTCAAGTCCCGCAGGGCCCTAGTCTCTTGTGACAGAGCGTTCCATTAGATCGGGGCCACGGCCAGAAAAGCCCTGGCTCTGGTCGAGGCCAGCCCAACCTCCCTGTGGCCAAGATGTTTTTATTTGAAGACCGTAAGGTCCTCTGTGGGACATACCAGGAGAGGCGGTCCTGTTCCTAAGTGGCACTGTCCCAAGGTCAACGTGTGTAGTACCCAAAATCAGAGACAGGCTAGGTACCACGAATTTCTTTTTCTGTAGGTGACTTGCTGGGGCCCCATACCCAATTCTGAACAGATTTGCAAGCCTAGTAAACATGATTTAAATGCATCCTGGACAACTTTTACAACTGCCTCGTTCTGCAGACAGTCTCCTGCCGTTTCTTTGAACGCCCTTTAACTTGCTTGGGCAACCCATGGCCATAGGAGGGGGTAGATCCTGCCATGGTGTTCCTCGAGATCTTGTGGATGTATTCTGCAGCATTGTCACCATAATAGCGCATCAGAGGTGGATTTATTCAGCTTTACTTTGTTCTGCAACGCTGACCCAATGCGTCCATGTTATTGCTATCTGCTGCTAGAGTGGAACAATATTGGGACAAAACCCAGAACATTTGTGATCTTTAAGGAGTCGCAGGGTTTTATAGGATATGCATTGACTGGAAGTGAAGCAATGTGGCCACCCCAAAACATTTGCAAGTGGAAAACTATTAAAGCTGGGTTGTCCCAATGATGGCATTGGGAGCACAAATCATCAGGAATGCACAATGCAAGGGATGTCTGGAAGAGCCCTTAGAGAAACAGGAGGAAGGGAGAAGGACAACAGCAAGCAGTGCATTTAAATAGCCGTTTCCAAGGAAAGCGTGTTCTCCCTAACAGCACGTATTGCGGTTGGGGGAACAAGCCACCCTGCCGTTACTGGGCAGATTTGGTGAGGAACCCAAGCCTTTAAGTGGTTAAATTGGGTTGCTGGGGAGTTTTGATTGTTGCCAGTTTGGAGGAGGGGTCAGAGTCTTTAAATACAGGGGACAGACGTTGGACGTCCTCTTGGCCGTTTTGCACCCTCCCTTTAATAGGGTGGTTTTTTCTTGATCGCTTGACCTTGCTATGCCTGTCATGGGGTCGTTGGAGCGGGGGCCTGGTAGGAATTTTGCCATCTGGCTGATTGGCTGGTGCCATTTGGTTTTTGCCTACTGCGTAGCAAATCATCACAACTTGTAAGGTTGGCGGTTAGGCATTGGTTAAATTGGTGCTTGGAGAGGTAAGCTTGAAGGGAATTCCGTTAAAGGAATCCAGGGGCTTGCCATTCTTTTCGTCCTTGTCTCTGGCATCGGACTTGGGCCGTGCAAGCCCCACAGGAACATGAGGGTGAGAAGTGAGGGACTGATGCCCAGCTTCATTTTCTCACCCAATACTTGTTTCCCACGCTGGTTTCCGTTGGTGTCCGGAAGGCCAGCTCTGTCCCTGAGGGCAAGGACAGATAGTCATAACCAATGCCTAAGCAATCACTCACATTTTTTGTATTTTGAATAAAGTTGTGGCCAAAATTATGCCAAAAACCTTAAACAAAAATTGATGTGTGAAGTGTGAATTTTTGGGGGGTGGCATTGTGGGACTCAAAACACAATATGATTTTTAGCCCTGATGTTTTGGGTGCAATTTTAAATTAATTACACAGTGGCTGAATGCTGGCTTTCAGCCCCTGGAGGAATTTACGCAGAGGCTGAATGGCTACAGGGATGCTGTAGTTGCATCCCTTCTTGGTCCTGCATTGAGGAAAGGGGTGGCTTATTCTGTATATGAATTTCTGTGCCATCCTCCTACGAAATTAGGGAAGCTTCTGACACGTAGAAAAACAATAATGTTACAAAGACCAACAACATAAAACACAATAAAGAGCAAGTTGGACTAACTAATCATCAAATCCTGACATAATGGGAACAGTTTGTGGTTGGATTCCGTATTCTATACAACTCAGGAACTCCATTCTGTGGTTACTGAGCGGTCATAGCTATAATGTTATTGCGGAACACTCACTGTGATGTATAAACAATGTTCTTAGGGATACACTTATTTCCCTAGGACGACATCAGCTTTCTTGCCCCATTTATTTTACGAACAATGAAATCATATCATCTGGACTTTTAGGAAAATGAACAATTAGCCAAATATTACATCAACTATGGACCATAATTATGACGATGGAAGAGGAACAGTAGGCATTAATGCTCTCTGCCTTCTTACTAAAATTAGCTTCCTATTTGCTTCCCCCACCTTAACATCCAAGTGATGAGTTGGCCTGTGTCCTAATTTAGGATTGAATGCATATATTCACACCTGAATGCATGATTGTCCCATCAATTGCTTTTCAGGCAACACAGAACACATGAAAAGCTGTAAGAATACTGTTTGTACTGTTGGGAGCCGCCCAGAGTGGCCTGGGAAACCCAGCCAGATGGGTGGGGTATAAATAATAATTTGTTGTTGTCTCTGACTAGCAGCAGCTCACTAGGTTCTTGGAAAGAGGTCTTCCCAGTATCTTCTACCTGTTCCTTTTAACTGAAGATGCCAGGAAGGACACCTGGAGCCTTCTGAATGCAACGTGGGCACTTGTCACTGAGCCATCTGTCATCTGGTGAATCAGCAAAGCATCACTGCACATCACGCAGAAGCCAACCCACCTTGTTGGTTTAAAGTTCTTTCCCAGCATCTTAACATGCACATTTGGGTAATACAGTGGTACCTCGGATTACATACGCTTCAGGTTACATACGCTTCATGTTACAGGCTCTGCTAACCCAGAAATAGGACCTCGGGTTAAGAACTTTGCTTCAGGATGAGAACAGAAATCATGCTCCGGCGGCGCGGCGGCAGCAGGAGCCCCATTAGCTAAAGTGGTGCTTCAGGTTAAGAACAGTTTCAGGTTAAGAATGGACCTCCAGAACGAATTAAGTACTTAACCCGAGGTAACACTGTACTTTGAAGCTCATGTTTCCTGAAGGCAGAGAATTGCATGGAAATGTGACGTTGCTCTTTCAGTTAAATCTTGATATGCCATTCTACTGGATATGCTTACTGGTACACAGTTTACCTGGGCTAGCTGGATTGTAGGGTCCTCTTCCTCCTCACACAGTGGAACATCGGCCCTGAGGACCAACAAGGCCAAGTGAAGGCCTTTCTCTCCAAAGTGCCGGACTAAAGCACTTCTCACCTCGGTCTTCACTTGCTCTCTGCTCAGGCTGCTGTGAGGGTAGCCGGGAGTGTCCAGCACTTGGACCTGCACAGTGAGCTCACTGCCTCGGCGACGCGCAAAGCCCAAAATGGGACAGCTGCGGCCTAGACTGCAAGATGTGGTCACAGAGGATGGGGAAAGAAAACTGGCAAAGTCTCTGCTGCCCAGAAGGGTGTTTCCTGTAGCACTTTTGCCACTCTGTGTCTTTCCAAGCAAGAGGAGGTTGAGCGTCATCTTGCTGTCGTCGGACATTGTGCTTTCCTCCTACAAATCCCTGGAAACAGAAAAGAGAATTAATAATGCATGGCACAATAGGAAGCTGCCTTGTAGTGAGCCAGACCATTGATACGTCTAGTGCTGTCCACACTGACTGGTTTCAGACAGGGGGCATTTCTAGCCCTTCCTTAAGATCCCAGGGATGGAACCCTGTAGGACTGGATTCTTTTCCCTCCCCTTTTGCCTCACATGCCCCTGAATGGGCATGTAAGGCAAATGCTCTTCCATCAGGTCTTGGCTCTTCCAAAAGTAACAATGCTCTCCTGCAATAACTACTGTAAGTATAGGCTGGGCACAGTTTGGGTGGCCAGGCAAAGGAAGGTTTGAGGTATGTCAGTTGCTGAGAGTCACAAGTGGGCAGAGTGCTGTTGCACTAAATTTTGCTTTGATGATTTTTCAGAAGCATCTGTTTGACTACTAGGAGAAAAGGGTGTTGGTCTTGATTCAGCAGGTTCTTCTTACATTCATATGTAAGTACCTGTAGAAGAAATGTCTCTTTCAGCAACTGCTCCTTTTGTTAGGAATGAAAACAGCTGTAGTTTTATATAGGCAACAACCGTTTTGCACGGGGGTTGCTCTTTATGGCTTATTATGTTTGTTAATAACATGAAAATTATTGTTGTTATTATTTAAAAGCTTGCAGTTTCTGAATCCCTTTCCCATACACGCACATTTACCCATCCCAGCAGGTAAAAGTTCTTATCATGGTTCAAATACACATTCCAGCCAGGCAAAAGAACTCAGTGAGGGTGTGTAGCAGATCCAGTAAGGAACATGACCTAGGGAAACTCCTGGGGATTTGGTAGCGGGGCCTGGAAACCACATGTGGTCTGCAGACCAGAAGTACTCTGCCCTAGATTTAAAACAAAAATATAGCATGAGCTACCTGTGAGCTGAGATTGCTGCCGTAATCCATGGTTGCTGAGTCTTGTATATTAGCGTTTGTTTATATATAGCACGAAGAATTTCTAGCTTCATCTAACTGCATCAAACAACATTCTGAGCTTCAGGCAGTGCTCCAGATTTTGCTTACCTTACTGTGTCCTAAAGGTCTTTCTCTGGCCACTTTCTCTCTTTAAGAGCCTTTGTCTTTGATGGGCAGCTTGTACTTTGAAGCAGATCTTGCTATTGTACCACAGTGAGACTGACACGGACTCTTTACTCAGGTTAATCGGTTACAGAGTGATCCTCATTTATAGCTGATAAGAAATGCCCCAATAATCTGCCTTGGCACTTTACTTCCTTCTAGTTGTTCAGCAGAATTGCAATTTTCTGTTTGCTTTCACCCAAAGCTCATAAGAAGAGGTTTGCCACGAAAAAATGCTTTGTTCAATTGCCTTATTGTTTGGAATGGCTACTATGTTGTATAAGGCGGTTGTTGTTCCTTTTACACTTCTGCTATCTCCCTTTTTCTTTCTGCCATTATGCCTTGGCATATTGGAATTCATTTTCCAAGGGTGGGTCCTAATGTAGCCCAAACAGCAGCACCATCCACTCACAAGAAGCAGAGATGGGCACTCCAAGATTTACAGAAGTACAAAAGTGTTTTTAGGGAGCAGGGCCCCAAGGGTGGTAAACAATAACAAACCAGCTCAGTGGAGACTGAGCATGCTCGATAGCCACAGAACACTGACTATTGGATGGAAAACTAAGGAGGAAGGAGAATGCAATGGAGTATACTAGAAAAGGCCATGGATCATTTGCTGCTGAAACTTTCAACGAGAGTATTCCACACGACAACATTTTATTGTACACCCTCGTCTACCTACTTGTTCTTTGTCTACCTGTACAACAGTCATTTGTCAATATTTCATCTTCCTTTCCTAAAATTATTTCTGGCTCTTCTTTGACCCAGGAAGAGAACACAGGAATGGGCTGACTCAATGGCTGGGATCATCATGGACAGTGAACAGGCTCAATTCCAGTTGTGTCCCTGAGGGCACCTGAAGGGTTAACCGAATGGCTGCCATGAATTCCTATAATTAAAAGGAAAACACTCTACTTGGGACCAGTGCTGCAGTAAGGCAAAAAACTCTTGGTGTCTCACTTTCAGGATTTTCACAAGAGTGTTTGCACCCTCTGCTGTGGTATTTGCAGTATTCAAACCCTCCATCTGAGCAGTCCAGCCATCATCATGATGAGCATTTGCTAGTGTATTAATAATTACCAGTTAACAGTAATCTCTGAATTTCTATTGCCTTCCTAGTTGAGTTATTTCTGCAAAATTGGGATGTTCAGTGTGCTGTTACATGAGCATGAGTGTTATAATAATAATAATAATAATAATAATAATAATAATAATAAATTTTTATTTATACCTCTCCCTCCCCGGCCTGAACCAGGCTCAGGGCGGCTAACACCAATAAAATTACAATAAAACATAAAAGAAAAAGAAAAAACAGTTAATTAAAATACAGGTTAAAATAGAATGTAAAATGCAGCCTCATTTTAGTAGTAGCCCATAAATCGAAACCATAAGGGGAGGGAAACATAAGGGCCAGACTGAGTCCAAACCAAAGGCCCCGTGGAACAGCTCCGTCTTGCAGGCCCTGTGGGAAGATGTCAAATCCCGCAGGGCCCTGGTCTCTTGTGACAAAGCGTTCCACCAAGTCGGGGCCAGTACTGCAAAGGCCCTAGCCCTAGTTGAGACCAATCTAACCACCTTGCGGCTTGGGACCTCCAAAGTGTTGTTATTTGTGAAACTTAAGGTCCTTCACAGGGTATACCAGGAGAGGCGGTCCCATGGGTTGTTGGGTATGCCTTCTAGTAAACATGGTCTGAAACCCCCAAGAGCAGCTAAGTTCAGAGAGAAAAGCTAGATAAAACTATCTTACAAATCTTTGAATTTAGTTCTCTCTCTTATAGAAAACAGCATAGGCCAGACTCCCCTGTTATGATGCACTCCATGTGTTTTGGACTACAAGCTCACATCATCCTCAGCCAGTATGGCCAATGGTCAGAGATGATGGCAGCTGTAGCCCCAAACATCTGGAGGGCACCAGGTTGGGGAAGGTTAGCATAGACCCTTGGACCGTTCCATTTTATTAGCTTGCAATGCAAGATAATATTACGTTAAAGCAGGCATGGTGAAATGACACATTATCAGACTGTACTTCTCCAACTCAGAACAATGGCAGTTCTCCACAATGAACATCGTAATGTGCATGGTGCTGGGAGACATCTGGAAGATCTTATGACCGCATGAGTAGAAGGATTTAAGAAACTTTTCTTCCTGTGGGGATATGACAAGCAAAACCTGAAGTTGATTTATGTGACAACGCTCAAGGCTTCTTCAACTTCAGGGAAGGCGTCTTCCCCAAGGTGGCAGCATATGCCTGTTTCACAGGTACTGATGCAACTAGCTGAAAACTTCTTTTATGGACAATTAAGAATTTTGTTTTAACATTCAGCTGATTATTGGGGGAAGAGGGCTGTTCAAGGAAATGAACGAAACACTGGGGAAACTGTTTAACCCAACTAGCAGTGCTTGTAGATACTTGGGGCAGGGTTCACCCTGACCAAGGACTTATTTGATGCTTCAGCAAGTGAAGCCATCTTCTTGATTGCTGTCCTCCACTGCTACTGCTTCCATTTCATTTACTTCTTTATAAATGTATTTATATTCTGTGCTACCAGGGCTTTCTTTCAGCTAGAGCTCACAGGAACTCAGTTCCGGCACCTCTCAGGTGGGCGCCATTGCCATTATAAGAGAATAGGGGAGGCATTCATGGTGAGTTCTGGCACCTCTTTTTCTAGAACTATGGCACTGTGTGCCACCCTATTAAAAAATATAAGGCTTGCATCCAACAATATGTGAACAATACAATATAAACCACTATAAAAGCAGCACAAAACAATCATTTAAAGGACTGGTCAGTCAAGAACACTTAAAACCACTGCATAGGCCTGGTGGCATTAAAAAAAGTCTTCAAGAGATGCCCAAAAGTCAAAAGTGAGGATGAATATAGTCAAAATACACCGAGTGCAATGGCATATGGGGTTGTCAAAGTTCCCTTCCCCAGACGTCCGCCCCGCCCTTTTATATTTAAATTTGCCAAGTGCCTAAAGCTGAATGTGCACAAGTTAAATGTGTGTAAGTTGCCAGTTACCTGTACTGTCAAAAGTAGTAGCAACTCATAAGTAAAGCTGGGCGTTCTGAAAAGAGTTTAAGGAGGATCCTGTTGATATTTTAATTCAATGCACGATGAATCCTTAAATCCCTTAGATTCTAGAAAGTCCCACTTTTCCTTAGGACGTCCCTATTTTCATCCAAGAAATGTTAGAGGGTATGTGACCCCTGAGCCAAGAAAATGAGTAAGTATACAATCTTTAGAATGTATCTGAAGGTAGCCCTGTATAGGGAAGTTTTAAAATGTTTAATGTTTTATTGTTTTTATACATGTTGGAAGCTACCCAGAGTGGGGCAACCCAGTTAGATGGGTGGGGTATAAAATATAGTTATTATTAAATAGGGTGTCCCTATTTTCATTGAATAAATGTTGGAGGGTATGTTGGGAATCTTGTTTTATGTTAATATAGTTGTACCCAGTCAACATCTCGAAAATGTTTTCTTACATATCTACAGTATTACTAAGAGCTGCCACCCCTGCTTGCTCTGCTCATCAACCCCACCTGCCCACCTTTGCCAAACCACTTTCCCCGACACCTGGCCAACCCCCTGTTGCTTTGTTGTTGTTGTTGTTGTTTAGTCGTTTAGTCATGTCCGACTCTTCGTGACGCCATGGACCAGAGCATGCCAGGCACTCCTGTCTTCCACTGCCTCACACAGTTTGGTCAAACTCATGCTGGTAGCTTTGAGAACACTGTCCAACCATCTCGTCCTCTGTCGTCCCCTTCTCCTTGTGCCCTCCATCTTTCCCAGCATCAGGGTCTTTTCCAGGGAGCCTTCTCTTCTCATGAGGTGGCCAAAGTATTGGAGCCTCAGCTTCAGGATCTGTCCTTCCAGTGAGCACTCAGGGCTAATTTCCTTAAGAATGGATAGGTTTGATCTTCTTGCAGTCCATGGGACTCTCAAGAGTCTCCTCCAGCACCATAATTCAAAAGCATCAATTCTTCGGCGATCAACCTTCTTTATGGTCCAGCTCTCACTTCCATACATCACTACTGAGGAAACCATAGCTTTAACTATACGGACCTTTGTTGGCAAGGTGATGTCTCTGCTTTTTAAGATGCTATCTAGGTTTGTCATTGCTTTTCTCCCAAGAAGCAGGCGTCTTTTAATTTCGTGGCTGCTGTCACCAACTCGTCGCTTTACACCTGACCAAACTCCCCTCCCTTTACATCTTACCCACCCACTCACCTACCCCCAAGCTTTCTCCTCCCCTCACAGCTCTCCCCAAGCCCCACCTGTTTTAAAGGAGAAGACACTTACCTGTTAGACACTTACCTGGGTGGTCTGTCACTTGTGCCATTTACTCATGCACCTGTCTGCCATACTGCTGTCATGCTGGCATTTCCATAGACCCCTATTGGCAGCCATACAAACTGCACTATGATGACAGCCTTACGTTTCTATGTATATAGGAAACTATGTCACAATGGTTGTTATAGTTAATGTTTAATTGGGAAATAGAAATATGTCCAGAAGAACTGTACCTTTTTGACTGTGGGATATATCTTCTAGATAAGCTGTGTTGCCGCCCATATCTTCACTCTCTTTGATTCTTGGTTCCCATGCATTCCAGCTCTTTAGAACTTCATTGCATACAGGCACTCTGATATAGCCAGAGATAATGCCACAATAAACAATTTAAGATGTGCCCTCGTGCATTTCACACTCTCTGGTGGGAAACAAAATGACATCAATTGATGTAGGGCCATTTGCAGATGCTTACCCCTTTGTTTCATAAAATTATGGGAAACACTGATAGCATCCGATAATGGAAACAGAATGTAGACTATGCACTCCTTTTGAAATCAAAGTTCCACTTCTGCTACACAATAGGAAATGAATGCAATTCAAAGCTTGCTAGGAGGAAGGGAGCAGAAATCTAATACCCTAAAAACATTGGCCTAGATCCAAAAGAACTGCACAACTACTTTCCTACAACCATGTGTTTTTCAATCAGTATTCCTCCATTCTACATGGCAAATTACTTTTCAAACCAAGGAGAGTTTCCAAAAAAGTCTGCAGCATAGCATGGTGGTCTGCTATATAAGGAGGACAGAGAAACCAAACATTCTTCTGGTCAATGCCAAAGCTTTGAGCCCACTCAAAGTAGCACCTTTGATCCCAGCCATTATATACAAGTAGGGTCTACTGAAGTAAATGCATCTTCCATGTGTTATGTTCGAGGTAAGTTGTAAACATTATTCTTTGTAATATGGTTAGTGAGTCATGATTTTGGTTCGCAAATATGGAAGGCAATTGTACAAACACTACATGAGAACTGATCTTGTTTTCCCCCCTTGTAGCTAACCCTCCAGAAAATTTGAGATATTTGCTGACCGCAAAGTTTAGCAGCCAGTAATGCCACCTTGTCCTCAGTATATTTTCTTATTTTCTGACATGCCTTGCGATTTTGTTTATTTATTTTACTATCTTCAATGCTAAGTTTCTCTTTAAACTTCCTTGTGTGTGATCTGGGAAGCTTCCACTCTGGTTTTGCCATAGATCTCTGAAAAATAATGACTGGTTATGCTTTTCAATTTCTTTTCTTCCCTGCTCAGTTTGAGCAAAGGAATTTAGCGGCTGCAAGTGGATTGTCAACCAAGCAAACTGGCTTTGCTAGGCCAGAGTTGTTCAACCTTTGGTCCCCAAATGTTTTTTGACTACAACTTCCTTCATCTCTGAGGAGTTAGATTACCAGCTGGGGATGATGTAAGTTGTAGTCTAGAAACATTTGGAGACCCAAAGTTCAACAACTCCGTACCAGGCAATGACCTTAAGCACCTTTGGCATGAGTTTGGATTTGGTATCCCACTTTATCACTACCAGAAGGAGTCTCAAAGCGGCTAACATTCTCCTTTCTCTTCCTCCCCCATGACAAACACTCCGTGAAGTGAGTGAAGCTGAGAGACTTCAGAGAAGTGTGACTAGCCCAAGGTCACCCAGTAGCTGCATGTGGAGGAGTGGAGACGCGAACCCGGTTCACCAGATTACGAGTCTACCACTCTTAACCATTACACCACACTGGTTCTCAGGCATGACTCAAAATAAGCAGTCACTTATTTCAATGAAGAATCTCACTTGAACCCCTTTGGTGAATTATTTCTACCTAGTCATTCTGCCTAAACTCAGCCACCTCCCCTTCTTTCACTGTTAAGTTTTTGTGCAGGGCTCTTCTGGGCTGTATTTTATTGCGGGTGTATTCCGCAGCATATTCTTGGCACAATAATAGTGGATGGGGTAGATTTGTTCTGCTTTAATTTGCTCCATGATGCTTCCCCAATGCTACCACATTATTGATGTCCAGAGAGGCTATAGTGCAACAAAAGCAGGGCGAAAATAAGCCAGAACATTTGTGGTATGAAAAGTTATGGGATTTCAGCAGGACGTTACGGGATATGCACTGATCAGAAGAGAAGCAGTGTGACCACCCCAAACCTTTTGCAGGCACAAATGACATCGAAAGAGGGATCACATGTCCCTGCCCCAATAGCGTTATGAACACAAATTACCATGAATGTGCAATAAAAAGGACATCTGAAGGGGCCCATAGACAATTAGGGAAGGGACACAGCTTTGTGGCAGAAGGGCAATCACTGGCATTTTCATGGAGGTCTGGGAAAGACCTTCCAGAGTTAGATGAACCAGCAGCTTCCTATACTCTTGGTATGAGGGACCATTATAGCAAGAAAGGACTCTGGTTCAGTGGGAGAGCAGCTGCTTTGCATGTGGAATGTTCCACCTTAATTCCCTGGCATCCAGATACAGACTGGAAAAATCTCTTGCTTCGAAGGGCTGGGAGAGACACCTATCTGGAAAAACCCTCAAGAGCCATTGTCACTCAGCACAGGAAAAACTGAACTAGATAGACCAGTAAACTGACTCAATATAAGACAGTTTCCCATTTTTCTTATGTATGAGGCCACTGGGCTTACATCCTGTGGAATCAGCATTATTTGTATTAAGTCTGTATATTGCATATTTTTTTTAACCAAAGGGTCCATTAAAGCTCTAGGATCACCTTTTTGAGTTCATATTGAGTTGTTCTATCGGATATATATTTGCGGACATTCACCCAAAATAAACAGTGATGTAGAGTAAACACTAATATCCGCTGTAAATTCTTGACTTCCCTATATTCCAATACTCACTGGAGATTTAGATCATAATATTTGACCCAGATATGTTAAAAAAATATTTAAAGCTTCCTAATGACCCCAGTATGAGGATGTTTTCCCTATACATTATACAGTTCCAAGCCATTGCAAATGCAACGTTGAAAAAGAATAAAACATGGAAATTACTTTACAAACCAATGTGGATTTCTTTGGCAATGAAATGTTTGAAAGGCCTGCAATTGCTATAACTGGAATGTAAAAATCCTACACAATGCATGTAAATTGGAGTGGGTGGATTAGTGATCCAAGTGCAAGTTTTGGAGTTCAAAACTCCTTGAGAACACATGTCTAAATCCCAGTATGTTCAACCTGGTCTTCTGTGTTTGGGTAGGCTGATAAATTGAGCAGCAAGTTATTCGTTGAGATAGTTGTTTCCCTGAAGGCAGAACAAGTTTTATTCCTGGATTTAACGACATGTAGCTATGGGCAAGCTTGCAATCCAGCGCTGTGCAATCGTAGCACCGCTTGGCTGAATGCAAATTCCACTGTATTGTGGTGCAGTTGACAGGATATTACGGCCAGGGTCTAATCACTGCTCCGCCATGGAGCTCAAGGGATAGCTTGAGGCTGGAGATAAGAATAGACCGTAGTTGATCTTCTGTTCTTGGGCTATGAAATTGAAAAAATCAGAAATAACACTTGTGGTTACGAGTGAAATCTCAAGATGCTTGTTTTACTCCATTTCAGCAGAACCATATAAGAACTTGAAGCCTGGACAGGCCTGATGTGTTACATGATATACACAACACTGGATAACTTTACCATTCAATTCCTCATGGGGGAATAAATTGTTCAAATCTCTTAGAGGAAGCTGGTATTTATCATCATTCTAAAGCAAACCCAGTAGCCCAGTGAGCATCAGAGCAGTTTTTCAGCATGCAATGGCACATTCAAATAGTTTTACCACATGGCGCTGACATTGTAAGAGCACTTTATGATGTCCAAATGCACAGCAACTTCCAAAAATCCGATGAGCATGTCTGTCATCTTCTACCCAAATTACCAAAGATAAGCCAACCAGGATGACTTCTTTGCCTCTGTCGCTGAATGTGGAACAGTGTCCCTCATTCCTTCTTTTCCCTTGCAGCCTTTTGAAGGTCATGGAGTCTTCTGAGGTGCATGACTTGAAAAGTATGGCTTTTGACTGATCTGTCAACTCCAGGATTTGGAAAAGAAACAAGAGCTTCTTTGCATTACTGAAACACAGAGAACTGAATGAATAATATATATTTTTTTAAAAACAACTAAAGTTTTTGACCTGGTTCAGACATAAGGAGTCCAAATCAAGTAAATCTTTTTATAATTTTATAAACAAAATTATCTGCCAATCTACTTTTGGCACCACTCACGAGACAGTGAGACTGATTGGGGTGATTTTCTAGATGGGACTCACTGGAATGACAGCTTTCCTCATTTTGTTTTACTTAATGATGAAGAGTAGGATAACAGTTGTTCCTCACTTGATGCTTTTCATCAGGTTCCATCAATGGCATCCAAATGTCAATGGACCATTTCTGCCATGGAATGAGTTAGTTCAGACATCATTCTAGGCAGTAACACAGTACAGGGACCTTCCAAGCACTGGCTAAGATGATTCCCCCCCCCCCATGGACTTGGGCTGCAATTCTAAATACAAGTAACCTGAAGTAAGTGCCACTCAGTTACTTACTTCTTAGTAAACATGCATAGGATCGTCCTCTCAGTGACATACTGTGGGGGCTTCCAGGCCTGTTTATTGAGCATTTGTCAGCAAGGATGCTAGGTGACATTGGCTATTATGTGAGCAGCCTTTCTGATTTGTTTGTGGGGAGGTAAAAATGGCATCAAGCATTGTCCCACATTTCTCCATCATTTTCCATGTTGCAAAAGTTGGATCTTTTATGGAAGCAGGTTTCTTGTGGAAGAGCTCCCAAACAACTTGAATTTGCTGGTATGCAATTGAATTGAAAATAGTGACAAACTGGAAGTGCTGTCTGTGATGAAAATGTTTTGTTAAGTACAATAAAATACTCTACTCCCTGAGAGACACACTGGAGGACTTCTTCAACAGGACTGGCCGAAAATATTTTGCTGCTGAATGCAGAAACAGCAGATTGTTCCCCACAAGTCAAAGACCATACCAATACCATATTAAAAAATTCCTTCCAGTAGCACCTAAGTTTGTTCTTGGTATGAGCTTTCGTGTGCGTGCACACTTCTTCAAATACACTTCTTCATGCACACACATGAAAGCTCAGACCAATAACAAACTTAGTTGGTCTCTAAGGTGCTGCTGGAAGAAATTTTTTTTATTTTGTTTCGACTACGGCAGACCAACACGGCTATCTACCTGTAACTACTCAATACCAGTCCAGCTATTTTGGCACTTGAAGCAGAAAATCTTCAAGATCCTTCCCCCGGAAGTAAAAATACAGTTATAATGAATTAAAGTGCTGCCTTTCTAGGACACTGAAAATCAGTTGCCTGCTTCTTCTCTCTGCCTAATGGGAGGACTAGCACCCTCAAGGGACATTCTTCATTGGTTTATATGAATATGTATCTTTCAAGTCATAAGTACCATGGTAGTTTGCTGCTTCAAGAAACAAACTTGAAGAGTTTGGGTGAATGGAAGAATTCTTTATTAGGGCTTGAATTGTTGAGAAGCCTCCTAATGGGAAGCTGAGGGTTTTTATTTTTAATATATTTGAAAGAATAATTATAACCTTCGACTTATAAAAACACAGTGGGGTGTACAATAAAATCCTGAAACAATCGTAAAATGCTAAAATTGTAAAATACAGAACAAAAGACGAGGACTGAATCCAATTAATTAACTAAAAACACTTGGTGAAGCAAAACTATCCCCCCCCCTTTTTTGGAAGCAAAACAGTTTTCAGCAGGTGACAAAAATATCAGAATGATATGCGCCTGTCTGATTTCAATAAGCTTTCCAAATTACTGGTGCCACGACACTAATGGCTCTGGTTCATGAAGAAACTAAACTTTATTGTCCTACTTTCTGTTGACTGTTGAAGTTTTTACAGTCCACTTGAAGCTTTCCTGAAATGCGGTCAGGGGAGGAGTCCAACCTCCTGCAATGCAGAAATTCCAACTAAAGCATCCATGACAGATGGCCCTCTAAACTCTGCTCAAGGAAGGAGAGTTCATCTCCTTCCAAAGGAGTCTGTTCCATTGTCGAACAGCTCTTAGTGTCAGAAAGTTCTTCCTAATGTTTAGTTAGATTCTCCTTTCTTGTAACTTGAAGCCACTGGTTCAGGTTCTAGCTTCCAGAGCAGAAGGAAAGAAGCTTGCTCCATCTTTCATGTGACAGCCCTTGAGATATTTGAAGATGGTTATCATATCTTATCTCAGTCTCCTCTTTTCCAGGCTAAACACCCCCCACTCCTTCAACCATTCCTTATATAGTTTGGTTTCCAGACCTTTGATCATCTTGCTCACCTTCTTCTGCACACATTCCAGCTTGTCAATATCCTTCTTAAATTGTGGCACCCAGAACTGGACACTGTACTCTAGGTGTGTTCTGATCAAGGAAGAATAGACCGGGACTATGACTTCCCTTGATGCAGCCTAGAATAGAATTAGTGGTTTTGATTTGCTTTTGCTGCTGCATCGTTGACTCGTGTTAAGCTTGTGGTCTACTAAGACCCCCAGATCCTTTTCACATGTACTACTAGTAAGCCAGGTGCCCCCATCTTATATTTGTGCAGCTGCTGCTTCCTGCCTAAGTGTAGAACCTAACATTTGTCCCTATTGAAATTCAATTTGTTAGTTTTGGTCCAATTCTTCAATCTGTTAAGGTCATCTTGAATTCTGAGTGTCTTCTGCGGCATTAGCTACCCCTCCCAGTTTGGTGTCATCTGCAAATTTGACGAGCATCCCCTCAATTCCTTCATCCAAGTCATTTATAAAGATGTTAAACAACCATAGGCCCAGGACAGAACCCTGCAGCACCCCACTTGTCACTTTTTTCCAGGCTGGTGAGGAACTGTTATTAAGGATGAGGCAACCTTTTACATGGGACGCGGGTGGCGCTGTGGGTTAAACCACAGAGCCTAGGAGCTGCTGATCAGAAGGTCGGTGGCTCAAATCCCCGCAACAGGGTGAGGTCCTGTTGCTCGGTCCCTGCTCCTGCCAACCTAGCAGTTCGAAAGCACATCAAAGTGCAAGTAGATAAATAGGTACCATTCCGGCGGGAAGGTAAACGGCGTTTCCGTGTGCTGCAGAAGCGGCTTAGTCATGCTGGCCCCATGACCCGGAAGCTGTACCCCAGCTCCCTCGGCCAATAAAGCGAGATGAGCGCCACAACCCCAGAGTCAGCCACAACTGGACCTAATGGTCAGGAGTCCCTTTACGTTACCTTTTAACCTTTTTCATATCCTTGTCTCAAGCTATATAGGACTTTGTACAGTAGTACCAACTCCTTGAACTTAGCCTGGTAGGTAACTAGCAGCCTGTGCCATTTTCTCAACAGGGGTGCTACATGGTGTTGATGGTCCATCCCAGTGAGCAGTCAAGTGGCTGTATTTTTTTTTCATCAGCTACAGTTTCTGGGCCATCACAAAACAGAGCTATCCCTCTCACAGCAAGATTACCCTCCAGCCACATTTCCTTTCCTGTTCCCTTTTATTACACAGGGTTAAGGATATTGGTGGATGTGACTAGGAATGACTAGTAAAGTACTAAGTAGCTTTGCCCTCATGGGGAAGGAGCGTTGGCCAGAAGGGCCCCCAAAGAAAATGTAACTATCACTGAACTTCTGCACTACTAGGAATACTGTCACGATAAAATCTTATTAAATGTGTCAAGGCAAATAGCCTTTCTAAAGCAAGTTGGACTGCAAGTTTTAGTGAGGCCTTCCAGAGAATGCAGGTTCCACTGCCTTCAACACAACTGATTAACCGATCATTCGTGACTTAGTAAACTTTTAGAAACTCACTCTACCACATTTTGCTTTAAAAAATAAAATACAAAAGTATTGGCTTCTTTTGCTTTATATCCTCATGAATCCATGCCCTCTTTTAAGTCTGGGGTGAAGGGGAGACAGATTTTTATATTTCCTGCAAGTCACGTTTTCATTTCTCCCACTCTCATGAGGGGATTTTACCTCAGAAACACCAAATAGAAAACATGTGGTCAGGGCTAACGGTATTGCTGCTCAGATGGTCAGTTCCAAAGACTTGGTGTAAAAGCTTTGCTGATTTAAAGTGAAATAAAAACAGCTGGTGTAAGAAATGTGAGGCATAAACTCTCAATACATGTTGTGTTACGTTTCATTTATATTTCTAATAGATCAGATTAAGAGAAAATAATTGATAAAACAGAATTCTCTTTTTTCCTCACACCCATGAATTTTCAGACTTTGTGTGTGCTGCTGTATTTGTGGGCTGGTTTAATATTTTAATTTTACACTGACATTAGTTGCTATTGAAAATTGCTTTAGCTAGCATGATTTATATACTGCTCGACTGTAATAAAGCCTCTAAGCAATTTGCAAGAACAAATAAAACTATCAATAAAAGACAAGTTAAAAACAAGTAATTAAAATATTTCAAACATATTTAAAAGAGATTAAAACACATCTGTCTAGTTAGGCTTGCTTAAACATTTTTTTTTAAAGCAGGCACCAAAAAAAATACAGCAAATGCGCCTGACTGATATCAGTCATCCCAGAATTCTTTGGGGAAAGTGATGTGCCTTGGATGTGCTTTAGAAGTATGGTTTCTATTTCTATTTTTAAACAAAGCAACAAACAAAAATTTGGATTTGGGTGCACAAGATAGACTTAGACACCTTAGGAATCTTGGTGAAATATGTTATGGAAAGATTGTTTTCCATGAGTCCAGCTAAGGGCTTAAGCTGAGTTAAAGTATAAGAACTGGATACTCCCCGTGTTATGTATTCCTCCCCTCTCTTTTGGAGTCTCAGTGGATATTAAGGAAAGCAAAACTTGCTGTTCTTAGTGAAATTCCTCTTTGTCAAAAATGATGAACACTGGCACTTCTCTGGCTACATATCAAGCTGTTTCTCGCCTTTGAAAGTTGGTTATTATTATTGTAGCACCTCTTTACTGGCCACCTCCCCCCCACACACACACCTCAGCTCCCATTAAAACTAACAGAGTTGATGGATGTTGTCAGAACAACTTCAGATTCGATATCCTTGGGGCCAATGGAGATTTGCTTGTATATATTAAAAATGTCACACTGGATATGAACTGGAGAAGGTGCTGGACCAATATTAACAGCGGACACCCATGGCTGGCTGAAAACAAAAATACCTTCGGATTCATAAATTCCACAGGGCATGAGTGGTTACCAGAAGACCAAAGTAATGTTGTCACCTCCTTATTAATCGACTGGTATGTCAACTCAGTTCTTAGAATTCACAATATTGTGATAATCCACAGGGTTCTGTAGTAATGGCTTAAGAAATGTCTAAGAAGAAAAGCCCCAATACAGTTGAAATATATATGTTAGACATTATTCCCTTTGAAAAATATCAGTGATATGTGGAAACTAAACACTAATGTTGTAGAACAGCTGCAGGACTGTTAAAGTAAGCCTACATTTCTGGGGTTTTTTTGAAAAAGAGAATCCTTCCACAATTCCATATTATTGGAGGAGAAGAAAAGAAATGGCCTCCCGCCTTAGCTATAATAATGCAATTTCAAGTTACTGATATTAATTTATGTAATTTCCTATCCTGCCTCATTCCTTGAACTCACAGCAGTTTATGAATACAAGGTGATAGTCAATGAAGTTTTACTCAGTAAAGACCTACTGAAAATAATGAAAATGCGGAAGTTTAGTCTATTAATTTTAGTGGGTTAACTCCCATAGTTGCCCCTAGTGGACTTGTTGAACGTTACATGTGAACAGCTGTATGACTGTACAGATCAGATGGTACACTTCTTGAATGAAATGTGTGAACACTCCTTCTGTTTTCTCAGGTTGGGATGGAAATAGGAGTAAAAGCAGAAGAAAACCACCTTCCAGTAAAATTTCTCTCTCCTTCTCCTGCAGGAGACCTCTTGAGCACTTTGGGAGTTGCCAGAGTGCTGCCCAAGTTAGTACGGTCCCCAGAACAACCCCGGATTATTGTATATTTGTGAAAAAGGGGTTGTACTTCATAGACAAGGCCTATAGGCAAGTGAGAATGGTTGCACATCTGGCAACACTGGTTTAACTGACGTGTAGTATTGGCAGCGATGTTGACTTATAACTTGATGCTACTCCTCAGAGACTGCTAGGATGCTGCTATGGCAACTGGTTGTTGGGGATGAATCTGATGGGGAAGCCAGTCAGGCAGGTGGGAGGGGAACTATCATCTGTGGCAGGGGCCTTGGAGGGAAACGAAGCCTGTTGCTCTCTCCATAAAAGAGGACACCTGTGTTTTCATTCTGTCAAAATTTCATTGAAGGACAGCTCCCATGCCAAAGCCAAGAGCCTTCATAGGCTCCATCACCTTTCGCTCCGAGCGCAAGGTGAAATGTCTTTGGTCTCCCATGGCTCCTGTGAACTCTTAGCAGCATGCGCATTCCTACCCAAAGCCAACCAAAGCAAACAAACCCACACCTACTAAACAAAAGCCAACCCCCTGCTGTGCGCACTATTCTCTCCCGGAGTAAGAATGAGTCATACATGACAGATGTTAGTCACATCACTCAAGGCACTACTGGAAGGTGCTCATGTGCTGCGGTAAAGAAGACCCGAGGGACCGTGGATAGGATGGAACAGAATGCAGCACAAATTGAAGAATGGCATTCGTTTGGATTTGCAAGCAATACCGCTGACAATAATTTTCAGTTGCACTTAATGCTTTCCTGTTGGCAAAATCTAATTGCTGTTTTGTATGAGCCCCCACCACACCACAGCCCTACCCTTGCCTGACTGGATGCTTTCCCTGAGTACCACGTACTGTAAGCAAGGTTAGCCCACGGTTAAAGCCCTCAAGATTCATCTGCAGATACTTTTTTATTCGAGTGTGATTTTATGGCCCCGTATAAAACCTCCTCTTTTAAGTGTCAGATTCGAGCTGCTTTGTATAAAGGCCACATCAGTTTTACAACACACATCTTGAGATGCTCTTAAAATAGAGGCTGAAGTTTTAGGTGGACTGGGACTGAAGTATTGAACTCCAATGCCTTTTATAAGTCTTTCTGGATAATCTCTAGATAATTGTATTCTCTAACTGTAGTCCTCTGAGACAAAGAGAAACCTTGTTAAAAGCTGTCAAAGTGGGAGGAGGGTGGACTACATGGAACTGGCGGAAATGACTGGCAGAATCCGAGACCAGGGAGAAGAGTTGGTGGAAGAAGATTGGAAGAAATTTAAAGACTATTTACAGAAATACTGCAAAATTAATGAATGTTAGAATGATGTCAGAATGAAGTTAAGTGGTTTTAGCAGCAATGTTATAAAGGTGTATGTAAAAATGGATTGTTAACAGGTGAGAATCTAAGGTTATAATATATTAAGTTAAAGGATTAAGATAAAAACAAAGAGGGAAAGGAATTGCTGAATTAATTAACTGAACTGGAATACAAAAAAGGGAGGCGTGAGGAGGTCAGGGAAACAAGTAAATGAAATGTAAGGTATGGAAAGATTGATTTGTTTTTAAGTCTCTCTTATTTTTTCTGTATTTTGTATTTTTTCTTTTCTCTATTTTTCTTTTTCTTATATATGTAACCTTTTTTTGGAAACCTTAATAAATATCATTTAAAAAAAAAACAAAGTGGGAGAAGGGGATGTGCTGTAATGAAGTGCATGACTCTGTGGTCAATCCCTTTACTACACATGGTCTGAGCAAAAATAAGCAGTTACTACTGATGGGCAAAAGTAAATTTATATCTCAGAAATGATGCCGAAGGCATGATTTTACCTTATGAGGTCATTGTCCATAAATCTTGAATCCTTAATTGACTTTGATTTGATCTTACAGTTTTGGCAACTGCTTCTTCCTTCTGTCAAGGAAACCTGGTAAACCATGTTTTCCACATATGGTGGGAGTTGTCCAAATGTTTAAAGGGGTTTGGAGAGTTGTTAGTAAGAGAATAATTGGTATTAAGTTACCTAAAGACCATGTACTGATCATGTTTAGAATACCTGATAGAAATATATCTCAGAAATGAGCATTTGTCAGGAACTTTTGTGTTGCTGTTAGAATGAAAGAATGCCTGTAATTCATTCTTGGCTTATAGTTCATCAAAATGTATGCAGATGTTCTATCCAATATTTGTCATATTCAGAGAAGACCCATTGAAATTAATGGACATGCCTAACCTAGGTCTATTCATTTCAATGGGACTGAGTACAACCCACAGACTAGTAATCCCCAAAACACATTTACAGAATTTTGGATTATGATCACGAAAAGCATGTTATAATATCTTCAGTTTATTAGTGCAATTATTGTGAGAAGCTAACTTTGGCAGTGTCTTGAATTCTACTCTGTTGATATGTGTGCTCAGCATTTATAAATAATACTGTTGTGAGTTTGGGGGACTCAGTTGTTGAAGCAGCCAGGTCAGCTTCTTGGTGGGTTAATGGACACCAAGCAATGGTTGTTAGTATAACAAAGAAGTGGCTTTGTGACAGAGACCAGATAGTTTAGCCCTCCCTCCCTCCCTCACCTGGCTAGTAGTGGGAAGGACAATGGCCAAAGTAGTGTGCTAGAAGCAGGGAGACGCCAAAGAGACTGAGCCATGCTTGATTTCTGCTTGAATCCAAGGCTGTGACTATGGGAGAAGCAAGACCTTTTGGGATGTTAATGCTGTGAGCCTCTCCATTGTAGGCTCAGATTGTATATCTCCCTATCTTCAAAAAAGGGAAAAAAGAAAACCTGTGTAATTACCCACTGCTCAGCTTGACATCGATACCAGGAAAGGTCCTAAAATTAAATAGTCGGTATGTGAGCAATTAGAAAAGGAGGCTGTGATTACTAAGATCTAGCATGGTTTCTCAAAAAGAAGTCATGCCAGATGAATCACATTTCTTTCTTTTTTTAAATAGAGTTACAAGCTTGGTGGATCAGGGGAATGCTGTGGACATAGTGTACCCCAATTTCAGTAATGCTTTTGACAAAGTCCCTCATGATATTGCAGGGAAGATGATAAAATGTGGACTGGGCAAGGCAACTGTTAGGTGGATTTGTAACTAGTTGACTGACTGAACCCAACGAGTGCTCCTTAATGGTTCCTCATCATCCTGGAAAAAAGTGACGTGGGGTGCCTCAGAGTTCTGTCCTGAGCCCGTTGATGTTCAACATCTTTATAAACCACCTTAATGAAGGAATTGAGGAGATGCTCATCAAATTTGCACATGACACCAAACTGGGAGGAGGTGCCAAGAAGGCAGAATCGAGATTCAAGATGAACTTCACAGATTGGAGAACTGGGCCCAAACTAACAAAATGAATTTCAGTAGGGACAAAGTGTAAGGTTCTACACTTTGGCAGGAATAACCAGCAGCACAAATATAAGATGGAGAGCACCTGGATTGCCAGGAGTACATGTGAAGAGGATGTAGGGGTCTTAGCAGACCACAGGCTTAAGTCAACAGTGGGATGCAGCAGAAAAAAAATCTGATGCTATTCTAGGTTGCATCAACAGAAGTATAGTGTCTTGGTCAGAACCCCTGGAATTTTGTACCACTCAGAGATTGGGGTGGCATGGTGGTGATGGTATTTTGTTATATATTTTTGTATTTTTATATTGCAAACCACCCTGTAATCCTTAGATGAAAGGCAGTATAGAAATGGGAAACTGGATCCAAGTCATAGGGTTAGATTCAAAGAACATGAATAGGCAGTAAGTCTGTTTTGCAAATGCTAAGTGAAGTTTCTCTGCCAAACCCAGGGGAATTTAAGAAACATCTCAGGTAATACCATCATGCCATAGATTCAGATGCACCCTTCTTAAATTCCCCTGGGTTTGGCATTTGAAACAACCTGGTTTGATATGGATTTAAATACTGAATGGTATAGTCTTTGGACCAGTGGGTCACATTAACTTTGAGGGCCAGGACACCATCAGCTGTCAATTTAGGTCATATGTATGTGTATACTAATCATACTAATAATAGTAGACCAAGCTTTTAACTTTCTTATTGTATGACATTTATGATGTTTAGAGGGGCCAGTTTCGCCATCCCAGCCTGGAAAGTTAAGAAAGAATTTATAGAGATCCCAGTGGCTGGTGGCCTAGCAGATGATTTGCATTTGGTAATATTTTCCTATTTTTGTCTTTTTCGGCTGTATTTCCCTTTCTGTTTCTTTAACGCTTTGCAGTTTTGGTTGTAAGTGGCTGAAGCCTTTTTGGTAGACCAACAGACTGAACTGATGGGAACGTTTCTTTGAGAGACTTTGCTGTCAACAAGAAGATGCATAAGAATGACTTACTGCGTGAACTCATTAGGAAGAATAAGAATCGTAAAGCAATTTATCCACTCCAAATGCTTTATAAAGGAATAGCAAAAATTTTATTGCATTATTGCCTATGGATTGTTTGTGAATTGCTCAATGGTATAATTTTGTTATGCTTATGGTAACATACTTTCCCCAATAGTATTTTCTTATATTATTAAATCAAATAGTAATGTGTTTTGGTGCAGTTGAAATTCAAGTGGTTACCAGCACTGGATTTAACCAGGGAAATAATATTTGCTTTCTAAAGCTTAAAAGTTATGTTTTTAATATCTTTTGGGAAAGAACAATTTCCCTGAATATTTGCATCTATTACTTTAACTTTTTTGTTTATGTTACATGCTTTCTAATATAATCCTTTGCCCAAATGTTATATACTTACCCATATGTAAAAAACATGAAGCTCCCTAAATCAGTTTCTTATGAAGCCACTAAGAATATGCAAAGCCATTCATTCGTAATGAAGCTCCCTAGCCAGGGAATATAGGGCCATGAATTCAAAAATAAATAAATAAACTGAAATGTTATCCAGATTGTAAATATAATACTCATAAAAAGTAAGTTGCCTGAACAGCATAAAACTTAATTCATATTGCTAGGGATGCATATAAACATACATAATTCATGAAATCATGAACCATTTTTTAATTGGTTTTAATTTTGTCACACAAAATGCTGTAGATAAACAGTCTGCAATGGTCAGAAAGGATGCAGTCATGATCCAAACACCAACTGAGAACCAGGATGGGATAGGAGTTGGAGTGCTGGAATAGGACCATGGAGAGCAAGGTTTGAATCGCCACAGCCATTAAGTTCACTGCCTCTCAGCCCAATCTTGATCACGGGATTGTTGTGGGGATTAAATGAGGAAGGGGAGAACCATGCACACCACCTTGAACCCCTTGGAGGAAAAGGTGGGATAAAAATGCAACAAATAAGGTAAAGGTGAAAGGTAAAGGACCCCTGGATGCTTAAGTCCAGTCAAAGGACACTATGGGTTGCGGTGCTCATCTCGCTTTCAGGCCGAAGGAGCCGGCGTTTGTCCGCAGACAACTTTCCTTGTCATGTGGCCAGCATGACTAAACAGCTTCTGGCACAATGGAACACCGTGACAGAAGCCAGAGTGCATGGAAATGCCGTTTACCTTCCCGCCACAGTGGTACCTATTCATCTACTTGCACTGCCTCCGCTTTCAAACTGCCTCCGCCCGAATGAGTGTCTCTACCCCCCTCATTCAGCCCAGACACTGAGGCCCAGCTCTGAGGGCCTCCTGGCGGTTCCCTCACTGTGAGAAGTGAGGTTACAGGGAACCAAGTAGAAAGCCTTCTTGATAGTGGCACCCGCCCTGTGGAACACCCTCCCATCAGATGTCAAGGAAATAAACAACTATCTGACTGTTAGAAGACTTCTGAAGGCAGCCCTGTTTAGGGAAGTTTTTAATGTTTGATGTTTAGTCGCTTTTATATATATATTCTGTTGGGAGCCACCCAAAGTGGCTGAGGAAACCCAGCCAGATGGGTGGCATATAAATAATAAATTATTGTTATTATATTATTACTGCTAGGTTGGCAGAAGTTGGAACAGAGCAACGGGAGCTCACCCCATTGTGCAGATTCGAATCACCAACCTTCTGATCAGCAAGCCCAAGAGGCTCAGTCGATTAGTCCACAGTGCCACCCGCGTCCTTGCAACAAATAAACAAATGAATGAAACCTGTTATATGCTAGGACCCTCCCCTATCAAGGGGAGAGTGAAGATTAAAATGGGAAACAGGGAGGGGAGAGAATAATAGAATCATACACTCATAGGGACCATGAGTGTCATCTAGTCCAATCCCCAGCAACGCAGGAATCTTTTGTCCAATGTGGGGCTAGGACCCATGACACTACAAATTAGCTATAAAGTGGGCAGAACTGTATCTATCTTTCTAAAATTTGGAAAGTATTATAATTTTAGGGGTCAGCAAACTTTTTCAGAAGAGGGGCCAGTCCACTGTCCCTCCGACCTTTTGGGGGGCCGGACTATATTTTGGAAAGAAAAAAAAAGAACAAATTCCTATGCCCCAGAAATAACCCAGAGATGCATTTTAAATAAAAGGACACATTCTACTAATGTAAAAACACGCTGATTCCCGGACCACCCGCTAGCCGGATTTAGAAGATGATTGGGCCAGATCCGGCCCCCGGGCCTTAGTTTGCCTACCCATGTATTATATTAACAGAGGGCAGTGTGATGTCTGAAAACTGTAAGATGGATAGCACCAGCATTTACAAGCTCTGCAGTATCATCTAAATACTCCACTGAAATCAATGAAAATGAAAGCAGAATGGGAAAACTAAAGTGGGCAAAAACCCATGGAAGAGAACTCTAGCAAATCAACAAGGACATGAATGACAGGTTTCAGAATGAAAACAGTGGTACCTTGGGTTACAGACGCTTCAGGTTACAGACTCCGCTAACCCAGAAATAGTACCTCGGGTTAAGAACTTTGCTTCAGGATGAGAACAGAAATCACGCGGTGGCAGCGGGAGGCCCCATTAGCTAATGTGGTACCTCAGGTTAAGAACAGTTTCAGGTTAAGAATGGACCTCCAGAACGAATTAAGTCCTTAACCCGAGGTACCACTGTATAGGCAAAAAATCATGACACAGTGAATGGTGTTCCAATGAATCAACGGCAACTCATATAAATGGCTTTAGAAGGAAAATAAATAAACCGATGGTTGCAAGAAAAACTTTTGCTTGCACACTCCTATGTGTAAGAATGGTGGATATGCTTCATTCAGTGAGAAGCACTCAAGCAATTTTGCCACCTTCGTGTCCGCAATATGTCTGGCCTTCCCAGGCACAGTCCCAAACTGCAGACAAATGTTCTTGGTGGGTCTTTTAGAGAAATGCTTGGGACTATCTTGATTAAAGCATTCTGATATGGATTTTAGAAATGAATTGTGAGGTCTTTGAACCAGTGGGTCACATTCATTTTTGGGAGGCAGGGAATCAGCTGGTAACAGTTAGTAGTCAAAATCTCTGCCTCCAGCTGGCTTGCTGCCTGCCACACGCCTGTGCGGTAACGAAAGACAGACAGGACTTAAGACACACGGCTCAGCTCAGAAGTATGTTGGCAAGGCCAGAGATGAAACAAAGGCTTTTTTGAGGTAAGTGTAAATTACAAAGGTATTTTCCATGTGTTTCCATCCAGGTTCTCATTCCATAAATAAGCAATTCCAGCAGATGATTATTTAAGTAATATTGCGTTATCTCGGAGTTGTTTTTCCTTTAATTTCTAGGCAACAGATTAAGGTTCACTTTGCTCCCTAAAAGCTGTTCTGCCAGCAAAATAGCCATGGCTGCTTCAGGGGGCTCTGAAGGCACTGAGATCCTCCAGCTTTGAAAAACTGATAGAGTAACTTACTCTTTCGCAGTTTTGGAAAACTGAGCAATTTTGGAATGACCAGTTTCATTTAAGGGGCTACAAAATGTTTATATTTGTATTAAGTTCCCCTATACAGTAGTATTTGCTGCCAGTGGCATAGCATGGGGGGGGGGGACAGGGATGACTGTCTTGGGTGCTAAATTGTCAGGGGGCACAAAATGTCAACGCCTAGTGCTGCCTTGATACAGCTGCACACTTCCGTGGCAGGGCTCTGTTGAAAATGGCTTCTCCATGCGAACCAGAAGTGACCTCTTCAGACAACTGAATGACTCTTCTTTGTTTATCTCTGCGGCTGTGATCCCTTGGGTGACGTGGACGCCGTTAGGCAGTTGAATGCGCCTATGCACTCTGTCCATTTCCCTCCCTCCCACCACCCCTCCAAGTGGCCCCGGGCACTGGTAACCCACACTATGCCGCTGTTTGCTGCCAATAGGCTTAGCTTCCCAGGATGCAAACTCTCACTTGGGAATTAATTGACGTCCTTACAGAATCTGAATTGCTATATCAGAGCAGGACACTGCTCTTCTTGCCACTTTGATGAAACTTTGCTACAACATATTTGCCCGGATCTAAGGTCTTGCAAGCTTTGCTAGCAGATTGGAATGTACAAATAGACTTCAGTAATTCACCAGTTTCCCATCCGTGAAGATTGCTCAATAATTTGTGGTACTGCAGCCCAAACAAAGGACCACTAAAAGTCCTGATAAGGCCCCTGCACATCATGTTAGCGTTAATTTAGCAGATTTGACTAGTAGTTGCACTAAGCTCATAGTGACCTAGGTTCAAACTGTGAGATATATCCAGTCTCATGTAACACTAATTAATGCACGGAGGGGTTAAGACCAAAGAGTAAGCTGTCCTGCCAAGCTTAGCTAGGCCACTCTCCCTCACCTTGGGAGAAAGCACTACCAAACATTTTGCTTGCCCGCTTTCCACCCTTTCTTTTCCACCATGTGAACCGACCAGTATGAACATCCAAGCGGAATGCTTCAAGCTTAGACTGTGTGGCTCTAGCAAGCCATCTTTTTGTTTCTATACAAATAATTTAGAAACTCTTGCCATTTTTGAAATGGTATTTGTATTATTTGTATAGAAACACAATTATTTGTATAGAAGCACAAAGATAGCTTTGTCTACAGCCACATTACACTGAACCCATTCCTACTCAGCCATTAAGTTACCTGAGTGATCTTGGGTCAACCATAGACCTACTGCCTAATCTACTTTATAGGACTGTTGTGTGAATAAAATTAGGGGAGGGTAGCTATGTGTGGCACTCCATGCGAAAAAATGTACTACAGTGGTACCTCAGGTTAAGAATTTAATTCGTTCTGGAGGTCTGTTCTTAACGTGAAACTGTTCTTAACCTGAGGTACCACTTTAGCTAATGGGGCCTCCCGCTGCTGCCGCTCCGCCACTGCGCAATTTCTGTTCTCATCCTGAAGCAAAGTTCTTAACCCGAGGTACTATTTCTGGGCTAGCGGAGTCTGTAACCTTTAGCGTCTGTAACATGAAACACCTGTAACCTGAGGTACCACTGTATTGCTATTACTACTACTTAAAAATAAAAATATTATTATTTCAAATTTATAACTCACCCTTCCTCTTCCAAGGGAGCCCAGGGCAGCTCACAATAATAAAATTACATAAAAACAATTTTAAAACAACACTATAACAAATTGCAGACAGCAGTTAAAACCAGCAGCATAAAAGCTTCATTGCTTCTTTGATACCTCCCATCTGTAATGTGGTCAAAGTAGACTTCTCAAGGCTGCAGAAGCTACAGCTTCTCTTGTAACCATGTTTTAGCCAATTTGACATCATCCAGAGATTTCAAGACAGCAGCAGCAGCATATCTATGTATCTATAATATTTGGTTCAGTATCATTGCTCTGGCTTCAACATTTTCTTGGTGGTAATTGAGAAGGCCACGGCAAGCAACAATGAATATATAAACAAAAGGAACATGTTGTAGGCTTGTTCCCAGAAATAACACTGAAGAACTCTGATATGCAACGATTTTCCAGTAAAAATATTGCCGTCATTTTCTCAAATGAATTACTCATGTTTTCAAAGCTTCTTAGAGATGCCAATATTGCTTTTCATGTTTAGACAAATTTGACGGGCTACAGCAGAGCCCATTATTGCGCAGGGATTCTGTCACACAGCTTGCAGTTCACATGTGGAGCTGGTGCAAGCAAACTGTTCTTCAAAATGAGAGTGGGGAAGGGACAGAAAGAGACTGTGTTCTTTAAGGTTATCCATCACCTTGTCCACTTCAAAGCATATTGCATGAGTCTTCTTTCGGATTTGGTGCTGCTGGCTCAAGACATTTTGCCCCTGAAGTGGAGCCCGAATGATGTGGCCCTCTGCTCAGGCCAAACACTTTTAAAGGTCTTGCTGTGCCATCCAAACACCAGTTCTTGCCTTCACCTGTTATCTCATGATGCTGTCTGAAGCACACCACTCATAGTCTCCACTTGCCATGAAAATGCCTGGACCTTCACAAAAACCCTTAAGCCACCACAACTTCTCACTTTGTCATGGGGAGTCCCAAATTCCCAAACACAAGCTACTTTAAGCTGCTCTTGAAAGGACCATGGGCAAAATTGCAGCTAACTTGCAGTTTTAGTTTAGCTGCAGTTTTGCCCATGGACCCTGAAAGAGTAGCCCTGCTAAGGCTTGAACAGCGCAGTGCTTTCTTTATCCTGTGTGCATGTCCTGGCATCCTTGCTCTTAGACGTGTCCCACAACTTGCCCAAGCCAAATAGTGGAAGTATTTCTTAGCTATTACAGGTTGTCGCTACGGCCAAGGGAAGAAAAGATCCAGCAAGGGGCAGTCACAAAATAGGGGGTGAGTGGAAAGACTATTGAGAAATAGGACCTTGGGGGCAGGGTACCTCAAGTGTTCCTAAATGCAATACATAAATTCAAAAATTTCTGTGCTTAAAATACTGCAGTCTTGTGTGTCTCCTCTAATAACTTTTGTACATGACCAGAAGAAAATGCTCAAGCAGTGATACTGATGTAGAATAGAATGTCCCTATTTTCATCTGAGGAATACTGGAGGGTATGCATCACTTTGCTGGCTTTGTGGTAGGGCCGGCCCTGGGATTTGGGGTATAGGACCAAGAGATTGTGTCGGAAGAATTTTATTGCCTCCTGAGACACCATTGGTAGGCAGACTGTTCCTGGGCACTACAGTGTAAATAATGGCTTTAGGGCTAGCTTTTCAACAGGATTGTGCTGTAGAAGATTGTGCTTTGAAGGTCCCACTCCTAATCAGCCACCCTGCAGCTGCTATTTAAATTAGAAAAAAGAAGCATGAAAACTATTCCTTCAGCATGACTAGTAAAGGTAAAGGTAAAGGGACCCCTGACCATTAGGTCCAGTTGTGGCCGACTCTGGGGTTGCGGCGCTCATCTCGCTTTATTGGCCGAGGGAGCCGGCGTACGGCTTCCGGGTCATGTGGCCAGCATGACTTAGCCGCTTCTGGCGAACCAGAGCAGCGCACAGAAACGCCGTTTACCTTCCTGCTGGAGCGGTACCTACTTATCTACTTGCACTTTGACGTGCTTTTGAACTGCTAGGTTGGCAGGAGCAGGGACCGAGCAACGGCAGCTCACCCCGTCGCGGGGATTTGAACCACCGACCTTCTGATCGGCAAGTCCTAGGCTCTGTGGTTTAACCCACAGCGCCACCCACGTCCCTTTTAGCATGACTAGTAGTTCTGCCTAAATATCTCAACATCAATGCTGGTGATGGCCACTCCCTTAGGTGGAGTTAAAATGGGATTATACAAATCTGTGGACGATAAAACTACCAATGGCTACTAGCCATGGTGACTAGCACCGAATTCTGGGCCAGAAGCACTATATTTGCTGATGAGCAACAGAGGGAGACTGCTATTGCTGGCGTTATGTATTCAGTGGTCTGTGTTTGCCTGAACTTGAGTCTGGACTAAGGATTCTGAGCCCCTGTGTTCTGATTTGATACGTGATATCCAATCACAGAACATTTCAGGATTTTAGCCTCTGCCATTGGCCCTTAAACTCTGAGTCATGATTCGCAGCTTGGAAGTTTAGGCAGCCAATCACATTGGAAGTGGGAGTGGCCGAGGCCTTCAGAAATGTACCATATATAAACAGTTGCTTTGCTCCTGTTGTCCAGTTCTGTTAGTTCAATAAAGGTTTTTGCTGTTATCGCTGTGTCTTGCCTCATGGAAACCCACCTACACTTCAGTCCCCATGCCCTGTTTGTGGATTTCCCAGAGACATCTGGTTGGCCATTTTGATGAGCAGGATGCTGGATTAGATAGGGCCTTTGGCCTGATCCAGGAAGACTCTACTTATATTCCTAGGTTTCATAGACATGCTTCAGCTACCTCATACATAGTTCTGGCTATAGAAAAGAAAGAACAAAGGCTGCAGAACACATCCGGCTTGCTTTCAGTTGTGACTGTTCCCATTTAGTTCCTGTACTCAGCACCAGAGATATATTTAGGGGTAAACTTCGACTTGCATTAGTCTGATCAACTCTAATAAGTCTTTAATGCATTAATTATGCCGAGCTATTCGTTTGGCAGAAGATGGAGCTTAATGGTTTCCTGAAATATGTCAAGGAGGGGGGACCCCTTCTTTAATTCCAGCTTGTCCTTCTCTTTGTAATGTGGGATGGATAACAATTATAAAGCCAACAATATTAGCCGGGAAGAAAAAATCTAGAGAATGGGAAACCGCTATCAGAGCCAATCAACTAACAACCAAACCCTTGCACAGTCTTGACCAGAATCAAAACAAACTTTCATTTCTTCAGAACACAATTTTATTCCTGACATAGCTTCCTCCATCTGCTTGAGTCTCATTGAATATTGATGTGAATTCTGTAGCAAATGCCAAGATTTGCAGCTGTTTCGTTTTTCTCCTTATCTGAGAGAGGGATGCCAGAATATTTTTGATAATGCACCTAGTTCATTTCCCATATGGTTTCACAATGATTAATCCCTATGCAGGTCTATACTGAACTGAGCAAAGATCAGGTAGCACTGTTTCTGGGTGCAAATTATATACGGCATGCTTTTTTGGCTGATCATCCTTCTTCCATGTGCTTGGATGACCAGTAGGAAAAAACAGGAAAGTAAGTAGTTTTCCAGTGTGTCTATGGATATTTAAACATCATTTCATGCTTTTCACTTTGCCAGGTGAGAGGAAGTTCCAGCAGCAGCTTTTAAAGGGTGAGAGTACTGTGGTATTATTATTATTATTATTATTATTATTATTCCTCAACTATCTCCAATCAACAGCAGAAATCAGAAGAGAATTGCTAGCCTGTTCTTTGCTGTGCTGCCACAATCACTGGAGGTGGCTAGAACACGGTACTGCAGTTATCCATCTAGCAGTGATCATGTGACACAAAGGGCCAATAGGATCTCCACTGGTTATACAAAAGAGTTGACTCTGATGGGGCCTCTCAGTCTGGCCAGTTGCTCCAGCACAGAAGGAGCTTCTTTCATTGTCTCTTCTGTTGCTTGATTCCAAAGCATCTGCCCTACTAAGATATGGGGTAAAAAGAAGCAAAAATGGTCCCTGTTTATTTATAGGGATTTCCTTCCACTGGATCAGTGGAGTGGATGAGTCCCTTTGAGTAAGGTTTCAATTGCTCTTTGAAATAAGAATAAATGATTATGGGTGCCAAAACACATTCTTCTCTGTCAGACATTCCCCTCTGCTGTCAATTCTGTGACTAGCTTATGAGTTATGCCTTCTGTTGGTGTGGGCTATGGCTAGGTATTTTGGTTTGTTTTAAACAGATTTTTCTAATCCTTTTCTCAAGAGATGCTGCAAATACAGCAGTACCTATGACATGAACAGTTGCCTATAAAACCTGAGGGCCATATTCAAATGAAAAAAATGAAAGCCTGCATTCAGTTGCCTATTTTTGTGGTTTTAGGAAAGACCCAGGCACCATAAGCCTGAAATTTCCTGATTCCTTGCTGCTTATGGGATGGCACCATACAGAATCAGTTTGTTCAAAAGCTCATCTTCCTCCCAGGCCCTCAACTCACTGTATATTAATTCAGAATCAGACGTGCACAGACTATGCATCTGTCCCTTTGCAAATAAATATTAATTTGGTGTAGTCTCTGTATTTGCCAGAGGGAATAAGGTTTGGACTGAGTGCTTTGGAGATAACCAATTTAACTTTAGGAGCCTTAAGATTTATTACAAAAAAAATGAATTGTGCAATTGCAGAAAGCAACACAATGTTAACAGACTCAAGAGAAGCATGGGGAAGGCTGGATCAGATGACAAATTCAGATTCAAATAAGGCAAATTCATTGTTTTATGTCAACTACAGAATAAAATACTGAGGGATGCGGGTGGCGCTGTGGGTTAAACCACAGAGCCTAGGACTTGCCGATCAGAAGGTCAGCATTTCGAATCCCCACGACGGGGTGAGCTCCCATTGCTCGGTCCTTGCTCCTGCCAACCTAGCAGTTCGAAAGCACGTCAAAGTGCAAGTAGATAAATAGGTACCGCTCTGGCGGGAAGGTAAACGGCGTTTCCGTGCGCTGCTCTGGTTCGCCAGCGCTGCTCTGGTTCGCCAGAAGCGGCTTAGTCATGCTGGCCGCATGACCCGGAAGCTGTACGCCAGCTCCCTCGGCCAATAAACGAGATGAGTGCCACAACCCCAGAGTCGGCCACGACTGGACCTAATGGTCAGGGGTCCCTTTACCTTTACAGAATAAAAAGCTTTCTGGCTCTGCTGTTCCCCCCACTGTGATAGTTCTGCTTAGGGGGCCCCAACTAGCATTTTTTTAAATGTAATGTTTGCATTCTCCACATTGTGGGATGTGTGGTTGCCAGAACCTGCTTCCCAACTCTTGCCTAGATGCTTACCTAGGTGGGCCTGCTCTGCCATGACCTAATCCAGCAGCAAAACGGATATTGGGAGGGACAGCTCTGTCAGGAGCCCTGACTCCTGAGTGTTTCTGTGGGGGGCTGACCAGGCCAGGACAACAAAGAGAAGTGACTGACAAAGGGCTCTGGGGATCCAGTAGGCTGGCAATTTTGTTGTTGTAGAATGGCAACTTGGAAGAAAGAGCAAGCCCAGACATTGAATATTAAAGGGTAAAGGTAAAGGATGCTAAACTGGATTTCTCTGGGATCTAATACATATTTGCTCTCAGTTCTAAGAAACAGAGATTTCTGTTGGCACTGGTGGTATGTGATACTATGGAATCTAGGATTTATGCACCTGTACTGTGTTATTGCTGTGAAATGTTCCATACCACAAAATTCAAAGTTTCCTTCAGGTAGAAAGAAACACAGGTGGAGCACTATTGGGTCAGAGCCTATGAATTAAGTCCCATTGTGAAGTTGTAAAATTCCCTCTTCACTTTCACTGTACATCTCTTTACTCCGGACTTTGGCACTTGAGATATGTGCTTTCAGCACTCACTCTATTCCTGTGACTGTAATTTGTTTTAACTGTTTCTGATTTTGAATTCTGAATTGTTGTAACCTGTTCTTGGGTATTAAACATGAGGGTGATAATGATGATGAGTACACAATGGCTACTTTGATTATCCTTTTCGTTACTTGTGCAGGCACAGTTAGGAACAGCTTTTTTATTTTCTTATTTTTTTAAAATAACTTCTTTCAAGTGAATCCATTTGGCAGTTTTATAGACAGACATGTCAGTACCACAACACATTTCAAGCCCTGAGTGATGTTGTGTTTGTTTGCATTGTTTAATTAAAGCAGGATGAATTCACAAATGGAAATTTGGCGAAAGAAACCCATGCACGATATGGTCAAATTGCTTTAAGATATGTTGGACATCTCTATAAAAGGACGAGCAGGGATGGCTCAACCAAGAGACACATGAAATGTTTGTTCTGGTTGCCAGACCTGCAGGGGACACTGATCAGCCAGCGTCTAGGAAACAGAGAGGGAAGGCTGCACGGGTATCAAAGCAGAGACAGAGAAATAAGAGGAAGTGATGTGAGACTAGGGCTGCACAGCCACCAGATATTCAAAGCACAGTTCCCTCCTCAAAGAATCCTGGGAACTGTAGTTTTATCCCTGAAGGAACTATAACTCCCAGCAACCTCACCAAACCACAGCTCCCAGGATTCCTATTTTTGAGGTGGGGATGGGGTTGAGAACGTCCTTTAAATGTATGGTGTGTACACAGCTGGTGTAGGAGAAAGAAAAGGGGCTGTGTCAGATCCCAGAAGTAAGTACAAATATGCCTACAATATTATCTCTGTCTGAATAAGGCAACAAATTGCTTTGGAATATCTAGTTTTCACACCCCCGAAACAGGGAAAGAGAAACCAAATGTTACAAGTAAATTTAGTTGATTAAGAAGCTGGTGGAGGAGAAGCAGTTGCCTCCTTACCATCACATATTTCTTCTTGAGAAATATCCTTATTTGCCCAGCTTGTCCATTTTATTACCCTTAATACTAGAGATGGGTGAATCTGTCTATTCTGGTTCCTGTTAATTTCATATGTGTTTATTTTAAAACCCATTCCATCCTGCTTCTGTATTAATCTGTGATTTTTTTAATTTTTTTAAAAATACAGAAATTTGTGTTTAAACTCTTAAATATGTATTTTATTGCAAATGCATCTTTTAATATGTATCTTACTTCAGTGTTTGGATTTCTAAATATATTTTATTCTGAAATATGTGTTTTATTTCATACATCTGGAAATGATTTTTTTTGAACTGTGAACTGTACTGCAAAATTCGGAGAAATACAAAACACAGACGTTAATTATGATCCTATCCAAGTACAGTGGTACCTTGGTTCTTGAACATAATCCGTTCCAGAAGTCTGAAAACCAAGGTACAGTTTCCGATTGGCGCAAACATCCTGGAAACGATAGCTGACAGCTGCACCAGACATACAGCTTCCAAAAAAGTTTGAAAACCGGAACACTTACTTCCAGGTTTTCGGCGTTTGGGAGCCAAAATGTTTGAGTACCAAGGCATCCGCGGGACGCGGGTGGCGCTGTGGGTAAAACCTCAGTGCCTAGGACTTGCTGATCGTATGGTCGGCGGTTCGAATCCCCACGGCGGGGTGAGCTCCCGTCATTCGGTCCCAGCTCCTGCCCACCTAGCAGTTCGAAAGCACTCTTAAGTGCAAGTAGATAAATAGGTACCGCTTTATAGCGGGAAGGTAAATGGCATTTCCGTGTGCTGCGCTGGTGCTGGCTCGCCAGCTGCAGCTTCGTCACGCTGGCCACGTGATCCGGAAGTGTCTTCGGACGGCGCTGGCTCATGGCCTCTAGAGTGAGATGAGCACGCAACCCTATAGTCGGACACGACTGGCCCGTACGGGCAGGGGTACCTTACCAAGGCATCCAGGAACCAAGGTTCCACTGTACTAGTTTTGCAGGCACAAGTGTCATCAGTGTCAGCATTCTTCCTCTTAAAGTGCCATTCAGGAGCTGATTTTTACTTCAGGGTCCACTTAGTGTGTCCCCAATTCCCGCCAGGGTTAGAGAATATTAGCTTGTCTCGCTCTCTCTCTGTTTGATTTCACAGAATCAAGCTATTCTCGAAAATTTGATTAAGAAAACATAGTTTACATGCTCGTTGAATACATATGGAAATTGGTTGAGGCAGAGTGGGTTACTGCAATTGGATAATTAGTTTCAAGAAACTTGATTTGCAGGAGTTTTTGTGATTAGCCTTTCTCCTTTATGTGATAAGACAAATAACCTTGGCAGTAAGTAGCTACTGGAAACAGTTCTGCGCAATTGGGGTCCATGGTTCTAGCAGTAACATACTCAAGTACCAATTATATGCTTTAGTTGGATTACAGAAATATTTACCATGCTAATGGGAAAAAAACTCCACTGGGCAGCTTTCATTGGCCGAATTATACATTACAATAAACAGGATACAGAGGTTTGGCGTTGGCATAATGAAGATGCCATACCCACCTCTTATGGGAAGGGGGCTCCACAACTACATCTCCCATCAACTCTGGTCATTGGCCTGCACTTGCTGTGGCTGATGGGAACTGTAGTTCAGTAACATCTGGAGAATCAAAGATCACCCAACCCTGTGTGGAGCCTGAATTAGGTAAACATTACCAACTAATTTCCTTGAATGTTTTAAAAACATGTATTCAAAGTGCTATATGTAAATCACACCTGCTTAAAGGTAAAGGTAAAGGTACCCCTGACCGTTAGGTCCAGTCGCAGATGACTCTGGGGTTGCACGCTAATCTTGCTCTGTAGGCCAAGGGAGTCGGCATTTGTCCGCTTCTGGGTCATGTGGCCAGCATGACTAAGCCGCTTCTGGCGAACCAGAGCAGCACACGGAAGAAGAAGAAGAAGAAGAGTTTGGATTTGATATCCCGCCTTTCACTCCCTTTAAGGAGTCTCAAAGCGGCTAACATTCTCCTTTCCCTTCCTCCCCCACAACAAACACTCTGTGAGGTGAGTGGGGCTGAGAGACTTCAAAGAAGTGTGACTGGCACAAGGTCACCCAGCAGCTGCATGTGGAGGAGCGGAGACGCGAACCCGGTTCCTCAGATTAGGAGACTACCGCTCTTAACCACTACACCACACTGGCTCTCGAGAAACACCATTTACCTTCCCGCCGGAGTGGTACCTATTTATCTACTTGCACTTGATGTGCTTTCGAACTGCTAGGTAGGTAGGAGCAGGGACCGAGCAATGGGAGCTCACCCGGTTGTGGGGATTTCAACTGCCAACCTTCCAATCAGGAAGCCCTAGGCTCTGTGGTTTAGACCACAGCACCACCCGCGTCCCCCACACCTGCTTAACCCATCATAGAAGTGGAGAAAGGACGCATTTTCTTCCTGAAGAGAATACAGCTGCCTGACTACTATATGTGAACGGAGCTAGTATAGTTTCATTCACATATACTGCCAAGTTATGGATTGTATGCAATGAGGTCATCCCATTAGGGCAAGGACTTCCACCTAGACAATGAGACTTCTTTCCCCTCTCCATGCCCTCTGTGTCCTCCATGTTTGCTCCAGAGGGTTGGAGGGAACCCCAGAACAGATATGGCGCGTGGGTGGAGTGTATGGGTAGAGGAAAGGAAGTCCCAATTGCACAAGTAGGGATGTGTGCTAATGGGATGTCTCAGTTAGTATGTATTTATAAATAAATATATTGAAGCCGAGGCTGGATGGCCACTTGTTGGGGTTGTTGTAATCACATACTGCACTGCAAATCTTGCACTCAGCAGTGAGTTGGACTTGGTGATTCCCAAGGTTCCTTCTAGCTCTACAATTAGCACTGACTTACTGAGGCTCTCCAAGATTAAAAGCAAGGGTCTGTCCCAGGGCTACCTGGAGATGCCAGGATTGAACTTGGAACCACCTGCAGATGCTCTAGCACTGAGCAATATCCCTCTTCCCCAATTTCTATACTAGAGACATTGACATTTCTGAGTCTGTTTAGGCCAAAGCCCATATAGGAAAGTTTTTGTTTTTTTTTGCTTCGTTATTACATAGCTAATATTCTGAACTGTACTTAAAATAAATAAATAAATGTGTGCCCAGTGAGTGGAACAAATTGTACCTTCCAAATGACAGGGTATTCACATCAAATACCATACTGATGAGCATAATGAAAACACAAAGGAGGATCTGCATGATGTTAACTGGAATAAGCCCATGGAATGGAAAACAAAACAGAATGATTAACATGAGACAGGCATTGACGCAGATGGCTTCATGCTAGCCATCAAGGAAGCTGGAGAAAAGACTGACACCCTGGTAAGGAAAGAGAGGCGCGCACCTATTAAGATGAAACAACAGCAGTGTTAAAGCTGTCATACTTCATCAATTTAAAAAGAGCATTTAACAGCGCCTTTGCATCCTTACTGAAAAGTAATTCTTCCGATTCCCAGGTAAGCATTGGTACAAAAGACCTTTTAAGCTCCCCCCCTTGCATGAAATTAATTTGTGCAATTTCAACCAGCCAGCTCTCAATCAGGCAAGGTTCAAATTGCTCACGTTAATTGCATGCAAGTTGCGATTACATTGCATAATCCATAAATATATTATTTCAGTAACTTCAAAGGGACACATTGGCGCAATTCAGGCAATCAGTTCCTGGCTTGCTAAACCATAGTTTAGCAGCCAAAACTGAGAGACAAAACAATGCATCGGTGCCAGGTTTAGAGATGTGTAGCTGGTTCCCGAGCCAAGGGGTGCAAAATTGAGAAGATCCTTTATTGAGAAGATTCATTTGGGGGCACCAAATTTTGGCCTTACCCAGGGTGCCATATTACCCTGGGTAAAGATTACCAAAAAACCATCCCTGCCTGCCTTCTGTCCTCTTCCACCCCTGTGCTTCTACCCTTTCTTTGCGCTTACATCCTGGTTAAACTAGTCAGCCATTCTGTCCAAAATGGGGTGCTATAGTTTAATACCAGTTTCCTGTCAAAAGCACAAAAGACAGACTTGCCTTGCCCAATATATCCCAGCCTAGCACCTCTGCTCCTGAGATGGGGCAAAGCTGAAAGTACCATAACCCCAGAGGCATGTGCCAGAAACCAGGCTTTTAGTGTTGCACCTCCAGCAATCTGGACTCAATCACCAGCCAAAATCAAACAGGTGCCTAGCGTCATGATGTTTAGGCACCTGTTGGAGACGGGCTTTCCCTGAGATGTAACGCAGTTATTTTATACCTGATGAAATGGCTTGCTTTTGGTGTTTGTACGGGTGGTTTCACTGTTTGTCGTTTGCTGGATTGATTTTATTGTTTTAAGACCTTTATTCTGCTTTATCTTGTACCCTACTTGGATGGCTATATGCTCTGAAGCAGTCTATTAAACAACAACAAAAATTATTAGTATGCAATTGATCCACAGTACCAGCTTCTGGAACCCATTTCTCAGAGATAAATACAACTACAGTGGTACCTCGGGTTACAAACGCTTCAGGTTACAGACTCCGCTAACCCAGAAATAGTACCTTGGGTTAAGAACTTTGCTTCAGGATGAGAACAGAAATTGTGCTTTGGCGGTGCGGCGGCAGCAGGAGGCCCCATTAGCTAAAGTGGTGCTTCAGGTTAAGAACAGTTTCAGGTTAAGAATGGACCTCTGGAACAAATTAAGTACTTAACCCGAGGTACCACTGTACTTCCATTGTCAGAGGGCAGTATGCCTCTGAATAGCAGTTGCTGAGAAGCTCAAGTGGAGAGAACACTGTTGCACTTAGGTCTTGCTTGCAGGCTTCCTATGGCATATGATTGACCAGTTTGAGAACTGAGTGCTGGACTATCTGGATTTTCTTACGTTAACCGCCACAATATGGTGCCTCCACATTTTGATCCACAACAGTTGGTTCAGAAGGATAGGTCAATAGTTCTGAAAATAGTTGAAAGGTCTTGGGCTGTGTTGTACTCCCCCTGGCTCTTTCCTAGTGAAACTCCCCCCTCAAGGTGACCAAGGTAGTTTTAGTCCCTAAACAGGGTTGTGCACCAGACCAAAATCACTCTAGATAATCCATTTCATTCAGGAATGTCTGGAGTTGAACAGCCAATATGACTAACGAAAGCGAGTACGTTCTGAAGAATTCATTGCCGGATGAAGAATTAACTAATTAATCATGGTGCCATGTTCTGTCTTCAGTTAAAAATTGGGCTGCCGGCAAAAGGAATGGATTTGATCTGAAGGATCTTTATTACTCATACATGAGTGGGAAAGAATTCAGAAAGTCATTTTGATTCCAAAAGATACAAAATGCATGCAAATCCAAGTTCTTCTGAGACACAGAAGCTTACAGTGAACATAACACAAGTATCCTTTTTGATGAACAGACGGTACTTAACAAAGATAAAGTGTCAATTGGCATCAGTCTGTTGATTTCAAGGGTGCTGTCAATCAGTTTTGTTCAAAGAGTGAGTGACACGCTGAGAGCATAAAGTGATCAATCTGAAGTCTTAGACATGATGTCATAGATCAGTTTCTACGGTTGCAGCATAAATGGTTTATAATCTGCCTCTAGTGAAATATTAAGATATCGTCTGTTACCTCTCAACAGAGCTTACAACTTTTATTTCCGCCCTTTGGGCTCCAACGTTCAGAAAGTCAGCACTTCAGACTTCCATCCAGTGGTTCCAGCCAAGTATCTATTGTTGAAAGCACTTGTGAGTGAGAAGAGGCAAAAGATCAAGGACTGCTGCCAAAGGAACAATAAATAAGTGAGATAACATCCACACAAATCGTGTCTCGGAAACCAAACAAAAGAAAATACTGGGCCTTAAAAACAGGTTAAAAGAGAATGGTGCAGCACTCAGATACAAGGAAATGCCAAAGACAGGATGACCAGCTTGGGTCCAATAATATGTGAATTATAATATAATATTATCTGGTCATGTTTACCACAATAATCCATACGGGATCATAAGGACTGGGGTGGGGGGAGGCATGAGTGTGTGGTTTGCTCATCATACAATATTCTGCATACTTGTTAGAATGCATGCACTGAATTCAACTCCTGAGTAAACACCTTTACACACACCCCTACACACACACACCAGTATATATATACACCCACACCCACACACCCACCCACACACACCATATACGACTTAATCATAAGAAAAACAAAATGAAGTGGTGAATAACATCATGATTTGATACAAGCCAGAGGCTATGTTACATGCAGAGTAGACCTACTGAAATTAATGCACCAAAGTTGCAGTGTGATCCTAACTACAGTTCCAGCACCCGTTTCTTCTAACATAAGCATTTTGTACATGGTTTTGCCTAATGCGCACATTTTGGCAAATTATCTCCTTTAACATAATACACGGTGTTTGATTTTGAAGTGCATTTGTTTGCTTTGTTGTAAGCTGCTTTGAACATGTTTTTTTTTTTGGGTGTGTGTGTGGCAAAGCAGCATACAAATCACCAGTGTATTAATTTTTGTTTGCATTTCCCCCTGCTGTATCCATTTTTTGTGTGCAAAGTTTTGGATTGGATAAGTTCCTCACAAAATTGGGAGAAGTGTGAATTCCAAAGTATAGATAGTTGCATTCTGGTTTACATATTAATTCAGGAAATGTGAGGTTTGCTGGCATCAAAATGCAACTTGAATTAGTTACTCTCCCATCCATACATGTCCTTAACTCTAGAGCCAATCCAGTAGCATTTTCTAGCATGGCAACATTGACCCACAGCAAATTGTTGGTGGGACAATGTTGTAGACCAGCTTCTGGCATAATGGTGCTGGTCATGACTGTGCATTAGCAGTGTTTACATCCCATCTAACACACTTTCTTTTTTATTTATTTGCCAGCAGAGTCTCTCGTAGGATTAGGCAATTATTTCTGATTTTCGACAGCTCTGCAAGCAGAAATTGTGCCAGCATTCTGCCCTTGCACCCCCCACAACCCCATCATTTTTCATTAAGACAATTTAATCACACACACATTTAGCGTAGCTATTCTTAGCTGCCCTTTCACAGTCTTGGTGAAAAATCCATGGATGTTACACATGAGCCAAGTATAAGTCAGCTGAACACTTTTAAATTGAAACCCATTTCCCCTGGAACACAAAGGCATTCCCCAACCCCATCCCACGTTGAAGATTATTTCCACTTTTTAACCACAGTCATTTTGGCTTAAAGGTTCTTTGGAAAAGATCCCCAGCCTTTTTATAGGGGTATCTGGGTGCTTAAAATGCCTGAAAATCAGGCCACTCATTGCCGTGGTTAAATGTGGGATGGGAAGCCAACTTTATTTTAACACTATGGTTTTAAGCAAACCTATATGGCTTTCTTTTTTGCAAGCAACCTTCCCAAAACGATTCAGCGGCTCAGATTTTGACATAACATAACTTTGTATAAACTCTGTACGGTGTGTTTATAGGAATAATGTTGCTTGTATAAATACAATTGGCAAGGAGGATGGGAAACAGAGAATGGCCTCTTTGGTGGCCCAAGAGACCCAGAACTAACCCGAACATTAGGTTGGTCTCAAGTGGCATTGAAGAGGGTGGCGCCCAAGATCTCTTGCACTGTCATAGAGGATGCTGGGAATGGGATGAAACTTTCTGGCCATCTGTGCCAGGGTGCGCGACCTTTCTCAGTCCGAGAGCTGCTTTCTCTGCTAGCCAGACTTCTGAGGGCCACATGCCATTTGTGGGTGGGACCAGAGGAAAAAGTGGGCAGCAGAACAAATGTGAATTTTACTTCTGTACAAGTAGGCTAGTTTCTGTGCCCTCTCACACCCTGATCTCTTCTCCAGCCAGACAAGAAAACAGCACTATCAGAGTTCAAGGACAGATTCCAGGGAGGCATTGCAGGGGGTTAGACAAGACGAGTGTTTGACCCATCTTCCAACTCTACGATGCTGTTATTGTATGATTCTAAGGACGAAACCCAAAACAGATCAAAGCTCAAGGAGGGTACAAAGCAGGGCTGGTGAAGGGTATGGGCTGGGAGAAGCCCAAGGGCCAGGTAGAAAGAGATGGAGGGCCATTTGGCCCCTGGGCCTCAGTTTTCCCATCCCCGATGTACGCAGAGGAGTTCTGGAAGAGGAGGTGAATTTCGCCCTCTGTGCGATTCCAAAGTAAAGACAACTTAAAGGGCATCCATGAAAATGAGAGACATCTGGTATCCCTGTAACCGCCATGCAGCCACTATCAACAAACATGCAGCTTCCCCACACAGCAGAGGCTTTAGTTAAAATGTGGCAAGGAATATAAACAAACAGAGGATAATGGGATGGTAAAACTGTAAAAAAAATTCCACATAACTTCAGGATCAATTACCAGTGTCATCTTACTTGTTTCTGGGAGGTTGTGTGCCTCTCGGAAATGGTCCCCTCCTCCCACCTCCCCATTGTTCTTGGCACCTAGACACATCTAAATTAAAAGTAGCTGGTTGTTGTTTATCATATTGAAGATTGGGTATCCAAGTGCATTGACCATAAATCCTAATGAAACATTTTTAATGCTCAAGCCTGCATTTTCTGTATGGTTTGAATTACCCCATATTCCGTTTACTAGCTTTGGAGTGTTGTGGAGACAACGAATGCTCCATTAATGGGCCATTCAGCACAGGCTATTTATCTCCAGAAAAACGTTGAGCACTTGCCTGTATGTGAAATGATGGAATTTTCCAATGTAATATTATTAGTGAGATGGCTTATTGGTCAACACACAGAAAGAGAGCTTTTCATAGCATTCATTTAATATTTAAAACATGACCAGGTAATGTTTAGCTTTTGACAATCCTGTCATGGCCCCATGAGGTCTCTCAAGAGCATCTGGGAGCTGATGGGCTAAAATGGGCTTCACCCTCCAAGCAAGGTGGAGTGCTTAAAAGCCTTTTTCATGCTGGTTAATCCCAAGTGGACCCAGTGCTAAAAGAACTTTCAAGCTCTCTGCCTTGCTTGGAGTTAACTTGTGCAATTTCAACTGGTCTGCCTTCAGCCATGTAAGGATGAAAGTGTGCAAGCTAAATGCATGGGCAGGGTCTAAATACTATTATTATTATTATTGCCTTCTCTGTCAAAATGACCTCCAAATGGTTTACAACAAAGGAAACGTATCAATAAGAGTAGGGATGTTGAAGAATTCTAACAAAAAGAAAGAAAGAAAGAAATGGGAGTGCAAATTGCTGATACACACCTATTCATCCCATATCCAGAACATAAATTAATTCAGCAACTGTGATTTCATGGTTGTTGATGCATTCAGTCAGCAAAAGATACGTAATTGATTATTTCTCTCACCATCCCTTTGCACTGCATTTCCTTTGCACTGCAATGAATAGAGTGGAATAATGTAATGCAGTGACAATTTAATTTATGTGATTAATTATGTGAATTACTTAAGTTATGTCATTTTGCCACAGTGAGACCTTCATTTTTGGTGGAAGACCAACTGCAGCAGCACTGGAACAACGCTGCATGAAATGAAAACAGGGCAACCCATTCATATAGGTGGGGTACAAATAATAAAATTATTATTATTATAAAATGGAAAACAAGGCCTTCTTAGATACATAATGTTACAAAAAAATAGTGAAATCACAATGAAAAGCCAACAGTTAAGTAATAACAATGCAGAAATATTAGAGGGTGAAAAAAAAAGTGAAATCAAATGAAATATGGCCTTTGAAAACATGGGAAAACAAAGTCTTTAGTGTGTGGTACCTAGGAGCAGTACCTATTTATCTACTTGAGAGCCAGTGTGGTGTAGTGGTTAAGAGTCGTAATCTGGGAAACCGGGTTCGCGTCTCCGCTCCTCCACATGCAGCTGCTGGGTGACCTTGGGCCAGTCACACTTCTCTGAAGTCTCTCAGCCCCACTCACCTCACAGAGTGTTTGTTGTGGGGGAGGAAGGGAAAGGAGAATGTTAGCCCCTTTGAGACTCCTTAAAGGGAGTGAAAGGCGGGATATCAAATCCAAACTCTTCTTCTTCTTCTTCTTCTACTTGCACTTTGACGTGCTTTCAAACTGCTAGGTGGGCAGGAGCAGGGCCTGAGCAACGGGAGCTCACCCCATCGGGGGGATTCGAACTGCCAACCTTCTCATCGGCAAGCCATAGGCTCTGTGGTTTAATCCACAGCGCCACCCATGTCCCTATACTACTATTGGTAGTTTTGTGCAAAAGTATAGCAGTAGTAACATTCCGGCCTGAAATTCTAAAAGCCAAACTGGTCATTTTTCTCTTCAAATGGACTTGTAAAGCCTGAGAAACATGCAAAAATGCTCCATTTTGTATGTGTGTTTTTATGAGGACAGCTCTAGGCTGTTTTAAAGTTTTTAAAGGAACCAAATGAAAATGGATCCATTTCTTTACAAGTGGTGGTTTAATCCTGCTGGTAATGTGGTTGTATTCCAGACGACTCTCCCAAGGGACAGGGAGGAGCCCAGCCAAATGTCTTGTGTTGAAAGGTTTACAAAGGAGAAACAGATCACATTCAGCAGGCTGATAAATGGCTTCATTTCCACAGCCAGAAGGAAGGCTATTTGTTTGGTTTGTTTGCTTTTGAGAAGCAGAAAGACCCGTGTCCTCCCCATTACCTCTCAATTGGGGCTCCCAAGGGAGAACTATTTCCCCATCAGTTCCGAAAGGTAACACACAGACACAAAAAACTTTCATCGTGAACCTCTGGATTCCATTATGGAGTTTTAAAAAAGATTTCTTTCAGTAATGATTTGATCCAAATGAAGTTAGCAGTTTGAACATGATGAAGGCCCTGACGATTTTGATGAAATGCAGGCCTAGAAGAACATTAAGGCTGTGAGATTATTGCCATAATCTTAATAATGTCTTAATGACATTAAGACATCAGAGAGGCTGTGGCACCTTAAAGTCTGACAAATTTATTGCAGCATGATCTTCAATAAGCCCAAGAAAGCTCATGTGGGAACAGATTTTTCTAGGCTGCAAGATATTCCAGGACTATTGAAGTGCACTGGACATCCCTGATTTAAATCTCAGGCCAGTGGGTAGTCTTAAACAACTGAGGATGCCCAGGGCCAGCATCTTGTTCTGGGTGGAAGACAATTGCGTTTCCTCCTAAACAGTTTCTCCAAATGATGCCTCTTTTCTATATAACCAATGGGAAGGGATTTACTATGACTACATTTAGAGCTCACCTTTTCTCCAAGGAGCTTGAAGTGGTGCGTATGGTTCTCCCCCTCTCCCTTTTATCTTTACAACAATGCAGAGAAGTAGATTAGGCTGGACCATAATGAAGGCTGATCGCCAAAGAACTGATGCTTTTGAATTATGGTGCTGGAGGAGACTCTTGAGAGTCCCATGGACTGCAAGAAGATCAAACCGATCCATTCTTAAGGAAATCAGCCCTGAGTGCTCACTGGAAGGACAGATCGTGAAGCTGAGGCTCCAATACTTTGGCCACCTGATGAGAAGAGAAGACTCCCTGGAAAAGACCCTGATGCTGGGAAAGATGGAGGGTACAAGGAGAAGGGGACAACAAAGGACAAGATGGTTGGACAGTGTTCTTGAAGCTACTAACATGAGTTTGACCAAACTGCGGGAGGCAGTGGAAGACAGGAGTGCCTGGCATGCTCTTGTCCATGGAGTCACGAAGAGTTGGACACGACTAAACGACTAAACAACAACAACAAGATTAGGCTGAGAGACAGTGGTCACCCAGGTCACCCACTGAGCTTCACGGCGAAATGGAGATTGAACCTGGTCTCCCAGATCTTAGTACTACACTCTAACCACAAAACTACATGGAATAAGTCAGAGGAAAGGCTGCAAATAAGGGGAGAAATTGCCCCCATTATTTAGCCCACACATAGTCCCTAGATAGCCACTAGTAATGCCTTTTGAGCCTGTTGGGTTTGACCAGTCTCAACTGTTATTTAGAAGATTTCTATCCCACTTTTCAGTTGAGTGATTCTCAAGAATAGCTTACACACACACACACACACACCGCAAACCCACACAACCTGGCACTCCTTATCCTGTTGGCTGTTGAATAGGGCCGGAGTGTGATTTCCTTCATATCCACAGTCTCATAGTATCTAGCAATTGGAACAGAATGTTCTTTCTAGGGGTGGAGAAGCAAGATCCCTGCAGCAGATGGATGGGATCAGAGTCAGCTCCATGAAGCAAAGGGCGAGATGGGTCCCTCCCTCCATGTACAGAAACCAGCTGGAACAGGGCACTTAAATCTTACTTCAACACTTTGTTGATGGATGGAGCCAGAGTGTGCAAGGCAAAAGGCATAGCCCAGTGGTAGACCATTTGCTTTGCAGGTTCAATCACAGGCACCTCCAGGTGGGTTTGGAACCCTAGAGAACCACTGGCAGTGAATGTGGGCAATATTGAGCCAGGTGAACCAATGCTCTGACTTGGTATAAGGCAATATCCTATATATTCTTATGTTCACTGTGGACAGACCAGCAGCTTCTGCTGTACTTGAGGGCAATGTGCTAACTTAGGGGGTGAAGGGCAGCTCATGTGGCACATACTGTCCTACCCACTCTGTGCTCCACAACATCTGCCTCAGGGGGCATCATCTCACTTTACCTGATGGTAGGGCCATTCTTTGATGGGGCCATCTTTCTTTCTTTCTTTCTTTCTTTCTTTCTTTCTTTCTTTCTTTCTTTCTTGAATTGATATGCTGCCCTATACCCGCAGGTCTCAAGGTGGTTCACAGAATAAAATCAGAATATAAAACCAGACAATACATAATCAAAATAAAATCAACAACAACCCAATAACAGCCCTCCCCCAACACATCTTAAAAGGGCATAGGATGTCAGTCAAATCAACCAAAGGCCTGGTTTAAAAGGAATGTTTTTCCTGGCACCTAAAGGTGTATAATGAAGGCACCAGGAGAACTTCCCTGGGGAGAGCATTCCACAGATGGGAAGCCACTGCAGAGAAGGCCCGTTCTCATGTTACCACCCTCTGGACCTCTGGAGGAGGAGGCACACGAAGAAGTGCCTCAGAAGATGATCTCGGGGTCTGGGTAGGTTCATATGGAAAGAGGCGGTCCTTGAGGTATTGCAGTCCTGAGCCGTTTCCCCTGGTCATTGTGTTCTTTCTGGGAAGCAGGGGGTACTTATGGAAAATAGGACCAGAGTATGCTTCCCTTCAGTTTTGCAGTCCCAGAGAAACTGGCTGTCCTTTCTGGAAGGGATGGAGAGGGACACAAATGCAACCATGATGGCTGATCTATTCCTTGATCCAAGCTAGAAATTCAAAATGCTCTGAGCTAAGCACAAATTAGTGCATCCCAGAACTTGCTGTAAGTGGAAAGGAGAGCGGGAATTCTGGAAGAAGCAACAATAGTCTGTGTATACAGTGGTACCTCTGGTTAAGAACTTAATTCGTTCTGGGGGGTCCATTCTTAACCTGAAACTGTTCTTAACCTGAGGTACCACTTTAGCTAATGGAGCCTCCCACTGCTGCCACACTGCTATCGCAGGATTTCTGTTCTCATCCTGAGGTAAAGTTCTTAACCAGAGGTACTACTTCTGGGTTAGTGGAGTCTGTAACCTGAATCGTCTGTAACCTGAAGCGTTTGTAACCCAAGGTACCACTGTAGCTGTATGTGAGGAAGAAACTCTAAAATAAAACTATGCATCTGCAAAACCTAGGCTGAATTTAGGTTCTTGTTTCTAAGAGTTTTGTTGTTGTTGTTGGTAACTACTTCTTCGACTGAATTGCCCCTTCTCCATGATATTCTTCCTGAGAGACATCTCCATGGATGGAGTAAGGGGTTCTTAACCTTATGTAGTTAATATTCTGCAGTGTGAGTATGCTGCATTATATTGTCCAAAGAAAATATCCCAGCCAATGAGATTTGCTCTCAAATTGTAGCTTTCAACCAATGAAAAAAGTGACAATCTTTTAATTTATTAAGGATGTGTGTTTAGAAAAATAAACTCACGGGTGCAATGAACTTATTAAATATTCACTGATATTTCCTCCCTTCCCCCCAAAATTTGTTGCAAGAGGGTTGAGGTTAGAGATGAAGAATTTTTAATATTTTCCCAAACCTTGTTTATATAAAAAGCAAAAAACAAAAGCATTACAAGATGAGAGCTAATTGCAAGTACAGTTGCAATCTCATGATATGCCTGGATAGATATCATAATACTTTGAAGAGGGAGAGAAAAATTTGGATGGGAGGGAAAGTGAGAGACATGATTTGTATTATGTTGTCTTCTTTTTTCTGTTTTGTATTAGACAAGGCTCTCAATATAAATTCTTCACAGTGGAAAAATGTGTCTCATGGGGATCTATTATATTATTGCATTTTTCTCTTTTGATGAAAAAAATGGTAATGATACGAAGAGGGAAATGTCAAGAAAAATTAGTCTAAATGCTTGATGCTCTAAAGCAAAATAGGAAACACATTTAGTGACATGTCGCTGCTCTTTGCCAGAGGCTTATCATACAGGTGAGCCAAAATATTGAAATATGCTGGATAGCTTTTCTTTTGCACCTAAGTGTTCTGTCCTTTAGGATCTTTATCCCTCCTTCAGGTCTTGATTCAGAAAAGTCATCACAAACCTGCTTAAATCCAGATTGTTCTGAATCTATTTTGTCCCGCACTTGGGGCAGGGAATTCCTTGATGCTGGATGGCTGACCTTGGTGTGACCTTGACTTTCCCCAATGGTCCAAGAAGCAATGCTATCAGAAGGGTCACAGAACTGGTAGGGAATGAAGAAGAAAGCACAAGAATACTGAAGGTCTAAAGGGGTTGTATACCAGGGGATGGGGGTGGGCACATGCTAGAGGTGGACAAGGCTAGCAGCAAAAGTGGTTGAACCAATGACTGTAAATGGTTATTTTTGCTTCTTGTTTTGTACGATAGGCACATTGCTACACTCCCTCTCTATCTTCTATTCAGGCAAGCAAGAGGCACTAGCAGAATTCAAGGCACAATCACTCAAGGAAGATGAAAATCAGGGGTGTTTACAAGTCCCACTGAGGTGTCATGGAGGCGGTGGGCAGACCATGAGGAGGAATCCCAGTGGGCTGGGATGGTGGTTTCTGAACTCCAATAGATGTCTGATCCTGGGGAGGGTCTCAGTAGGATAGACGGTGGTTGCCTGCCCCCCAGAGAGGCTCAGGCAAACTTTTAGAAGTGCCTCCTGTTACCTCCCTTGCAGACATGCCTCCTTAGTTTCTCCAGCTACACAGTTACAAAGTAGTGCATTTTTCCCTGTATAAGACGATGCTTTTTGCTAAAAAAAAAAAAAAAAAGGCAAAAATTGGATGTCGTCTTATACACGGAGGATAAATGCAGAGGGGGGGGACGTGCGATTAATGACAGCAGCAAGCAGGAGATTGGCAGCGGCGATTGGGCGGGTGATTGGTGGCTGCGGCAAGGCCTGCTGGCGATTGGCTGTGGCTGCGGCAATTGGGAGGCGATTGGCAGCTGTGGCGAGGCAAGCAGGCGATTGGTGGTTGTGGCAAGTGGGTAGGTGGGCTGCTGGTGGCGACGGGCGAGGTGTGTGATCGGCAGTGGCTGTGGCAAGCGATCGGCAGTGGCAGGCAGGCGGGTGAGCGATTGGTGGAAGTGACCTCCCCCACCCCCAAAAGGTAAACAACTTAATTTCTTAATTTTGGGTTAAAAAAATAGGGGTCATCTTATACACGGAAAAATACAGTAATTTCTCCCTTTAGGCAGCAGGGAGTATATCTGGTGCTGGGATGGCACCCATTGCACCTCTGTTGCCTAGGACAAGGAGACACCAACATGAGTACACACAAACCTCACCTAGCCAGCCCACTAGAAGGTGTGCCCATTTGCTTACCAGTCTGGGGACTCCAGGTAAATGCTGGTCCTGACCTGTCCTCCCAGTAGTATTGCTTGTTGGCTCAGTGCCATAGCTCACACTTAGCTATGCCTCTGATGCCTCATGAAACTGCTAATCCTTGCAACTTGTGAGTTCCCTGATGTTGATGATGAAGAAGGTGATGGTGATTTTACCCCACCCATCTGACTGGGTTTCCCCAGCAACTCTGAGTGGCTTCCATGAGGAGGAGGCCCCGGCTGAGGTAGAGAATTCTGTATTATTATTATTATTATTATTATTATTATTATTATTATTAACCCACCCTTCAACCCAAGGTTCTAGGGTGGGTTACAGCATTAAAACACAATTATGATTTTTTTAAATTTAAAAAATGGATAAAATCATAGTGCAACACAACCTAAGAAATGCTGAGTGCAGGACACGTAAGTCTAGGAACTGAGCAATGTACAGCAAGGTTTTGAGAAGCTATTTACTGGCCAAGCTCAGGTGGAAGACTTAGTGCCATCACACTACCAGATGTCAGTTTTGCAGAAATAAAAATCAAAAAGGTTACCATCCACCCATAGAGAGTGTGCAGACTTCCCAAACTGACCTGCAAAGCACTAGATGTCTTGAGCCAATTGTAGCTGGAACAACTGAGAATATAGATGTAGATATATATATGATGCGGGTATTGTGAAGTCATAGGTCAGAGCAGGTGAAACTGCCAGAGCACAGAGTGACGGCTGCGCTGGCCCTTCCAACCTTCTAAAACCATCTTCTCCACCAATGAATTCCTTGTTGCTGTCCCTTTTTAAATACTGCTGCTACTGCTGCTTGACAGTGAGAATGCATAAAATGCATGCGAATGGGGAGACAATATATTCCTGTGTGAAGGTGCTTACTGTGTGTGTGAATACAAGCCCATATTTTACACTCGTTTTAAATACTGTTGCTGTCCAATTGAAGTTGCCAGTTTGGTCCTGGACAAAATTGGTTCCCCCATCTCTGGCTGAACAAGAGCAACACATTGATTCATCTTTCCTTTGGGTGGCCTCATTTCACTTCACATGCAGAATATATTTTACGATTTCAGTTCACTGGTGCTTGCATGTAGTAATTGCAGGAATATTTCAGGCTAGCAAATGGAAGGAAATTGGCTGTTGTCTCTAATTTAAAGTGAAATTGACAGGAAATACCTTATTTTAGGCTTAGAGGGTGCATACACATTTTCAGAAGGGAACTCTTAAAACCTTAATGTGAGCCACATTAAATAATAACTTATGAAATTAATCAGCTGCTTCCCATATGGTCTTCAAAATATTTTCCAATAAGGTAAATATGAGCAAACGTGATTTTTTGATTGAATAGATTATTTAATGTTTTCGTACTCTCTATCTTTCCAGAAAGTAAGATGGTTATCGGAACATAAAAAGGATTTTAATTCAAAGTGACTTTGCCAGGTTCAAATAACATCACTGGGGTTTGATATTCTGTTCAGAGATGTAAGATTTAGACCTATTTCCTTGCTTCGGCTGCAGTGAACGTGGTGGTGGTCGTGACTTCAAGAGGAGTTTGCCGTTAATAAAAACGAAGGGCTGGAGGGTTTGGGTTTTATTAAAAGCATAAGCCATAATGATCAATTTGGATAAATTAAGCTTCTGTAATTACTTGCAACTGATGCACTGCGAGGACCTTGAGGGCTCTGTTTTATCAGGAGCACAAAACTCAGTACTGAGCGCATTATGGAGCAATCTCTGCGCTTTCTCTGAGCTCTCCAGAGGGCCTACAGCTCAGTGACAAAGCAGATACTGAATCTCCAGCAACCTGCAGACAAAGAGCCCATAGAAAGCACTGCCAGTCTGAGTAAGCCAGACTGATTAGATGGACTATGGTCTGACCCACCATAAGCCAGTTTCATATGTTCATGAGGGTTGCTAGGGCTGCACTCCTCACCTTACTTTCCCGAAAGGAAGCTCCGCTGAATTCAACAAGAGTTATTTCTGAGGGGACGTGTGCTGTAATGCTGCTATTCTAACCCATGTACCTGGGAATCAGGACCATTGAATACAATGGGATTTACTCCTTAGAAACTGGTTGGATTGTTGCCTAAATCTAGTTTGCTGCCACCAAATTAGCTCCCAGTTCTCTCAGTTGTCTTCCCTTTTTATTTATGGGCTACGTTCTCTTCAGATATAACTTGCAGCCCAAGCCCATATCGCTAATATTTGGGACGACCCTGGGCTTACATTTCCTTGGACTGTACCCTTCAAAAATGTCACGTGGACTCCGCGAGCTCTTCTTTATTTGCTTCAACATTTGGGACTACAGTATATCTCCAATGAGTCACAAAAACTGTTGCATCTATGTCAGTGTCTATAATTAACTAGACCCGATTTGCTAGAACTGAGGATCTAGTTAGGATAAATGAAGTGACTGTCTACCAAAATATGGAGAGAGTTGTCTGCTACCTTAGGTTCAATCTAATTTGAATACCCATATTTTTCTGTATATAAGACGTCCCCTACTTTTGGGTACCCCAAATTTAGAAAATGGGCATATGCACTATCCGTGTATAAGACGCCCCCAGATTTTTAACCTTCTTTTAAAGTAAAAAAACCCTAGTCTTCTACACGGAAAAGTATGGTGTGTGTGTACACACACACATACACCGCTAAATCACAAAGCATATACAACATTTAAAAGATAAAAGCTATACAACAAAACATAAAAAGTCAAAAACAAATTAAAAGCAGAAAAGCATTGAAAAGTTAAAAGCATGCATCAATAAACCATTGTTGGAAATGGACTCTTAATTGCCTGCATAGACTTGGTGGCATAAAAAAGTTTTTAGCAGGCACTTAAAAGATGAGCAGGGTATAAATGAAGTATTATTATTATTGTTGTTAGTCCCCTAATGCATGGAGAATTCCATGTGAATAAAAGACCCCTGTAGATGAGAAAGTGGGAGGGTCAAGGCTGATGCACACCAGGGCAAATGCATACGGGGACATTGAGAGTAGGATGTGCATGTGAGTCTCTGCTATCATCCCCCATTTTAACCATGGCACATTTTGGGCATATGTCTCAATTCTCTCAATAAGTTTCCCCATGATTTTTCAAGTGGCGGGGAAACGAAGAGCAAAAACAACCAGATGAAAAATGTTGCTTGAAAATAAATATTTTGCAAAGTTCTCTCTCTTTTTTTGACAATTGAGCTTTTACGCTTGTTCCGAACATATTTATGGAGCAGAGCCACTTGGGTGCAATCCCATCAAGACACAATGAATAGCAAGGAGGAAAAGCAACGTGTTGGCAAACAAATGGTTTTATGTCTAAAAGATGGGAGAGGGGGAGTTTGAGGAATAATTCGTTCAGGTGACCTTTCGCTGAGTTTTAGCAGAAAATTTATATGGTTAATACCAGCGTCTGTCCATTTCTTCATTTTGTGGAAGCCAGCAGTGGTTTTGTTTAAGAAAGACAGAGCAAAAGAACAAAAGCAGAGTTTGTGCTATAAAACGACAACTTTAATATGTTCCAGGACTGACTTTCACCAGAAACACTTAAGCTGGAGACAGATTGTCCTTTTGGAGAACGGGATTTCTTAATTTATTTAAAACTATGTATTTCTGCCTGATAACGGGCCTCTAGGGCAGCTGGCAATAAGTGAAAATGAATTTGTAACAACTCTTCATAGTATTCCTTGAAATGGCTGTGGTGACTTATGAAGGCTCTAGGGGATCGACAATGGGAAATTTATTTATTTAATGATAGCAATTGTGCCCCACTTGTCAACTGAAGGGAGAAAAAGCTGTCAAACTGTCTTACAAAGAGCAATAATAAGACAGTCTATGTGAGATTCGGCATCACACCAGATGATGTTTCCTTTCCCTCCATATGAGAGAAAGGGGAAGTCCCATTTTCCCAATGACTCTGGCATTGGCATCTGGCTCCAGTAACTACTTGAAATGAAAGCAACACCAGCCATTTTTTAGGCATCATGATCACTCACCATTAAATCACAGCCAGATCCTAGTTTATAATCTGCAAGTAAACCACAGTTTCCAAGTTCAGATGTCACAGGAAACTGTGGTTTGATAAGTGAGGATCAAAACACTTGAGCCAGGTAGTGAGGGAAGAAGAAGTCCAACAACTTTGACTCATGTTATTCTCAGGCTCATAAAACCATGATTTTATCAGCCTAAGATTGTTATATATGAACTGGGCCTATTTGAAAACAAAAAGACCCTGGAGTACCACAGGTGTTAAAGTATCAGTGGCACACTGAGCAATGGACAACCTTCTAGGATGGGTATAACTCTCCACTACTCATGATTATTTATTTTTATTTTATTTATTCATCAAATTTATTTACATTCTGTAAAAGCAGTCCCCCCCCCAAAAAATATCATGATACTTCAGTATCCAGCCCTGAAAACATCATTGTAAAACTGAAGCATACATCATATCTCAAGAGAACAAAATGCAAATGTGACTCAAGTTTACTCAGGAGGAGTTACTTGATATGGCAACTGTTACATGGACTGTGAGATAAGCTACTTCCATAACAAAAAAGCACCATTTTTCATATTGGCTCCAAAAGCCCCAGGAACAACGCTAAAGATTTGCAGGAAATGCAGAGTCATGAACACCAGGTGCTGTTGCTCTTCCCCAAGTGATTCTCTCAGAACAATTTGCTCTATGCAAGCAATACTACATATTCCCACTCCATCTCCAAATGACCAGGGAGAACCAAAAGAAGAGGAACCACATACTGTAATCGGATTGCTGACTCTTCTGAGACTGGCCTCCTTAATTTGACATGTAAATTTAGCCCACCAAAACTGTAAAAGTGTATGTCTTTATTGATGAGTCAAGTTGTTGCAACTAGGTTCATAAATTGAGAGCAATGGGCTCTGAGAGAAATTAATTCTTTGTTGATACATTACACGTTACCTCCTGTTGCCATCACCACCAGCTTAGGAGTATAGGAAGATGCCCTACATTGAGTGTGTGTGGAGGGGGGGACCACTGGTCCATCAAACTAAGTATTGCCAGCATTGTTGGCTCTGCAGGGTTTCAGTCTTACCTGGAGATGCTGGAAATTGGACCTGAGAGCTTTTATATGCCAGGTAGATGCTCCACCACTGAGCTGTGGCCCTTCCCCACAGGCTGGAGGGATAAATGTTGCAGTTGCGGAGACTTTTCTGTTCCTGTAGTTTCCCTGTGCAAGTTGGAAGCCTGATTGTCCAGGGTTTTCAACTGAGCAAGGAGCCTAAATGTGTAGAGGAGGCTCTCTGCGCTGATGTTTGCCTCCAATTTATGAAGGAAAATGAGGATGCTGGAACTACTCTGCCCAATTCCATTCTCTATAGGAGAAGAAGAAGAAGAAGAAGAAGAAGAAGAAGAAGAAGAAGAAGAAGAAGAAGAAGAAGAAGAATCTATATGCTGCCCATCTGACTGGGTTGTTGTAGCCACCCTGGGCTGATTCCAGCAAATTAAAACATCAAGCATGCTTTTAATTGCACGGGTGTGATTAGGATGCCTCAAAAGCAGTGCAATTTAGTTTATTTGATGTTCTGACCATAAGCATCAGATACTGTATAGGGTTATCCAGACAACAGTACAGAGAGAGAAAACACAATATAAATGCACACAGTTTGTGTCTTTTAAAATAAAGATCAAAAATATATAAATAATAGACAA